TTTCGTCTCGGGTCCCTCTCGTGCGACGACTGACACTCCCCTCGAGCAGGACAACGTACGTCGCCGAGGCCCTGTACGCCTCGATCCCTCGCGGCACGCCTCCTCCCTCGGCCGACACGGCGACCCGCACGGGCTCGTTCACGCTCCTCATCTACGCCCTCGTCTCGCTCGCGGCCGGCACCTTCATCCCGTACCTGACGACCCTCGCCGACTCGTTCCCGTCGCTCCCCTCGCGCGTTGGCCCCGTCGGCCGCCTCGTCCTGAGCGAGCTCACGCCGCGCAACATGTGGACCTTCGCCCTCGCGTGGTACGCCGCGTGCATGGTCGCCACCTTTTGGGCGACAAGCGTCCGCGGCGCAACGGCCGTCGTCGCCCTCGTCGGCGTGCCCTGGGCCATCACGTGCTGGGTCCCGTTCGCGCTCGTCAAGGAGTCGATCCGCGAGGTCTCCTCGTTCTCGTGCGTCCACCTCCTGCTCGTCGTCGTCGTCAACGTCGAGCCTGACCCTCCTCTCCTTCACGCTCTCTCGCAGGTCTGCGGCGCCATGGGTCACGCTCGCGGCGGCGGCGTCCTCGCGCATCTTTTGGCCTCGAGCAGCTTCAAGGCGGCCAGTGCGTCTCGCTCTCGCTCTCCCTCGCTCTTCTCTCGAGCGCGCTCCCCCTCCTCCTCCCCGTCCTCGACATCCAGCCTGACCTTCCTTGCCTCGCCCTCTCTCGCAGATCTGCTGCCACGACCGGGTTCGCGCACTCGCACGACGAGGTCGGGCGCGTCGTCAACACGTCGGGCGGTGGCGTCCTCGCGCATTTCTTGGCCTCAAGCAGCTTCAAGGCGGCCAGTGCGTCTCGCTCTCGCTCTCCCTCGCTCTTCTCTCGAGCGCGCTCCCCCTCCTCCTCCCCGTCCTCGACATCCAGCCTGACCTTCCTTGCCTCGCCCTCTCTCGCAGATCTGCTGCCACGACCGGGTTCGCGCACTCGCACGACGAGGCCGGGCGTGTCCTCGACGAGAGGGTGCTGTGGAGCGACGGCCTCCTGCTCGAGCCACTCTTGAGTTCACTCGGACGAGAGGAGAGAGTGGGACGGAGAGAGCGAAAGAGCGAGAGAGAGAGAGAGAGAGCGAGAGGAAGCCGACCGACAAGGGTCCGAGCGAGCTTTGCTGGGGAGCAGGCCGCCGAGGAGCACGCCGGCCAAGATGCGGCGGCCCTGTGACGCGGGTCCAGCCAGAGCTGTTCGAGTGGCGCCACCCGGAGCAGGGTCGGGCGAGAGCGGCTGCGCGTCGTCTAGCCAGAGCGGTTCTCAAAGCCAGAGCCTCTCGCGTTCACTCGTTCGCCGCTGTCTCGCGACGACGGCTCGACGTGGCGGTGGTACTCGCGCGATGTGGCTCATGCATTGCAGGCGTCGATCTGCCCAGAGAGACACTCGCCGCCGAGGTCACACGGCGGCGAGCGAGCGAGCTCGAGGATGTACGAGGCGACGGGACGGCCTGTTGAAGCAGGAGCGAGCGTCGCGCGAGGCTGAGAGCGGCGGAAGGAGCTTCCAGCTGATGAGAATTCTCTGTCGACGGGCCGGACGACCAGGCTTTCTACGGGCTCGCTGCCTCGGCCAGCTCTTCGTATGATCTCTGTGGAGGGCCTGGGAGCGCAAGTGCCACGACTCGGCCTTTGTGCGAGGAGGTAAAGGAGCGCCCAAGTCGGCGGACGACGCAAGGGCAGTGGAGCAACTATATCGCTCTCGCGGCGCTTCTGCACGACGCCGGCGCTCACGAGTAGTCTGGAGCAGACGTTTCGGAGCCCCTCCGATACGTGAAAGCTGTGGCGCCGAGCCGCTGTCGTCGGTTTCTCGCTTCTGCACTTTCGGCTCGCTCTCTTGCAGTTGCTGCTCCCTTGTCGCTCGGGTCTAGATAAGGTACAATGACATTCGAGTTCATATCGCACAAACTTTGTACGCGCCCGTAAGCGGTCCGTCCTCCAGATCCTCCAGATCTTCCAAATCCTCCGCCCCCTCCTCGCGCCCAGCCTTGTCGACTTTCAACACTCAGGCCTCGTCCATGGCGTCATAAGATCTGTAAAGGAACGAGTCAGTGACCTGCTGCGGGAAGTAGGAGGAAGGGAGAGGACGCACGAGTCGATGCCGCCCATCATCATCTCTGCAAAAGGAGAAAATCGTCAGGGAAGGCTCGCGACGGACGAGAGAGGGAGAAAGTGAGACGCACTGACGAGCCAAAGCTCGGGCGTGAGCTGCATGCCACTCGTGCGCATAAAGTCGTCCTCCTCCTGCTCGTAGTTGGACGTCGTCTGCGCGCGGCGAGGAGGACAAGGTCAGTCGGGCGATCAGGGTGGGGCTTGGACAGGCTCGAGGGGGACGTACGTCGATCAGGTCGCCGACCTCGGGGTGCACGTCGAGCTCGGAGAGGAACTGGCGCGCGTGCGGGTCGTTGCCGATCTGTAGCGGGCGAGGAGGAGAGGGTCCGACGCAAAAGGTCAGGTCTGCTGGCCTCCTACCGACGCCGCGCGAGGAGGGAGAGCGAGGGGAAATAGAGCGAGAGAGACAGAGGAGGAGGGAGAGAGAAAGAGGGAGAGAGAGAGAAGGAGAGGGGGGGGGGGGGGGGGGGACGAGGAATGGAGAGAGGACAGAAGAGAGAGCGAGAGTGGGAGAGGGAGGCGCACCTGAGCGAGCGTGACGCTGAGCGCGTCGGCGCCGTACCGCGTCTGCTGGAGCGACCTGCTCGCGTTGATGAGGACGCGCGCGAGCGTGTCGCGAGGCTCGCCGCCGGGCTGGCCGTCGGTGACGGCGATGACGAGGACAGGCTTCTTGAGCTGGTTGGCGCGCGCAGGACCGAGGATGAGCGGCTGGATAATCTTCTGGTCAAACGAGGTGCCGAGCGGGGTCATGCCCGAGAAGCGGATCTGGCCGACGAGGCCGAGCGCGTCCGCCTCGCTGCGCAGGCCGTTGCCCTCGATGCGCGAGTTGAGGAAGCGGACCTGGATGCCGTCGTCGTCGAACGCGGACGCAGCTGTAGGGCTGGAGAGTCAGGACGAGAATTTGAGGAGGGGAAACTGTGGAGGCGCGGCGGACGGACCTTCGGCGACGCGAGAGACGATGAGCTTGGCGTCGTCGATGCGCGAGCCGCCCTCCTCGAACGACATGCTGCCGCTGTCGTCGATCTGGTAGGCAACGTCGAGGAGGTCAGGGAGGCGTCGTTGACGATCCGAAAGGCCGAGAGATGGGGACGCACGAGGAGGACGACGTCGAACAGGCTGAGCTTGCAGAGGTCGACGGCGATCTCCATGGGGAGACGCCACTTGGAGGCGATCTGCTGCAGAGCGCCGGACGAGACGATGCGCCGCGCGATGGGCTCGAGAGCGCGAGGGTCGGGATAGAAGGCCTGGGAGGGGCAAGGGCTCGAGTCAGGAACACTGTACGTGCGTCGACGAAGCGCAGGAATGCGCAACGAGGCTATCGATCGTGTAGAGGGGAAAGGGAAAAGGGGGCGCACCTGGATCTTCTGGTCGGTCACGCAGTGGCGCAGAAGCGCGAGGATGCTCTCGACGGTGACGGCACCGCCGGCACCGCCGGCCGGAGCGGGCGTCTGCGGGAGCGGGCCACGGCCCGGAGCGGGCGGTGCGCCGTAGGTGTTGTACTGCTGCTGCTGCTGAGGCTGGCCGTACTGCGACTGGCCGTACTGCGACGACTGCTGGCCGCCGTACCCGACAGGAGGAGGCGGGCCCGAGGGCGGGGCGTACTGGCCTGTGTGCGAGGGACTATGCGTGAGCAGCCGAGTGACGGCAAGGCGGCGAGACGAAGAGACAGAGAGAGGCCGAGACGCACCCTGAGCGGGAGGAGGACCGGGAGGAGGAGCGTACGAGGCCTTGCCGTCCTGCGTCGGGGCAGGCGAGTACGCTGTAGGGTGGCGGATGACGATGGGCGAGTCGGGCGGCGCGAGGAGGAGGGAGGCGGGTTCAAAAGGTGAGCCAAGGCTGTGCCGAGTGGGGGAGGAGGGTGCGACTGAGCGCCACGACCGCGACCGAGACGCCGACGACCGCCGGAGCTCGTCCCAGGGTCCACCCTGAACGTCCAAGCCGCTGTCCCGCACGCTGCATTCCCGGCATGGCCTTCATCGGCGAGCGCAACCCTTGCGAGCGGGGACGACCTCGACCTCGCCATCGCCCGCACATAGACCGCAAGATATGACGAGAGAGAGGGACTGACAGGAGCCGTATGCGGGAGGAGGACCGGGAGGAGCGCCGTACTGCTGCTGAGGCTGCTGGTGCTGCTGCTGCTGAGGAGGCGCAGCGCCGTAGTTCGAGGGGGCGGCTCCACCGGCGGCACCCGGGGCGGGCACACCGGCGGCGGCGAGTTTGCTGGCGAGTCCCATCGTGTGTAGTCTTGGGCAAGGTAGAGAGCGAGGGCGAGCTGATGGGAGGAGAGCAAGAGGGGCGGCATCATCGCTTTCCTCGGCCTGCCTCTCTCGGCCGCATCTCAAACAGGGCTTGGCTCGTGCACGGCCACTCTCTCGCTCTCTGCACGACACGCACGTCGGGCGAGGGAGAAGGCTCGACAAAAGAGGCTGAATTGCAGACAGCAAGGCTCGACCGACGAGACGAGCGAGAGTGAGACGGCGCACAAAACGCTCTGCCGTCCCTCAAGGTGTCGAGCGTGCGCCCCACACCAAGGCCGACGGGTCGCACCGTCGAACACGTCGCGCCGACATGCGTCGCACCGACGCCTGGTTGCGAGGCGAGCAAGGCGGCCGAGTCGAGGGACGCTCGTCGGCGAGCTGGTCGGGGTCGAGCACCGAGCGAATCTGTGTGCGGACAAACTGGGTCAGTACGGTGCTCGTCTGAGGAACTCGACTGCTCATGGCCCCGCCGTCTGCCCCTCCTCGTGACCCAGGTAGACGAGGAGCACTTCATGCGCATCTCTGCAATAGCTTGTCAGCAGCGCGCCGCTCCCATCTTGTGGTGAGCGGGCTCAGCTGTCCCTATCTAAGGAGGGTTGTAATCCTGAGTGCCCCCTCGCTCCTGCCGCCGCCGCTTACCGTACCGCCGTCGAGACGATTCGAGGAGAGGAAAGGAGGGGAGGACGCACGAGAGAACCACTGCCGCTCCACCTGCACTCCCATCGACCGTGACACGAGATCAAGACGATGCAGAGCTAAGGGCGACCAACGTGCCGGCGCGGGTCGAGTTTGTCGAAGACGTCATGCGAGGAAAAGATGGCGGAGATGAGGTCGCGGCGCGGGCGACGGCGCGCGTGTAGCGCTGCGCCGGTCGTGCTGAGGCTGCTGATGGGCAGCCAGGGTGCACAGAGCAGAGCAGCTCCACCTCAGCGAGCGAGGTGAGCGCGTGACGGCATTGAGAGAAGGAGAAGGAGGAGGGTCGGCCTGCGAGGCGGCAAGTGACTGATTTTCCGAGACCTGCTCGCTCTCTCGCACGCAGAGACTTTCGCCGACAGCGAGGAGCACACTCTCATGATGCAGGCGACCACTCTCGCCGACGCCGAAGCACAGCTCGACGACTCGAATTGCACTCGTTCGCCCGCCCTCGTGCGCCCCGCTCACGCCTGCACGAACAGCTCGGGCGCCTGCGCACGCGCATACTCGCCCTGCGCGCTCACCTTGTCGGTCCACTCGTCGAGCCGGGCCCGGAGCGCGTCAATCTGCGGCCGGTCGAGGACGCGCGGCTGCACCCACGAGATGGTCGCCGACGACGACACCTGGTCGAGCGTGCCGCGGATGAGCTTGAGCCTGCATGCGCGAGGAGAGCGAGAGGCGAGAGAGTCAGTCCCGGGATCAAGCCGAAGCCGCGAAAGGGCGAGGGAGGGAGGAGGGAGAGTGCGACGGAGGAGACGAGGGACGCACGCGAGTGCCTTCATGACGAGGTGCTCGACCTCGTCGACCGGGACCTGCGCCTCGGACGAGATGATGCTGAACGGCAGGACCCGGTCCGAAGTAGGGCGCTTGAAGACGGCCTCGATCAACGCGAGGAGGCAGATCTTCTCGCGCAGGAACGCAAAGTGCTGCTGCAGGAAGGGCTGCGCGACGTTGAAGAGAGTCAGTACGAGGACCCTTGTTGCGCGAACAGAGCCGACGCACCTCCTTCTCAGCCATCTCGGGAACGAGCGCCTGGAACTTGGGGATGTCGCCCGAGTTGAACGCAAACAGCAGATTCCGGATCACCTCGCGCTCGGTACCGACGAGCGAGTCGAGGATCGGGTGCATCAACTGCACGTACGGCGAGGGGAAGAGGGCGACAGGTCAGGATCTGGGCTGAGCCGGCTCGGGCGCACGAAAAAGCGAGAGGGGGAACGCACGAGCTCGCCAAAGTTGTAGATGGTGCCGAGGAGGGCCGAGATACCGAGGTCGTTGGCGCGCGAGACGCGCTCCTCAGCCGTCAAGTCCTTCTCGACGTCGATGCAGGCGAGGTAAAGGAGCGAGTTCTTGTAGTAGTCGGCGAACTCGGCTTTTGCCTGCGGGGGAGTATCGTGTGTCAGTCACCCGGCCCGGTACGACGAGGAAAAGAGATGAGCCGGCGACGCACCTTCCAATAGTCGCCCGAGACGCGGTAGAAGCTGCCGTGCACGGCGAGGTCGACCGAGTCGAGCTGATCCAGCAGCTTCTCGCACGCGTCCATGGCCTCCTTGGCATCCACGGTCTCGCCCAACAGGAGCTTGAAGTGACCGCGCTCCATGCGCACGAGAACGTACGCCTCGCGCGTCTCGGGCGTGTCGAGCGAGGGAAGGAGCGTGTCGAGGAACGACACGGCGAGGTTGCCATCTGTGAGATACCACATGTCGACGTCAGTACACTGCCGTGGCTCGGGCGCGCTCAGGAGGGGCAAGGAGAGAGGAGCGCGGGCGCACCAGAGTATGTTCGTGCGACCGAGACGGCGATCGAGGCGAGCTTGAGCTGGTCGAGCTTGTTGGCAAAGTCCTTGATGAAGTTGTCGTACAGGTCGATGCGGAAGGACGCAGACGCCGGGACCGCGAAGAACGCCTCGATCGAGCGCGTCAACTGGTACCACAGCCTGCGAGTGCGGAGGGAGGAGAAGGGGGCCAGGTGCGTCAGTAAGGGATCCTCGGCTCGCGCACTCACTACTCTGCTCTCCTTGTACCGACACGTCTCGATGTATCCCCTCGACCGAGCCGTTGTCGAGTCCCTGCGACCGCTCAAGTCCACCGCCATGCTGAGACCAAGGCGAGGGGCCCGCCCTCTCTCCGCCACAAGAGCCCGCAAAGCCCATCCGCAGGACCCGTCTGAACAGTCCTGGAGACCTCCATGCCCCGCCGCCCTCGGTTTCGCGAGCTGAGAGAGAGGCTGAGACTCACTTGTTGGTGTGGAACCGCTCGAACGCCTGGTAGAACGGCTTGAGCTCTTCAGGCAGTTGCGGGCTCGAGAGCGCCTGGGCGAGGTACACTTGAGGCTCGGGGCGGTCGACCTGCATGGCGGAGAGACCTGGCGGGGGAGAGAAGGCGGGCGGGAGATGAGGTGTGCGAGGGCTGGAAGCGGGAGCTCGGCGGGCGGGTCTGCTCGAGTGGCGCGCGGGTCGGGCGGTGTGCAGAAGTGTCGATGCTGCTGGCTGGGCGGCGGCAGCGACAGCAAGTGGTGGGGGGAGGTGTCGAACCTCGTCCGCTCTCTCGCTCACCGGCCGCGTCACTGGTCGCTCGTCGACTCTCTCTCTGGCGGGCGTGTGCTACCCAGAGAGCCTCTTGAAGCTTTCATGTGCCGCAGCGTGCCAGCCGAAACTCGCGGCGACCGTTTGACGTTCATCGACCTTGCTCTGCGGAGGCAACGCTGCCGAGGAGCTCGCCCAGGCAGTACACGCTCTCGCTGACTCTCGAGAGTATCTGCGGAAGGTGAGAGAATGTCTACTCATTGCGCTGCGAGGGTACTGGGACGGCGAGGCCGCGGCGGGCAAGAGGAAACTGTGGCGGCGGGCACAGGTGGAACGAGGCGACGGCGACGGCCGTGCGACAAGGCGAGGAAAGGCAGAAAGGTCTATGCGCCAGGCAAGAGTCGGGAGGGGAGGGTAGGGGGACAGGGGCGAGGCTCAGGCGCCGAGGAACTCGAAAGCTGCCGAGGAAAGATCGTCAGGACGAGCGCGCGCGAGTCGACCGACAAGGCGAAAGAGAGGACGCACTCGCTGCACCGCACTCGACGCCGTCCTCAGTCATGAGGACGCCGCGCACTTCTGCCGAGTCGAGGGCGAGGGCGAGGTCGAACCTGAGCGGGAGGAAGAGGGTCAGTGCGGGGACGAGGGAAGGCGGCGAGGGGACGCAGACGCACTCGATATAGCCGCCGTCGTCGCCAGCGATGTCGTGGAAGCGCGGCAGGGCCGCGAGGTCGACCGTCCAACGGCACAGCTCGGTGAGGTCGCCTGTGGGAGGAGGGGCCGATGAGGTCAATCGGGCTCGAGGGGAGGCAAGAGAGGAGGAATCGGGCTCGGACGCACCTTCGTCCGTGTAGCGGTAAAGCTCCTCCGAGTTGGACACGAAGAGGTGGGCCGTGAAGACCGAGTCGCGTGGGTCTTTGACGTACTTGCAGAAGCGCGACCGCAACCGCTCGCCCTTGCGCAAGACGGCGCCCTTGGCGATGAGGTCTGTGTCGCGACGTGCGTCAGACTCGTCGAGACGAGGCATACAGAGGAAGAGAGGAAGGGCGAGACGCACAGCTGAGGCGGTTCTCGCAGACGACCGTGCCGCCGTCGTTGGCCCGCACGAACTCGGGTCGGCGCCAGTTGTCCTCCTCCTCGGCCGGCAGCTTGCTCTTCATGCAGTAGCTCCTTGGCGAGATGACGCTCGACACGGCGACCTTGCCCATGCGCAGGCCGAGCCCGTACCGTGCCGCGCCTCGAAGCGTGGCCGTGTCGCAGTCCTGCGGCCGCACGATGACGGGCACGGCGGCGCCGAACGCTCGCCGGACTCGAGTGTACAGGTACTCGGATGCGGCGAAACCGCCGACGAGGATGATGGCGTCGAGCGACGTGTGGCCGATCTTGGCGATCTGGGTCGACAGGAGGGCGAGCACTTGCTCTGCAGGCGAGGGGCCGCCCGCGACGAGTCAGTGACGGCGCAAGGGGTCCGAGACTGAGAGAGAGAGAGACAGCAGGCGACGCACCGATGACGGGATCAAAAACCTCGGTCTTGAGCACCCTTCCAGGGATGGCGAGCTCGCCGAACTCGAGGCCAACGTCCGGGTCGTGCGAGTCCTCGACGTTGAAGCAGTTGAAGCGGAAGATGGCGTCTGCGTGTCGGCGAGAGTCAGTATGTGGTCGTCTGAGGGGAGGAGAGAGAGAGAGAGAGAGAGAGAGAGAGAGAGAGAGGCGGGCGCACCGTCGTCCTCCTTCGTCCCGTGGTAGGCGAGCTTGTCGCCCTCGGCGAACGCGTGGATGAACGTGGCCATGGATGCCGGCTCGAGGTGTACAGGGTGGTCCTTGAGGCTGCAGGGGCGAGACGGCGGTGAGCTCGAGACCGAGGTCGTCTCGGCGAGAGAGAAAGAAAGAGAGAGAGAGAGACGCACATCCGCCGCAAGAGCTCCTCGAACTTGAGGTCGACGAACAGGCTGCCCGTGTTGGCGCCGCTGCGCACGCACATCTCGGCGATCTCGAGCTCCGAGAGCTGGCCCATGAGCTTGTACACGGCCGTGTCGACCGTACCGCCGCCGGCGTCGCACAGGAGGAACGACTGGGACGGGCGCAGGTGATGCAGCGTCGCGAGGGTCGAGGCGTGGATGGCGCCTGCTTCAGGCTCGCTGTGAGACGTGCGGGAAGGAGTGTCAGGAAAACGAGGCGGGGCAAACCACGAGTCGGCGAGGGAGCCGACCTCGCGAGGAGACAGGCGAGAGCGGGACGCACGTGATGATGTGCAGTCGGTCCCTCCACGCCGTGTCACCACCTCGCGAGCTCTGGACGAGGCCCGCTCGGATCGCGCTCTCGCGCATGAGCGAACAGGCGGCGGCGTCCCAGGCGGCAGGGACGGTGAGGAGGACGTCGGCGGCATCTGCAGGACAGGCGCAGCGTCAATGTCCTTGCCCGTCACGAAGCTCCACAGGTACAGCGCCTGAGTAGGCGCCGCACCAGGTCGGGAGGAGCAAGGACGCACTGAGGTCGACGACGCTGCCGATTTCCTCGGTAATCATCCTCTTGGCGTACCGCCAGGCGCAGCGCAGAAAGTCGGCGATGACGTCGACGACGTTCTTGCCGACGGGGAGCGGCGGCAGCCACGGGTCGGGGACGCCGCTGCGGAGCGACTCGGGCGACAACAGGAGCTTGAACCACTCGCACCTGCAGAGGGAGGGCGGTCAGTCGATACCACCCATACATAGCTCGTGACTCCTAAAAAGTCGCCGAGCAAGGCGACAGAGAAAGACGAGCCGACGCACTTGATCTGGCCCTTGGCGACCGACGCGTTCTTGGCCTCGAGTCCCCAGCTAACGATCTTGGCCTCCTCCTCCGGATCGTGCTGCTCGTACAGGATGCAGGTCGGCACCTTGCGGTACGTCTCGTACGAGCCGGGCCACGACAGGATCTGGCGGATCTGGCCGCTGAACAGGCGCGACGAGCCGTAGGCGATGCCGGAGAAGGTCGTGCTGCGAGCGAGGACGAGATTGAGTCAGTTCACGGCGTCGAGCATGTCCTACCGACGTTCGACGCGACTGCGCAACCGGCGGACGACGGGGCGAGGGGACCGAGCCGACGTACCCAAAGTCGATCCCAACGCTGAGCTTGCCCTCCTCTGGCTCCTTGCCCTTGCCGCCCGGCTGCCCCTGCGCCGCACCTGCTCCCGCACTTGGTCCTGCTCCTGCGCCCGCCGCCGGCGCGTTCCGCGCCCGCTCGGCCTCGCGCGCTCGTTCCCGCTCGCGCTCGAGCGCCATGTTGCGCGCGACGGCGGCCGCCGCCGGCGACGACGTCGGCGATGCCGGGCCCGAGAAGGGCATCGGGCCGAACGAGGGCGTGTGCGAGGCGTGCGCCGGCCCAGGTGGTGGCGGCGGCGGGCCGTAGTAGGGATAGGGCGGCATGGGCGGTACGGGCGGCGGCGGCGGTGGTGCCCGAGACGACGCAGCCGAGCGGATGCTGCCCGTGCGGGCGAAGGAAGCCTGCGAGGCCGAGGGAGGAAGGCGCGCCGAGGACGGCGCGAGGGTGCGCGAGGTCCAGGGAGGCGAGGAGGGACCTGCTCGAGGCGGGCCGTGAGGCGGGTAGGGGGGTGCGCCCGGATGGCCGTACGGCGGGTAGGGGTAGGGATAGGGAGGATATGGGTACGGGTACGGGTAGCCTTGCGCGGCGGCGGGAGGCGGAGGAGGGTAGCCAGGGTAGCCGTAGGGAGGGTAGGGAGGGTACGGGGCTGGCGGCATGGGCGGTGGAGGAGCTGGCGCCGCCGTCGACCGAGACCGAGCACGCGACGAGGCCAGGGAAGGCGGGCGCAAAGACGGCGGCCGTGGCGGCCCGGCGCCTGGCGGGAGCGAGCCCGTCCTCGCCGACGAGCCCGAGACGTTGCGCTGCTGCTGCTGGGCGTGCGACTCGCCCTGGCCCGGCAGCCGCGACGGCCCTGCGCCTCGCGACGCCTCGGTCTCGTACGTGCCGCCGGCGCCGCTGCCACGCGACTTGAAGCTCTGCGGGCTCGCCATGCCGTGCGAGTGCTGCCGTTTCGGCTGGCTCGCCGTGTACGGGTAGTAGTGGGCGGCGGACGTGGGCGTGTTGGGCGAGGTAGGCGAGGTCGACGTGCCCGTCGTGGTGGGTGCGGCGGAGGACGAGGGCGGAGCGGAAGGGGTGAGGCCGGGGTGCGAGTGGGGAGACGGCGACGACGACGAGGGGCGCGCCGACCCGGCGCCGTACGACGACGACGACGACGGCTCGCCGTACATGCCGTGCTCGGGCGGGGCGAGGTACTGGCCGTGTCGGCGGTGGCCCGCTGCTGCTGCCGCCGGGTCGACGCCGTTCGGCACCTCGACGAGGGCCGGCTTGCGCTTGTCGCGCCTGCCGAGGCCGAGGCCAGCGACCTGGAGCTTGGCGAGGCCGTGGAACCGGCCCTTCTTGGCCGTCGCGGCGGGTTCTGGTGCGGGCACGGGCGGTGGAGCGGCCGCGCCGTCGCTCGACGAGGGGGTCATCGCCGACGAGGGCGCGCGGCTCTTTGACGGGTCGCGCTTGGACGAGGCGCGCACGATGTGCTGGTACGAGCTCATGGTCGGCAGAGCTGCGGGCCCTCGTGAGGCGGTCGGGCGGGCGAGGAGGGCGTGCGGCCGGGGTTGGTGGTGAGGCGGCTCGGCGACGAGGAGAAGGGTTGGCGCTCGAGCTGGCCGGGCGAGGCTGGCGCGTGTGGCGAGCCTGCGAGGGCTGGCGGGTGCTCTGCGCTGGCAGTCGAGTGCAACGGTGCGAGTGGGCGACGGTGGGCGGTGGGCGGAGGCTCACAGGGTGCCGAGGTGCGCGCGACTCGAGGCGGGCGGGCGGCGGCCTCTCGATCACGTCTCGGGATCAGAGCAACTTGCGCTCGCGCGCGCGCTGCTCGCTCGACTGGACTGCGCGCACTGTACTGCAGCACCTGAAGCTCGTGAGCCCGGACCCTGCAAGCGACCCGCGAGAGAAAGCCCCCGCTCGCCTTCGCCTCCTCGTCGTCGCCGGTCGCTCACGCGCACACGCGCGCACGGGACGCCGCGCGCACTCCGACCGTCAAGCGGCGGACCCCTGCGACCGTCCACGCCTGACCAACTCTCCGCGTCCCCGCCTGCAAGCTTGGCTCGATCCTCCCTCAGTCCGACCGTCGAGCGCACGAACCCCTCTCCTCCGTTCGTCGCACCCGACCTCGCAACGAGCTGCGCGCGTCAACGGCAGAACGAGGGTGGGCTTGATCCGAGCGACGACGCAATCAACCTTGCCTCTGAGACCGTTTCGCGTCCACGCCCGGAGAGAGAAGTGCGGGCCTCCCTCTTGCGCAGCTCGACACGAAAGCCCCGCTCCGAGCTTCCTCCTCGCCGCCGCCCTCGCACCCGGGGACGGTCCCTGCCAATCGGCGCACTCTTGAGCTCTCGCGCGAAGCGCCGCCGCTGCGATCGCGCCGCGTTGTCATGTACGCTTCGCTGCCGTCGTCCTCCCGCCGGTTCGAGCGCCCTCGCTCGAAGGGCTGAGGACGCAGACAGGCTTCTGACTACACGGGTGCGTACTACTTGAGGTGAAGCGATCGATCGCACTCGGACGTGCGAGGTTCTCGCGCCTCGAACGTGCCGCTCGCGCTCGTCGCAGGTTGCGTTTGAGAAGGTCGTCGTCGCGGCGTTTCTCGAGGAGGTTCTGCGTACGCAGCTTGAGAGGCCTTACTCTGTGAGCTTTGCAGCGTGACGAGAGGCTTGAGAGGCGGTACACAAGCGTCGGTCGCTGCGCAGCGAGCCGAGCAGAGACAGCCCGCACGGTCCTCGACCTTCTCAAACTCAGGTTCTCGACGCTCTCGCACCTGCAGCGGGCTCGGGGCATACCTGCTCGACTCGATCGAGCGCTACGTCGTGTTCAGACTGAGCTCAACGGCGAATGCACTCGACGGCGAGCGCCACGGCCAGTCGTGCTTCTTCTCCTCGGCCCGCTCGGCACGTCCGCTGCGACGGTTCGCCGACACCCGCTTGAGCGGGCACATATCTGAGCGCTCTCTAGTAGCGGCTCCTGACCGGGAAGCGAGACGGGTGTACGTCTCTCCTCTCCTCCTTCTGCCGCTCCCTCGCTTCCTTGAGCCGTTCTTGACGCTCACTCGGTCACGCGTGTGCACAGGCTTGGCCAAGGGGGCAACGGAGCTCGCGTTCTCGAGCCTTCAAGACTGTAACGCGAGCGGCCTGACCGGGTCCCGTCCACCTCCTCGTCCGCGAGAGGCTCGTGCGCGACTGGATCGACCAAGAGCATGTCTCTCTCCCGACGAGGCGCGGTCTCTCTCGCTCTCTCTGCTTCTCTCGATAACGACAGCCTCGTCGACTGAGAAGGTGACTAAAGGTATCCTGTTTCAAGCGCTGCAAGCGACCGAGCACACGAGAAGGTGCGCCGGCCGCAGACCCTGGTCGAGCGCACCGCCGACGACCACCTCTTCTCCTTTGGGGAATCACTATGCACAAGCGACGAGTCGCTGTTTACCAGCAGAGGTAGCCCTGCGAGAGTGAGAGAGAAAGAGTCAGTGTCGGCGAGAGAGGGAGAGAGCGACCGGGACGAGAAGGTCCGCTCGACGACGAGGGAGAGAGGAAGGTGGACGCACGCCGTCGATGTAGACGCTCGAGCCAGTCTGGTACGACGAGTACGGGCTGAGGAGGTACGCGACCTGGCCCGCCTGCTCCCAGGGCTTGGAGAAGCGGCCGAGGGGGACCTCCTTGCACTGGTTCTCGCGGAGGGTGGCGTCCATGTGCATCGTCTGGTCGGTCTCGATGAAGCCCGGGTTGACGTTGTTGACGCGGATCTGCACAAGGAGAGAAGAGTCAGGGAATCGCTCTCGAAGAGCCTGAGAGAAGGGGAGGAAGGGGACGCACGCCGTGGGGAGCCCACTCGGTGGCGAGGCAGCGGGTGAGGTTCGAGACGGCGCCCTTCGACGAATTGTAGAAGGCCTGCACGAGAGAGAGAGGGCAAGTCAGGACGGCGAGTTCTGGCGAGGACCAGTCGAGGCGGCTCGACAGCTCGAGGCGGCGAGACGCACCTGGGTGATCGGGCTGTTGACGATGGTGTCCGACATCGACGAGATGACGACGATCGAGCCACCCTGCTTGCGCTCAGTCCAGAGGCTGCACGAGGAGAGGAAGAAAGAAGGTCAGTCGGGTCGTCTTTGGGTCGCGCTCGAACGAGGAGAGGAGGGTGGGACGCACGCAGCGGCAGCCTGGGCAGTGTTGAAGACGCCGAAGACGTTGACGCCAAAGACCTTGTCAAAGTCCTCCTTGCCGAGCTCGAGGGCGCTCTTGACGACCGAGATACCCGAGTTGGCGACGACGCCGTGGATCGGGCCGAGGTCCTTCTCGATCTGGGCGAACGTCGACTTGACCTTGTCCGCCTCCGAGACGTTGGCCTGGTACGCCTTAATCGTCTGGCCCCACTTCTTCGAGAGGCGCTCAGCAACCTCCTCGGCGTCCTTGGCCGAGTTGTAGATGATGGCTGCGGGGGAGGACAAGGAGGGAGGGACGCGCAGAACGTCAGTACACATTCTCTAGAGGCGGCAGACTGTGCTGGTGGGCAAGAGAAAGGCGGGCGGAGCGACGCCGCAGGGAGGAAGAGGGACACGAGGCGCCCTCGCCCGACGTCCGGCCGCACCGCCGCCGCTTCCTCGCCCGCGCTCGACCGCATCAGAGAGGGAGAGTGGACGCACCGACGGTCGCGTTGGCGTTGGCGAGGGCCTCGGTGATCGAGATTCCGAGACCGCGCTGTTGGGGTTTGAGAAGGTCGAGGTCAGCGCTCGCTCGCTCGAGCCATGCGCCAGAGCACAAGGGGAAGTGGGACGCACGTTGCCGCCAGTGACGACGTAAACCTGCAGGACGAGGGGGACGAAAGGAAGGGTGATCGGGGCATCGTCAGTGCCAGCTTCTCGCCGAAGAGGGGAAGAGGAGGTGGGGAGGTCGTCGAGCGCTGCAGGACGCTGCGCTCGCATCGAGGGCGTGCGCGCTCGAACAGGGGACACTCGAGAGAGGGAGGAGAGGTGCTCACCTTCTTCTCAAAGTCGATGGTGAAGCCAGTGCCCTTGGGCTGGGCAAAGTGGTCGGCCGGGGCGGGCGCCGACGACGTGATCTTGGTGGCCTGGGTAGCGGTGGAGGGCGACATGGTTGCGGGAGGAGGAAAGCTTTGCAGAGAGGTGGAAGCTTGGAAAGTGAAGAGAGAGGGAGAGAGGGAGAAGTGGCCGAGGTGCAGCCAGCTCGAGAGCCGAGCGACGAGGGTTCGGCCGCTCACTTGTGTGGGGGAGGCCGCTTGCGCTGACGCGGAATCTAAACGGCATCGCGCTTCGTTTTTCTCGCTCGCGCTTGCTCTCCCTGGAGCACCTCTCGCTTCTCCAGCCCGAGTCGAAGCGGGCCCGTGCACCTGGCCACCTGGCCCCGCCTCACCACCGTCACCAGCTCGGCAAGTCGGTCAACTCTGCTGAGCTCAACGTCGAAGAGAAAAGAGATCGCCGTGAACCAGAGAGAGCTCGGCGTCGAGAAAGCCGCGTCCGCGCGAGGTCCGCGGCGATGAGAGTGAGGAGGAGAGCGCGAGCGATCAGCTCTTCCCCTCGCTCGTCGTCGTCCAGAGTTTCACCCAGCGAGCACTCGCTAGGCCGCACCTCAGCATGGCGCCTCCTCCACCGCCACCACCGCCCCGCTCGACCAAGCCCGCCCCGCCCAAAGCCACCACGTCGGCTCCCTCGACCCCCTCGACGCCGCCCTCTCCCTCTCGCCCGGGCACCCCGTCCAGCACAGCCGGCGCACGCGCACCCAAGGCGCAGACGCTCGCGCTCCCCGCCCTCCTGCACGACCTCTCGACGCTCCTCTCGCACCCAACCCCGCTCCTCTCCGCCGACAAGTTCGCCCCGGCCCCACCGCCCGAGGACGCCTACGCGCCGCGCAAGCCTGCGCAGGACCCGCAACAGCGCGCGCAAGAGCTCCTCGCCGGCGTGCGCGCGGGCACGATCGGCCCGGACGAGCAGCTCGCGCGCGAGGACGCTCCGCTGCTCGCCGACGCGTGGGTCGCCGCCATGGACCGCGTCCTGAGCCGCGCAGAGACGCACGACGCGCAGCGGGCGGGCGAGGGCGTCGTTGACCGGGCGGACGAGGTCGAGCGGTGGGCGGGCGAGGTCGAGCGCGGGTTGGCGCAGGCGGCGTGAGGCGGTCGTCGAGCAGGACGAGGTCGCTGGACGACCCTCTCGTCATGAGCTCGAGCCGAGACGTCCCACCTTCCCGCCGAGGTCGGGTGCGGCGGACGGAGCGCGGAACGGGCAGCAGAACGGCCGCAGGACGAGCGCTCAAGGCGCCTTCTCTCGGGCCCGGCGGCCAAGACGGCGCGCTGGTCGCGCCACTTTGTAGCCCGAGGAGTGCAACGTGTTTTGGCGGTCACTCATCACGGTCTCAAGCATGCCGCTCGAGCGAGCGCACCCTCGAGAGCCGACCGAGAGCGCGCGAGCTTCAAGGAACTTGGTCTCTCGCTCCCTTGCGCTCGCTCGCTCCCACGCCGAGAGAAGATGAAAGTGTGACGACAGGATCGTGGCATTACAGGCTCGTGATTAAGGTGCGGCTCGGGGTAAAGGGATGCGGCGCGCATGCGCGAGAGGGAGGTGAGGTGGTCGGCTAGGCTTGCGGCCGCGCTCACAGCAGCATGTCGCAGCACATCTCCTCTGTGGATCGCGGAAGATAGAGTCAGGTTCACGGTGCGTGCGAGAGAGGAAGAAGAGGCCGAGAGAGGGGAGAGGAGAGGCAGAGAGAGGGAAGGAAAGAGGGAAACGGCGGGGACGCACCTGCACAGCAGCACAAGCAGGCACCGGCCAAGCATGCACAGCAGCCCGTAGCTGCCCCTGCGCCGCCGCTGCTCTTCTGCGGCTGCTGGACATAGACCTGCAGGAGAAAGAGTCGGTCAGCGAACATGGTCGCGCAAAGCGCTGCCGCCGCGAAAGCCGAGCTCGTTCGCTGTCGCGCCGCGCACAGCCCGGCACCTGCCTCGAGAGGGCCAGAAGGAGGGAACAGACCTGAGGCTGCATCTGCGGCTGGCCGTAGCCCGGCTGCGCGCCGTACCCTCCTCCTCCGTACGCCATGGGCGGCTGTTGCGGCGGGTAGTAGCCCTGCTGCGGCCCGCCGTACCCCTGCTGCTGCGGGTAACCCTGCTGCTGCTGCTGCCCGCCGCCGCCGAACAAGCCGCGGTCCTGCTGCGCGCCGCCAGGAGGAGGTGCGCCGTACTGGCTCTGCTGCGGGTAGCCGCCCTGCTCCGGCTGCTGGCCGTAGCCCTGCGGCTGGTAGTACTCCTGCGTGCGTGCGGGCAGGCGAGGTCAGTGGGCCGATTGGCGGCGGGCGACCTAAATGTGGGCGGCGACGAGGGCGGGGCGGAGGAGGACGAGGCGGCGCACCTTTGCGGCCATTGTCGGGTGCGCGGGCAAGTGAGAGGGTGCTGGAGGCGGTGCGAGTCGTCGGCTTGTAGCTGGAGCGAGAGCAGGGGGAGCAAGAGCGGGCGAGACTCGTCGACTTGATCTGCCTCCTCGTGGAGTGTCGCCCTGCTCGCAGTCGGCTGGCTCGCTCGCCCGCGTCGCTCGAGCTTCAGCCTGCAAGCTGCGAGCTCTTCGATACACTCTGGCCGCCTCTGTGTGCAGCGCACGCCTCGTTCTCTCACACTGCCTCCGCTCACGGGCCTCGACCACTCGCCCGCGTCGCTCGCGCAAGCTTTCGTGGCGCAAACGAGAGGGAGCATCCTCTCGAGAGGCTCGACGTGAACACTGCCGTCGCGCCGAGAGAAGGGTGCGCGTCGTTGCTGCTGCGGGAAAGGTACAAGGCGAGCCGGAGAGCCCGCTCCGCTCGTGCTTCGAGAGGTCCAAACACCTTTACTCGCTCGCCCAGTCCGGCCGCAAGCGCTTGTAGTCGCTCGTGCAGCTGTACCAGTGCGACTCTGCGGACGACGGGAGGCAGAAGCATCAGTTGCGGCTCAGGAGGAACGGGGAAGAGGAGGGGGAGGGAGGCGAGGACGCACCGAACGCGTTCGGGTCCTGCGGGTTGCACGCGCACCGGTCGGCCGCGTTTGTCGGACAGTGCAGGAAGGGCGGGTGCTTGTCTGTAAGCAGGAGAAGGGTCAGGGTCGGCTGGCGAGGGGCGAGAAAGGGAGAGAGGGGCGCACAGCCGATGCTGCGAGGGACGGCGACGACGACCGAGAGTCAGCTACACGCTCGTCGATGACGAGCAGCAGACAAAGAGAACGGTAGAGGAAAGGGCGAGGACGCACTCGTGGAACCAGTGGATCTCCTCGGGCTTGAGGAAGAGCGCGGCCGCGATCGAGTGGACGGGCGCGTCGCCCCACCGCTCGTAGCTGAAGCCGCCGGCGCGATCGAGGTGCTCAAAGTACTTGGTGTACGCCTCGGACCGGAAAAAGGCGAGCGAGCCGATCTCAAAGTTGGACCTGCGCCGGCGCGAGAGGGTCAGTGCTGGCGGCGACGAGGGGAACGACGCATCGAGGAGCGCACCAGAAGTGGCAGCGGTTGTAGTCGCCCTTGTCGTTGGTGATCCAGCCGAGCATGTTGGGCGACGCGAGGTACTCGGGGTGCGCGTCGGTGAACTCTGCGAGGGAGAGAGGCTGTCAGGGCGACGCGAGGGGGAGGAGGCTAAAGGAGGAGGAGGGACGCACCCTTGGTCGTCTTCCACAGCGTCGGGATCGTCGCCTCGTACTCGTACAGGGATCTGGGAGGGAGGGAGAGAGAGGGTCAGGACGGTGTCGCGACGAGGGAGAAGAGGCAGACAAGGAGGGCTCGAGACGCACACGGTCCAGCCGTACTTCTTGCCGTTCTCGTGCATGTACATGAAAGGGTCGTAGTCGATGTCGCAGACTGTGAGACAGACAAGGGCGTAGGTGAGCGACTGGGCTCCGAGCGACGCCCGAGAGCGAGCCGACGACGAGGTCGAGGGACAGAGCGGGCCGATGACGAAGGGGGAGGGCGAGGAGGCAACGCGGGACGCACAGAACTCGACCGAGGGCTCGATGCGCCAGTAGTAGTCGTAGTCGGCGAGGAGGTCGTGCTGGAAGACGGCCCACGACTGGTATCGACCTGCGAGGGGCAGCCGGGATCAGTCCGACTGTGACGCCGACGACAACGAGCACAAAGAGGAGGGCGAGAGGGACGCACACATGCGGCGATAAGTCCGAGAGTCGCCGTAGATGACCTTGTTGTCGGCCATCTTCTGCCGCTCGACGGCCGCCTTGTCCTCGTCGATCCACTGCGGCTCCTCCCACTGCTCCTTGGGGACGAGGCCGTACGAGCACGGGCCCGAGGCAATTCCGGACGTGTGGCGCTTGAAGTCGTCGTCGAAGGGCTGGTCGTTGAGGAAGACGTAGGGGTAGTGGTACTTGCGGTTGAAGCGGTCTGGGGCGACGACGAGACGGGGTCAGTCGGCGACGACGAGGACGTCGACAGGGGGAGAGTTTGCGACGTACCCTCGATGCCGCGAATGCTCTTGAGGATCTCCCACACGTCGCTGTTGCGGGCGAGGATGACGAAGGCGGCGTTGGCCCGAGTCGAGTTGAGCTGCGGCGAGGGAACCGAAGATGAGGTCAGCACGGACGACGGGTGCGCCTCAAGAGGGAGGGAGAGTGGGACACTCACGTCGCCCTCAGGTGCCCGGTCGTGCGAGCCGACAGCTGTGGCAGTGCTCGTCGCGGCGGGGCGGTGGTCGACGAGGGCCATGCCGTCCGAGCCGAGGCCGAGTTTCGACTTGAGCGAGTCGACGCTGGCGTGTCGGGCGTACGTGTCCGAGTTGTGCACGGCTGCGAGGTGCACGACGACGAACAAGGCGGCGAGGCCTGCGGCGAGGTACCGGAGCGGGGGGAGCCGCAGCGCAGGGCGGGACGACATGGCGGGTCGGCGGGTGGCTGTGGCGTGGTCGCAGGTGCTCGTCAGGGTGCACGAGTGGCTGCTTGAGTCTGGTGCAGAGCGAGAGCGGCGAGGAGGTGCCTCGCAGCTGCGTCTCCACCTCGTCGACCTCTCGGCTCTCGATCTCGCTCTCACCGCCGCGAGGCACAGCTGCTAGCGCACTCGAGCCCTCGCAATCGGCCTCAGCACCTCCACCGCGCTGTCCCGTCCTCGACCGCGCCACCCTCGACCACCGCTCAATCCTCATCAGTTGCTCGCCTCGGGACCTCGTCCACCTCGACACAGCTCTCGCACGGCAGCGCAGTACAGCTCGACATGACCACGCATTGATATTCGACACCTCCGCCCTCTACCGCCACCCCTGCGCCGCCACCCTCGCCCCCTCGTCCTCCTCCTCTGGCATCCCCGCCAACTCGCCCGGACCCGCACCTCCACCCGCGCCCTTCCTCCGCCCAAACAGGCTCCGGATCGTGCTCATCCGCTTCTCGCGCACCGCCAACCCTCCTCCTGCTCCACCTGCGCCCGCCGGTCCTCGCTCGACCGGCGGCGGCGAGTGCGCCGACGAGCCCGCCGCCGACGACGACCGGCTCCATGGCCGAGGGCTCGTCGCCTCGCCTGGCACGGGCGCCGACGATCCTGCTGAGCTCGAGCGCGCAGGAGGGCCGTAGCTCGTCGCCGCGTCCTGGAACGGGTGCGCCGCGGTCTGCGCGAACGGCGACGGGCCGAGCGACGCAAAGACGGGCGGCGTCGGTGGAGGTGGGAGCGCCTGCGCGCCGGCGGGCGAGAAGTACGACGAGGGCGGCTGGCCAGGTGCGGTCGACGGTGCGGCGTAGAAGGGCAGGAGCGGGCCGCCTGGGTGGAGCGAGGTGTAGAAGGCGGGCGACGAGACCGGGGCCTGGCTCGAGGACGGGATATAGGGCTGGTGGGCGACGTGCGGTAGAGGAGAGGGCGGCGCTGTAACGCGGTGGTCCACCTCGCTCGAGCTCGAGAGAAAAGGCCCGTCCGGCGCCGACGACGCGAACGAGGTACTGCCGCCCGGGTACGACACGCCGCTGCTCGCGCTCATGCTCGAGCTCGCCGTCATGGACCGTCCGAGGTACGGCTGTGTCGTCGACGCGTGAGCTCGCGCCGACGAGGAGGAGACGGGTGCAGTCGCGCCGCTCGAGCCGGCCCAGCTTGGCCGGCGGTGCTGCCCTGCTGCGGCGCCGGCGTGCTCGTGCGAGGTCGACGACGACGAGCCGAACGTCGCTGCGGGTGATGCAGGTATCGCGAGGTGCCGCTCCTCGAGCGACTTGAGCGTCTGCGACCGCGGCGCGAGGTCAGTTCGGCTCGGTCGAGGCATAAAGAGCGAGGCAGGGACGCACAATCTGCCCTACACCCGAGCTGTAGAAGCGGTGCGCCGGGCCGAGAGAGCCATGTCGAGCTCCCGCGGCCGGTCCAACGGGTCCGTGCGCGGGCGAGAGCGAGCGCGCGCTCGACGACGACGACGACGCGACGGCGCCCGGGTACAGCTCCGACCGGGTCGACGACGCGAGTGTCGCGTAGCGCACTGGATCTGGTCGAGCGTGCGGCGTCGGAAGGGGCGCAGAGTGTGCGGCGACGAAAGAAGGTCGAGAGGTGGGCGGGTGCGAGAAGTAGTCGTCGTAAGTGGGCGCGGCGAGGCGGTGGTCGGGGGGGCGTGAAAGAGGATACGCGGGCTCAGGAAGAGGGACAGGAGGGGGAGGAAGGCGGTAGGAGGCTGCCAACGGAGGAGGAGGCGCCGAGGCGAGGTCGTCGTCGAGGGAGGAAAGGTCCTTGCGGTCGACGAGCGGCAACATGCCACGCCCGTGCTCGTCTGGCGAGATCGGCGGCGGCGGCTCGTCGTCGTCCTCGTCCAGCTCATCGTCGTGCTCGAGCGCGCCCTTGCCCTTCTCCACCTCGCGCTCGCGCCGCCGCCTTTCTCCGTCTTCTCGCTCGCGCTCCTCCTGCTCGGCCCGCCTCGCGAGCGCCGCCTTGCTCGTCGCCGCGTCCTCCTCGACCGTACGTCGCGCCTCGTCGTTGACGTGCACGCGCACCTCGCTCACGGCAAGCGCGCGCTTGTCCTCGCCACCGCGCGCCTTTTCGTCGTCTCGCTCGACAACGCGCTTGGCGGTCGTGCCATTGCGGCGCAGCGCGCCTCGGGCGGGCGACGCCGGATAGTCGGGCAGGTCGGTCCCGGTCGGGCTCGTCGGGCTCACGAGCGAGTCGTCGTCTCGCTCGCCGACGCCTTTGCCCGCTCGGACCGCCGGCGACGATGACAGCGGGAGGAGCTCGTCGAGCCCCTGCGCTCGAGCGCGGGCCGCCGCCGTCTCCTCGGCGGCGGTCGGGACGTACTCGACTCGGCGAGCGTCGCCCTGCGCGCTCGTCGACGCCGTCGAAGGGGCAAAGGAAGGAGGTGCGTGCAGAGGGACGAAGCGCGGGCTTGTCGCGGGCGGTGCCGGAAGGGGCTTGCGGCGAGGCGTATCAGGGATGGAGGGATGCGAGTAGGCGGCGGGAAGAGGTGCTGGTGGAGGAGGGAGCGAGGGTCGGCCGGACGTAGTCGAGGTCGACGAGCGCGAGGTGACCGAGAGGGCTGAAGCGGTTCCGCGATCCTGGGGGTTGTCGCAAGACGACCCGTCGCTACTTGTGGTCGCAGTCGACGTCGATGCGCCGCGCGAGTGTGCCGCAAGGCCGAGGCGAGTCGGCGAAGGCGGCGAGCGGTGCTCGCTCCTCGACGAGCGGGTCGAGCCAGGCGACGGCGGCGCTAGCTCGGCGCCCGGCAGAGAGGCACAGTCGCTCGACGGCGACTGCATAGCAGCGAGTGGATGGAGCGAGAGGAGCGAGAGGCGCCGGATCTCGTACGAGGTGCGGACCGGAAAGTCCGCGAGCAGAGCGGACGGCCGGCTTGCTCTCTGTCGCTGCGGGGCGGACAGGGCGAATGATCGATCGCATGGCCCACGAGCCATCGGGAGCGGCGGCGCGCGCGAGAGAGAGAGAGGGTGGCGAGACGACGAGAAGGAGGGAAAGGGGTATCATTGCGAGGTGCGAACGTGCTCAAACAAGAGGGACGACGAGGTATAGACTCGAGGGGAAGAGGGGACGAGAAGGGAGGGTATGGACGACGAGACGAGCGCAAAGAGGCGCGCTCACTGCACCGAGTGTGCGCCGCTGCTCGCGCCGACCGAGCCGTTCGGGACCGGCGACGCTGTGGTGCGGGCGTGGGTGCTGACGCCGTGTGCAGCGAGCGCGCATCTGCAAGGGACGAAAAGTCAGGTCGACTCGTGTAGAAGGACGGCCGAGGCGAGAAGGAGAGCGAGGCGGCGAGACGCACTCGCAGATGACCTGGGCCCGCCGCACGACGAGCGTCCTCGTCTCGCGCTTCTTGGTCGGCGCCGTCTGGACGCCTGGGAGGCCATGCCGGATCGTGATCTGCGGCACGGGCGTCGTGTCGATGGCCGTCTCCTTGACGAGGCCCGGGAACAGGCACGCGCCGACTCGCTCGGGTTCACCTGCGCGCTCCATCATGAACCCCGAAGGTCAGTACGCTCGTGTACACGAGAGACGGGCCACAGGCAAAGGTGCGGCGGCGCACCTCGCTCGGTCCGGTAGCACTTCTTGATGAGCTCTGTCGAGAGGAGAGATGGGTCAGGCTCAAGGTCCGGGACGAGGACGATGCAGGAGAAAGGGGGACGCACCAAGTTGCGTCGGGTCGAGTGGCGCGCCGACCTGGCACACGAAGCTGCGGTAGAAGCCGCTGCCCTCGAGCGCGCCGCCGGGCGAGTAGCTCTTGTGGAGCATGCGCGAGTACAGGTAGCTCGCGTCGAGGACGGCCTCGAGCTCAGGCGCGATCGTCGACGGGTCCGGGTTGATGAGCGAGAAGACGTGCGCCATGTGCTCGCGGAAGAGCGAGAGCGACATCTCGGGGTCGAGCGAGTCGACGGCGGCCGAGAAGGTTTGCCGCCGCCACACCGAGGCGACAAGAGGTTCACCTGCACGCCCAGTCGTCAGTGATACATTGGTGGGAGGCGACAGAGAGAGAGAGAGAGAGAGAGAGACAGGGGCGCACGGTGGAAGAGCTGCTCGTGCAGCTTGGTGAGTTCCCTGTCGCGGCGAGCAAGGGGTCAGTCCACGAACGAGAAGGGGGGACTGCGAGGGACGCACTGGTTGGCGTCCTCCGAATTTGTGACGAGAAGCTTGTTGACGATGCCGTCGCACAGGAGCTGGCTCATGACGTGCCGCAGCAGGCTCTGGACGACGATGCCGAGGCCCGGGTAGTCGAAGCCCATCTGGCTCAGGCCGACGAGGAACGGCGACGCGGCGACGTTGTCGACGTCGCGGAACAGGGCCTCGGCGAGAGGTACGAGGGCGAGGTGCTGGAACGAGGCGGCATCGGTGCCTGGCGGGGGAGGAGGCGCTGCTCGAAGGTGCGCCGCGAGCGTGTCGGCGGCCCACCGGTTGATGCGGCGCTCGAGCGACGAGGACGAGTTCTTGATCGTGAACTGTGGACGTCGTGTGAGTCAGTAAGGCTGCGACGAGCGTGCAAGAACGAGGAGGCGAGGGAGTCGAGGACGTACGTCGTCGACCGTACTTCCTCCACCACCTCCAGCCGAGTGGACGCCGACGACGGTTGCGCCGCCCGAGTCGCCGCCCTCGAGGAGCATAATGTGCTTGCGCAGAGCCGCGTTCTGCAGGCGGGCGAGCGGGTGAGTCTTGCTCGAGGGGGACGAGGAGGTGGGGGCAAGACGGGACGGACCTGCTTCTCCTGCTCGAGCATGGCCGAGCGCTGCTCTTCGATGCGCAAGTGCGCGAGCTTGTAGTTCTTGAGCAGCCGGCTGTGGACGGCAGAAGGGTCAGGGCGGCGTTCGCGAGGAGGAGGAGGAGGGGAGGGGGGACGACCGACGCACTTGTACTCTTCATCGCCGACGAGTTGTTGCTGCTGTACGACCGAGTACGAGTCCTGGTGATTGAGGATGGCCTGCATCGAGTTCTGCTGGTGCGCCTGGCCGGGTTGAGCCTGGCTCGAGGGCTGGTACTGGAACGACTGCGAGAGGGGGGCCGCGAGTGGCGGGTGAGCAGGGTCGCGGGCGGCAGGAGGTGTCTTGGTGCGAGTTGACGCACCTGTGCATGGTAGGCCATGGTCGCTCGGCAAGTGCGACGAGTCGGGCGAGGGGCGCAAGCGGGCAAGCCGGGGCGGAGCGAGGGAGGACGCGGTGCTGGCGCGATGCGACTCGGGTCGGGTACGAGGGAGGGGCAGGGTGCAGCTGGAAGTGCCCAGGGTGCAGCCGAGCTCGTCGGGCGAGGTTGGGGCGAGCGGGACGAGGTCAAGCTGGACCTCTGGCCGGTTCGCTCCTCCTGGCCACCACCCTGCTGCCCCCTCGCCCCTGTGCGCCGCGCGCTCAGATCCGGGCACCTCGCAAGAGCCTCTAGCTCGCCAACCATCAAGACACGCCCTCCCGCCGTCTCTGCTCGCTTCAACGCCATCGCCGACCCGACTTCATCAAAGTCGAGCTCTCTTCTTCAGCAAAGGTGCGCACCTCGCCAGAATCACCACCAGAGCCTCAACTGACACAACGCGTCCCCACAGCCACGCGCTCGAGCGGCACGACCTCTCGCCGCCATGTCCTCTCCGTCCCTCGCCTCGCCGCCCGACCGACCCGTCCCTCCAGCGCCCGCACCTGCACCTGAACCGCCTCCAGCACCACCCACAGCATCGACGCCCCCTTCATCGGTCGACGACGAGGTCGATCTGTCGACCCTGCGGTTCCTGCGCACCTCGCTCCGCACCCCGTACCTCCCCTACCTCGTCCGCATCTCGCTCTTCACCCTCGCCGCCAAACTCGTCCGCGTTCTCGCCCCGCCCCTCCTCCGCTTTATCGCCCGCCTCTCGTCGTGGGCCTGGACCGCCCTCACCGCCGTCGTGCGCTTCGCCGCGTGGAGCGGCATGTGGCTCGGCCTCGCCGCCCTCGCCCTGTGGCTCCTCGTCGGCGCAGGCGGCGCCCTCGTCTACGTCGCCCTGTCGCTCAAGCCCCGCGTCCGAGCCTGGGCCCGAGCGAGCCCCGGGCAGGCGCGCCTCGCCCAAAAGGCCGTCACGTACGGCGGCGCGTGGGTCGTCGCACGCCGGGCTCTCGGCGCATGGGCCGGCAAGGTCGTCGTCGCCCTCTACGCCGCGTGGGAGGCGTGGGCGTTCTTTGGCGGCGGGCGACGAGTGGTACCACCCGTCGCCGTCGCCGTCGAGCAGGTCGGCGTCGGGTCGTCGGCATCTCGCTCGCCCGAGGTCAAGTCGAGCGAGCGGGAGCATGGCGGCGGCGCAGGAGTCGCAGCGGATGGTGCGGGCCAGGAGGGAGCTGCCGAGGAAGGCGTCGACGACGAGGAGCTTGAGCGGTGGGCGCGGCAGGCCAAGGAGTCTCTCCTGCGCGACAGCCTCCTGCGGCAGGGGCGCAAGGCGGGCGGCGGCGCTGCACGAGCAGGGTCCGAAGAAGGACACGAGGAGCACGGCGAGGGTGCAGGCGCGCACCCGGAGGTGGCCGACGACGACGATGAGCGAGGGAGGAGCGGTCCGGGCGGCGCGAGGTGAGCCAGTCGCGGAGCGTCCGGACGTCGCCGCGCCGTGCAACACGACGAGATAGACCCAGCACGCAGGCGAGAGTTGAGCAGCGAGCAGATTGTGAGGGCCTGCGCCCTCGAGAGCGAGGCCGGCGGCGTGCCTTCGGCTCCACGGCGCAGAGTGGAGGCGCTCCTTGCTCGCTCTCCTCCTCATCCACCACACGCACTAGGCCATGCCTGCTGTCCCGACCGACTCTCTCGTGCTCCTCACCGGTGCCTCGGGCTACCTTGCCGTCCGTGCGTCCCCTGCTTTCCCTCCTCCCCTCTCCCCCTCGCTCGTCATCACCCGGCTCACCCCCACTTCCCTCTGCAGACGTCCTCAAGCAGCTCCTCGAGCGTGGCTTCCGCGTCCGCGGCACCGTCCGCAGCCAGGACAAGGGCGACTACCTCAAGCAGCTCCTCGCCAAGGACGGCCTCGACTCCAGGTTCGAGGTTGCCATCGTCGAGGACGTCGAGAAGGTGCGCCCCTCTCTCCCTTGCCCCTCGCCGAGATCTTCGAGCTGACCCGCCCTCGAGTACCTACAGCCTGGTGCCTTCGACGAGGCTGTCAAGGGCGTCGACGCCGTCGTCCACACCGGTCCGTCCCTCCTCCCTCTCCTCGGCTCCTCTCCCTCCCTCCTCGCGATCGCTGACCTAAACTTGGGCCCGCTCTGCAGCTTCGCCGTTCCACTTCAACGTGACCAAGGCCGACGAGCTCATCGGCCCGGCCGTTCAGGGCACCCTGTCCGCCCTCCAGGCCGCAAAGAAGGAGCCCAAGGTCAAGCGCGTCGTCATCACGGCCAGCTTTGCGTGCATCGTCGAGCCCAAGGAGCCCGTCTACACGTTCACCGAGCGCGACTGGAACGAGTTCTCGCCCAACGAGGTCAAGACCAAGGGCGACAAGGCCGACCCGAGCCAGATGTACCGCGCGTCCAAGACGCTCGCAGAGCGAGCGGCGTGGGACTTTGTCGACAAGGAGAAGCCGTCGTTCGACATTACGACGATCCAGCCGCCGCTCATCTTTGGCCCCGTCCTGCACGACGTCAAGAAGCCCGACAGCCTCAACACGTCGGTCAACAACTTCTACCAGTACCTCGAGGGCAAGAAGAGCGCCGACGACGCCCAGGGCGGCTTTGGCAGCTTTGTCGACGTGCGCGACGTCGCCCACCTGCACGTCGAGAGCCTCGTCAAGGAGGAGGCCGGCAACGAGCGCTTCCTCGTCGCTACCGGTGCGTCCCTCGCTCTCTCTCTCCCTCTCTTCCCCCTTCTCGCCTCTCGCAAATGTCCTTGCCCCTGCATCGACCGACACTGACACTCCCTTTCTTCCCCTCTCGCCCAATCTGCAGCCGACTCGTCGTACCAGCCGCTCCTCGACCTCTTCTTCGAGCACGCGCCCTCGTCGCTCAAGGACGCGTTCCCGAGCGCCGAAAAGGGCCGCCCGGGCCAGGCCAAGCCCAAGCAGAACGTCATCGACACGGCCAAGGCGCGCAAGACGTTCGGTTGGCAGCCCAAGGACGCAAAGGACACGGTGTGCGTGGCGAGCTCCCCTCTTTCTCTTCGCGTCCGCTCGACGTCGAGCTGGCCAAGACTGATGCTCCTGTTTCTCCTGCCACGCAGCATCGACATGGCCCAGTCGCTCGCCGAGTACAAGCAGCAGTGGGAGAAGGCGTAGGGGATGGCCGAGCGAGTTCTAGCCGAAAGAAAGTTGCATTCGTATCCGTGCTCCCTCTCTCCTCTCTCGAGAGAACCCGAAAGCTAGATCAGGAGATATCGAGAGAGCGAACAACAGTGGCATTCCTCATCGAGACAATTCCCCTCCTGCGGCCGCTCGAGCCGCTCGCCTTCGAGCGCGAACGACGTTCGCTCTACGGCTCCCACGCTCTGCTCGCTCTCAGTACAGGCCCGGCCTCTGCAGGTACGCGAGAAGAGTGAGTACGCGTTGCCTCGAGAGAAAGTTCGGGCGCAGAAAGAGAGAGAGAGAGGGACGCACCGTCGTCATGCCCGCGCCCGTGATGCCCCACTTGTCCTGGTAGCATTTCCTGCACCACGGCCTGCCTTCCTTCTCCTCGACCCTGCCCGGCTGACTGCCCAACCCGGTCCCGCACCCCTCGCACCGCAAGCACGCGCGGTGCCACGCACGCCCGAGCGCCTGGACCCGCTCGGCGTGGTACACGGGCTTGGCGCACTGCGGGCACTGCGACGGCAGGTTCGCCAGCGACGGCGGCGCCGACGTGAGGGACGGGCGGGACCGCGTCGGGATCGACAGGGACGAGAGCGACTCGGCGAGCGCCGAGGGCGACGTCAGGCTCGACCGGCCGGCGCCTGCCGTGAGCGGGCCTCGCTGGTCGTCGTCGTCAAAGTCGGGCGCGGCGACCTTGTGCGACATCGGCGTCGGGCCGTCGTCGTCCGACTGGGTCGAGGCGGCGGCGCCTGCTCGACTGACGAACGAGGTCGGCTTGGGCGGGGGAGCAGGACGAGCCGGCAAGGCGGGTGCCGGCGTGGGTGAGGATGCCCGTGCGGGTGCAGGGGGAGGTCGTGATGCGTGTACAGGTGCGGATGGCGGGGGCGGTGGTGTCGTGCCGAGTGACGCGCGCGCAGGGAGGGCCGGCGCGGTTGGCGGCGGACCGGGCGCAGCAGGCGAGCCGAAAAGAGGGCGTGTCGGCACGGCGGGCGGCGTCGAGGATGCAGCAGGCCGGCTCGGCAGGACGGGACCGGGCGAGGATGGCGTCGGCCTTGACGGGCTTGCGTCGACAGGTCGAGGAGCATAGTCGCCGACGAGGGCGCCACCTGCGGGGCGAGGCACGAGTCAGCTGGGTCTGCGCAAGGAGAGAGGGAGGGGGACGGACCTGCGCCATAGCCCTTTGTGCCGTACGACTTGGCGTGGCAGCCTTTGCAGTAGGCCTGCGGGTGAGAGTCAGGGCGGCTCGGGGCGCGAAGAGACAGAGGGCGAGAGGGCGCACCTGGCCGTCGTGATCAACAAGCAGGCGCGGCTCGAGAAGCTTGCCGCACTCGACACACTTGAGGCACAGCTTGTGGTACTGCGCGGGCGGGTTCGTCGTCAGCTCCTCGTTGCAGGCGGACGACGTGGGGCGGCCGAACGAGGTGGAGGACAGGAGAGGAGAGAGGGGGCGGCAGGAGGACGCACCGTCCCTGCAGGACCCAAGGCCTGCTCTGCGGCATAGACCGACTTGCCGCACTGCGCGCATCTGTGGCGAGGAGCAAAGGCGATGAGCGTCAGGGTGCGGGGGGAGAGGGGAGGACGAGCGAGGCGAGGACGCACTTTGGAGCGCCGCCGTACACCCGAGGGGCCATTGAACGGGTGCTCTGGGTGCAGAACGAGCCTCGCCGGTGCGCTGGACGAAGCGAGCGTGGAGGATGAAGCCAGCGAGGCGGTGCTCTCAGATCTTCCTCCGCCTCACCTCCTGTGCCGCGCGCCCGCTATGCGCGGAACGGTGTACGCCAGTGGCATCTTACCTGGCTAGCCACCGAGCACCGCTCCCGATGCCTCGAGCGACGCGCTGCGTCGGCTGCTCCGCTCCTTTTCGCTCGCTTCCCCACCGGCTTGCGCTCTCCACGCAGCAGCTCGCCCTCTGCGAGCCGGTACTGCTGTCAGATCTTTCCTATCAATTCACCTCGATGCGGCGCGCGCGCCGGAGCGACGCTTCAGCGGCACCCGCGCTTGACCTCCTCCTCCTCCTCGCTCACGTCAAGCTTGCTCGCGCTGTGGCTCGCCAGGCTCACAAGCCGGACCTGCGCCGGCCTCTCGTGTGGTCTCACGAGGTGACACGCAGAGTGAGAGACAAAGTATACAAGCCCTGAGAGTCTACAGATGCAGCCGGTCTACCTTCTCGTCTCCCGCTCTGATCGCTCTGGCTCGCTCTTGACCTCGAGCGCGCCCTCTTCTGCACTCGACGGCTTCTTGTCCCGGTGCCCGACCTTGCCGATGCCGTACAGGCACGTGACGCTGATGATGGTTGCGAGGAACGCAAAGCCGGCGCACGTGTAGAACGCCGAGTTGAGGCCCTTGTGGATCGCCTCGAGCGGGGCCGTAGCCTGCGAGAGGGGCTCGAGGAGTATCAGGGCGTGTCGTCGAGGCGCAAGAGGCTCGAGGGAGGAGAGAGGACGCACCCCGTTCGGGTCGTACACCTGACCGAGGTCCTCGACCGCCTTCTTGGTGACGCGGCTCTGCACGACGGTGCCGATGGCCAAGCCGATGCCCGTGCCGATTTCTGTACGGCGTGCAAGGTCGAGGGGACGAAGGTTGTCGGCGGGGGAAAGAGGAGGGACGAGGAGGGAGAAAGGGCGAGGTGTGAGCGGCCTTTTGGCGGCGCGAGAGGGCAGAAAGAGGTGGACGCACGGGTCGACATGTTGAAGATGGAGCCGGCGAGGGCTTGATGGCCCGGCCCTGCGACTTGTGAAACGTAGAGGATGCCGCACGCGAACTGCAGGGAGGAAGGTGCGAGCGAGTAAGTGTCGCGCTCGAGGAGAGCACGAGAGAGGGCGAGGACGCACGATAAAGTCGGCGCCAAACACGGACAAGATCATGGCGGGAAACTGCCATTGCCAGTACGGGTCGGCGTAGTCCTGCACGGCAAAGAGCAGGGGCGCGAGGCCGGTCCCGAGCGCGCCGATGGCGATGAGGATCTGCGCCGGCACGCGCGACGCGAGGACGGCGACGACAACCTGTCCGTCGTGCGGCGAGAAGGTATGGTCGAGGGGCACGAAGGTGAGTAGGGCGAGAGGGAGCAAGGGGAGGGAGGGGAGGCCAGGGAGGAAGGGAACAACGAGTCAGTCTGCGCACTTCGTGCTCGAGAGAGGAACAAAAAAAGAGACGCACGTTGAGGATGAAGCCCGTGACACTGCTCGGCAAGAAGCGGACCGTCGCGAGGATGGGCTCGAGGCGCATGTAGTCCTGCAGGTTCGAGCACGCGGTCAGGACTGGGCGCAGCTTGACCGGGACGGCGAGAGAGGGACGGACCTGGAAGGCGAGAGAAGCGAAGAACATGAAGCTCGCGAAGCCGCTCCACCCAAGGGCGCCGATGAGCTGGACGACGGCAAAGCGGCCCTTGAACCAGATGGCCGTGTGCATGAGGGGATGCCGCTCGGTGCCGAACTCGAGGTGGCGCTCCCAGAACCAGAAGGCGAAGAAGAGGATGATGCTGATGGCGAGGAGCGTCGGGATGTAGGGCGTCTTCCACTGCGCGGGACAAGGGGTCATTGCGAGGGCGACGAGTCGCACGAGAGGGCAGACGGGACGCACGCCATGAGGCGCACCCTCGCCGTCGGCAAGCGAGAAGGTGAGGAGGACGACCGCTGACGTGATGAGGAGGCCGCCGAGCCAGTCGACCGTGAGCGACTTGTCCTTGGCGCGGTCGGCGGGGACGAGCCACAGGGCCGACACGCCGATGAGGGCGCCGATGCCGGCCGAGACGTGGAAGATGGCGCGCCACTTGATGGCGGCGTATTCGGTGAGGCTGAGGAAATGGAAGGGTCAGGGAAGGTGCGCGTTCGAGAGGAGAGAAAAGGGGACGCACACGCCGCCGAGGACCGAGCCGAGACTGCCGCCGAGGGGAGCGCCGGCCGAGAAGAGGGCAAACGCGGTCGTCTTGCGTTGGCCTGGCGGGAAAGACGAGCCGAGGATGCCGAGGGCCGAGGGCTGTGCGCGAGGAGAGCGGGTCAGTTGGTGCTCGAGGGTCGGCGCGGTCGAGGACGTACGATGGCGGCACCGAGAGCGGCGCCTTGCATCGCGCGAAAGAAGTCGATCGAGACCTCGTTCTGGGCGAACCCGCACGCGATGGACCAGATGACGAACCAAATCATGCCGAGCGTGAAGACCCTGCGCGGTTGGGCAGGTTCAGGGTCAGTTCCTGGCCGACAGAGACTGAGAAGAGGAGGGACCCACTTCTTGTGGCCGTACTGCAGGTCCTCGGGGGATCGTCAGTTACGGTACGAGTTGGACGAGGAGAAGGGGAAGAGGGCGCACAATGTCTGCGAGTCGCCCGAAGAGGAGGAGCAATCCGCCAAACGCGACGCTATAGCTGCTGATCTGCGGGCGCAGGTAGAGAGAGTCAGTCGCTAAACGTGTCGGCACGAGGAGGAAAGAGGGGACGGACGAGCCACTGCAGGTTGGTGGTCCGGATGTCGAGGTCGCTGCCGATGGTCGGCAGGGCGAGCTGGACCGACTGGACTTGCATGATCTGCTCATCGAGGTGGGTCAGTGCGAGGGTACGAGAGGGGGAGAAAGAGAGAGTGAGGGCGCACGTTGAGCATCATGCAGAGCGTCATCGAGACGGTCAAGAGGACCTGGCGAGTGGTCGACAGCTGCGGCCAGACGTGCTCGGCGAGCCCGCCGTCGCCGTCGCGCTCGTGCTCGTCGGTGCCCTTGTCGCTCGGCGCGACAGCTGCTCGAGGTGGACCTTGGGGCGAGTGCGCCGATTGGCCGCGTGCGGGCGGAGGAGCGCCGGCGACCATGAGGCTGGCGGCCGTGCGGGTGAGGACGGTGGCGCAGGAGCTGCGGCGTCGCCGTCGAGCCCGAGCTGGCGAGTCGTCAAGGCGTGCGCCTGGGGCTGGCGAGAGGTGAGACGGCGCCGATAGTCGTGGGGCGGGGACACGGCAAGACGAGAGGCCCGGCGCGAGGGCGCGCGGCAGGTGCGGGTGGACCGGGTGTGGTTGTGCGGTAGGACGGCCGAGCGAGTGAGCGGGCGCAGGCTGGTCAAGTGCAGAGCCGAGGTGAGGCGGGCTCGACGGCCGAGATGAGAGGGAACCGACTCGCTCGACGACAAATCCTCAGCGCCTTGACTCCTCACTCGATCAGCAGACGCCTGTACCGGCCCAGCAGCTCGTGCGGCCCCTACAGCCACGCCGAGTGCGCCCCTCGAGCCGCCCGAGCCCCACAACACCTCGCGTCGCCGTCCTCCAACCTCATCATCGCCCGCCGACCCTCGAGACTCGACGCTACCACCGCCACGGCTCCTGATTGCTCGTGCGCTCGTCAGTAGCCGCAGGAAACGCTTCGCCGTCCGGTGCGTCCTCCCTTCCCCTGCTCCTCGAGCTCTCGTTGCGCCCTCCCCCTCCTCCGTCGGGTCGAGCGGATGTAGCCTCCTCGCAGACGGCCGTGGTGAGGAGCCTCGCACGCAGCACATACTGACACGGACTATCTCTCTGCAGACCTCGACGTGCGGCCCGCCCATGACCGCCCCTGCACCCTCGTCACCCTCTCGTCCAGACCCGACTTGCGCCCCGATGCCTGGCGCCATCTCGCTCGGCCTCGCCCGCATCAACCGCCTCCTGTACCTCCTCAAGTCGCCCCACTGCGCCACGCCTGTCGTCCACATCTCGGGCACGAACGGCAAAGGGTCCGTGTCGGCCTACCTCTCGTCCATCCTGTCGCACAGCCACCTCGCCGTCGGCCGCTTCAACAGCCCGCACCTCGCCGACGAGTGGGACTGCGTTCAGCTCCACGGCCGCACCGTCGACCCGAGCCAGTTTTACGCCGTCAAGCGCGAGGTCCAGCGCGTGTCGCAGCGCGAGGCCGTCGGCGCGACCAGCTTCGAGGTCCTCACGGCGACCGCCTTCTCGCTCTTTGCGCGCGCGCAACCGCCACTCGACGTCGCCGTCGTCGAGGTCGGAATGGGCGGCGCCGAGGACGCGACCAACGTCGTGCCCGCCGACAAGACGCTCGTCAGCGTCGTCACGGCCGTCGACCTCGACCACCAGAAATTCCTCGGCGACTCGGTCCACGACATTGCCCAGGTCAAGGCGGGCATCGCGCGAGAGGGCGGCGACGTCGTCCTGAGCGTGCAGGCGCACCCTCAAGCTCGAGCGGCCGTCCTTGCCGTCGCGGCCGCACGGCGCGCGACCGTGTGGGAGGCCGGCGAGGCGACGCTTGTCGAGCACGATGCTCGCGCGTCGACTTCTTGCCTTCCACCTCCACCTCTCGTCTCGATCCCGCTCGCCCCGACCGCCATCCACCCGCCCTTCTCGACCTCGACCTCGTCCCCTTCCCCCGCCCCTCTCTCGACCCGCCTCCCCCTTCCCGGCGCGTACCAGCTCTCGAACGCGGCCACCGCCGTCCTCGCCGCACAGCTCTTGCGCACCCTGCCCCGAGCCGTCGCCATGGTGCCCTCGCTCGAGACGCACGTCACCGACGACTCGATGCGCGCCGGCGTCGAGGCGACCACGTGGCCCGGGCGGCTCAGCTGGCTGTCGCTGCCGACGCCGCTCTCGGCTGCGTCGACAGGCGCAGTAGCAGAGCCCGCCGCCAGCTCGGCGTCGACTCGGCCCCTCCTTCTCGACGGCGCGCACAACCCCTCGTCGGCCCGCCTCCTCGCCGCCTACCTCTCGTCCCTCCCGCCCTCCTTCCGACCAACCGCCCTCGTGTTCGCCCTCTCGGCCCCTCGCGACCCGACCGACGTCGTCAAGCCGCTCCTCGACGCCCTGGCGGCGAGCGACGAGGAGTGCGGCGAGGCGCGCGACGGCCGAGCGCCCTCAAGGCGGGTCCGTGTCGTGTGCACGGGCTTCTCGCCGCCGGCGGGCATGGAGTGGGTGCGTGCGACACCGCCGGACGAGCTGGCACGAGCGGTGAAGGCAGTCGTCGACGGCGACGACGACGAGGGCGCGGGTTCGTCGAGCGCGAGCGTCGAGGTGCTCGAGGCGGACGACGTCGAGGCGGCGCTGCGGCTACTCGAGGAGGGCGACGTGGCGGCGGTGGAGCAGGGCCCGGTGGTCGTGGCGGGCAGTCTGTACCTCGCGGCGGACGTGCTGCGACTCGAGCGGCGGCTCGGTGCGGCTCGAGAAGGTGGGCGAGAAGGCGACTCGTAGCTGCACGGCGCAATTCGCTCTCGCGTCTTCTTTCGTTCGTCCGTGCGCCTTGACCGTGAGCGCGAGTGCGCTCAGCAAGCGAGAAGAGGGCGATGTAAATCAATCTGAGTCGGAGATCGAGACGGTCGGCACGTGCCCTTGTTGGCTCGCGTCGTCCTCGCCTCTCGCTCTCTCCACCTCGCCCTCGAGCGCCCTCGTGCTGCTGCACAGCGCCTGCGCAAGGCTCGCCCGACCCGCCTGGCACCGCACCGCGACCTCGAGCCGCCTTCGCCGTCTACCTCGCTCCACCTCGCCTCGTCCCCACCCCGCTCTCGCACCACCCGACCGACATGCCGCCAGCGACCCAGAGCAGTGACAACGCCGGGTCCTCAAGCTCCACCATGCCTGCGCAATCCGCACTCGGCTCGGCGGCTGCAGCAGGGACCGCGAGCGGGAGGAGCGGTGCGGCGACAGGCGCAGGAGGAACGGGCGCCACCTCCGACCAGCAGATCTCGCAGATTCTCGCAGAGGTGCGCCCCCTCTCTCCTGCTCCATCTAGTTCTCGACCCAGCCCTGTGAGACGCTCGAGGAGCACAGCTGGGGGCCTAGCGGGCCGTGAGAGGCTCTCGCGCGGCGAGGACGACCCGCACAGCCTCGTCGGCAGGGCTTGCAGTCACTGACTCGAGTCTGTGCACCCGCAGATGTCGCAACAACAGCGCAACTCGCCCGAGACGACGTCCGCTCGTCCCGAGCGCTCTCCGGCCAGCTCGACCCAGACCTCGTCCGTCCCTTTTGTCCGTCAGCAGCACTGCGCCCTCGACCTGACGAGCTTCTCCCACGCAGTTCTCGCGACCCTGTCCAATCGCTCGGCAACACGGCGCCAGTCGCCGGCCCGTCTCGCTCGAGTGCGCCTCGTCAACCTGGACAACCCGCAGCAGCCGCCAGCCAGGCCTTCGTTCCCCAAGCCTCGCACCTCAACCCGCCCCTGCCGACGGCGTCGACCTCGAGCACGCAGACGCCGCTGCTACCGTCCATCTCGACGACCATCGCCGGGCCGACCGCCGCCGCCGCCGCCCAACCCGCCGCGGCCGCCGGTGCGCCCGACCGCGACCGGCTCTCGGCGTCGCCAGTCGTCACCGGCGCCGGCGCCAAGGGCAAGGCGTCGAAGGGTCGAGGGCGCGGCAAGAGCGACGAGCGCATGGGCATGAACGAGGACGAGTGGGAGCGCTCGCGCAAGGACAACCACGTGCGTCCTCCCTTCTCTCCTCCCCTTCCACCTCTCGGTGCGGCAGTCACTGACTCGTCCTTGCCTTCCACATTCTGCAGAAGGAGGTTGAGCGCCGTCGCCGCCAGACGATCAACGACGGCATCACGCACCTTGGCGAGCTCCTCCCACCCGACTCCGCCCTCGCCTCGGGGTCCTCGTCCGCCCTCGCTCCCGCTCAAGGCGCCTCGACGACCTCGACTGCCGCCGCTGCAGCTGCGACGGCTGCCGCCAGGGTCAACAAGGCGCACGTCCTTACGCGCGCGGCGAGCTACATCACGCAGCTGCGCGAGGACCAGGCGCGCACGATCGACCAGTGGACGCTCGACAAGCTCCTCGCCGACCAAGGGCTGCGCAACGCGACGGCCGAGATCGAGCGCCTCCGTCGCGAGAACGACGCGCTGCGCAAGATGGTCGTCGAGCTCGGCGGGTCGGTCGAGGCGATCGAGCGGGCGGGAGGAGGTGCGAGCGGCGCGGCGGCGGCGATGGGAAACGGCGGCGCAAAGCGTGCGGCGCCGGGCGGAGATGACGGTGGCTCGTCTGATGGACCGAAGAAGGCGCGCGTTGAGTTGTGAGCAGCGGCGGGACGAAACGCGAGGAGCGAGTCGAGGGAGCGCTTGGGCCTGCAGAATCCGAGTAGACACTGTTTCTCTTCTGTGCCCTGTTGTATGTAGCTGTCTGTGCTTCCCTCTCGTGTGTGAGAACGGTTCTGAGCGAGAGATGTTACAGAGGGCGCAAAGCCCGAGTGTCCGTCCATCGACTCGACGCTACTCGTTCGAGTCGAAGCTCCGCCTCGTCGTCCTCCTCTCGTCGTCCTCGACCGGCTCGTGCTGCCACCCGTACAGGACGCGGTCCCTGTACCTGCGCTCGCTCGCCGTCTCGACGAGGAACCGGCTCGCGACGACGCCGAGCGCGCTCGCGAGGCCGCCGAACCGCAGCACCCACACGACGTCGTCTTCGCCGCCGAGCTCGCCCTCGCCGCCGCCGCCGTCGTGCGAGTCGAGGAAGAAGAAGGTTTTGGACGAGGCGCGAGTCGTGAGGCGGAAGATGCCCGCCGCAACGAGCGCGACGAAGAACTGCGGGAGGACGATGGCGAGGTTGTGCAGGCCGAGGATGGTGCCGCCGGCGCCGCCCGACGACGCGGGTTTCTCGGCGTCGCACGGAAAGGAGCGCGTGTTGAGGAGGAGCGACGTGTGCTCGTCGGCGGCGGCGGTCGCGGCGGCGGCGGTCGCATCGTCCGAGGCCGAGGTCGAGGTTGGGCGAGCGTGCCGGGCCGGCGACGTCGACGCCTCGCTCGGCTGCTGCAACGAGTGGATGGCCCACGACGCTTGGCGCAGCGAGCTGCGGAACGGCGTACGGAGCGCGCGCTGCGCCGGCGACGCGAACGGCCTCGCAGGGGACGGGGACGACGACGGCAGCCCGGGCGAGGCCGGCACGCCGTGCGTCTGCGCCGTCGCCGCCTTGGCCTTGTCGCCGTCGGCGCGCTCGGCCTCGACCTCGCGGATCGACTCCATGACGAGCGCGAACGGGACCCAGCACGTGATGGCCCAGGGCACGCCGACGAGGGCGACGACGGCCGTCGCGCCGCGGACGCTCGTCGCCCAAAAGGTGGCGACCATGCACGCGGCGTACCACGCGAGGGCGACGGTCCACATGTTGCGCGGCGTGAGCTCGCTCAGGACGAGGCGGCCGACGGGGCCGACGCGCGAGGGGAGCGACGGGAACGAGTCGGCGAGGGTCGTCAGGTACGGGATGAAGGTGCCGGCCGCGAGCGAGACGAGGGCGTAGATGAGGAGCGCGAACGAGCCCGTGCGGGTCGCCGTGTCGGCCGAGGGAGGAGGCGTGCCGCGAGGGATCGAGGCGTACAGGGCCTCGGCGACGTAGGTCGTCCTGCTCGAGGGGAGTGTCAGTCGTCGCACGAGAGGACCCGAGAGGAAATGAGAGAGACGCACGAGTAGAACAGGAACGGGAACCAGCTGCTCCACGCGAAGAACTGCACTGCGGGCGCGCGAGCGAAAGAGGGTCAGGACGACGTCGCGAGGCCAGAGGATGGGAGGCGGGAGAAGGGGAAAGAGGACGCACCGTAGCAGACCCGGCGCACGGGCTTGGGCAAGGTGCGGGTCGCGGCGACGACGTCGCGAGCGACGTTGCGGACCTTCTGCCACGCGCTCTCGCCCGAGCGCATCTCGGGGCGCGCGTCCTCCTGCTGGGTCACGCACGTGACGGCGACGGTCGCGAGCATGACGACGCAGCTCGTGACGGCGAGCTTGCGGAACTGGCCGCCGCCGAGCCAGCGCAGGAGCGGCGAGTGGCCGAGGTCGAGGTAGCCGACGAGGTAGCCGACGACGTTGGCGATGTGCGTCTGGCGCCCGAGCCACGCGTTGGCCGAGTTCTGGAGCGGCGACGGCGACAGGTCGAGGACGAGGGCCTGCAGCGAGAGGAGCGACGGTGCGAGTCAGTCGGGGTGCGAGGAAAGAGCGAGAGAGAGAGAGCCCGACGCACCCGGATGGCGGCCTGGAGCGCGTTGAGCGAAAAGTCGAGGACGTAGAAGCCGACGACGCCGATCCAGATGGCGCACGCCTGCTCGCGTGAGGCGCGGGCCGGGTCCCAGTCGCCGACGTCGGCAAAGAGGCTGACGAGGACCGAGGCGGCCTCGCGGGCGTAGGCGACGACGAGCGACGACACGAGGACGAACAGGGCCGAGAAGGCGATGTACTGGCGGCGGCGGAACCGGGACGGCGACGAGTCGGAGAGGGCCCCTGCGGAAAGGAGACTCGGGTCAGTGCTGCTCTGCCAGGGCGGCCGCGCTCGTCGGCTCCCGAATGATGCAGGGGCTCGTCCCAGCGACGGGAAGATGCCGAGAAGGAGAGGGACGAGGGTTGCAGGGGCAGGAAGGCGGGCGAGGGGAGGGAAACTGACCGACGATGGGCTGGACCAGCATGCCGCTCAGCGGGCCGGCCATCCAGACGAGGCTCGTGCCCTGCTTGGTGAGGCCGAGTCCGAGGAGGTAGGGCGTGCCGTACCTGTTCCGCCGTGGACGAGGATGAGCTGCGAGACGCGGTGTGGGAGGACGAGGGCGAGAGAAAGAGGGACGCACGCCATCTCGACGGTCCAGGCGAGTTGAGCGCCGGCGATGGCGACGGTGAGCTTGACGAACTCGAGCGTGTTCCACGTCTTCTCGGCGACGGAGCTGATGTGGTCCTCGAGGGCGGACGGGTCGTCGCGGTCGTCGTCGTCGTGGTCGAGGTCGCCGAACGTGCCTCGGCTGCGGTTGCTCGAGGTGCGGACGTGACGAGTGGTCGGGGTGCGGGGAGACGTCGGGACGAGGTCGTCGAACGACTGGTAGGTGTGGGACGAGGTGAGGGCGGCGGTCGAGGGGGAGGAGGAGGTGGGCGGGGTTGGCGACTGGCTGGCGGTCGCGCGATGGGGATGTGGCGGTGTAGGGTGCGAGTCCATGGCCCACAGGGACGCTCTGGCGGGCGAACGGCGGTCCCGAGGTGGTTGAGCGCAAGGTGTCGCCAAGTGGGGGTGAGGGCGAGGGCGAGGGCGACGAGGGCCGCGTCTTGCGGGGCAGCTGGTTGGTCGCAGGTGGTGTGTGTAGGTGCTCGAGTGTGTGCGACCCAGTCAAGGACGCGTCTCGGGTGTTGGTCGAACGGTGAGAGCAACCCTGGCGGCCGTTGAACCTCTCCTCCTCCTCGTCGACTCGCTCTTCTCTCGCTCCCTCGCACGCTCGCGAGGCTTCCTGTCACCGGCCTAGCTTCCCGATATGTCATTCAAGGTGCGTCCTCGGCTCACTCCCTCACCTCGCGACGCCCTCACTCACTCTCTCCCACAGGAACCTGTCGTCCAACTCGCCCGCGAGCCGTCCAACGACGACTGCGCGTTGCTCATGTTGCCGGTCGAGATCCTCAAGTACATCTCCGAGCTCGCCTATCGCCACCCAGCCCGCCCCGATCATCCGCTCGACGCACCCGACCCCCTCCAAGTCGAGATCCTCCGCCAGCAACCGGCGCCGCACCGCCCGCTCTGCCGCAGCCTGTACCCGATCGAGCAGGAGCAGCTGTACCGCAGCATCGAGATCAAGTCGTTCCGCACCCTCGACCTCCTCCAGCGCACGCTCGTCGAGGACAGCCGCGAGCCCGGCCGCAGCCTCGGCTCGCTCGTCGCGGCCCTGTCGTTCGACACCTCGTGGCATCGCAAGCGGGCCAACCCCGCCAGCACTCGTCACGAGCAGGACGAGCTCGCGCGTCCAGATCGCCCGTACCACGTCGACTCGGCGGCCGCGGCAACTCGGCTCGTCGCGAGCCTCCTCGGCGCGCTCACCGGCCTCGAGTACTTTGGCCTCCGGTTCAACCCCGGACTGCGGCCAGAAGACCACGAGCTGTTACACCTCATCTTCGAGCACCCGTCAACGCTCGTCCACCTCGACTCGGTCCAGCACTTCGCCCTTCTCATCTACGGCCCCGACCTCGACGCCGCCTTCCCGGACGACGCCGGCGCGTGGCTCGCTCAACTGGGCCAACTGCGCAACGTCAAGACGCTCGAGTTGAGCTTTCACGCGCACGGCACGCCCGTGATCCTCCAGACCTCGTCGTCGACGCGCCCGGTCTTCAACCAGGTCCGCACGCTCAAGATCTCCGCGAGGCTCGACACCTGGCGCGTCCCGCTCCGCGACCTCGTGCCGCACCTCACGTCGCTCGAGGTCTACAGCGGGGGTCCCTCGAGTGGGCACGCCGAGCTGCGCTCGCTCGTCGCGAGCGCGCCCACATGCCTCGTCGCGCTCTCCATCGACGCGTACGTCTCGGCGGACACGCTCGGCGCCATCGAGGACGTGCTCCCCACCTTCCCCCTCCTCCACACCCTCCACCTCGACAACTCGTGTCGCGACCATGCCCCTCTACCGTCGTCGCTCGCCCGCCTCGACAACCTCGAGATCCTCCATTTCGGTCCCTCGGCCGTCCTCCCCGACTACGCCCTGGTCGACCTCGTCACGGGCCCGCACCGCCTCAAGGCGCTGCGCAAGCTCACCCTCGACTACATCGAGGCGTTCTTCGAGGAGACGCTGCGCGACGCAGGCGGCGTACTGCCGCACGGCCGCGACTGCGACGCGTCCGGCCTTTACTGGGGCTGGGACGCGCCGGACTGGCCCGAGGGCTGCTCGTGGCGCGATCTCACGACCGCCGTCCGCCTCGTGCGCGCTCGCGGCGTCGTCGTCGACGGCTTGGCGGTCCGTGCGCTCGAGTGGTACGGCGAGTACGCCGCCGAGCGCGACAAGGTCGCGCGCCGCCGAGGCTTCGAGATGGGCGACTGGGCAGACGCGAGGCGGTTCCTGGGCGCGAGGATTGTCGAGTTGCTCGAGGAGGAGCGCCAGGCGCGGATCCACGCGGCGGACGAGGAGGAGGAGGAGGGGGACGAGGTGAGGGGCTAGCCGGCGGTGGGAGGTCGGGCATTCTAGTGCAGTTCAAGGCGCTGCAAAGACATCTATGTGCGGTATCTCCTCATCTTCCTCGTCCTGCGAGTTTGGCGACTGGCTCGAGCGCGACCTTCTCGAACGCGTCGACGGGCTCTCGCAGCTCGCACGTTCCCTTCGATCGTCTCGCTCTCTTGCTCTCTGGCTCACGAAAGGCTATCGAGAGGTACCGGGGCGACGAGGAAGAGCTTGTGCAACCTCGCCGCTCTCTCCGCCGCCTCGACGCTCGAACCTGCTGCGCTCGCCGGGCCCGATGCAGCCTTGCCTAGACGCAGCGTCGAACACTGCCTCTCATGGCCCACTCTCGAGCACGTGTGAGGCTGCTCTCGCCGGACCCTCGCTCCCGTCGCCGCTGGACCTGCAGCTCGAGATACACCCGCCCGTTCTATCTGCTCCTCGCTCTGTCGCCCTGCCCGTCGTCTAAACCGCCATCCGGCTCGCCTCCTCGGCGAGGCTCAACTCGATCGCGTAACGCAGGTCCTCCTCTTCCTGCCGCTGCCGCCGACGCGCCTCATCGTCTCGCACCGAGGCCTCGCTCGCGCTCGTCGCCCGCAGCTGCGCCGACAGGAGCGACTCGGCGCCGTCTTGACGAGAAGGAGGAGAGCTCGAGGTCGCGAAGGACGAGCTCGATGGAGATGGCGAGGAGGGAGCGAAGGAAGTGGGCCGAGGGGAAGAGGAAGGATCGGCGGTGCGGGCGACGGCGGACCAGCCGCGCAGGATCGGTGTGGAAGAGGTCGGGCCCGCCGAAACCGACGTATATGCGGTCGATGAGACGCCGGCGAGCGGCGAGGGCGACCCCGACGCCCGACGAGGGCCTGCTGGCGGCGGGCTCTGGGCCGAGGGCGACGCCTCGCGCATCGGCGACGACGACGACGACGACGACGCAGCGGGCCACAGCTCGGGCGCCATGTCGGGCACCGGCTCGTTGCTCGAGAAGCTGGCGCCCTGCGAGCCGTACGTCGGGCCGAGTCGCGGGCTGATGTGCAACTTGGCGTGCGGGTTGAACGCGCTCGGCGGGCTGCCGATGGCGCGCAACGACGGCGAGACGGGCGTCCACGTGTACGACAGGTGGCGCGACGAGGGTGAGGTCGACGCAGGGCTGAGCGAGTGACCGCGAAGGAAAGGCGAGGAGGGGACGGAGAGCGAGGTCGACAAGGATTGGGTGCGAGAGGGGACCCGGCTCGTCGACTGCGACAGGCGCTCGTCGTCGTCGTCGTAGTCGTCTTGCGCATTGACGGTCGAGGCGTAGGCGGTCGACGAGGTCGATGCGCGAGAGCGATCGTAGTCCTCGTCGAGGAACAGGTCGTCGCCCTCGAGCCACTCGTCCGGCACCTGCTCCCACTCGACGTCGCCGCTCCCGCCCTCGGCCCTGACCGTCTCCTCTCGGCTGCGGTCGAGCGCCTGGCGCTCCTGCTCCTCGGCCGAGAGCATGAGGGCGAAGGCGACCGCCTCGTCCTCCGTCATCGTGTCGAGCGCCGGCGGGAGGCCGAACTCGGACGCCATGCGCTGCTGCTCCTCGTGCCGCTCGACTCGCGCCGCCTGCTCGACCAAGATGGCCGAGATCGACTCGCGGACCTGGTGCTGGAGCTCCATGTTGGCTGTGCGCAAGGTGGCAAGGTCAGGTCGGGGCTCGAGAGGAACGCCTGGGGGCAGGCTCGACGCCGACAGGAGAGAGATGGTGCGACGCACCCTTGAAGCGCTCTTGGCGAGCCGTGAGCTTGCCGCCCGTCGGCTTGCCCGCCTTCTTCTTGACCTCGCTGCTGACCCGCCACGCGAGGACCCTCCCGCCGATCGCGGCGACGACGGCGTCGCGGTTGGCGCGCACGTGGCTCACGAGCCAGCGCTCCTCCTCGTCCTCGGCGACGAGGCCGTGCGCGAGGAGGCGAGACGGGTGCCGAGGCGCCGAGCGGTCGCGAAACGAGCGGATCGGCGGCGAGAGGGCGGTCGACGAGCCGAGGGACGAGTAGAAGCGGAGCGTGCCGTCGAGGCTGCGAGACGAGGTGTGCGGCGTCAGTACTGTGTCGGGAAAGGAGAGGGGAGAGAGAGAGAAAGAGGACGCACCCGCCGACAAAGACGCCGACGTCCGTCAACTCGAGCGCCGTCACCTTGCTCGCCTGCCCGCCGCCGTCCTCGAACTCGGTCCCCTGCACCTGCTTGCCCGGCCCGACGACGTCGCCCCTCTCCTGCTCGTCCTCGCTCTGCCGCGCCTCCCAGTCCCACAGGTACACCCTCCCCTCGGCGTCGCCCGCCGCGACGTACTTGCGCCGGCCGAACCGAGGGACGACGTCGAGCTCGTGCGACGGCGACTCGGGGCGTGAGACCGAGACCGAGAACTCGGACGTCGAGCGCGAGAGGGCGGGCGGGAAGAACGAGGCCGCGCCGTTCGAGGCGAGGGCGTGCGTCTTGAGCTCGGCAGGTCGGGCGAACGTGATCTTGCCCTCGGCAGGCGTAGCCGGGATAGACGGGCCGTTGAGCGCGGGCGGGTCGTCGAAGTCGACGGCGAGCGCCGTGATGGCCGAGAGCTGGACCGACGCCGGGTGGCCGAACAGGGTGCGCTTGGGCGGCTCTGCGGCCGAGGCGAAGACGTGGCGCGAGAAGGTTGACGCGCCGGCCTGGTGGACGAGGAGCCCAAGGGAGGACGAGCCCTCGGTCGGCGGGTCGAGCTCGAGCGTGTCGACCGGGCCGACGCCGCGAGCGTTGAGGACGTGGACGTGGGCCGACAAGCTCGCGCCGCTCGTCAAGCTCGCCTCCTCGAGCGAGATGGCGGGCCAGACGACCGTCTTGCCGTCGCTGCGCCCGACGGCGACGCTCGCCGGCCGACCGTGATGCCGGCCGAGCCAGCCGGCGTCGAACGCGAGCGCGGTCGGCTTGACCCTCGGCCTCGTCGCCGCCGCGATCGCAGCCGCCGTCGCGGGCGCGGCTGCTGCAGCGGTCGGCGGCGGCGGCGCGTCGACAACGACGTCCCACCGCCCTTGCCAGAGCTTGACCGCCGGCGCCGGCCTCTCTCTCGCGCCCGGCGCAGGCGGCACGGCGAGCGACCAGACGGCGACAACGCCGTCAGCTGCGGCCGACACGAAGATGTCGGTGCGCTGCTTCCTCGCGCCTCGGAGGATGCGCCCGCCGCCGGTCCCGCCGGCGTTGCTGAACGCGACGCGGTGCACGGGCGTGCCCTCGCGGTGCGCCGTCGTCGCTGTCCCCCCGGGCTCGACCGAGCGCACCTCGCCCGCCTCGAGCGCACCGCCGGGCGTGCCGCGGCCGCCGGACCCGATCGTCGAGCTGCTGTTGGCGAACCGGAGCGAACCGTCGCGCATGCCCCACACGAGGCGGGTGCCGTCGGGCGAGAGGGCGAACGACGTGGCGGCGAGGATGGGGAGGCCGACGGGCCGGCCGAGGTGGTCGATCGGCGACGAGAGGAGCGGCCGCTTCGACAGCTTGCCGGTGAACGGGGCCGAGTGGACGGCGGCGCCGAGGTCGAGCGAGACGGAAAGCGCCGGCGTGGTCGTCAAGGAAGGGATGTCGGAGCGAGGGGTGCCGCGCAGGAGGGAAGGGACAGGTGCGGTGGCTGCGGCGGCGGGGAGGGTGATGTGCAGGTGGTGGATGGCGCCAAGCGACGGGTTGTGGATGACGGTGGGCGTGCGGGCGCGGTGCCACTGCCTGTGTGCGTCACTGCGGTCAATCGCCGCTCGCTGTGGGCCGTACAAGGGAGAGTGCGCGCACCTCAGCAGCGAAACCCTCGAGATGTACTCGGACCGCCACGAGGCCGGCTCGAGCCTGCGCCCGAGCGAGTTCGGCTCGACGCCGTAGTACGTCTCGAACGCCGTCTGTGTGTGGCCGTGCACCTGCGGTCAATACGCTGTGCTCGTGACGAGCGAGACACAGTGACAGGGGAGGAAGGCGGGACGCACCCTCCAGCTGCCCTCGTCGGCGACGACGTCGTTCCACAGGCGGCACACCAGCTGACAGGTGCCGAGAGCGTGCGGCGGGAGCTGCGCAAAGACGTGCGCGAGGACCTCGAGCGGCAGGTACGAGATGGGCGACGAGCTGCGGCGGAGAGAGGGGGAGGGAGGCAGGCTGTCAGCGGATCGGAGCCACGCTCGACCACAGTGAGGAAGAGAGACGTGGACGCACCCAAAGCCCTCCTTGCCCTTGCCCTTGCGGTCCCGCTTGAAGGGAGACCCTCCTCCTGGTCCCGACCCAGCGGCTGATGAGGCCGGCTCGAGTCCACCGCCCGAGCTGCGCGTGCCGAGTGAGCTTGCGACGTGGCCGTTCTCGGGGCTGATCGGCGAGGTCATGGCGGCGCTGGTAGGGCGCGACGACGAGGTGTGGCGGGCAAACGAGGGGGCGGCGATGACGGCGGGTCCGGCGAGGGGTGACGAAGAGCGACGAGCGCGTCGTGCGAGTCGTGCGCGGGCGAAAGGCGAAGCTGAGTGCTGCTGGTGCGCTCTGGGCGAGTCTCGAGGCGGACCGAGAGTGTGTGGACGCAGGACAGGCTCGCAGCTTGAGGTCGACTCGGCGGACTCAGGCTGAGCGGCACGTTGCTCTCTTGAGTGGCTCGCTCTCTCTGGTTGGTGCGGGACGGTACAGCTATCTACACTGCAGCACAGAGCTGTATGCACGGAACGGAAAGGACGCAGAAACATCAAGCGCGTCGCCCGCTCACACATCCTCTCCTCGCTTCGACCTCCTCTTTGCTCCAGCTCGCCCGCATCCTCCTCGCCCTCCCCAAGCGCCTCGCTCCTCACATGCGGAACTTGTCGGCCGTCCACTCAAAGTTGGCCGCCTTGTTCTCCTTGTGCCAGCCCTTCCACGGGCCGGGTACCGAGTCGAGGACCTTCTGGAAGAGCGTCATCGACTTGCGCGCCTCGCGACGGGCGGCCTGGCGCTTGCGCTCCTCGGCGGCGACGACGAAGAAGATTGAGCCCTGCGAGAGAGAGAGAACGAGGGAAAGGCCGAGAGTCAGTGCCGGCACGAGAGACGAGTGGACGCCGCTTTGGCCTCCAAGAGACGGGACAGCCCGACGGCGGCGGCGAGGAAGGGCCAACTCACGTCGTACACCGTGCGGATCGACTCCTTGTCGCAGATGCCGTCCTTGGGCCAGACTGTGTGCGTGAGGCGAAGAAAGTCAGCTCTCGGGCCGGCCTCGGGGTTGAGAACGAGGCGGACAGGGAGGACGACGACGACGCACTGAGGAGGTAGGTGCTCGCCCACTCAAACGTCTCGCCGGCCCAACCGATCGGGTCCGCCGCCTGCCGCTGCGCGTGGATCATCTGCGAGAGCGCGACGGGGTCAGTCTCGTTGGCTGCGTGGGCGCCCTCGATTCGAGGATCGGACGCACCTGCACGCCCTCCTTGAATGCCAGGCCGCCTTTGTTGCCCTTGTCGAACCTGCAGAGGGGGGAGAGCTGTCAGTTGCACGTTCTTCTCAAAAGAGAGAGAGAGAACGAGGGCGTGCCGAGACGCACTTGGAGAAGATCTCCTCGAACTTGGCCGGGATGAAGCGGCCCTCCGAGTCGTACACGCCCGTGTCGCTGCCGTGCTTGGTGCGGTGGCCGTTCTTGAGGAAGATGCGGAAGAACGGGTCGGGGAGGAAGCCCGGCGCCGAGAACCACGAGAAGAAGAAGTGGATGACGCTGCGAGAGAGGGACAACGCGCCGTCGCCGAGCGTCAGGGGCCGCTCGAGGGAGCGAGGGGACAGACAGCAGAGAGCGGGACGCACCTCATGGCGAACGTGCACCAGAAGAACGAGTAGCCCATCTCGCGGAACCCGCGCCACGTGTCGAGGGGCCACAGGATGTTGTCGCGGTCCTGCGGGGCGAGCGACGAGTCAGTCTCCGAGGCGTACGCGAGTGACAGGGAAGGAAGAGAGAAGGAGCGGTGCGCACCTTGTCGAAGAAGGCGACGTGCTGGCCGAGGACGGGCTCGTCCTTGTGTAGCTCGGCGTAGCCGCCGGCGGTAGTGCCGTACGGGTGCTCGGGCGTCGCAGCAATGTTGGCGCGAGGAACCCCTGTCGGCAGGGAGAGGAGGAGGGTCAGGGAGAGGACGAGACGAGGTGTGGGGAAAGCGGTCGACGCACAGGGTTGGGCGATGCGGTGGTCGAGGTCCTCGTGGACGTGGCGCCGCTCACTGACCTGGCCCGGGATGCTCTGGGCAAAGCCCTCGCCCGGGACGCGCTTCTTGTTGCCGGTGTCGGCCTTTGGCGCGTGGTGGTCACGGGACGAGGTCGGCTTGTGCTTGCGCTGGCGCAGGGCCTGGGCGCTGCTCGAGGGTGCGCGGTCGGCGTCGTCGGCGCTGCTGAGGTCGCCTGGCGGGGTCAAGGGCGGACTCGGGTGGGCGAGGGACGCCGAGTCGTCGATGGTGGGATGCGACTTGAGGTTGGCCGGCTGGAGGCCGTCGAGGAAGGCCGGGTCGGGGGTGGGCTGGTTGCTCGGGAGCCACTGCTTGGTAGCGTGTGCGTACGAGGACATGCTGGTCTCGACTCGTGCACCTTGTGAGGAGAGAGGGGAGCGAGGCGTGGCAGTTCGCGGCGGCGACGCAGCCTCGAGAGCGCGCTCGATCTGCATCGACGACTCCGCGGTTACCGCGGTGTCCGGGGCCGCAGTCGGGTTCGTAACGATCGTCCTCGGACACGGAGCCGTCGCACGCAGATCTGGATCGTTCTCTGACCGCGCGCTCTCCCTCACGCCTCTCCCGCTCACCCTCAAGTGCCCGCGCACCTTGCACTCGAGCCTGCCGATGGCTCCTCTGCCACCACCCGACGCGCCGTCCCTCGCCGCCCTCTCGACCGCCGAGCTCCGGAGCCTCCTCGCGCCGTGCACCACGCTCGCCGGTCCCGGCCTCGTCTTCCGCAACTGGGCGACCACGTTCCGGTCCCTCGTCACCGCCCGCTTCAAGCCCACCACCGTCGACCAGGTCCGATGGGCGGTCGAGCTCGCGAGGAGGGAAGGCCGTGAGCTGCGCGCGGCCGGCGCAGGTCACTCGCCGAGCGACATCGTGTGCACCGGCGGCTACCTGCTCGACCTGCGCAGCCTCGACAAGGTCCTCGATGTACGTCCTCGCCCTGTCCACCTCTCACAGGCCAAGATCGGGGCCGCGCTGACCAACTTGCGCCCCCTCCCCTCGCCCACCGCCGACTCTCCCTCTCGCAGGTCGACTCGGCGACCCAGACGTTCCACGCCGAGGGCGGCATCGTCCTCAAGAACCTGCATCCGATCATCGCCGAGCGCGGCAACCTCGCCATCTCGTCGCTCGGGTCCATCTCGGACCAGACGCTCGCCGGCGCCATCTCGACCTCGACCCACGGCTCGGGCGTCTCCTTCCCCTCGATTTCGACCACGGCCACCTTCCTCGACATCGTCCTCCCGCTCCCCGACGCCCCCGTCGTCCGCGTCTCGCGCGCCGCCGACGAGGACCCGGACCTGTTCCACGCGGCCCTGTGCGGCCTCGGCGCGGTCGGCATCGTCGTCGGCGTCGGCATGCGCGCCGAGCGCACGTTCAAGCTCGAGGAGGAGACGTTCTCGATGCGGTTCGACGAGTTCACGCGCCACTGGAGCGAGATTGCCGAGAGCGCCGAGCACGTCCGGTGCTGGTGGTTCCCGCAAGTCGGCCGCGTCAAGGTCAGCCGGTTGAACCGCACCGACAAGGTGCGCCCACGCTCTCTATCTCTACCTCTCTTCTGCGCCTGCGCGAGGACCTGACTCGACTCGCGCCTCCCGCAGCCCGTCACGCCTCGCCCGTCGGCCCTGTCGCTGTGGTACTCGGACATCTTCCTCGCCAAGCGCGTCCACGCCCTCGCCCTCTTTGCGGCGCGCTACGTCCCGTCGCTCCTCCCGTACCACGCCTGGTTCATGTGGACGTTCGTCCACCAGCCCGGGCCCGTCGACTGGCGCCTGTTCGCGCGCGGCCTGTGGAGCCGGCTGAGCGGCAGGGTGACGGCCGACGACCCGTGGCCGAGGGTCGAGGAGCTCGAGGGCTTTGCCGACGAGGCCAAGCGCGAGGAGCGGGCGGCGGCGGCCTCGGGCGACCCGGCGCGCGCCGCCGCGAACGAGCCGCAGAGCAGCGTCTCGCCCGCGTCGCCGGCATCGTCGGCCGTCACGCTCGTCGATGACGAGGCCGTCCTCGTCGACGACAAGAAGCTCCCGGCACCCGCCGCACCGCTCATGGACCTCCTCACGCCGCCCTACACGCCTCCCGCCCTGTCGCCTTCCGACGGTACCTCGCCGACTCGCCGCCCGCGCAGCGCCTTGCCGCTCTCGCTCCCTGAACCCGCCTTTGTCACCATCGACACCGTCCTAGACGAGTCGCTCGACGTCGACGAGAAGCGCACGTCGGCCAGCTCGACGACGGCGACGTCGCCGGGCAAGAAGCACTCGCTCCCGTGGCCGATCCTCGAGGACGAGCCGACGTACCGGGTCGACCAGAGCGTCAACATCTTCAACTACGACTGCGGCTTGTACGTCCTCGCGGTCCCTCGTGCCCCCCCTCTCTCTCTCTCTCTCTCGTTGCGCGCACTGACCACCTCGTGCTCGCCCGCAGCCCTCAGTACACGTACGAGTCGTGCGTGCCCTACACGTCGACGGGCTCGGCCCTGTACGCGCTCAACGACTGGCACACGCGCGAGCTCGCCAAGCCGGGCTACCCGCTCCGGGCCCATTTCCCGGTCGAGATCCGGTGGGCCGACAAGGACGACGCGTGGCTGAGCCCGACGGGCAGCGGCAGGGGGTGCTACCTCGGCGCCATTCAGTACCGGTCCGTCCCTCTCTCTGTCTCTCTCTCGTGCGCGCGCACGAGCGTTGTCCTCGAAGCAGACTCGCAAAACTGACTCGTCGCCTCTCCCGTACCGCAGCCCGTACAACCTCCCCGTCCCGTACCGCGCCCACTTTGCGCGCTTCGCAGCCCTCCTCGGCGCGTCGGCGCGCCCGCACTGGGCCAAGACGCACCAGCTCACGCCTGGCGACCTCGCGGCGCTGTACCCGCGCCTGGGCGACTTTGTCGCCGTGCGCGAGCGCGTCGACCCGCAAGGCGTGCTCGCCAACGCGTACGTGCGCCGGCACTTGATGGGCGAGGTCGAGCGCGAGGGCATGGAGCGCGAGGGGAGGAGGTACAAGGAGCGGGCGTGAGCGCGGGGACGAGGACGAGCTTGTACAGGTCCGAGCGTGTCATTACTATCCCGGAGCGCGACGGCGCACGAGGCGTGTTGTCCCACCTTCTCTCTCTCTCTCTCGTGCTCTCGGCCGTCATGAGAGATCGAGAGGCCCTGTCTATTCTGTCGCTCGCTCTGGCGCCGACCCGCAGCGCGTCTACTCAGCCCTCGGCTTCTCCTCCTCTCGCTCCTCGTCGCCCGCTCCAGCCCCCTCTTGCGTCCGTCCCGCCGCCTCGAGCACCGCACCGACGAGCGCCGCAGCCTCGGGCCGGCTCGCGACCGCCTCGACGCGCACGTCGGGCGCGTGCTCGGCGACGAAGCGCGCCGTGACGGGGCCGATGGCGGCGAGGCGGATGCGCAGGTGCGCGAATGGCGAGGGGTCGGGCGAGCTCGGTGATGAGGAGGGAGGCGAGGGTGTCGAGGAGGGAAGGGGAGGGAGCGCGCCGAGGGAGCGCAAGGCCGAGAGGGCCTCGCGGGCGCTCGAGGGCGAGAAGAGCGCGACCCAGACGTCCCGCGTCGCCGTCGTCGCCGCATCGAGCTCCTTCTCTCCCTCTCGCTCGTCGTTGCCGACCCGCTCGCCCGCCGCTCGCCGCAGCGCGCGCTCGAGCTGGCCCTCGAACGTGGGCGCCCGGGCCGTCGCGTACACCTGGAGCTCGTGTGCGGCGATGCCGCCGTCGGCGAGGAGGCGCGGGAGCGTGTCGCGGTTCTTGTCGCCCGTGAGGTACAAGAGGGTGGGGCGGGTGCGTAGCGGCGGTGCGCTCGAGGAGGAGGGAGGGGGCGAGCGGGCAAAGTGGTCGAGGATGAAGTGCGCGAGGGCCTCGCCCGTGCCGGACTCGCGTGCGCCGAGGATCGGGGTCGAGGGAGGGACGAGCGGGGCGAGGGCGTCGTGGGTGGCCTGGCCAACGACGAAGAAGGGGATGGTCGAGGGAGGTGAGGGAGGTGCGGGGTCGTGGGCGAGCTGTTGGCGGTAGGCGTCGACCGAGCGGGCCGAGGTGAGGACGACGGCGTCGTAGTGGTTGTGGTGGAGGTTGTCGAGCTCTTGTTGGAGCAAGTGCGGGTGAGGAAAGGCCGTGTCGAGGACCTGCACCGAGGCGGACGACCACGAGCGAGGGAGGGCGGTGCGGTACGGGTCGTGATCGGGAGGGCAGTCCGGTGGAGTTCTGAGGAGGAGCAAGTGGCTGCCAGTGCCTCTCTGGCGCTGAGTGGGCATGTGCGGCAGGGGATGGTTCAAGACCAAGAGAGAGTGCCATCACCTCGTCGTCCTGTCGTCGTCCCACCTCGCCCCTGTGTGCCCGCTTGACATGTCCAAGGTCCAGTCAAAGGTGCGCTTACCCTCTCTACCCCCCTGCGGTGTCGACCCGCCGTCGAGCGAGCTCACCGTCTTGGCTCCCTCGCCTCATCGCCTCGCCGCTCGCAGAACGAGAAGCCCCACCTCGCCCTCATCGCAGGCGCCTTTGCTGGTGGCGTAGAAGGCGCTGCAACCTACCCCTTCGAGTGTCTGTCCACCCCTCGCCCGCTCTCGTGCCACCCTCGCTCACCCTCTCCCCCCGCCCTCCCTCTCCTCGGCTCCCCTCTCTCCCCCTCGCAGACCTCAAGACCCAGACCCAGTTCGCCCACCGCACCGCCGGTCAGAAACCACCTGGCCTGTGGGCCATCACCCAGCAGACGTTCGCCCGCCACGGCATCACGGGCTTCTACTCGGGCGTCGGCGCCCTCGTCGCCGGCAACTCGCTCAAGGCCGGCGTCCGCTTCCTGTCGTACGACCGCTTCAAGCAGCTCCTCGTCGACGACCAGGTGCGTCCCACCCTCCCTCCTCTTGCTTCCCTCGCCCTCGAGCGCACACTGAACCTCGTCGTCGCTCGCAGGGCAAGCTGAGCGGTCCCAGGAGCTTGCTCGGTCCGTCCCGCCCTCTCTCTTGCTCCCTCGAGGCCAAGCGACTGACCCTTGCCCTCCTCACGCAGCTGGACTCGGTGCAGGCATGATGGAAGCCCTGTTTGCCGTCACGCCCTCGGAAACCATCAAGTGCGTCCCGCTCGTTCGCCCTGTCCCGCCCTCGTCGCACAGACTCTGACCCTCGCCGACCCGCCACAGGACCAAGCTCATCGACGACCAGAAGCGCGAGATCCCGCGGTATCGAGGGCTCGTGCACGGCACCATGTCGATCGTGCGCGAGGAGGGCATCTCGGGCATCTACCGCGGACTCGGCCCGGTCGTACGTCCTCTCTTCCACCTCTTCTCGATCTGCGTGCACCTTGTCCCGACTCGGATGAACGCTCGCAGGCGGCACGGCAAGGCGCCAACTCGGCGGTGCGCTTCACGACCTACGGCACGCTCAAGGTCCGCCCTCCTCTCTCTCTCTCTCTGCTTGCCCCTCACTGATACTCGCATTCTCGCCCGCAGTCGTTCGTCCAGGGCAGTCGGCCAGGAGAGGCGCTCCCGTCCGGCATCACGTTCGCGATCGGTGCTGTCGCCGGCGTCGTCACCGTGTACGCGACCATGCCCCTCGAGTGCGTCCTCCTCTCGCCCTCTCGCCCTCTCGATCCGACTCTAACTCGCCCCCGTTGTCCGCCGCAGTGTCATCAAGACGCGCATGCAGTCGCTCGAGGCGCGCACGCAGTACCGCAACGCTTTCCACTGCGCGGCGCGCATCTTTGCCGAGGAGGGCGTGCTGCGGTTCTGGCGCGGCGCGACCCCTCGCCTCGCCCGCCTGGTGCTCAGTGGCGGCATCGTGTTCACCGTGTACGAGAAGGGTGCGTCCCCTCTCTCTCTCCCTTTCCCTCGTCGGCGAGGTCGAGGCAGAGTCTCTCCCTCTACCGTGCGCCCGACTGACTCTCTCTCTCGCGTGCACGCCCACAGTCATTGTCCTGATTGGCGGCCGGGCAGTGTAGAGCCGTCGCCGTGCAGCGATAGAGACTGGAACCCGCTCGAGCTCGTGTTGTCCCTCGCTGTGCGGGCCGAGAGAGCGCGAGAGCGAGGGCGGCGAGCGAGCTCGTGGGCCAGTATTGTCTGGCTCTGTCGAGGCTCCCGGCAGAGCGAGAAGCATAGACGAGCGAGGTGTGGTGCGCCGAGCCGGCTTGCGCGAGAGTCGGACTTGCTGTTGGACGACGCTCAGCTCGTCTCGCTCCTCACCTCGACAGCGCACCGCTTGCCTGTCCCACCTGCATCCTCTAGAGCTTCATCGACCTCGCGCAACCAAGCCCAGCCAGCCACAGCGCTCCCTCGCCCTCCACCAGCTCGATCGACCGCTTCATCGGGTCGTCGTCTTCTCTCCCCTCGTTCTCGCTCAACACCCATCTAGGTGCGTCCCAGATTCTCTGTTCTCGTCTCCTTGTGCTGCGCAAGCCGCCATACCCACAGCATTGGACCCCGCTGACCCTCGTTCCTCTCCCTCCCCGCCCCTCCTCGTTCCGCCTCGTCTCGCAGATCCGCCTTCCACCATGGCTCGCTGGACCCCGCCATTCCCGCTCTGCTCTGCATCGCAGAAGGAGTCGTTCGCCTACGAGTCGACCGGTGCGCCCACGTCCTCGTTCTCCTCCCAGACCATGGAGCTGACCCTCTTCCCTCCCCCCTCCCATGCCCTTCCCTCCTCCAGTCAAGCGGTGGCCGGTCATCTTGACGCAGATCATCGACGAGGTGGCGCGCATCAACGGCGAGCTCACGACGAGCGACGCCGACAAGGTCACCGAGGGCAAGAAGGTCATCAACGACATCGCCGGCATGATCTACGAGATGCGCCACGACAAGGTCCTCACGCCGCTCGAGCGTGCGTCCCACTCTCGACGTCCCTGCCTGGGCCGATGAGCTCACCCTCTCTCCCTGCCTGCCCGCAGCGACCGGCCTGCCGGACGACACCAAGGAGTACAACGACGAGCTCGCGCACTGGGCGTCACAGGGCACCGACACGTGGTTCACCGCACCCTGGCTCGGCGCCGAATGTGTGCGTCCTCTCGTCTTCTCTCTCTCGGTCGTGAACGCGAGCGTGCGCCTGACTCGCCCCCTTCTGCAGTACCTGTACCGCCGCCTGCGCGGCTTCTTCGCGACGACCAAGCACTGGACCCAGTTCGACCCGTTCGCGTCGCAGAAGCTCTCGACCTGGCGTTCATCGGCCGCCGGCGCCGCCGCACTCGCCCAGACGCTCGAGAAACTCGTCGCGTCGGGCCCGGTCGACCCGGAAAAGGACCTCGACAAGCTCCGGCTCGACTTTATCGGCATGCTCGAGGTCGACCTGTGGGGCAACGCGACCGACCTGAGCCTCCTGACGAGCTTGACGCACGAGGAGATCCAGCAGCTGCAGAGCGTCGAGCGCGGGCAGAAGTTTGTCCTCCGCAACGACTTTGAGCACGCGTGGAACCACGTCAAGACGCTCAAGGACGCCCGGGTCGACATCGTCATGGACAACAGCGGCTTCGAGGTGCGCCCGCATGTTCGCTCTCGTATTTGAGCCTCGCGTCGAGCCGGCTCTGACGTTCACGCCTGCCCGCAGCTCTACACCGACCTCGTCCTCGCCGACTGGCTCGTCACGCTCTCGCCCTACGTGTCCGAGGTCGTGTTCCACCCCAAGCTCATCCCGTGGTTCGTGTCCGACGTCCAGCCGCACGACTTTGCGCTCCTCCTCGACTCGCTCAACGACCCGGCCTTCTTCCCCGCCGCCGCCGGCCTGTCGGACGCCGACCGCGACGCGCTCAAGGCCGTCGGCGCCAGGTGGCGCAAGTACGTCGACGAGGGCAAGTTCCGCCTCTCGGTCCCGCTCGACCTCAAGATGGGCGACCAGGGCGGCGAGGTCGCCGATTTTTGGACGTCGTGCCACCCGTTCTCGGCGCTGCCCGCCCAGGCGCCCGAGCTCCTCAACGACCTGCAGCAGGGTTCCCTGTCGATCTGGAAGGGCGACCTCAACTACCGCAAGCTCGTCAGCGACGCGTGGTGGCCGACGACGACGCCGTTCGACGAGGCGCTCGGACCGCTCCGGGGCCACCTCAACATCCTGTCGCTGCGCACCAACAAGGCCGACGTGTGCGTCGGCCTGCCCGTGGGCACCGAGGAGCGCGTCGAGAAGGAGGACGCGAGGTGGAGGGTCAACGGCAAGCGAGTCGAGCTTTCTCTTCCTCCTTCCTCTCTCGCCTCTCCTCCTCGCCCTTCTCTGCCTCTTTTTGCCTCTCTGTCGTGCCCATTTACCTCGCGATGCACGCACTGACTCTCTGTCTCTCCCTGTGGCGCAGGTACGCCGTCGTCAGCTTCTCGCCTCGCGACAAGTAGATCGTTCCTCGAGATACATCGGCCGCGCCCTCTCCTCTCCCCTCTTGTCCTTAGACCTCCCCGAGCACGGACGCCGCATAGACGTGCAACAGCGAGTGCCCTGTATCCATCTCTCGTGGAGCGACGCCCGCATCCGCTCGTGGCTCCGCGACGCCGGCATCGTCGGCGTCGAGCCTCGCGAGCAAGAGCGTCTCGAGCCAGATGAAGGTGGCCGGATACGACCCGAGCGTCATCTCGAAGAGCGCTTCGTCGGCCGGCAGCGTCGCCGACAAGTCGGGTGCGCTCGAGCCTCCTACCTTTTTTTGACCTTCTCAAGTCGACCTCGCACTGACTTTCTCTCCCCTCCTTGTCCCTCTGCCTCTCGTACAGCCTCGTCCCTCGCCTCGTCGGCGTCGTCGGCGTACCACGCCTACATCACGGGCGCCGTCTCGTCGGCCTCGTCGGCGTCCAAGTCGCTCTCGTCGCAGGCCAAGTCGGTTTCGGCGTCGGCCAAGCAGGGCGCGTCGAGCATCAGCTCGTCGGCGTACGCGAGCGCGACCAGTGCCGGCGTCGACAAGAAGCACGCCGCGTCGTCGGCGAGCTCGGTGAGCCGTTCGGCTGAGTCGGCGGCGTCGAGCGCAAGCCGGTCGCTCTCGAGCAAGCTCTCCGAGGTCAGCAAGAGCGCGTCGAGCTACGTCCACGCCGAGCTCTGAGCGTGTCTATCGTTGTCGAATGAGCGGCCTCGTCGCCCACGTCGTTCTCGCTTCCTTCTCCTCCTCCCCCTCGCCTGTGTCTCCCCTTTCCTCCCTCTTTCTTCCTCCCGGCCCCACCTTTGTACAGAGCCCCGCTTCGAACGTTAGTCACCCTCGAGTGCAATAGCAGTGCCGTCTCCTACTCCCTCGTCGTGCGTGCTCGCCTCGAGAGAAACCATCGGCCGGGGTCCGAGCGGTGCAAGCGGTTAAGCGTGAGCCCTCGCGATTGTCGCACGTCGAGAGTGCAGCTGCTAAGGGTCGTCTGAGGCTGTCTCTCCTGCAGAGCGTGACCGCTTTGCTGTGGGCTGCTTGCTCTGCCGCTCGCGAAAGCCAGAGCGAGATCACCTCGTACGAGCCGCTTTTGCCTCGCGCCGCCTTAGACCGCTCGTTCTGCTCTGTGTCTCTCTCTCGCTTTCAGCCAGTCACATGAACGTCACGTCATCAAGATTCCGATAGACAAGCTACAGGCGCTCTCGCCTCTCCTCCTCCTCAACCGCTCCCGTCGCCCCGCCCACCTAGTTCTCCCGCACCCTCGTCCTCGCGCAGCGACGGCTCCTCCTCCCTCTCGCTCACGTCCTCGAGCTCGGTCCTCCGCCAAACCCCGTCGGCGGCGGCGCCGGGAACGCGCTGACGACCTCCCTCGCGTCGCGCACGTCGTCGTCGTCGTCTTCGGACGTCGAGAGCGAGAGGATCGAGCTCTGCATCGACGCGCGGCGGACGTGTTTCGGCCGCGTAGGTGGACGCGTCGCGAGGGGAGTGGGTGTGACGACAGGAAGAGGGGCGGGCGGGAGAGGTGCGCCGGGAGCGGGAGAGGGCGCAGGAGGTGGAGGAGGACGGCGAGGAAGGTGGACGGGCGGGGCAGGAGGCGCGAAATGGCGACGGGGCTGCGACTGCTGCAACGCTGACGATGACGAGGTCGAGAACGAGAGGGCCGACGAGGTGGTGGCGGGTGGGCGGCCGAGGAAGCCGGCGGTAGGAGTGGCCGCGCACGACGACGACGGCATGGGCAGAGGAGGAGCGCGCTCGGCCCGTCTCGAGACAGGCGCTCCGCTCGGCTCCTCGCACTCGTCGCTGCTCCACCCAAAGTCGAGGAAGGGCCGGCTCTTCCTCGAGAGCTGCGGCCCCTCGGCCACCGCTCGAGCCTCTCGACCGCGCTCGAGCCCCTCGAGATCGCCCTCGCCCTCGACCTCGAACTCGACGCCGCCGTCGTCGCTCGCCGCGCGCACGAGTCCTCCAGCCTCGAGCGCCCTGCGCTCCATGACCGCGATCGCGTCGACGCTCGCGCCCGCCTCGGCCGCGCTGCTCGCGCCGCTGCTTTCCCTCGTCCTCGTGCGGCGCGGCCGGCCCTCGAGCGCGTCGAGCGCGTGAGAGCGCTGCGAGCGCCGCGTGTGCGACGACGCGACCGAGAGGAGCGTGTTGCTGCGGCGGGGCTGGGTCGTGCGGCCGGCGTGTAGGCGAGTCGACGAGGGAGGGCGAGAGGACGGTGGCGGAGGTGGGGTGCGCGAGGGCGGTGGCGTCGGGAGAGGGGATACGGGAGGTGGAAGGGCGGGGAGGGAGAGCGTCGAGGGCGCGGCCGTCACCGGGAAAGCGGACGCGCTGCCCGTCGACCAGGACGCCGGCGAGTCCGTCCGCAGCACGTCGATCGCCCGCCGTGACCCTTCCTCGCCGCTCGACTCGTACGACGTAGCCCTCGAGCCGAGGCTCGGCTGCCGAGAAGCCCTCGCCGGCGCTCGCTCCCGCCCGCTCGCCGCCTCGCTCGAGCTCCCTCCCGCGCTCGCGCTCGTCCCGCTGAACACGTCGCTCGTGCGCCCGGCAAAGAAGGCCGAGAAGCGGATCGACTCGGGGCTGAGCCGCTTGGGCTTGGGCAGGCGCGGCGGGCCCGGGTCGAGCGCGAGCCCGGCTGACACGTCGGCGCTGTCCGGGCGCGCCGACCACGTCGAGTTGCGCCAGTCGGGCTCGGCGGCGCTCGACGCCGGGTAGAACGACGGGATGCCGCTCGGCGAAAAGGTCGACGACGCGTACGACGTGATGCGCGCTGTCTGCGGGAACGAGTCGCGCGACGACGAGTGCGACGGGGCGCGGCGGCGCTCGCGCACTGGCGAGTTCTCGATCGTCTGCGTCGGCGACGAGCCGTCGTAGTCGGACGTGATGAACGCCGAATGGGGCAGGGTCGACGGCGGCGTGAGAGGCGTGGCCGGGCGCCAAAAGTCGTCGTCGTACTCGCCGCCGCAGCCGTTCGAGATACCGAGGCCGCCGAGTAGGGCGCCGGGCGAGTACCGCACCGGGACGCTGATCGAACGCTGACGTGCGTGCGAGTACGGCGTTGAGACGCGAGACGAGGTCGAGCTGCCGAAGGAAGTTGAGGGCACGAGCGACTGGCGGTGCATGTGGTCCGACAGGTCGGCGGTGAGGAGCGATGCCGAGCTGGGTCTGCGGGAAAGGAGCGGGTCAGGTTCACGATCGAGGCGAGAGAGGTCGAGAGCAGGACGCACTTCTTGACGAGCGTCTGCTTGCGCTCCATGCCGAGAAGCTTTGCCGCCTTGCCGCTCGGGACCACACCCTCGCCGAGGAACCTCGCCGCCTTGCCGCCGACTCGACCAGGGCCGCCCTCGTTCTGCGTAGCGCTGCTCGCCCAGTCAAAGTCGTGCTCGGCCGGGCTCGGGAGCGGCGTCGCGAGGAGGAGCGCGACGGGCGCCGGACCGACGCGCGAGCCCGTCGGGCTGCTGATCTCGCGAGGGTAGGTCGCAAAGCCACGCGTGCCAACAAAGGGCTGGTGGCGGAGGTCGGTCGAGCCGGAACGAGAGCGGAAGCTCGCGGCGGACGAGGTCGAGGGGAAGCGAGAGGAGAGGGGAGGAGAGGTTGGGGGCGAGGTGGTGCTGCCGCTGTGCTCGCGCGCGTGCGGGTGGTTGCCGGTGAGCGGGGCGAAGGTCGAGCGGAGCGAGAACTTGCTGCCCTTGGTGACGAGGCGGCGGAACCCTCCTCCTGCGCTGCTCGCGCCCGTCTGCGCGCTTTTGCCGCTCGGCACCGACTTGGCGGGGCTCGGCAGCACTGCGACTCGCCCACCGGGTTCGAGGTCGGTGCTGGTGCGAGGCTGCAGGAGGGCCGTGTCGCTCTGGCTGCGGGTCGCCGAGGGTGGCGGTGCAGGCGGGGGAGGAGGGGGAGGACCGAGAGGAGGCTTTGGCGGCGACGAGGGCGAGTCCCACGGGATCTTGTCGACTGCGGCACCGTGCTTGGTGGTCGTGTGGTGGTGCTGGCGGCGCAGGAAGCGCGGTCGGAGAGGCGAGTCGGGCGGGGTCGTCGTCGACTCGCCCGCGCCGGCCGCGGGAGGGTGGGCCGACGACGAGTTGCCGAAGCGGAAGCGCGAGTGGGCCGACTTGTCCTTGGGCGTGAGAGGCTGCGTCGCGCCAGTCGAGTAGGCGGCCGGCATGGCGCCGCGAGTGGTGGAAGCGAGAGAGGCCAAGAAGCGCGGACGCGGCTCGTGCTTCTCCTTGCCCCGCACCTCGTGGTTCTCGTCCGCACGCGGCTCGAGCGACCGGGTTCTTCCGTGGAGCCGGCGCAGCACCGAAGCGAAGCTCGCCAGGCGGTGCACAAGGAGATCGAGCGATCACCACGGTCGTCGCCGAACAAAGGGAACGACGAAGGCGACCTTCTCAAATCGCGGCTCGAGACGACTGTCGAGAGCGACGCTCTCCTGCAGCCGAGTGAGAGATAGGGATGCTGCAAAGCTACAGATAAAGTACTGCGACGCGAGCTACACAAAGAGAGCGAGAGCCCGACAGCGACCGTCACTCGTCGCTGTCCCACCGCACGCCGTGCCCAGCCTCCTCGTCGGCCTCCCTCCTGCGCCGCGCGAGCCAGTCGGCCTCGTTCTCGTCGTCGCCGTCCTCGCTCGCGGCCGGGACAAAGAGCGCGTTCGGGTCGGGCGACGCGCTCGCGTCCGTCCCGGCCTCGCTGCTGCCGTCGCCCCGTCCTCCCTCGCTCCCGTCGCCGTCGCCCTCGTCCTCGTCCGACGAGTGGTCGCCGAGCCCAGCGAGGTAGCGGACCTCGGCCCGATTCCTCCACAACCGCACGCCGTCCCTCGCCGCCCCGACCCCGCCGCCGCCGCCCCTCCTCCGGCTCCTCGCGACGCTCCTCAGCGCGCGCTCGACGTCGTCCCACGCCTCGTCGTCCTCGAACGCGGTCCAGCGCGGCTCGGTCGTCGTGCGCAGGACGTGCCACGGCATCTGGCGCGGGTAGTGCCACGCCTCGTGGAGCGTGAGGGTGCGCAGGCGGGGCGGCATGCGCGACGGGCGCAGGAGGGCGACGAGGGCGGCGAGCGGGATCGACGGGTGCGTGAGGCACTGGAGGGTGAGGGACACGAGCTCGCTCGGGGTGGTGGACGAGGTCGGGGCATTGGCGGGGGACGGCGAGGGAAAGAGGGACGCGAGGAGCGGGTAGTCGACGCCCGGCCCGCCGAGAACGACCTCCTTGACGGCGTGAAAGGGCGCGAGGAGCCCGTCTGTCGTCGTAGTACTGCTCTCGGCGTCGCTGTCGCCGACGATCGGGTGCTCGAGGAGGAGGCTGAGGCTGCTCAACGAGCGCGTGAACGCCGGCTCGTCGTTGGTGACCCGGTCGCGCCCGAGCACTGCGAGCATCGGGCCGCTCGACCGCGCGTGGTGCGCGAACGCGACCTCGCTCAGCTGGAGGTCGGTGAGGCAGCTGCTGCGCTCGGCGTCGCCCGTCGCCGTGCTGCCGAGGAGCCACCGCAGCTCGTCGGCGCCGCCAAGCTCGCACTGCGTGAGGACCAGCAAGCGCAGGCGGAAGCGCGGTTGGGGCGACATGCGGCCCTCGAGCGGCGGGTCGCCGGCGCCGTCGCCGTCGTTGGGCGCGCCCGGCGCCGCCGTGAGGACGAGGCGAACGCGCCACAGGTCAAGCGCCGTGAGGTGGTCCCACGCGCCGAGGGCCGCGACGTGCGGTGCGCGGCCGAGCACCGGGTCGGCCCACACCTGGAGGCGCTGCTGCACATCCTCGACAGCGACGATGACCGTCTCGAGCGTCGCGCCCCACGCCGAGAGGGCGCGCTCGAGGCGTGCGAGCTGCGCGTCGCGCACGGCGGCGGGCTCGCCAAAGTCGCCCTCCGGCGCAACGTCGCCCTCGAGCCAGGCGCCGACGCGCAGGTCGAGCTCGACGTGGCGCACGCGGGGCATGAGCTCGAGGGCCTCGGCGACGCGGTCGAGCGTCTCGGGCTGGGCGAGGCGCGGCTGCGGGACGAGGGCCGTGACCGGGTCGACGTCCGGGTCGTCAAACAGGGTCGAGGACGGGTCCGGATCGGGCGCGCGGACCTTGAGGATGCGGACGAGGTGGCCTGCGACGCCGGCGCGGAGGAGGGCGACGAGCTTGAGGTCTTGCCCCGAGGGCGCGGCGACGACGAGCGAGAGCTTGAGGTACAGGTGGCGCCTGACGACCGGTGCGAGGGTGCGGCACACGCGCAGGAGGGACGACAGGGCGAGGCGTGCCGGGCGAGGTTTGGGCGGGAGCGACAGGAGGACGATGTGGTCGAGGAGCTCGGGCGATAGTCGCAGGAGCGGGGATGGGCGGTCTGCCATGGCCTGTGCGGAGCGGGTGTGAGCTCTACTGCGGCCTGTGTGGGCTCGAAAGGGGGGACGTACAGTAGCTGGCGATGAGGTGGGGCGGGACGAGGTGAGCGAGGACGAGTCGGGCACGAGGCGGCGCGCGAGTAAGGCTCGGCGGGGCGTGCACAGCTCTCGGGCAATGTACAGGTGCGAGTGCGGTGCTCGTAGCGAGTGAGGGCGAGAGCGACGAGGGAGTCGAGGCGAGGAGGCGAGCGAGATCGGGTCCATCTCTGTCCCTCCACGGCCGCTTTACCTGAGCCAGCTGTGCGCCAACACGCACGCTCCGAGCACCGTGCTGCCCGTCCACAGCGAGTGCCGCGCCACGACGAGCTGTGCTCGCCCCTCTCGTCCTCATCGACCTCATTGAACCCACACCTCGACACCCACTCCCTCGTGCCTCTGAGCCAGGTGCGTCCTATCTCTCCTTCTTGTGGCAGTATACTGGAGGCGGCAGCTTTCGAGCCAGGCCGAGCAGACGAGACTCGCTCCACCTCGAGCGCCTGGCGGCCATCAAGGCGACCTCGCGGCGGGCAGCTGCAGCACGGTACAGGGGCCAGCAGCTGTCGTTACGGCGCACGCAGAACGCCAAGCACCCTGGGAAGAGCCGGCGACTTTGTCGTGCCGCACTCGGTCGCACCGCCTCGTCCTCGTCGGCCAGCTCGAGGTGCACCGCAGCCTGGCGCGAGGGGCAACAGCAGCAGCGCCAGTCTCCCCGTCTAAGCAGTACTGACCAAGCTCTTGTCACATGCGCAGGCCCGTCATGTCGTTCCTCTCGCGCTTCGCATCGCGCAAGGGCAAGGACCGCTCGACCAAGCGCTCCCCCTCGGACCCGTCGTCGTCGTCCAGCGCCGCCCAAACCCGCCAGGACCTCCTCCCTCTCACCCTCCCGACCTCGTCCCTCCTCGCCGACGCCTCACGCGCCAACCCGCTCCTCCTGTCGCCCACCTCGCACGCCGGCACACGGTCACACACCGCCCTCGACGCCGACGACGACGACCTGCGCTCGCTCCGCAGCGTCGACACGACGCCCTGGGTCCACGTCGACGCCGCGACGGCCGCCGACTCGCCCGTCAAGCCGCGCCCTGGTGCGCCGTCGACGCCGCACCGCGAGCACCGCGAGCGGGTCGACCCGGCGCGCGAGAAGCGCGAGCGCGTCCGCCTCGAGCGCGCACGGCTCGGGCCCGCAGAGGTGACGCTCCTGCTCGACGAGTGCGGGGGCGTCATCCGCTCGCGAGGTGAGTCCCTCCCCTCCCTCCTTTTCCTCAAGCCGTCGGCGGCAGGACCTCGACTGACCTTCCCAAATCGCGCCCGCAGGCCTGACGACCCTCGGCCTGTTCCGCCCGTATCGCGCATCCGAGTCGCGCTCGGCCATCCGGGCCCTGTGCCTCGCCTTCCTCGACTACGTCGCCGAGTGCGCCGCGAGCGCTTCTCGAGGAGGCGGTCCGGGCGTCGACGGCAGCGGCGGCGGTGCGGGAGCGAGGGCAGACGACGCGCGAGGGACCGAGGCGAGTAAGGCGGTGCTGCTGCATGCGTTCAGGGAGGAGCTGCGGTACGCGGGCGTGCACGACGTCGTCGCCGTGCTCAAGTGGGTGCGTCCCGGACTGTCCTCCCTCGTCTCGCTCGCCGGTCCTCCAGCTGCGAGTCGATGCTTATGTGCTTTGCGGACACACAGGGTCTCCGCCACCTCGTCTACCCACCAGGCACCTCGTTCGCCGGTCGCGGCGTCCCGTCGCTCGACTTCTACACAACTTTCGTCGCCCGCACCACGCCCGTCTTGCCGCCACTCGCCTTCTCCGCCTTCCTCCTCCCCTCCCTCCCTCCTGCTTCCCAGTCCCTCCTCCTGTCTGCCCTCGGCCTCATCCAGGCCGTTGCCGCCCACGCCCAGGAGAATGCCATGCCCGCCCACCGCCTGTGCCGCCTCTTTGCCGCCTACCTCTTCGGCGTGCACCCTGCCGCCTCGACCGCCACACTTTCCTCATCGACCTCGACCTCGACCTCGTTCGACACGGCGCACGAGCAGTTCTGCCGCGCCGGCGACGCCCTCGAGGGCATGCTGCGCGCCTCGCTCGCCGAGCAGACGGACCTCCCGCCCCGGCTCGCCGAGCTCGTCGATGCGCCCGCAGCCGCCGGTCGCGAGCTCGAGTACGAGCGCACCGTGCGCGTCCTGCGCGTCGAGCTCGAGACGCGCGGCGAGTGGGACGCGGCGACGGCGGCGGCGGCGGGCGAGGGCCGTATCAACGACCAGGACACGGGGCGCGCAGCGGCCTTGCCGCGTGCGCCCGGGCAGGGCGGCAGCACGGCGGCGCGCAGGATGCCGCTCGACGTCCTGCGCGAGGCGCTCGCGCTCGAGAGCGTCGGCGGCGACGGCGACGGTGACGCGGCGGCGCAGGTGTGGGACGCGCTGCGGGCGTGCGCGAGTGCGCAGAACGGCGGGCCCGAGGCGCTCCTCGACGGCGAGGTCGTGCGCGTGCTCGACCTTGTCGGACTCGGCGCGGCGGGCGACGGCGGCGAGGTGCCGTTCGCGCTCCTCGGCGGCGGCGGTGCGGGCGGCGCCAGGGGCCGCACGATGAGCCACAATGCGGCCGACGCAGGCACAGGTGTCGGGCAGGGCGAGCTGGGCTCGCTCGCCGGGCGCCTGGCGAGCCGCAGCACGGGCAACCTCCTCGCGCCGTCCAAGCCAGCGAGCTGGGACGTCTTTGCCTCGAGCGGGTTCGCCCCGACGCCGGCCGACGACCTCGGCCTCCTGAGCGAGGCGCAGCTCCTGCACCGCGCCGAGGCGCTCGCGGCGGCGCAGCGGCGCGCCCGCCCCAAGCCCGTCTCGCGCCTCGTCGGCGTCAGCCTGTCCTCGGTCGACGAGGCGTTCGCCGACCTGTGGCTCGACTCGCTCGACGAGACGCGCTCGACGCAGAGCCCGTGCGCCGCGTGGCCGTCGATGGTCCTTGCGCCCCTCGAGCGCGACGTCGCGGCGCAGCTCGGCGACGAGGCGGCCCGTGCGTTGGTGCGGCACCTCCTCGTCGTCGAGGTCCTCCTCCCGCTCGAGCAGCGCCGCCCGTCCCTCGCTCCGCCACCGACCCTCGCACCGCCTCCCTTTGCGCGCGCGGGCTCGTCCGTCGCCCCGTCGTCGCGCGACAAGGACGGCGCAGGTGGCGGTTTTCCCGGCGCCAGGTGGCGTCGCCGCGCGAGCGCCATCTTCAGCCACTCGGCCGTCAACCTCGGCGAGCCTCCTGTCGTCGCCAACGGCGGGCCGAGCGGGTCGAACGGCGCCAGGTCCGTCTCGTCGCCGCCGCCGTCGACCTCGCCTACTTCGCCGCGCCGCACCCGCATGTCGTTTGGCCGCCCTGCCCCTCCCTTCTCGTCCTCCTCCTCGCGCACCCAGCCCGCGCCCGCCGTCCCTCCTATCCCCTCGCTCCCGTCGAGCCCGTCGAGCGGCACGATCGGCGGCCACTTGGAGCGAGGAGGCGGGCCGGGCACGTTCGTGCGCTCGATCTCGCAGGGCTTCGCGAGCGCGCGCAGGAAGACGTCGCGCCAGAGCATGTACGGCGGCAGTGCGCCTGCGCCGCCGCTCGAGGCGCCGCTCGAGGACCAGGAGGCGGCCGCGGCGGTCCCGGTCCCGTCGTCGCCGCAGCGGTGGGAGAGCGGCGTTCTGCCGCAGGTCGAGGCGGGTGGAGCAGGCGGTGACGGCGAGGTGCGAGGGTACGACGTCGCGACGCCCGAGGGCAGCCCGGTCCTGCCGCGCTCCAGCTCGGGCGCCCTGCTCGCGCCGCAGTCGCTCGACGGCTACGGCGGCGGCGCCGCGAGGGAGGGTGCGCCGCCGCTCGGCCAGGTCGCAGTACCGTCGCCGGTCATGGAGGAGCAGGAGCTGTTCGAGGGCCAGCCGGCCGACATGCAGCGCTCGGTCCGTCCCTCTTCCTCCTTCACCATCTTCTGCCGTCAACTGACGCATCCCGCCACTGCAGGCTTCCGTCGATCCTCTCTCGGGCTCGCCCAGCTACCTCGAATCGGAACCACTTGCTCCCCAACACGGTGCGGCATTCGACAACCTCGCCTCGCTCGAGCCCGTCCTCTCCGCCGAGCCGCCGCTTGCCGCAGTTGGGCCGCCGCCGCTCCAGCCTGGCGCAGCGCCCGTGGACGCCATCGACCAGGTCGACCAGGTCGCTCTCGCGCACGGCGAGGCGAGCGAGCCGCAGCTCGTGCCCGTCGTCGAGCAGGGCCAGGACGTCGTGCCGCCGCCGCAGGTCCCCGAGACGGCCGACCTGCCCGCTCTCGCCGCCGCCGAGGACCCCGACGCTCCTCCTTTTGCCTCGACCTCCATCGAGACGGCCGTCCCTGCCGGCGAGATGACGGCAACGGCGCCGGGCTCGCACACGCCGACCGACCACCCCGCCAAGTCGCTCGTCGTCGACCAGCCCGAGACGATCACGGCCGAGACGCCTACCTCGCCGCTCGTCACGCTGTCGCCACCGCCTATGGAGCAGTCGAACGAGATGCACGGAGCGAGCGAGCACCAGGACGAGCTTTTCAAGACGGACGAGGACGGTCCTCAGCACGAGGTTCAGCAAGGTGCGCCTCGTCTTTCGCCGTCTTCTCTCGACTCTCCCGACGGTGTCGACCGGTTCTCTGACTGCTCATGCCTCGCACAGACCCGCCTGTCAGCGCCGTCGTCGGTCTCGGCCTCGTCGACGCTCCTGCACCTCCTGCCCAAGACGACGCCATCGCCCCAGCGACCCCGTCTAAGGACGCGCCGCCGTCGCCTTCCGCCCACGACCCTCACATGCCGAGCTCGACCGCCATGGCGCAAACCCTCTCGGCAGCCTCGGCTCGCTCCGGCGACTCGCGCTCGTCCCTCGCCGCGCCCAAGTCGCCGACCCCTTCGACGGGTTCGACGAGCTCGACCAGTTCGCGCAAGTTCCTCGCGTCCGTCGGCGGGTTCCTCAGGCGCAAGAAGAGCACCGTGTCGAAGGAGCAGGCCAAGCGCGACAAGGCCGAGGCGGCAGCTCGCGAGGAGCGCGAGGCCAAGGAGCTGCGCAAGCTCCGCGAGGAGGAGCTCTACCGCGAGATCAAGGAGCGCAAAACGCCGACGCCCGTGTCGAACGTCAAGGCGCGTGTGCGCGAGATCGAGGAGGAGGAGCAGCAGGCGGTCGGCTCGGGCAGCGTCGTCAGCCCAACGAGCCCAACGAGCCCGAGCCGCCCGGCGAGCCCCAAGACGCCGTCTCGGAGCCGGACGGCGAGCGGCGGCCCTCGTCCGGCGACGCCGACACGCAGCCTCGCCCGCCCGGGCTCGATGATGAGCCTGCGCTCGGCGGCGGCGAGCCGGGCCGCTGTGCCCGACCTGCCGTTGCCGCCCATCCCTGCGCTGGCGACCAACGGGACGGGCGCCGAGGCGCCACACGCTGGGCCTGCCGTCCCGCTCGTCGCCCCGAGCGCCGAGTCGACGTCACTCGGCGCAGCAGCAGCCGGCCTGCCGTCGCTCGTCGCCGCCGATGCAGCACTAGCCGACGACGACATCACGGGCCCAGTTATGCCTGCCGTCGTCGACACACCGGCGCAAGAGTCGCAGCACCTCCACGTCAAGGTGCCGACCGCGCTCGAGGACCTTCCCTCTCCCCTTCCCTCGCCGACCCCGCGTTCCGCCTCGACCGACGTGCCCCCTCTCCTCGCCCACGACGACGATCTCACGGCTCCTCTCGCCGACGTCGCTCCTCCCGTCTTTGCGCTCGCGACGGCGTCCGAGCCGGTCTCGGTCGCCGACGTCGAGACGCTCCTTTCCGACCCCGGCGAGGCCCGAGCGGCCATCCTCCCGTCGATCGACGTCTCGTCGCCCACCCCAGCGCCGCAGAAGCCTGAGCATCTGCACGTCAAGGTGCCCTCGGCGCTCGAGGACCTCCTCCCGCCTGCGCCGTCGCCGACGCCGGGAGCGAACGGGCACGAGTCGGGCGCAGCGGCCGTCCTCGTCGACGAGGACGTCACCGAGACGATCCCTGACGTCCGTTCGCCCGTCTCTACGTCTGTGGACACGGCGGGTGAGGGCGAGGAGCCTGTATCGGCGGCGCGGGCGGGCGAAGATGCCCTCGCGCCCGTCGAGGACGCTCAAGCGCAGGACGAGGACCTCGCATCGACGAGCGAGGTCGCGTCTCGCAGCGACGACGATGCGCATGTCGAGTTCATGGGAGGACACGCCCAGCGGGCGAGCGACGAGACGGTTGTCGCCGCGAGCGACCCAATCCGCCTCGGCGAGCCCGCGCAGCACGTCGTCGTCTCGCCCTCCCTCGAGCCTCCTTCCACCCCGGTCAAGCCCTCCTCCTCCTCCCCGTCCAGCTTCACGCCGACTGCGCACGCCACCCCCGTCGCTCCCGCCACAGACGACGTCTTCTCGGCCCCGCCTCCCGCCTCGACCGCCGCCGACGCGACGCCGACCAAGCCGACCGCACCTCTGCCGCACCCTCTTCTGCGCACCTCGACGTCGCAGTACTCAATGTCGACGACGCGCAGCTTCCAGACGGCCGACTCGTCGGCGCAATCGTCGGCCACCGAGGGCGAATGGGAACCGGCGGCGTCGCGCGAGGCCTTCTGAGGCACCTCTTCTCAGCCGCCCGCCCCCCCCTCCCCATCCACACTCGTGCCCTCGTCTCGCACATCATCCCCTACTTCGTCTCGATACCCCTTTACCCTAGTCTCGACACTACTGCCTTCGTCCTCGTCTTTCGCCCTTGCAACTCGAGCAACTCTCGCTTAATTTGCAACTCTGTGCTTCGGCAGGAGAGCTTGACGACGCGCGAGAGCTCGTTGCACGATCAAGAGTCGCGAGAGAACGATTCCCTGCTCTCGGTAGACGGGCGCTCGCCTCCTCAGCTCCTCCTCCTTGAACCTCGCCTCTCGACGGCAACCGCTTCGCCCGACACCGGCAGCTGCGTGAGTCGTCCGTCTCACTTTCTCGAGGGTTTCCCGTCCTTCTGTCCGTCGACGAGGGCCGTCTTAGACTGCGGGCTCGTCGTATCCCGCTTCGTCGGCGTGGAGGGACGCAGCCCGTCGCAGAGGGGTGGGAAAGGTCTGCCCGGTGGCCGTGCAGCTCTCATGGAGCTATATGCGCGGCTTCAGGGGTACAGCGTGCCTCAGGACGGCGACGAGCGGCTCTCTGTCCTCATCGGCGGCGAGTGCGAGAGACTCGCTTTCTCAGCTCTGTGCTTGCGCGTGCGCTTTCTGCGGCCGTTCGGGCATTCTAACAAGTACACCCGTCAGCCTGTATGGGCCCGACACGTCTAACCGGCTCACTGACGCCTCTTCGTCTCCCGCCCTCCCGATTCCCCGCGCAGACCTCGGCAACTCGTCGAAACGAGCGCATCTTTGCTCCAACTGGCACCGCGACAGCATCGAATGTCGTCTCGTCGCTCGTCTCGCAACCTAGCCGCAAGCGCTCAGCTCGTTCCGCCTGCGCGGGCCGACTCGTCGAGCTCCGCCGGCACGCACGGCCGCCGCAGCAGATCCTGCGACTCGGACGCGTCCGCCAGCACCGCCCTCACGCCCGTTCCCGAGAGCGAGCTCAAGCAGGCGACGCCGCACGTGGGCGACGAGCAGACTGCCCCGTCGCAGGACATCGTCGACGCCGACAAGGTCGAGAGCGACGCGTCGTCGTCGCCACGCCGCAGCGCCCGCCACTCGGGCGGTACCAGGCCCAACTACGCGCTCGTGCACGACGGCGACTTTGACGGTACCCGGTCGAGAAAGCGGCAGAGCAGCGCCGTCTCGGACCGCGCCATCTCGCCCGTCGCGACGAGGTCGAAGCGCCGCCGTGCGTCCGAGCGCTCGTCTGAGGTCGAGGTCGACGATGCCGCCTCAGCCACGCCCGAGATCGAGTCGTCGAGGCGCTCGCCGACCGGCGACGAGCGCGAGGGCGCGTCGCTCAAACCTGTCGAGCAAGCCACGACCACGGCCGACTTGTCGCCGCTCACGTCGCCGCCCGACACGTCCTTCGACTCCAACACGCGCCTTCCTGCGCCCATCTCGAGCAACATGCTGTCGGGCCCGACGTCGGCAGACGAGGTCCGCTCGACGGCCGTGACGGCGTCGATGTCGGTCGGCAAGATTGAGGACGAGCTCGTGGTCCGCTCCGACGACTCGATGCGCTCTCACTCGGGCCTCAAGCACGGCGACATCGCGACCGACCAGGCCGTCGCTCGCAGCAGCAGGCGGCTCGCCGGCGTTGCTCACGCCGCCCCGAGGAGAAAGCGCCAGACGCCGCTCTCGTCGCCGCCGCCCAAAGCTTGGTTCGAGGGTGCGTGGCTGCCTCTCTGCCTCCTTCAGATCGTTGTCCTGACTCTATACCTCACGCAGTCATTGTCCAAGGCGATGCCTATGCCGCCGTCACCGCCGTCGCGCCCGTCGATCCTGGCGACGGCTCACCCTTCTTGCCCCTCGTTCCGCTCGCCATTGTCCGCCACGACGACTCGTCGGTCCGCCACACCTTCACGACCTACCGCTTCCCGCTCTTCGTCTCGAGCGACGAGCCGGCCAGCATCCAGGACGTCATCGTCCGGCTCAAGGGCAGCAGGAAGAAGGTGCGGGGTCCGAGCGCCGAGGAGATCGAGGGTGAGAGGGTGTCTGGGCGCGCCGAGGGCAGCGATGCAGGGCACTGGGTCGCAGTGTTGAGGAGCGGCGAGTACAGGTGGATAGCGCCGTGAACGCCCTCGTCGGTCAGTCGAGTCGCCCGTTGCCCTTTCTTCTCTCTTCCGGCCTCTCTCCGCCGGCCGCTTTCCCTCTCTTCGTGCCGCGTGTTTGCAATTCCTTGCAGTTCTGTCGCACGACTGTCAAGACCGAGAGTGCGACCATCTAGAGAGGGCGTCGAGCGCAGCGAAGAACGACTCTTTCTCGTCGCGCACGGCCTCGCGCCGTCCGAGCGGCCCTCGAGCAAGCAGCACGCAGCAAGGCGGTCACGCTCTGCAGGAGAGACCGCTTCGGACGACCCTCAGCGGCTGTACTCTCGACGTGCGACAACGGCGAGAGCTCACGCTCGACAGCTCGCACCGCTCGGACCCCGACCGATGATTTCTCTCGATGCGAGCACGCACGACGAGGGAGTAGGAGACGGCACTGCTATTGCACTCGAGGGTGACTAATGTTCAAAGCGGGGCTCTGTACAAAGGTGAGAGGGGAAGAGGCGGGGAGGAGGAAAGGGGAGACACAGGCGAGGGGGAGGAGGAGGAGGAAGTGAGGGCGACGACGGCTCCGAGGCCGCTCATCCGAAGACAGTAGACACGCTCAGAGCTCGTTGTGGACGTAGCTCGACGCGCTCTTGCTGACCTCGGAGAGCTTGCTCGAAAGCGACCGGCTCGCGCTCGACGCCGCCGACTCGGCCGAACGGCTCACCGAGCTCGCCGACGACGCGGCGTGCTTCTTGTCGACGCCGGCACTGGTCGCGCTCGCGTACGCCGACGAGCTAATGCTCGACGCGCCCTGCTTGGCCGACGCCGAAACCGACCTGGCCTGCGACGAGAGCGACTTGGACGCCGACGAGGCCGACGAGACGGCGCCCGTGATGTAGGCGTGGTACGCCGACGACGCCGACGAGGCGAGGGACGAGGCTGCACGACAGGCAGAGGGGCAAGGAGGGGAGAGAAAGTCAGTGCGAGGTCGACTTGAGAAGGTCAGGAAAAGGAGGCTCGAGCGCACCCGACTTGTCGGCAACGCTACCGGCCGACGACGCGCTCTTCGAAATGACGCTCGGGTCGTACCCCGCCGCCTTCATCTGGCTCGAGACGCTCTTGCTCGCGAGGCTCGACGCCGACGACGCCGACTTGCTCAGCTGGCTGACGCCGCTCGACAGCGACGCGCTCAGGACGCTGCTCGCGCTCGACGCGCTGCGGCTCGCCTCGTTGGTGAACGACGTGTACGACGAACCGGCGCGGTCGTTGGCCGACGTCGCCGAGGCGTACGCCTGCGCGCCGACCGAGTTGGCCGACTTGCTGATCTGCGACGGCTCGAGGCCCTGCTTGTGGAGCTCGCTCGAGATCGACTTGCTCGCGACCGACGACGCCGACGCAGCCGACTTGCTGGCCTCGACGTAGGCCGACGACAGGGACGCGGCCGCCGAGGCCGAGAACGACGACGCGCTGCGAGCGGCGTGCGACGACGCGCTGTACAGGCTCGCCGACGCGACCGACGCGGCCGACGACGCCGACGACGCCGCACGGTCACCGGCCGACGACGCGCTCGCGTAGATGGCGGTCGGCGCGGCGCTGGCCGACGACGCGGCCTTGACGGCCTCGGCCGAGGCGACCGACGACGCCGAGCTCGCCGAGTTGAGCGCGAGCGAGTAGACGCTCGACGCGCTCGAGAGGCCGGCCTCCCACACGCTGCGCGCCGAGGCCGACGCCTCGAGGACGCCGCTCGAGACGGACGACGCGACCGAGGCGGCGCTCGCACTGCCGGCGCTCGCGAGCGAGCTCGCGCTACGCGACGCCTGCGAGACGTAGCCGTCGGCGCCCTTCGAGACGGACGACGCGCTGCGCGAGGCCTGCGAGGCGTAGCCCTGCGCGCCCTTGGACGCCTGCGAGGCGTAGCCCTGGGCGCCCGACGACGCCGTGCCGTACAGGCTCTCGGCCTGCTGCTCGCCGTACTTGGCCTTGAGGCGCGCCTCCTCGGCGGCACCGCCAGCGACGCCGACAGCACCGCCGACGATGTTCTTGAGAAGGTCGGCGGCCGAGCCGAGCGAGCCCTTGACCTGGTCGTAGATCGAGCCGACGCCGGTCTGGGTCGAAACGTCTGCGGGAGGGGGAAAGGGTGGACGAGGAGGCAAGCGTCAGTAGCTGTTTGACTGAGACGAGGGCTCGGCGGCAAGAAGAGGACGCAGAGGCGAGAGAGGGCAGGAGAAGGGAGGGAAAGGGGAAAGGGGAGGGTGGAAGAGGGAGGGGACGCACAGTTCTCGTGCATGCGCTGCAGGAGCTCCTGGCGGTTGGTGCGCATCGGGACGGCGACGCCGGCGTCGCGCAGCCACGAGCGGATGCGGGCGTCGCTCCACGAGACGTACTCGGTCGTCTTGCTCGCCGAGTTGGTGTAGTGCTTGCGGAACTCGGCCTCGATCTGCGGGACGGCGGGGAACTTGAGGTCAGGAACGACACGCTCGAGCGAGGGGCCGGAGGGGGGAGAGAGAGAGAGGACGCACCTCGTCCTTCTTCTTCTGGGCGTCGCTCTTGATGACGCCGTGCTTGATGAGCCAGCCACGCATGCTGTGCTCGTCAAAGCTCGACGCCATGGCGTCCTTGGTCTTGCCGTAGTTGTCCTTGGCGAGCTGCTCGAGCTGGTGGCGGCGCAGGCTCGAGCCGTCGGTCGCGCCGACGAGCTTCTCCTTGACGGCCCACGCGCGAAGCTCGGCGTCCGACCACGTCTCCCACAGGTACGACGTCGCGTCGTGGTCTGTGCGAGGTAGGGGGGAGCGGGGCGCAGAGGTCAGGGACGAGGTTCGGGAGGGACGAGGTCGAACGAGAGGAGGAGGACGTACAGTACTCCTTGACGAGGTCGATCAAGTCCTTGCGCTCGGCCTTGGGCGCGTACGGGATCTTGCGCGTGTCGAGGTAATGCTTGAGCATCGAGTCGTCCCACGCCGAATAGCCGCGGTCGCGCAACTTGTAGTAGTTGTCGGCGATGAGGGCGCGAGCGCTGCTTGGGGTGCGCAGCAAGGTCAGTCACGGCGACGCACGACGGGGAGAGAGGGAGGAAGGGGAGGGAGGACGCACTCGGCGGCGGTGGTCGTCTCGGTCGGCTTGACGAGGCCGCGGCTCTCGAGCCAGCGGCGGATGGCCGAGTCGGACCAGAACTCGTACGTCGTGTCGGCGGCGCCGTAGTAGCTGCGGCTGACGAGATCGAGCAACTCGTCGCGCGTGTTGGCCGTCTTGGACTTGACGACACCGTGCTTCTCGAGCCAGTTGCGCAGGTACGAGTCGGACCACGTGTCGTAGACGTGGCTCGCGGCCTCGTTGTACGGGTGCTTGATGACCTCGAGGAGCTCGTTGCGGGTCTTCTTGGCCTCGGGCTCGACGAGGTTCTTGGACACGGCCCACGAGTGCAGGTCGCTGTCGGTCCACGACGAGTAGGCGTAGTCGCGCGCGTCGTCGAGGAGGCCCGCGGCGTAGTCGTACGCCTGGGCCGGGGCGCCGACGGCGGCGTAGTAGGCGGCCGACGCGTTGTCGGTGACGGCGTGCGCGGCGTCTGACGCGGCGTCGGTCGTGCGGGCCCACGCCGAGTCGGCGGTGCGGCTCGCCTCGAGGCCGTGCTGGCGGGCGAGGACGACGAGCTCCTCGCGCTTGGACGCGGGCGAGATGATGCCCTTGTCGAGGAGGAACTTGCGCAGCTGCGAGTCGGAGAACGTGTCGTAGGCCGCCGCCTGGGCGTTGTCGAACACGACCTGGGCGCCGCGCTTGACCTGGCCGTGGGCGGCGTCGGCCTTGACGGCCGTCTCGTCCCAGTGGCGCTTGGCGAGCTCGCGCAACTGGTCCGTGTTGAGGTTGCCCGGGTTGGGGACGTGGTGCTCCTGCAGGTAGCGCTTGAGGCTGCTCTGGTTCCAGTCGGCCCACTGGGGCGGCGCCGAGTCGGCGAGGACCTCGAGCGTGCCCGAGGCGATGAGGATGGCGGCGCAGAGGGGTGTGATCCTCATCTGCGGGTGCGGCGAGTGCGGCGGCGAGAGGGGACGAGGTCGAGATGACGCGAGGGGCGGGGAGGTGCAAGTGCGTCAGGGCGGGATCCTGCCGGGCAGGGTGCAGGCGAGAGCGGGACGCACAGTGAAGACGGGGGGTGGACGCTTCGACGGGGTGAAGGGTCTTGAGGAGAGCAGAGAGGCGAGGTCGACTTGCGAGCAGCGAGCGACCGAGGTGATGACGGCACACTTGAGGAGGGTGGATCGAACCTGGGCGCGCGGGGAGCTGACTGCGGATGGACGAACGACCGCTCAGGTAGCTCAGTGGTCGGTTCTCGACTGCTGCAACAGCTCGGGGGACTCGCAGCGCACCTTGGGCACCTGTGACGAGCGGGACGAGGCGGTGCGACGACGACTCGCGAGAGCATCGACATCGACGGCCAAGTGGGGGCACGAAACTGCCTCCCCTGAGGCTATTCGAGTTCGCCGGTCAAAGCGGCCGGTACGACGATCTGCGTTTGCGCTCGTAACTAGCGACGCTCATGCTTTGCGCTTTGCGCTTTGCGATTGGCGCGTGCAGAGCGGGTCGAGCTGCTTCTGCGCTCTCTCACCCACGAGTGCTTCGAATGTGCGCAGATGAGTCGAGCGAGAGCGAGAGCCGCCCTTGCGGAAAAGAGGCTCGAGCGTTCGTCGCGCTCGTCGGCTCCTGCGCGTTGCTCTGTCTCTCGGTGTGCACGACGCCCAGATACGCTCACAGGTGCCACAGACACGCTGCAGTGCAAGCCCTCGTGACGTTCCTCTGACTCGCTCGCGCCGCCATCTACAAGATCGCCCTCGACGAACAGCCGTCGCTCGCCGCCCACACACGCTCAGTCGCCGCCCTGCGCCGCCTCGTAGCCGTCCCGCTCCTCGATCACGTCGACGTAGGCGCACGCGAGCGCCGCCCAGAAGCTCGGCTCGAGGCCCGACGAGTCGACGAGAGAGGGCGAGAGCGAGAGGGTGCCGCGCAGGCGAGGGTGGAAGAACCTGTGGCGGGGCAGGAAGGTCAGTCAGGGCTTTGTGTCACGATGGCGACAGTCGAGAAGGAGGAAGAGAGAGAGAGAGAGACTCGCCCGCTCGGCACCTCCTCGAACGCCATGACCGGCTCGGCGGCGAGCGCGTCCTCCTCCGACCCGCCGCCGGCCGCCACTCGCACGCAGCAGAACCGCCTCGGCGGCTCGACGACCCAGTTCTTGAGCTTGCCGAACAGCGACGAGCGGCTCTGCTCGCTCGTGTGGAACCCGGGCGGGAACGACGGCCGCAGGCGGTAGGTCGCGCTCGCGGCGAGCGACGGGCCGGCCGCCTTGACTGGCGACGACATCGATGATCGAGAGCGGCGGTGCGCGGTAGGCGAGCTGGAAGGGTTGTTGAGGGGCGTGGCCGAGGAAGCGGCTGAAGCGGCGGATGCGGTCGAGAGGGAGGGGGCCATGGCGGACGAGGCAGGCGCATCGTGCAGGTCGGTCGCCATGTCGAGCCGGACAGAAGGCGATCGAGGTCTCGTTGCCGCACTTGACGCCGACGCGGCCGAGCCCGCCTGGCCGTGCACGCGGAACTCGAGCTCGAGAGCGTCCGAACCGGCGCCTCGCCTGGTCTTGACCGGCGCGAGCTCGATGTACGGGTCGTCGCCGTCGGGAGACGAGGACGCTCGTTGCAGGATGAGGTACCAGCCGCGCGTCGGACGGCGGATGCGCCAACGAGGCTGGTGGAGCGAGTCCTGCGGGCGGGCGAGGACGGTCAGCGAGAGGAGAACAGGAGGGGAAGGAGGTGGCGGGCGAGCGTGGGCGTACAAAGACAGTCGACACAATCTCGTCGTCGTCGAGCTCGCGAGTCTGCAGGAAAATGCGCTCGTCAGTGAGCACGACCTTGACGGAGGAGGGGGAGCCGAGCGCACCTTGGTCCACAGAACGCGCCCGGTGCCGTGCTCCTTGACAGTGACGGCTTGCTGTCCATCGAGAGGCTCGTTCCTGCAAGTCAAGCCACGCGTCAGACGGCTGCGCTGTGTGTGGGACGGGCGGACAGATGAGAGTCGAGAGGGTGGACTCACTCCTCGAGATCGTAGCATCGCATGGTGGTAGCGGGACGTGGGCGGTATGTGGAGCTATCTGGCGACGCTGGTGGTGCTTGCGTCGCTGTTCGAGGCTGTGGGAGCGAGGTGCGGCGGGGTCGAGGTCGAGGTGGGGCGAAGGCGGCGAGCTGCCGCGTGGTGCTGGGCCGTGCGCGTGCGGTGCGTGCGGGTGGTGCGTCTCCTGGACAGGCAGCTTCACTCCGGCCGTGGAGACAGCTCGTGCAGGAGAGGCGCTGCAAAGGCGCAAGCACCTCCTCTCGATTCCTCGGACGGACACTTCTCTCGCACTGGCTCAAGTCGTGAGAGTCTCTCCTGGCCATTGCGGTCGCGAGATAGAGAGCGCTACACAGTGCGCGACCAGCGCGCTCGCCCGCTCACCAGTACGACGCCGCCTTGGCCGCCCGCTTCTTCTCGGCCTTGGCCGCCAGCTGCACCTCGAGGTCGGTCGGGCGCGACAGCCAGTTGGCGAGCCGCTCGGGGCTCTTGATGAGCATGACGGCCTCGACGAGCTCGCTGCGCCACTTGACCCAGCTCTGCGGCGGCGGCGACTTGTACCGCCCGAGCAGGATGTCGTCGAGCTGCGTCGGCTGGATCGCCAGGATCGAGCCGTCGTCTGGCGCGACCCATCGGCTGCGTGTGGGAGCGCGCGCGAGTCGGCGAGGGACGAGGACAGGAGAGGCGAGAGAGTGGACGCACTGGTCGCCGCCCGAGGGAATGCTCTTGACGAGGTACGCCGACTTGACGCGCTTGCCCTGCGTCTCTGGAGGCGCCGTCGCCGGGTCGAGTACCTGGAGGACGAGCAGGATCAGTACGAGGGCCCCTTCGAGCTGAAGAGAGAGGTGGGACGTACAACGGCCGGGAACCACGAGTAGTTGGGGAACTTGACCATGACGCAGCTCTGGACGGCGAACCGGTTGCGGTTGGCCTCCTCCTCGCGCGCGCGACTCTTCTGCCGCTCCCGCTCGGCCTTGGCCTTGCGCTCGACCTGCTCCTCGTAGTCGCTCGCGAGCTCGTCCACCTCGTCCTCGTCGTCGTCGACACCCTCGAGCGTGTCGCCTCGCCGCTTCTTGGCCGCACCGCCGAGCCCGACCGAGCTGCGCCGCTTGGCCCGCCGGCCTTTGCCGGCCCCAGAGCTCGCCGCGTCGTCCCACTCGTCGTCGTCCGACTCGTGCTCGGCCGTGAGCTTGAGCGGCGCACGACGTCGCCTCGTCGGCCGCTCGGCAGCGCCGCCTGCTACGGGTGCGGGCGTCGACGACGTGGAGCGCGGTTTGCGCGCCTTGGCGGGCTTCTCGAAGGCGGTGCCGGGAGCGGCGGGTGGCGCAAAGCCGGCCGAGGGCGGGCCGGACGGGAGCGGCGCAGGAGGAGGGGGAGGTGCGGTTGTCGAGGAGGACGAGGTCGTGGCGGACGGCTCGACGGCCTCGGCGACGACGGGCGTAGCGGGAAGCTCCGGCGAGCGTGTCGACGGCGCTGCCGACAGCGGCGAGTCCGAGAGCAACTCACTCCCGGCGACCTCGGCGGCCGTCCTCGAGCGGCCGACGCTGCTCTCGAGGACGTGCTGCGACGGCGTGACGACGTCGGGAGTCGCGGACACGGCGTACGATGGCGGTACTGGCTCAGTCGACGGCGAGGCGGACGGCGCGGACGAGAGCCTGCGGGGCAGCCATGCGTGCGAGGCAGTTCTCGCCACGAGGAAGGACGGAAACGAAAGAGCCCGACTCACCTCGCCTCCTTCTTGGCCTTGAGCTTCTTGGCCTTCTCGGCGAGCGAGCCGGGAGCTGGTGGTGGCGCAAAGCTGAACGACGAGCTTGACGCGGCGGGCGCCGGCGAGGTCGAGTTGGCGAGGGACGGCGCTGCGGGTGGGCGAGGCTCGGCGACAGGAGGAGCGGCTGCGACATGCGCGCTCTGTGGCGTAGTCGTCGTAAAGGTGCTGCACGAAGGAGAGCCGGGTCAGCACCCTTTCACGGGAGGAGACGAGGACGAGCGGACGGGCGACGCACCTGCTTGCGCCGTTCGTCGACAGCGACAAGACCCGCTTGACAGCACGGACCCATGCCAGCAGCTCGACCATGCCCGTCCACTCGCCCGCCTCGTGCCCGCCCTGGGCGGCGCCCAACGCGGCCTTCTCGTGCTCGACGACGTTGCGCGCGAGTTTGGCGGCGCCTAGGCGATGGAGGGCGAGGACGACGTGATGTGCACACTTCTTGGCGATGTGGTCCGGGCTGCGCGCGCCGAAGATGTACTCGGGCGAGGCGAACGAGTCGCGCAGCGAGAGGCGGAGGTCGGTCCAGGTCGTGGCTCGGGCGAGGGCGTCTGCGGCGTGCAGGGCGGGCGGCGGGCCTTGTGGGACGAGTGCGGCGAGCTGGCTGATCAGGCTCGCGAGCAGGGCCATGTAGTGGGCGACGACGGGCTCATCAGGCGGCGAGTTGAGGGAGGGCTTCTGGCCCTCGAGGACGGTCGTGGGTGCGGCCGGCGTGGCAGCTGTGCTCGGCGAGTGCATGTTGGCGTGCTCGGGTGCGGTCGGCAGCGACCTCGAGAGGACGGTGTTGCGTGAGCGGCAGAGGATGCGTCGGGTGGGGAGCGGCTCGTCGCTTTCCTCGTCGCAGCATCGAGGGAGCTTCCTGCTCGCGCAGCTCACACGAAAGACATGCCCCTGGCCGACGAAACAGTGCACTCTGACAAAAGCTACCGCCCGAGGCCGTCCTTGTCGTCGTGGCCGAGCATCGACCCTCTCCTCGCTCCGCCCGCGCCCGCCTGCCCAAACGGCAGCACGGGCGTCCTGTCCGACCCATTGCTCCCGCTCGAGCCCGTCGAGCCCGAGCCCTGCGACCCATGCTGCGCGCCCGCTCCTCCCGCTCCTCCAGCGCCGCTCCCACTGCTCCTCGTGCGCGGCAGCGTGCGCGAGTCGACGCTCGAGACGGCGGCTGCTGCTGCGGCCGACGCGCCGGGCGATGCTGGTGCGCTCGAGGCCGAGTAGGGCGCCGAGAGGTTGAGGGTCGGGGTCGACGACGATGACGGGCCCGTCGACGACGACAATGCGGGCGCGACGAGGGCGCTCATGATGTCCTGCGAGAGGGACGAGCGAGAGGATCAGGTCGAGGCTCATGACGAGGCAGAGGGAAGAGAGAGAGAGAGAGGGAGAAGAGGACGCACGCCGAAAGAAGGGTTCCGGCCCATGCCGTACGGGCTCCTCGCGCTGTCGTCCTCGTCGTCGCCGTCAAACCCGCCGTGCGACTGCGCCGCACCTCGCCTGCCCGCCGCCGAGGCGCGCATCTTCTGCCGCGCGGCGTGCGTCCGGTTCGCCGTCGTGTTGCTGAACACGGGCAGGAGGTACTGCTCGTCGAGCGCCGACCACACCTGGCCGAGCCCGCCCGCCGCCGCCGCCGCTGCGCTCCCGAGGTCCCCTGCGACGCCCGACCCGCCGCCGCCGGCGCTCGGGAGCACGTCCGGGTCCGACTCGTCGTCGGACGAGGGCGACAGGTCGGACGCGCGCGGCTGCTCGCGCGACGACAAGGGCCGTGCGCCGAGACGCGACGACGGACGCTGCTGCTGCTGCTGCTGGGCGTAGTGCGGGTCCTTGTACGGCGACTCGAGCTCGTACGAGGGGCGCACGGTCGACGACGGCGCAAATTGCTGCGACGCAAAGTGGTGCGACGTGGCCGGGCCGCCGGCACCGCCGCCGAGCGGGAAGCTGCGGCGCTTGGACGAGCGGCGGCCCTCGAGGTCGCCGTTGTCGACGACCTGGTACGGCCCACCGCCGGCCTGCTCGTCGTCCGACTCGTCGTCGTCGTCCTCGATGACGCCCGTCTTGATCCCGAGGATCTCGACCATGCGGCCGATCGTGCCGCCAAACGCGACGACGGTAAAGACGACGGTCGCGAGGACGGTCGTGCGCAGGGCGGCGGCGTGCTCGCCCTTCATGCCGGCCGCGAGCGCGACGCCGACGGCGCCTCGGAGCCCGGCCCAGAAGAGCATCATGCGGTACGAGTGCGGGAGTTCCTCGCCGCGCGAGCTGCCGGGGAGGCGAGCGTTGCGCGCCCGGAAGACGATGTTGATGAGCTTGGCGATCGGGAACACGGCGCAGTACCGCGCGAGGCAGGCGGCGATCTGGGAGCGGGGCACAGGGTCAGGCCGACGCTCGCTCGTCGAGGACGCACAACGAGAGAGGGGACGTACGCAGGTGACGATGATGAACATGGGCTTGTACACGAGCTGGCTCTGGGTGAACAGGCTCAGGCCGAGGTAGATGAAGATGAAGTTCTCGCTGAGCGACGACAGCGACCCAAAAACGTAGCGCGTCGTGCGCTGTGTCCGGTGCGACATGTTGTGGTACGCATAGTGCTTGAGCGTGATGCCGCAGAACAGGAGCGAGACGATGCCTGTTGTCGAGGAGCAAGAGAGGTCAGGGTCGGGTTTTCGAAGGTGGACGAGCGCCAGGAGGAGAGGAAAGGGACGTACCGCTCATGGTCAACGCGTTCGAGAAGAAGTAGCTCGTGTAGGCGATGAGGAGCACGAGGCACGCCTCGATCTCGGTGTACCGTCCTGCAGATGCGCGCGAGAGTGGGTCAGTGAGCCAGTCCTTCGCGCGTACCTCGGGGCTGGTCACGGACCGGCCACGAGGACCGAGAAGGACAGACGACGCACCGAGCTCCGAGTGCTTGAGCATGAGGCTGCACGCGAGGCCAAAGACGACGCCGAGCGCCATCGAGATGCAGAAGGTGAGGAGGAAGATGCCGACGCCGTGGAAGAACGACGAGAGGTAGATCTGTTCGCCGTGGAACTGCGACAGGGTCCTGTGCGGCGCAGAGGCGAGGCGTGCTCGTCAGTCTGGTAGGCTCTGTGCAGGGGAGAAGGACGACGAGAGAAGGAAGGGGAGGAGGACGCACTCGAACATGACGATTGCGACGGCGTCGTTGAGGATCGACTCGCCAAAGATGACGCTGTACAGCTTTGGGTCGACGTGGAGCGCGTTGAAGATGGCGAGGATCGTGACCGGGTCGGTGGCCGACAGGGTCGAGCCGAACAGGAGGCACTCGACGATGGTGAGCGACAGGCTCTCGAGGCCGAGGAGCGAGTACAGGTAGACGATGACGCTGCGAGTGGGCAAGTCGAGGGCGAGGAACAGAGTCAGTGAGCGCACTTTCGTGAGAGGGCGGCGAGAGAGGGGGACGCACCCGAGCGCGACGGCCGAGATGAAGGTGCCGGCAAAGGCAAACGAGAGGATGACGGCAAAGTTGCGGAAAAAGTTGTCCTGCTTGAGCTGGTAGCCGCTGTTGAGGATGATGGGCGGCAGGAGGACGTTGAGGAGGATGGTCGGCTTGAACGCGATCATGTCGCGCACGACGTGGCCCGGAGCGATGCGCACAATGGCTCCGACGAGCATGCCTGTGTCGGGGGCAAAGAGGAGTGTCAGCTACAGTCCTGGGCCGTCGAGTTGGCACCGCGAGGCGTCGTTGGCCGGGAGGGAGAGGGAACAGGGGGGTGGAGAAGGGGACGCACCGCTGAACATGGCGATGATGGTCTCATGGATGCTGCGGATCCGCCTGACCTTGAGGTAGTACGAGACCCAGAACGACAGGATGAGGAGGAGGAGGACCTGTGAGGGCGAGGGCGAGGGATGTGGGGGGAGGACGAGGCGCAAGAGTCAGTGTGCGTGTTCGAGGTGCGCGCGTCGGGCAGAGCTGCTGGTTATGCCGTCCCGAGTGCTCGTGGTCGAGTAGGGGCGGTCGGGCGGCGAGGTGCGGGGTGCGGCGGAGCTGCGAGATGCGGGTGATCGGGAGGTGAGAGGGGGCGATGGCGCGACTGGGGCTTGTCGGGGTGGTGCCGCTCGTGCGAAGCGGCGACGAGGGGTGCTCGGGTTGCTGTGTTTGTGGCTGGTCGGGCGCAGAGGGTGCGGGCGAGGCGAGATAGCTGTCGACGAGGGGGGCACGTCCGACGAGGTGCAGGTGGGCGACGGCGGCACGGTGCGGGTCGCGAGGTCGGGCGTAGTGGTGTGGTACGAGGTGGCGCGGGGTGGACCGGGTGGATCGGTGCAGGAGGGGACGAGGGAGGTGAGGGAGCGGGGCCATACGAGGAGGAGAGCGCGCGACGACCACAGCTCCTCGACCTCTGGATCGAGTTCGAGGTCGTCTGGCGAGGGTGTCGGGAGGCCAGATGGCACCGGAATGGCGCCGTTGGGCGCGTTCATGGCCGTGGACACGGGGGAGCGGATTCGGGGGAGAGACGGCGACGAGGCGAAGGCAAGCTCTCGCTCTTCGCATCTCGCTCAGCCCAGCTCCAAAGGCGTTGCCAGGACTGCCCGACCGACGACCTAGCAGCACTCGAGCTCGCTACTCTCCCGACCGCCGCCCCACAGCGCATGCCCAAGCGCCCTCGCTCGCCTTCTCCCTCGTCCTCGTCTCGCCTTCCTCGCCCTCCAGCTTCCTCGTCCCGCACCCACCACATGCCAGGCCAGCAAGGCTCAGGCGCAGGCGGTGGTCGCTTCCGCGGCCCGAAACGCCCTCGCGGCAACGGCGGTGGAGGAGGTGGTGGTCGCGGCCCTCGTGCGCCCGCCGTCCCTCCCCCGCCCGCACCGGGCCCCGTCCACGACCACGCCTACGTCCTCCAGGCCTACGCCCAGCTCGGCGGTCGCGGTCAGCCCAACAACAAGTCCGTCCCCTCTCGCCTCCCTTTCGACCTCGTCGACCGACCGCTCACCTCCTCCCTTCCTCCTCTCACTCACAGGTTCGTCGAGAACCCCAAGGGCGTCCTCGCCAACTACACAAAGGCCCTCGGCGTCGACGGCAAGTACGACAGCCGCCGCGTCACCGTCGACGGCCACGACCTGTTCCGGTGCGCCCCGCTCTTCTCTCCCTCCATTCGTCGTTCCTCGCCTGACTCTCTCCCTCTCCGCCCTCAGCGTCACCGTCGTCGCCGACCCGGATCCTCCTCCTCCTGCCGCCCGTGGCGGCATGTACAACTCGGCCTCGGGCCCGGCCATGCCGCCCATGATCGAGCCCATCGTCGGCACCGGCGACGCCTCGAGCGTCAAGGAGGCCGAGAAGCTCGCCGCCATCCACGCCTGCCTTCAGCTCAGCGCTCGCGGCCTCTTCACCAACGTGCGTCTTGCGCTCACTTCCTCCTCGGACCCAGAGCGCGCGCCTGACCCCCTCCCCTTGGCCTCGTCTCGCAGTCGAACCTCCCGACCCGCACCCGCGGCCAGTTCACGCCGCTCCACGCCGCGTCCCAGACGGCGACCCCGACCTACTCGGCCGGCCCGTCGGCCTTCTTTGACGGCCCCGCCGCCGCCCCGAGCTCGTACCCGCAGCAGGCCCAGGCCATGCAGCCCATCGCCGACAAGAACGACGGCCGCACCGTCGCCCTGTCCAACGGCCAGCGCATCGGCCTCGAGGAGGCTCGCGCCTTCATGGACTACTACTGTGCGTCGTCGTCCCCACCGTCCTCGTCGTCGTCGTCCTCCCTCGCCCGCCTCACTGACACTCCTCCCTCGCCCTCTCGCAGGCTCGCGGTACAACTTTGGGCGCCCCGACCTCCAGACGGCGTCGGTCGCCGGCTTTGGCCGCAACCGCGGCGCCGGCTCGTGGCGCGTCACGCTCCGGGTCGGCGGCGCCCAGATCGGCGTCGGCGAGGCGCGCGCCAAGAAGGACGCGCAGAACCGCGCCTACCTCGACACGGCGGCCTACCTCGAGTCGTGCGACGCGTCGCTGTGGGCCGACTGGTCGGCCCGCAAGGAGATGCGCAAGATGGAAAAGACGGGGCAGGCGCCCCACGTCGTGTTCGAGGTGACGCCCGACGTCGAGGAAGAGCTGCGCGAGGCCGTGTGGGAGAGCCGCGAGGGCGAGCTGTACCACCGCGCGCGCGACATGGTCGAGCGCGAGCACCAAAAAGCCGTCCAGGCCAAGGAGCGCGCCGTCATGGCCGCCCGCGGCCTCCTCGACGACCCGTCGTCGGCCTCGAGCTCGTTGGCCGCCGGTCGCGGCGGCGCCGGCGCACTCGGCGGCGTCGACCCGGCCGTCGCACAGCGCCGCGCCGAGCTGCGCGCGACGTACCTCGAGCAAAAGTCGCAGGCGCTCGCGGCGCGCCTCCAGGCGTACAAGGCCGACACGGCGCCGGGCATCGTCAAGCTGCGCGAGCAGCGCGCGAGCCTCCCCGTGTCGAGCAACGCGACGAGCGTCCTCGCCAAGATCGCCACGTCGCCCGTCGTCGTCGTCCTCGCCGCGACCGGCTCGGGCAAGACGACCCAGCTCCCGCAGCTCATCCTCGACGACGCCACCATGGCCGGCGAGGGCGCCAAGTGCAACATCGTGTGCACCCAGCCTCGCCGCATCGCCGCCATCTCGGTCGCCGAGCGCGTCGCCAAGGAGCGCGGCGAGCAGATCGGCGACTCGGTCGGGTACCAGGTCCGGTTCGAGGCCAAGCCGCCGCGCAAGGACGGCTCGATCCTGTTCTGCACCACCGGCCTGTTCCTCCGCCGCATGCAGGCCGACCTCGACCGCTCGTCGGGCGGCAACACCGACACGGCCACCTCGGCGGCCGGCGCCAACGGCGCCGCGGGCGCGCAAAAGCCCGAGGGCGAGGCGTTCCTCGACGGCGTGACGCACGTCTGCGTCGACGAGGTCCACGAGCGCGACGTCGACACGGACCTGCTCCTGTTCGTCCTGCGCCGCCTCCTCCACGAGCGCCGCAAGCAGGGCAAGGCCGAGATCAAGGTCGTCCTCATGTGCGTCCCTGCGCCCCTCTCTCTCTCTTTCTCTCTCGTGTCGTTGCGCGTTACTGACCTCGCCTACCCCGTCGTCGCGCTCGTGCAGGTCCGCCACGATCGACCCTCGCCTGTTCACCGGCTACTTTGCCGACCCGCAGTCGGGCCGCATCGCGCCCGTCGTCGAGGTGCCCGGTCGGTCGTTCCCGGTCGAGAAGCGGTGGCTCGACGAGACGATCCAGGAGCTGCAGGCGCTCCGGCTCCCGTCCAACCGCGGCGGGTGGGTCTTCCAGGACAAGTCGGTCGTGCCGTACCTCCAGCGCGAGCTCGTTCCCGCCATCCCGATGGACCCTCGCACCGGGCGCCCCGTCGGCGAGATCGACGACCTCGAGATGCCGTACCCGCTCCTGGCCCTCATCATCGCCCACGTCATGTCGCGCTCGGACGAGGGCCACGTCCTCGTCTTCCTCCCCGGGTGGGACGAGATCCAGGCCGTGCGCAACATCCTCCTCGACCGCAACCGGTACCCGCTCCTCGACTGCAACTTTGCCGGCCGCGACACCGAGATCCACGTCCTGCACTCGACCATCCCGATCGCCGAGCAGCAGGCCGTGTTCGAGCCGCCCGCCGAGGGCATCCGCCGCATCGTCCTGTCGACCAACATTGCCGAGACGTCGGTCACGATCCCGGACGTCGTCTACGTCGTCGACTCGGCCAAGTGCAAGGAGAAGCGGTACGACCCGGAGCGCCGCCTGTCGCAGCTCGTCAGCGCGTGGACGGGCACGAGCAACGTCCTGCAGCGCGCCGGTCGCGCCGGCCGTCACCGCCCGGGCGAGTACTACGGCATCGTGTCCAAGGCGCGGTTCGCCGCCATGGACATCCACCAGACGGTCGAGATGCTCCGCACGGACCTCGCGTCGACGGCCATGCACGTCACGGGCCTGCAGCTGCCGGGCCTCACCGTCTTCGACGTCCTGTCGTCGACGATCCAGCCGCCCGAGCCGCAGCGCGTCACGGCCGCCCTCGAGACGCTCCTCCACGTCGGCGCCATCGACCGCGACGAGAAGTTGACGAGCCTCGGCCGCGTCCTCCTCCAGCTCCCCGTCGAGGCCGCCATCGGCAAGCTGTGCCTCCTCGGCAGCTTCTTCCGGTGCCTCGACCAGACCCTCACCCTCGCCGCCATCCTCACCAACCGCGACCCGTTCCTGAGCCCGCCGCTCATGAAGCAGGAGGCCGACCGCATCAAGAACTCGTGGGCGCCCCAGGACTTCCGCGGCGACCCGTTCGCCATCCTGACGGCCTACAACGCGTGGTGGGAGCTTCAGGGCGCGGGCAACTACGTCGTGCGTCCCTCTCTCTCTCTCTCGCTCCTCCCCCTTCCCTCTCTCCTTGCGCCCGCCCTCTCTCCCTCTTCCTCCTCCTCTCGTCCCGCCTACTCTACAGGTCGCACTCACTAACGCCTCCTTGTCGATGCGCCGCAGGCCGCCAACAACTTTGCGCGCGAGAACTTCCTGTCCAAGCCGACGCTCCTCCTCATCAACAAGATCAAGGACCACCTCCTGTCGTCGCTCGACCGCGCCGGCGTCCTCCAGATCAGCGCCGGCGGTGCCGCACAGCCTGCGCCGTTCAGCCGAGGCCGGTTCGGCCGGGGCCCGATCGTCATCCCGGCGCAGCTCAACGAGAACGGCAACTCGCTCCCGCTCCTGAGCGCCCTCATCGCGACGGCCGTCGCGCCCAACTTTGCGATCCGCATCAGCGAGAAGGCGCTCCGCACGAGCCAGGACAAGGTGCGCCCGCCTCTCTCTGTCTCTCGTCGCCTCAGCTCGTCGAGAAGAATCTCCCTGACCTCGTTCCTTCCCTTCTCTGCCTCGCCCTCTGCAGTCGTGCGCGATCCACCCGTCGTCGGTCAACTCGCGCAAGAACGAAAAGGCGGCCGACGTCGCCATCACGTCGTCCAAGCAGCTGTACGCGTACGGCGAGAAGAGCAAGACGGGCGCCATGGGCGGCAAGGGCGAGGGCCAGACGTTCCTGCGCTCGACGACCAAGCTCGACCCGCTCGGGTACATGCTCTTTGGCGCGTACGGCCTGCGCGTCACCGAGGACGGCCTCGAGTGCGACGGGTGGCTGCCCATCGTCGCGCCGCGCTCGAGCGGCGTCCAGGCCCTCGACGACGTCGAGCGCCTCAAGGAGGTCCTCGACCTGTCGCTCCTGCGCGTGTTCGAGGGTCTCGGCGTCGCCATCAACCGCGGTCGCGGCGGCGGGCGCCAGCAGCAGCAGCAGCAGCAGCGCGCGCAGCAGGCGGCTCAGCAGGCGGCCGCTGCGGCGCAGCAGGCGCGGCAGGAGCAAGGGCGCGGTCGCCAGTTCGACAACGACGACGAGGACGAGGCCGAGGCCGACGAGGAGGCCGTCGACCCGGTGCGCGACCCGACCCTGTCGGCGCAGGAGGTCAAGGACCTCGACCGCCTCACGTCCAACGTCGTCCACCTCCTCATGTCGTACAACCGGTCGCTCGGCCCGGCGAGTTCGCGCACGAGCTCGCGTCCGCAGACGCCCCAGGCCATGCTGCCCATGCACGGCGGCGGCGCGTCGCCCGCGTTCGCGCACGGCGGGCCCGGCTCAGCGGTCGCCGCAGCGAGGGGCGGCACGCCGTACTCGTCGCGGCCGCCGAGCGCACTCGGCGGTGGCTTCGGCGGCGCGCAGGGTGGGTACGGCGGCGGAGCGCAGCAGGGAGCCGGCGGCGGGTTCGGCATGGGCGGCGGAGCGAGTGCGGGCGGCAGCTGGAGGCGGTAGCGGCCTCTCTCTTTCTCTCTCTCTCTCGTCTCCCTCTCCCTCTAGACACACCGTCCCGCAGTGCAACACGCATTTTCAGCTTGTCGACGGCATCGCTCTTGCTCGAGCGAGACGGTCGGGCATTCGGCGAGGAGAAGCGGTGCGTGCGGCGTCGAGTTGGTCGGTCCGCGGACTCTCCGCGAGATGCGGTGCAGCCGCCTGGCCCTGGTTCCGAGTCGAGGACTCGACGCAGTTGCAGAGCTGGTGCGGCGTCGACTGTTGCGCTTGTCCAAGGAGCAGCGAGCGACGAGACGAGGGCGAGCGCGAGCGGGCGAGGGGCGGCTCGTCTCTTGTCCTCCTTCCTCTCGCACCCTCTCGCCCGCTTCGGCTCTGGCCCAGTCCTCGAGCCCAGCAGCGGCACAGCTTGCCCTCGCAGCAGCGCATCCGCCACCCCGCACGTCCCTGCGCGCGCTCGTCAACTCGGCCCTCACCCTCTTCGCCGGCACCTCGCTCGTCGTCCTCGCCCTGTGCCTCCCTCGCAACCTCATGGCGGGCAACAAGAAGAAGAAGGCCGCCAAGGCGTCCAAGCCCGTCACGCCCCAGGCCGACTCGGACGACGACATGCCCGCTCTCGAACCCGCCGACTCGGCCAAGAAGGCGACTGTCACCACCTCGACGCCGCCGCCCCAGGTCGTGCCGCACAAGAAGCCGTCGGCGACAACTGCGACCAAGGGCAAGAGCAAGAGCGACGACGAGTGGGACGACAAGGACTCGGACGAGGACATGCCCGCCCTCACCGACGAGGCCGGCGCCGCCCGCCGCAAGGTCGTCGTCCGTCCCGTCACGTTCGCCAAGGGCACGACCAAGAGCAAGCTGTTCGACTTTGAGCCGTTCGAGAACGACGGCGTCGAGGCGGCGTACAAGCACCTCGCGCTCGACCCCAAGCTCTCGGACTCGGCGCTCGAGAGCGAGGCGACCAAGATCATGTCGTCCGAGGTGCGCCCAAGCTCTCTCTCTACTCGAACTTCTCCGACGGCCCGAGACTGACCTCCTCGTGTACGGCGTGCCCCTCGCAGACATCGGCGCAGCGCGGCCACAAGGACACGTCGTCTCGCCTCGGCGCCCTCCTCACGATTCTCTGCTCGCGCACCGACCTCAAGACGGTCCCCGAGGCGCCGTCGACGTCGCACTCGCTCGCGCGCTCGCTCCGCCTCCTGTACCTGTCCGAGGCGTAGCTCCACCTCACCAACCTGCACCTTCCGCTCCCCGCCGACGCCGTCGTCCCGTCCGACGTCGACCTGCGCACCGACGCCATGGCGTACGACTTCCTCGCCGACGAGCGCAAGGCGCACGACCGTACGCGCGAGCGCCTCAAGCAGGCCCAGCTCGGGCTCGACAAGGCGACGTCGTCGGGCACGGCGGCGCGCACCAAGGCCGACAAGTGCGAGGCCGAGGCCAAGAGCCTGCGCGGCGAGGTCAGCCGGCTCAAGAGCGAGGGCGACATCCTCAAGGACCAGGCGCGCGAGGGCTTCAGGGCCAAGGACGAGGTGCTGCGCGAGGTGGACCGGCTCAAGGAGGACGTCGAGCGGTACAAGCGCGAGGCTCAAGGTGCGTCGACGTGGCCTCCTCTGTCATCGGCGACGTCCTCAGCACGGACTGACTGTCTCGCCGTGCTGCGAGGTGCTGCATCGCAGATGCGCGCGACGCCCTCGCTCGCGCCCCTCCTCGTGCGTCTCTCTCCCTCTTTCCCTTCCCTCTCTCTCGATGTTGCACGCCTGACTCGCTCTCGCCTCCCCTCCTTGTGCAGCCGCAGCTCCCGGGTCGGACAAGAAGGACTTTGTCGTGCAGCGCCTCTCGAAGCAGGTCGTCGAGCTCACCAAGCAGCTCAGGGCCAAGAACGACGAGAACCGAGCGTCGCCGCGTTTCTCTCGATCGCCTCTCTGTCCTCCTCAACAAGGAGCACGAGCTGATTCTCGTTCAGTTACGGCACGCAGTCAAGCTCGTGCTCGAGCTCGCGACTCGGGGAGGATGAGGGAAGAGTGCAGCGTCGGCGAGGGGACGAATTGCAGCAGTGCAACCGCATGTACAGCTTGAGCCTCTCCAGAGAGTCCTCGACGAGAGAGCGAGAGCGAGAGAGAGAGAGAGAGGACGAGAGGGAGAAGAACAAGTCGTCGTTGCTGATACAAGGGAAAAGGAGGGGGGAACAGTCTCTGCGCCCGTCTACTCGCGCCCGTCCTCACGCGCACCCACGCTCGACCGCACCGCACCTCACTTGCGCCCTGCGAGCCTCCTCCTGCGCGCCTCTGCGACCCTCCTCGCGCGCTCAGCCTCGGCGTCGCCGACGCGCTCGGCGCGAATGACGGCCGGCTTCTCGGTCGAGCCCGTCTCGAGGAGCTCGGCGGCGACCTGCTGCACGCCGCCGGGCGTGACGTCCCTCGCGCGCGGCTTGCGCGGCGTGTAGACCTCGGCGCGCTGCTGGCCGAGGCTCTTGAACCTCGAGTCGAGCTCGGCCTGCTTGCGCGCGTTGTCCTGCGTCTCCTGCCACTTCTCCTTGGCGCCGACCTGCATGTTCTTGAACGCCTCGGAGAAGGACGGCTCGGGGACGTAGTTGGCGTCGCCTGGCTGCGGCTTGGGCGGCGGCGTCGGGATCGACAGGAGCGAGCGCATGAACGGCGTCTTAAGGAGCGTCGACTGGACGAGCGACAGGAAGTTGTTGGTCGTCCAGTAGATGAGGAGGGCCTGCACGTCGAGCAAAGGTGTCAGTCTCGTCGAGCGTGAGGGCGGCAAGGAAAGAGAGAGAGAGAGAGGGACGCACCGCCGGGAAGTAGGCGATGAAGGGGAGCGCGCCGACGAGGAGGACGCGGAAGATCATCTTCATGTTCTTGGTCGTCGACGTCTGGACCTGGGTGCTCGAGTCGACGCCGGTCTGTGCGAGGGCGAGACAGTGCGCGAGAGGGCGAAGGAGGAGGGAAGGGGGACGAGGTCAGTGCGCGCTCGAGGACGACAGGGACGAGAGAGAGGGAGAAGGGAGGACGCACCTCGAGGGTGGCGAGAGTGAGGGCGGTACTCGTGACGGGGAGGAGGTAGTACGGGTCGGGCTGGGTCAAGTCCTGGACCCAGCCGAAGCCCTCGGTCGACATGCTGACGATGCCGGCGTTGGCGAGGCCGCGCAGGGCAAAGAACATGCACATGAAGACGGCGGCCTGGGCGAGCGGGAAGACGAGGTTGCGGATCGGGTTGACGTCGTGCTTCTTCATGAGGGCCTGCGTCTCCATCTGGGCGGCCTGCATCGCGTGGAAGTCGTTGCGGGCCTTTGCGTCCTTGAGCTTGTTCATGCCCTTGAGCATCTCGGGCTGGATGATGGCCATGCGCGCCGCGTTGCTCTGGGCGCGCACCTGGAACGGGAACAGGAGCAACCGGAGGAAGAGGGTGACGGCGGGGATGACGAGGGCCCACTGGACGCCCGGGTGGCCGAGGAGCGGGAACGACTCGTGCAGGTGGAGGAAGAGCGACTGGAGGCGCATGATCGGGTGCGGGCCGAACGAGCCGACGAGCGACGACAGGTCGAGCGAACCGGTCGCGATGCCGTCGTAGACGTTCTGGACGGCGCCTGCTGCCGCCTCGTCGGCGGGCGCCGCCGCCGGCACTGGTGCGGCCGCCTCGACTGGTGCGGGCGTAGGCGGGAGCGGCACTGCTCCGGCCTGGGCCGGCTCAGCGGCGACAGCGGCGGCGGTGCTCGGCTCGTCGACGAACGAGCGGGGCGCATCGGCGGCATCGACGGGCGCGGCAGGTGCGGGCTTGGCGGCGCCGAACGACGGGAACCAGGCCGATGCCGGGGCGGTGCTCGCGAAGGTGCGGCGGGTGCTGGCGAAGGCCGGGGCGAAGGGAGAGGGGAGGGAAGGGCGCGACGAGGCGAGGGGCGACGCGGGGCTGCGCGCGTGGAGGAACGCGGCGAGGTGTGGCCGTTGGGGACTGTGGGCGAGTGGCAGGTCCAGGTGAGCGATGCTGGGCGAGCGAGGGACGCGCACAGGAAAGTGCGCGATGAGAGCCGGGGGAGTCGGGGCGGCAAGGGAGGGAAAGACGGGACGCACCGGACTAGGGCTGTCCGCAGAGCGCGGGCAGGAGCACCAGTCGCCATGCTTGCACCTGGATCGAGAGCGGGCGAGCGACACGGACGAGCTGGCGAGGCGGAGGACGAGGCGGCGGCAACGAGGGCAATAGCGTTTGCGGCGAGTTTCGTATTGGACCATACAGCCCGATTAGGGATTTCAACCTCTGCGGACTCGGCCACACTCACCTCCTCCTCGCATCTCGCTCACTCGCTGTCCACCTCGGCACTGCTGCACCTCGAGCACCCGCACACCAGCGTCGCACACCCCTCGCCTCGTCACCACCGCAGACGCACCGCCAGCACTCGCCTCCCTCTTCCCCTCGTCCTCCTCATCGTCACCCCCCACCTCGGACACCTTCCCTCACGCACACCGCACCCGCGCACCCGCACGCCATGGCCACCGCCAACTTCCGCAAGATCAACATCGACCAGTACGACGAGGAGACAGTCCTCGCCGAATCGCTGTACCTCCCCGACCCGCGCGGCCCTGCCCAAGCCCTCGCCGACGCCCAGACCAAGGACCGCACAGTGCGCTCCCTCTTGCAGCGCGGCGACGTCCAGCAGGCCCTCAAGGAGGTGACGCGCGATGGCGAGTGGCCCTACGGCGACGACAACGAGCCGAGCACCCGCCAGGCAAAGGTGCGCCCGCCTCTCTCTCTCTCCGTCTCTCACTCGAGCGCTCGCACTGACTCAAGCCCTCCTCTTGCAGGCCACCGCACTCGACACGGTCGTCGCCATCCTCAACTCGACCCGCTCGACCGACATCCCCGCCCTCGTGCAGGCTCTCGAGCCGGCAGAACAGGTGCGTCTATCCCCCTCTCCTTCCTCCTGGTCGCTCCTCGATGCCTCGCCCGCATCGAGCGAGTGAGCTTTCGAGGAAGAGCGACTCGAGCTGACGCCGCTGTACTTGTACGCGCAGGTGACGCTCATGAAGTACCTGTACAAGGCGATGGAGAACCTGGGCGACACGAGCGGCAACGTCGTCCTCGGCTGGCACGAAAAGGTGCGTCTGCTCGATACTCTCTCTTGATCGGTCGGCGGGCCTGTGCCGGTGCGCTGCGGTGCGCGCCATGAGGGCCTGCTCGCGCGGCTTGAGCGGCTCGCGCACGCAGGAGAACGCGCTCGACCCTGACATGCCGCTCTTCCCTGCAGCTCACCGAGGTGGCCGGCATCGGGTGCATCGTGCGCGTCATGTCGGACAGGCGGCGAGTCTGAACGAGGGCGGGGCTGTAGATCTGAGAGGACGAGGGACGAGCGAGGACCGAACAAGGACATTCTTTGCCGTGCTTTGCGCCGCTCCGGTTCGTGCGAGCACTGTTGCACGAGATAGAGAGCGCTTGCCAACCTGGACGAATGGCAGCTTCGTCGTGGTCGTCCGACGTGGCGACCTCGCCGCGACGGAATCTCCGAAGTCGGCTCGTTGCTCCTTGTCTCCCTCGCCGCGCTCTTGCACCAGCACGACCTCTCGTTCCTCTTGCGAGCAGCTTGTACGGCTCCTGAATCCTTGATCGACGCGCCCTCGTCGGTCCTCGCCCGCTCGCCCTCATCGTCCCCACCTGGTCCGCCCCCCTCACCACGACACGAGCATGGCGTCCTGGGTCGCCTTGATCGTCGCACTGCTCTCGATGGCCGTCACCGTGCCCCTCGCGCTCCTGCAGCGCGTGCTCGGCGCGGTCGGCGTGCCGCAAGCGCTCGTCCAACGTGAGTCCATGTCGGCCTCTCTCACACCCTCGCAAGCATCCCTGGAGCCTGCGAGGCTGCGTGCGAGGCCCGACGTACGACACTGACCCTGCCGCTCCCACAGTCGTCCACCTGCCGCTCTCGCGCCTCGCTGCCCTTGTCGCACTCGCCGGCGTGGCGGTGCAGACGGGCGTCTTGCTCGAGGAGTACGGCGCAGACCATGTCGGCCTGTGGCTCAACAGGTGCGTCACACTCTCTCGTCTCTCGGTGCCTGAGAAGGCGCGTTCTGACACAGGTCCCCGTACGCAGCCTCGCCTCGTCCTCGTCCAATGGCTCGACCCGCTCCGTCCCCGCCCGAGCCGCCCACCTCACCTTCCTCGCCCTCGAGTCGTACCCTCGCACCCTCTCGCTCGTACTCGACGACGCCCTTGCGCTCCCCGTCCCCGCCCCCGACTCGGGCATCACCTTTTCGGCCGCCGACGTCGACGAGTGGGAGCGCGACAGCGCCTCGTTCCGCGCCGACTGGACGCAGCTCGCCGACGAGGTCGCGCAAGCGTGGATGGACCTGCTCGACTGGGCCCCGTCCTCAACCCCTTCTACTCTCGCCGACCCCGACACCGCCGCACCTTCCTCGAGCCCGTCCTCGTCCCCCTCGCCCAGCTCGGCAGACCGCCACCTCTTCCTCTCCCTCGTCGCCGCCGAGCTCGCCCTCGTCCAGTCGCGCAACCCTACGCGCGCCGTCTACGCCGACCGCGAGTACTCGCCCGCCGACTTTGCGCTCGAGGACGCGCGGCAGGCCGCGCGCGCAGAGCGGGCGGCCGCGAAGCGCGACGCCGACTTCGAGCAGTGGCTCGAGGGCATCTTTGCCGGCGCCGAGGCGGCGCAAGCGGGCGCCGACGCGTCGGCAGCGCCGGGCGAGGGTCAGGGCGGCGCGGCCAAGGGTGCGGCGGCGCTGGGGAGGGAACTGCTCGACGTGCCGGTCGGCGACGAGCCCGGGTCCGGGACCTGGCGCACCGTGTTGCGCACGAGCTGGGAGGGCATGTACGCGGCGGACAAGGGCGGGATCCTGGGCGAGGTGGCGCAGCACCTGGGCGGGCTTCTCGGCGACGACGAGGACGAGGACGAGGACGAGGGCGCGACGACCGAGGGCGACTGGACGCCGAGCCCGCTCCCGCTCATGGCGCACCGCCTCGTGCGCGACCAGCTGTCGGCGACGATCGACGCGGCCGTGCGCATCGCCGGCTGGGACCTCTTCCCCTCCCCGACGCCCGAGCACGACGCGGCCATCCTCCCCTCGGGCCTCGACGCCCTCCCCTTTGACCGCCTCACCCTCGCCCAACGCGCCCTCGCCATCGACCGCCGCGCCCGCACCTGGGCCCAACGCGCGCTCGCCGCCATTCGCCCCTCCCGCTCCCCGCCACCTCACGACCCCGCCGCGCTCTCGTCCGCCGAGCGCGCCGGCCTCCTGCGCGCCTCGCCCCTCGCGCGCTTCCTCCGCGCGACCAACGCCCTGTTTGCGCTCCCGAGCGAGCGCATGCGCATCGGCGTCTCGGACCATGTCGCCGCGCAGGCCGTCCTTGCGCTCCAGGTGCCCGCCGTCGAGGTGCCGCTGTGGAAGCGGCGCGACGGCGAGGGCTCGAGGCAGGGCGGGTGCAGCGCCGTCGTGCTCGAGAGGGAGAAGCGCAAGAGCCCCGAGGCGTGGGAGAGCGCGAGGCGGGAGATCGAGCGGCTGCGCGGGACTGAGCTGGCGCAGGACGAGGGTCTGCTCGAGTACGGCGCGCAGGCGCACACGAGAGACGAGCTGTAGATGTTTTGGTACCTCAAGAGCATCTGCACGTCCCACAGCGACAGAAAGGAGCGCAAGCAGAGCGTGCGAGAGAATCGCTCGAGCCTATCGACGCCTTCCCATCCCCTCGTGCGCCGTCCTCCCTCGGACTCTACCTGCTCTCGCTTGTGTCCATCGGTTCTCACGACAGTTTATCGGCTGTGTCGAACGGGCGAGAGCTGTACAACGGACAATGGGGTCGTCGTCGCCGTCTTTCGCGTCGCGACCGGCGAATGCGCTCGCGCGCGCTCGCCCTCCTCTGGGAGGCTCTCAGCGTCTGCCCAGAGCCCTGCTCGAGTCTTGTCGCATCCTTGAGAGAGCCCCAAGCCTGCAAGCCGGGCGTACAGAGCGGTCGCGAGAGTCGACGCCGGCCGCCAGCCAATCAGAGGCCGCCGACGGCAAGCCGACTACGTCGAGGTCCGTGCGAGCGGGTGGGTAACCTGGCCAGCTCAGGGCGCCAGGCCATGCAACGCACTCGGAGAGGTGCACAGACGACTGCGAGGACCTCACGGCTGTACCGCTCGTGGGAGGAGAACGCGCGCTCGAACGAGGCCAAGTCGCATTTTGAGAAGGCCGACTTGGCGCTGCTGCTCCCTTCTGTGCTCTTCCACTCGCATCGAGAGGCTCGCAAGATGTCGTTGCCACTCAGTCAGAGAGCCAGAGAAGGCGCAAGAGAAAAGAGCGAGGAAGGACCGGCCGTGAGGGAATCGAGCCACTGGACGAGGTTCGACAACGGGTGCGAGCGAGCCGCGCAAGGCGAAGCACGCTCTCCCTCTCAAGGCTTGCGGGACCAGGACATCTGAGAGAGGCAGAGAGGAGACAGAAAGAACTTGCAAAGCGAGGAGTGAGGACGTTCTATTGGACGAGGAGAAGATCAAGGAGTAGGGAAGCCCGTCAAGCGCGTCGCTGCCGCCGCTGCCGCCGCCTTCACACCTTCAATGTGCTTGTCGACGACCTCGTGCCCAAGCTCTCGCCTCGCCTCGACGTAGTCGCCCGTCCGCTCGCCCCACAAGAGCAGCGCCGAGCGCTTCTCGCGCTCGAAGTTGACCTGCCAGCCGATGCACTTGAGGGCGATACCGATCACCTCGATGCCGCTAGTGCGCGCCCGCTCGACGACAGCTGCGAGGTGGGCTTCGCTCCCACCGCGAGGCCAACGCGGCGCGACCCACCCCTGCTTCATGCGGAACTTGGGCGTGTCCGAACCGTCCTGCGGCGGGAACGGCTGCGGCGACGTACGGTCGACGCTCGGGCCCTTGGCGCAGTAGACGTGGTCGAGGATGAGGCAGTTGAGAGAGGGAGGGCGGGACGGGCCGGTGACGAGTAGTGCGAGGAGGACGTCGCAAACTGGTGCGTGGGGCGCGAACGAGAGGATCTCGAGGTAGGGCATGTGTCGCAGGGCGCCGAAAAGACCGCGCAACGAGAACGTTCCCGGGCAGAGGGTGAGGTCGACGAGGTGACGGAAACGAGGAAGGATGGCGTCCACGTAGTTGACGGAGCGGACGACTTTGCTGAACGGCACGTCGATGTGGATCCGACGCAGGCCGACGGGCGAGGCGCGCAGGACGGGGGAAAAGTCGACTGCGGCGGTGTACTGGCATTCCGAGAGCCAGAGCTCGTCAAGGTTGGGCGCGAGCTCGCCGAGAGGCGGGCCGGTCCACGCGCCAAAGCCCTCGCACGACAACTTGAGGATCTTGAGCGCCGCGAGGACGGGCACGGGCGAAGCGACTGGCGGGAACACGTTGCCCGGCTCGAGCTGCGTGATCTCGAGGCTCGCGAGGGCGTCGAACCGGGCGAGCTGGGCGGCCCAGCCGACGGTCGACGCTCGGACCTCCGGGACGACCTTCTTGGCGACGATCTCGAGGTGCCACAGGCGCTCGAGTAGACGGGGCACACGGTCGTCGGCGAGTAGGAGGGCGAGAAGCCGGCCGTCGAGGTGCGTGCAGCGCAAAATCTCGAGGCACGGGAGGTGCTCGAGCAGGCCGTGCAGGTGCGCCGGGTCGCTCTGGGCCGGGTCGACCGGCGCGACGAGCTGAACGACCTCGCCATCGTCGTTCGTGTTCTCGCCGTCGCCCTGCTCGGCGGCGCCGCGCTCGTGCTGCGCTTGTTGACGCGCGCGGTCCTCGTCCAGCCACTCCTCGTGCTCCGTGCACAGGACGAGTTCGGCGACGTTGTTGCCGACGCCGGGCACGTCGCGCACGGTGTCGCGTAGCGACCGTAGGTCGCGGTAGCGTTCGATGAGCACGATGCGATACAGGGACGGTTGCTGAACGCGGTACAGGCGGCGCGAAAGAGGCGAGTGGAGCGGTGCCGGCCATGGGCTGTTCACGTCGTAGACGTGCTCCTGGGCGTAGACGAGGCAGAATATGTCGTCGAGGAGCTCGTCGGGGAGGCGAAGGAGGTGACAGGTCGTCGAGGACGTGCTTGGCGACGTGTCGTCGAAGTTCTGCAGGCGTGAGCAAGGTCAGTGCGCGCCGTGTGTGACAGGAACGAGGGAGCGCACCGTGTTTTCCATGTTGCTGAGCTAGTACGTCGACCTGGGACGATGCAGAGCGAGCGAGAGAGAGGGCGAAGCAAGGAAGCCGACCGAGAGGCGCGAGCGGCTCCGGCGGACGTACGCCTGTCGATTTCGAGCCAGGCTCGGGCACAAGCAGCCCATGTCTCTCTCTAAAGATCTCAGGACGCCGAGACGTCGAGGGCGGCAGGGTAGGGGGAACGTGCGTTGAGCGCTCTGGCTGCGCATCTCGCAGGCTGCGCGCGCGAAGCAGCCTGGGACGAGTCGAGCATCGACGCAGCCATACAGTCTGTGTGTGCGCGCGAAGAGGGGAGAGGCGCGAGAGAAGAAGAGAACGAGGGGGAGAGAATGCATCTGCCGCCCGCTTCTCGAGCAGCTTTGCCGAGGCTCTCCTCTCAAGCTCGTCCGACACGTACGCTCTCACACGAGAGTGCAGGACGAACGACGCGAACGGAAAGGCTTGCGAGAGGCGGCGAAAAAGCTACTGCACGAGGAGGACGGCCGACGGGACGAGGTTGAGCGACTTGAGGTCCTTGTCGAGGTCTGCCGCGCCGTACGTTTTCCTGCGACGGGACAGGCCAGATAAAATCAGTGCGACGACTTGGGCGAGCTCGAGAGAGAGAGAAGGCAGAGCCCGGGACGCACCTCGGGAACGAGCACGTGAGCGTCACGCTCGCGAGCCCCGTCTGCCCCTTGACCCACTCGACGACCTCGCCGAGCGTACTCGTCGCCGGGAGCGAGTGGACGAGCGGCGGGCCGCTCGGGACCCGGATCTGGAGGCGCGCCGCGTCGTACGTCTTCTTCTCGCCGCCCGACGCCGACGACGCCGACGCGGCGGGCACGAGAGGCGCAGACGGCGCCGCACCGCCACCCGAGACGGCAGCGGCGGCGATGTCCGGGTTGCGGCCCTCGCGCAGGGCCTTCTCGCGCGCCGACTTTTCGGCACGAGCGCGCTTGTCGGCCTCGATCTGCTCCTTGATGCGGGCGCGTGCGGCGAGCTCGTCGGCCTTCTCTGCACGCAGGGAGAAGTGCGTCAGTGCCAGTTGTCCAGTGACCGCAGCTCACAGGCCCGCTCGGGGCGAGCCCAGAGAGCAAGAGGACCGTGCGCGACGCACCCTTCTTCCTCAGGACGGCGGCACGCTCGGCCTCCTTGAGCTTGAGCGCCTCGCGCGCCTGCGCCTCGTCCTTGCCCGACTTGCGGCGGATCTCCTCGTTGCGCTTGTTCTCCTCGGCGTCGAGCTTGGCCTGGACCCGGCGCTTCTCGTCCATCTTGGCGCGCAGCTGCGGGCGTGCAGGCGAGTCAGACAGTGCCGCGCGAGAGTGAGGGTCAGGAAGAGAGAGGGGACGCACCTCGCGCAGCTTCTCGGCCTTCTCCTCCTCGGTGAGCGGCTTGAGCTCCTCGGTCGACTCCTCAAAGTTGGTGTGCCCGCTCTTGGTCGAGTGGTAGGACGCGAGCGCCTGGTTGCGGAAGAGCTCTGCGGGCGTAAGAGCTGATCAGTACGCTCGTCATGAAGAAATGCCTGGGTGCGTGGAGGAGGTGGACGAGGAAACGCGAGGGGAAAGAAAGAGAGACGGTGGACGCACTGCCGCACTCGCCACAGCGCAGGCTCTGCGTCGAGGTGGCAGCGGCTAAATGAGTCAATGTCTCTTCTGTGACATACGCCCTCCAAAGTCTCGGCATGCCCGACGCACCTTAGCCTCGGGGTCGTCGACGCCCGTCGGCGCGCCCTCCTCGTCCTCGTCCTCGTCGGCCGCCTCCCACCAGCTCTCCGGCTCGTCGGCGTGCTTCTCGAGAAAGTCGAGCCTGTGAACGGAGTGCTGTCAGCGTCAGAACGGGGCAGCCGTCGGCACGCTCGCTCGGCTCGCGAGGCCGACCGAACGAAAGAGGTGGACCGAGCCGACGCACGCTTGACCGAGGCCGGCGTTGTTGGTGCCCTTGAGCGCCTTGTTGACCCGCGTGTCGGAGAAGCCCATCGAGATGAGCGTGTCGCGGTCGGACATGGTCGAGGTGGTTGCGAGTGGGGGGAGGAGGAGGAGGAGGTGAAGCCGCAGGAGGCGATGCTGCAGGGGGACATGGGAACGCGTCAATGTGTGCCTGAAAGTGCAGAAAGGTGGCTGGACGCACCGAGAAGGCTGAGCTGCTGGGCTGAGATGCTCAGGAGCTGGTAGAGGTGGAGCCGGGCGATGAAGGCAAGGCGCGACGAGGGCGGTGCAGGTCTGGCGGGGCGGTGGGCTGGCGAGCTGTACTGCTGATGAGAGCGCTGAGCTATACTCTGGGCGTGCAGAGCTGGTCGATGAAGGAGAGTGAGAGGCGAGGACGCGGCCGCGATGACGGCGAGGTCGACCATCTTGCAAACTCACAGGCGCGCTTCCCTGTAAGCCTGGCAGTGCAGCAAAGGGTTGACAAACCGGGCAACATCTGCGTCGAGCCCCTCTCGCGAGAGCGGCGGATGCGCTGGAGAGGCTCGCGCGCACACACAGGCTTTCTCGCTCGTAAAGTCACTAGCGCACGCCAGAGCGACGAGGAAGCCTTGCAGAACTCGACACAGATGCTTGCAAAGAAGCGCTACGAACGACCTCGACGCCCTACCGCTCGAACGGGCCTCGACCCTCCCGCTCGCACAGACCCAGGCCGCCTCGTCGCCCGCCGCCGGATACAGCGCACCCCGACCCGTACAGACAGCACCAGGGGCACAAGCTCAGAGCGCCTTCCTCGCTGCGGCGAGCAGGTCGTCGCCGAACGACTGCTGGATGAGGATGGCGAGGAGGAGGATGAGGAGCGTCATGAGGACGGCGTAGGTCGCCGAGCTGCCGCCTGTGGACGTAGAGTACCCTCGTCATCAGTACTTGCTCGTGGGACCCGACGGGAGAGAGAAAGGGAGAGAAGAGGGACGCACCGCGCTGCGCGAGGGTCGGCACCTCGATGACCCGGATCGAGTTGTCGGCGCTGCCGCTGATGAGGACCGACGCCGACGGGTTGAACTTGAGCGCCGTGACGGGGAAGTCGTGCGCGTGGAGGACCGTGAGGAGAGGCTGTCGACGGCGCCAGAAGGGCTGTCAGTGACCGAGGGGGCGACGACGAGCGAGAGGAGAAGAGCGGGGGACGCACACGCAGAGTTACGGCGTCGAGGATGCCGACGCTCAAGTCCGACGAGCCGTACGCCAAGAGCGTGCCGTCCTCGCTGTGTGAGCCCGAACGCGGCACATCATCAGCACCGCCGACCGCATCTAGAGGTGCGCCGACGAGGGAGAGAGGGCGAGCGCGAGGGACGCACCTGACGTCGAACGCCGTGACGGGCTTCTGGCTGACGGTGCGCGTCTTGAGCAGCTTCCACGCGCGCGTGTCCCACAGGCTGACGAACGCCTTCTTGCTCCCCGCCGGCGGCTTGCGCACGTTGCCCGCCGGCGACGCGTTGACGACCGTGTACAGGTTGGACGCCGTCGCGGCGCGGCCGAACCTGCGCGGGAAAGGCACACGAGGTCATGAGCTTGAGCGCCTCGAAGGAGAGGCGCAAAAGGACAGGAGAGAGTGCGGCCGACGCACTTTGCCGCCCGGAACGTGCACGCGAGCTCCTTCTTGAGGACGGGCCGCTCGATGACCTGCAGCGGTTCAGGCTCGACGTCCTTGTCGGCCGCCTTGGTGCTCCACACACACAGCTTGTTGCTCGACGTCCCGACGAGCTGCGGGAGGTGCCCTCGTCAACGAGGGCTCGCGCACGGACTTGGCTCGACGAGATGACGCGCAAGGGAGAAAGGGGGACGCACCATGTCGCCTTCGTCGTTGAAGTCGGCGTCGTAGATCTCCTCGCCGTCGTACGTGATCGAGGGGAAGACGTCGTCGAGGTCGGGGAACGAGAGGAGGGACAGCTGCGAGTTGGTCGAGCCGACGGCGACGAGAGGTGACGACGCGGTGCGCGAGATGGCCGTCACTTTCTGCGGGCGAGACGAGCGCTTGATGAGCATTCTGGGTCGGTGAAGAAGGAAGAGAGGGGCGCACTTGATAGTGATCAGGGTCGGTCGAGGTGATGGTCTGCTTGCGCTTCTCGTACTTGATCCTGCAGGTCCGTGGGCCAGAGAGTGAGCCGCGACGCCCTCGTAGGAGGAGCGCGGCGTCGAGAAGAGAGCAGAGGACGCACGCCTTGTCGTCGTAGCTGAACACGCGCAAGTTCTCGTTGACGCCCTTCTCGAGCTGTGCGACCGACGAGTTGATGCCCGCCACGATCGACTTGCTCTGCGTGACGCACGAGGGTGTGTGAGCGTGTGAGTCGGGGAAGCAGAGAGGCAAGGCAGGAGAGAGCGGGGCGCACCTGCGGGTGGACGGCGACCGTCATGGGCGCGTCCTCCTCCTTGGACAGCTCGTGCTCCTCGACGAGCGAGATCTGGCGCTTCTTGACATCGACCGAGTACATGCTCTGCGTGTCGACGATCGATCGACCTGGGTCAGCCCGCAGGAACGCGCCAGAGTCGAGTGGCGCAGGAGAAGGGGGGGGGGGGGGGGGGGGGACGCACGAGGCGGTTCTTGACGCCGGTCCTGCTGCTGCCGCCGCCTCCTGCGAGAAGGACTGTGTCGTCGTTGGTGAAGGCGATCGAGTAGACGGGGAAGCGGACGTCGAGCGGGAACGACGTCTTTGAGGCCGTGCCCGGTTCGGGCGAGAGGGTGGTGGGCGTGGCCTCTGCGGGCATGGCTCGAGTGCGGCGGGGTGGAGGGTCGGAGAGACGAGGAGGGTGCTTGACGGGTCAAACAGGCTGCACGAGCGAGGGGTGAGGGTGAGAAGGGGGAACGAGATGAGGAGGCTGAGGTGGGGAACGAACGGGCTCACCTCGGCGACGGGGACGAGGGCGAGCGCGTGGGATCAAGTGACGAGAGATGTAGGGCTCGAGTGCGAGCAGGTACAGTCCAAGCAAGGGCGAGGTGGACAGAGGGAGGAGCCAGCGATGAGAGTCGTCGCGTCCTCCTCCTCCTCGCTCATCTCGCACAGCCGCGTACTCGCCTGCGTGCCACCCAGGACACGCACAATGGCAGAAGCTAACTGGCGTCAGAACCTCCAAGGCTGTGCGCCCTTCTCTCCCCTTTCCCCTCCTCCTCCTCCTCCTCCCCTCCCCCACCTCTCGCCCCACCCTCCCACCTCGCCGACGACTAACCTGACCTCGTGGAACCAACCGTGCAACAGTCCGCTGGGCCTCGGGCGTCACCGATGACTCGCAGCAGGCCTCGGAGCAGTCCCCCTTTGCCCGCTTCTCCCAGGCCCTCTCCGGCGGCATCCCTCTCCGTTCAAACGAGCGCTCAAACGAGGAAGAAGCGTGCGTCCCTGCCTGCCCTCTCTTTCAGTGTCGCGTGTCCCTGACCCGGTCCCCCCTCCCTGCAGCTACTTTGCCCTGTCGCGCTGGGAGCGCTTCCTCGGCTTCCTCCTCTGCATCGCCGGCGCCGCAGCGTGCTTCGCCGTGTCCTTCTTTATCGGCCTCCCCATGCTCGCCATCAAGCCCCGCAAGTTTGCCGTACGTCCCTCTCGTTTCCCCTCGCTCCCGGACCACGACTGACCTCGCGCCTCCCCTCGCAGGTCGCCTTCTCGCTCGGCAGCGTGCGTCGGTCCTTTCTCCGCCTGCGCACACGGGATCCTGACCCTCTCTTGCGCCCCTGCAGGTCCTCTTCATGGTCGGGTCCGTCTCTCCTTCCCTCGTCCCTCGCCCGGACCCAAGTCCTGACTTTCGTCCCGCCTTGCAGCTTCTCGATCCTCCAAGGCCCCCTCGCGCACGCCAAGCACATCTTCTCGAGCGACCGCCTCCCATTCACGGCCGCCTATTTTGGCTCCCTCTTCCTCACGCTCTTCTTCGCCCTCGTCGTGCGTCGACCTCTCCCGTCCTCTAGCCTCTTGTCCTTGCCGAGCTCGCCTTCTGACAACCCTGTCCCCGAGCAGAAGCACTCGTACTTTGCGACCCTCATCTGCGGCGCGGCGCAATGCGTCGCCCTCGTCTTCTACTTCGTGTCGTACTTCCCGTGCGTCCCTCGCCTCGTCTCTTCCGGCCCCTCGGCGCTCCTCGAGCGTCAGAACGATCGGTGCTCACGTTGGCTTGTGACACACAGCGGCGGGTTTCAGACGCTCTCGTTCGGCTCGAGGATGGCTTTGCGCGGCGCGGGATCGGTGCGTCCCTCTCTCTATTCTCCTCTCGCGCTCGCGCACGGTGACTCACTTCCTCTCTCTCTCTGCGCGCAGTTCCTCCCGGTATGAGCACACGGTCGAGCACTTGTACAGTAGATGGCTGCAGTCGGAACCGTTGTCCCCTTTCCGCCCTCGAGTTCTGCCAGAGAGCGGTCCTTTTCCGTCCTCGAGAGAGCCTGTGTCGAGAGAAAGAGGGTCACGGCGTTGCACTCTTGCACTACTCTCCAGGCGCCCACACCCCAGCCATGCACTCGTCCGCCTCCTCGTCCCACGCCCCGCCCCTGCCCCTGCGCTCCTCGACCGCGAGCCGCATCTGCTGCAGCCGCAAGTTGACCTCGCTCGGCGTCGTCCCCGGCGAGCCAAACTCGGCGCGTACGAGCGTGCGCAGCGTCGCGAGCGACGGCAGCGGCGGGAGGCGCATGTGCGCTGCGGCGCTCGCGAGAGCGTGCGAAAGCGAGAGCGCGCTCGGGCCCTCACTCTCGCCCTCGCTCGCGCTCGCGCCGGCACCGCGCAAGGGCCACTCGAGCGTGTCGATGTACACGTCGAACGCGTCCTGGATCGGCATCGGCTTGAGGCTGCGCGCGCCGTGCGCGTACAGCGACGACGCGAGGTGGTCGACGAACGACGGGTGCAGGAGCGGCTCGCGCGAGCCCGACGTCGGCTTGGCCGACCCGGGAGGCGGCGCAGGCTTGACGAACAGGGTCTTGAACGCGCCGAGACGGTAAAAGTCGATGACGAACCGCAGGTGGGTCGCCTTGAGGAGCGCGGCGGCGCACTCGTCGCCCGTACCGGCACCGCCGGGACTTGCCGCCGTCGCCGCCGCCGCCGAGACGGCGCGCCATGCGTCGTGCACCGCGTAGTACACGCCGGCGACGTCGCGCTTGTCCCTCGTCAGGCACTCGAGGAGCACGCTCGACGCGAACGCCTCGAACTCGGTCGGCGGCGTGCCGGCCTCCTTTGCCCTCGGCCGCGACAGCGACTGCGTGACGGCGAGCGCCTCGGCGTCGGCCGAGAAGGCGCGCACAAAGTCCTCGAGCGCGCTCGACGCCCGGTCGGTCACGCCGCCGCCCGAGGTTGTCGACGCCGAGGCCGAGGGCGCGAGGACGCGCATCGTCTCGCCAAAGTCGAGCACGGCCGAGCCCGTCTCGCTCTTGGACCGCGTAAAGATGCTGCGCACGCCGCGAGGGTCCTGGGCGTACGACAGGTGGCCCGTGCGGCGCTTGACGTACAGCGTCCCATCGCGAATGAAGCGCGTGAGGTGCGCCGGCGGCGGGGGCGTGTCGAGCTTGACGGCGGGCGGCGTGGACAATGTCGACGAGGTGACGGGGCGAGCGGGCGGCGCGAGGCGCAGGGCAAAGGGCCAGTACCGCGGCGAGTCGACCTGGATCGTCTCGATGAGGGCGAGGTTGGGCAAGAGGGTTGGGGCGACGAGCTGCTTGGCCTGGGCGTCGGTCTTGGCCGCCGTCGATGGCGGTACAGGTGCGGCGTCGTCGGGTGTGGCGGCGAGGCGCAGGCGGATCGGCAGGAAGACGGGCTCGCCCGTTTCGACGTCGCGAGCTTCGAGGTACCTCGGCTCGACGGCGAGGACCCACAGGTGGCGGTACGCCTGCAGGTGTGCTCGGTTCTCGGTCGGGCTCGACGGGAAGGCCGGGTACAGGGCGAGGAGGAGCGCGGCGATGGCGGCGTCCGAGTTGCCGAGCGTGTGCTTGCCCTGGCCGAGGAAGAGGAGGCCGAGCGCCATGTGCGTCGCGAGGTGCGAGCCGTACGTGACGCCCTCGCTGAACATGCCGTGCGCGACGCGAAGCCGCCGCAAGACGTTGAGCTCGCCTGTGCCGGCCATGACCATCGAGAGCGCGACGGCGACGACGCCGAGCGAGCTGCGCAGAGCGTGCCGCTTGATCTTGCCCTGGACCGTCGCCGCTGCAGCACGGTAGAGAGAGAGAGCGTAAGTCAGGGGGCCGAGAGCGAGAGAGAGCGAGAGGGACGCACACTTGAGGAAGGACGTGCGAGTGAGGCGGTCGAGGAAGAAGATGAGGGTGGCGTGCGCCTCGGCGGCGGCCGTGCCGGCGTACTTGAACCCGATGGCGAAACAGGCGCCGGCGACGATGCTCCACCGAGCGATCTCGAGGTCCGGGTCGGCCGTCTTGCCCGCCTGCGCGAGCGCGGTCGCGAGGAACGCCGGCACCTGGTTCTCGACCCACTCCTTCGACTTGGCGACGCCCTTCCACAGGACGAGGTTGCGGGCTAGCGTGCGGAGGAGGAGGAGGTCGGGGCGGACGTAGTCGAGGGTGCGGAGCGAGTCGGGGATCTCGAGGATGTCGGCGACGTCCTTGCGCTCCGAGCGCAGGTACGTGAGGGCGACGGCGACGGTGGCGGCCGGCGACGTGATGTTGATGTCGGGGGCCGACCTGGCGTGGGACAGGCCGGGCAGGCGGTGGTTGCCCTCGTCGAGAATGAGGGCGCGGAACGTGCGCAGGCGCTCGCCCTCCTTGGCCGCCGACGACTGGTCGCGCCCTCGCCCGAGCATGATGATGCCGAACGCGAACCCGCACGAGAGCGCGTACGCCTCGCGGCACAGCGTACCGTCCTCGACCGCCGTGACCGTCATGCCGCACATCTCGCGCAGGAGGATGTCGGCGTAGCTCCTGCGGCCCGTGCCGAAGTGGAGGAGCCCGAGCGCGACGGCCGCCGCCGACTTGGTCATGCCCGACACGTTGAGCGACGACGATCTCGGCGGGTGCAGCGCCGTGAGGTGGATCGAGACGACCGACGTGACGGTCGGGTCGCTCGTGCCGAGGTACGACACGGCGAGGCCGAGGAGGACGCCGACCGACGTCGGGTCGTGCTTGGCCTTGAGGTACTCGTACGCCTGGCTCGAGTGCATGGCGCCGAGCTGGCCCGTGAGCCCGAGGCCCATAAGGAGCCCGGCATGACGGCCGTCGAGGTCGCCCGCCGGCCGGTTGAACGAGATCTGCGAGCTGTCGAGACCTGCTACGCCCTCGAGGTTGGCGCTGTCGAGCGGGTCGACCCGGAGCTGCAGGGCGGCGGCGACGCCCGCGTGGAAGTCGGGCCATTCGAGGCGGTCGGGGACCGGGGAGGCGCTCGACGGGTCCCGAGGCTCCTTCTCGATGAGGGCGACGGGCGAGGGCATGGGGATGATGCGCGCCGACGTGTTGATGCGCGGGATGGCGATCGAGTCGTGAGGGAGGTTGCCCTTGGTGCGGTAGAGGAACATGGCCTGGCCGACGGGGAGGGTGAGGGTGCGGGCCGAGAGGGCGAGGAGCACGCTCTGCTGGATCTGCGGCGTGAGCTGGTCGCTGCGGACGTACGACGAACGATGTCAGTCAGGGGTGCGCCTCGTCGCAGGGCCAGGACGAGAGGGAAAGAGGTGGACCGAGAGGACCAAGGGGAAGGAGGACGCACAGGGTGCGGTCGCCGGCGCTGATGACGGCAGGCTGCTCGTACTGGAGCATCCTGCCGACCTCCTCAAGACGCTTGTCCTCGTTGAACCTCGCCGCCCTCGGCACCGCCGTGAGGCTCTTCTCCTTGTCCTCCGTGTCCTCGCCGCGCCCGCCGCCCGACGCCGCCGCTGCCGTACCGCCTCGGCCCGCCGCCTGCGCGAGGATCGCGTCGATGCTCAGCGCTTCGACTGGCGCGATCTCGGCGTCCGTCGCGCTCGATCCCGCCGTTCTCGCCGGCGCACCGTCATCGACCTGCCGCGCGAGGTCCGGCCGCGCGATGAGCTCGTACGCGCCGCTCGGCCACCCGTCCGGTGCGTCGAGCTGACACGTGCGCACGGCCTCGCGCAGCGGGAGGCCAATCGCGAAGCCGAGGCGCAGGGCGAGCGTGCGCTGGGTCCAGCCGAACGAGTGCATGGCGAGGACCGTGTGGTGGGCTCGGGCATGGACGTGCGAGGTCGACGACGACGAGGTCGACGTGGTCGGTCCAGAGGGCTGGGCGAGGTGCGTGTACAGGGCGAGGACCTGCGACGTGAGGACGAACGGCGTCGCGGTCGAGCCGTAGTAGTCGGACGGGGCGAGGCCGAGCTGGACGGCAAAGGCGCCGAGGTCGAACGGCGCAGGCGAGGGCGACTTGCTCGCGAGGAGCATGGCGAGATGCGAGAGGATGTCGGGCGGTGAGGGCGACAGCCGGCCGGGGTGCGCCTCGGGACCTGCGGGAAGGGAGACCGTTAATGCTCGCTCGCAGGGCCCGAGCGCATGAGAAATGAGAGATGAGGACGCGCCACAGGTGACGTCGTCCAGCGACGGACCGAGGAGCCTCCTCCAGTAGTCGACCCACCCGACGAGGCCCTTGGCCGCCGCGAGTCGCGCGACCCACCGACCGAGCACGCGCACCTCGCTCTCGGACCCACTCGCGAGACGCGCATCCTGCGCCGCGAGGTGCAGCGCGAGGAGAATCGCCTGGTCGTGCTCGCTGAGCGGCGTCGGCGCTGCTGCTGCTGCTGTTGGCGGCACGACCGCACGCGGCGAGGCTCGCAGCGCGCCGAGCGGGTCCTGCGCCCCGTGCGCGTGACGGCCCGAGGCGCGCTGCAACATCTCGTCGAACGGGCTCGTCGGCGCTGCTCGAGGCTGCGCGCCAAAGAGCTCGTCGAGCACGAGCTGGAGGGCGCGCTCGCGCCTGGCCGGCCTCGACCTTGCCCACGCCGTCGCCTCGTCGAGGCGCTCGCGCTCGAAGACTGCGCTCTGGAGCTGCACAAAGTCGTTGAGCGGCAGGGCGGCGGCAAGCGCCTCGAGGCACGTCGTGACGAGCGCGCCAGGCTCGGGCGGCTCAAAGGCCATCAGGCGGCGCGAGCCGTCGTCGAGGGTGACGAGGACGGACGACGAGCCGTTGCCGTCGAGTGACGCGATGCTGCGAACGGTCGGCAGCGTCGGGGACGGGACGGCGACCTCCTTGCCGTTGGCGGTGACGAGGGCGAGGGACATGTCGGCGCGGAGGTACAGGAGGTCGAGCACGCTGCGCCGGGTCGCGAACACGGGCACGGCCGACAGGGCCTGCAGCTCGCTCAGAGGGTTGGCGACGAGCGTGCCCGAGGCGTCGAGGCCGAGGCCGAGGAGGAGGAGGACCTGGGCGGCGGGGAGGTGGATCGCGAGGGTGGACGAGCTGGACGAGCGCGTGTCGAACAGGTGGGCGGTCATGCTCGACGTCCTGTAGATGAGAGTCGTATCAGGGTCTCCTCGAGGCAAGAGAGAGGAGGGCAGGAAGAGGGAGACGCACGAGAGGTTGTGCAAGTCGGCTTCCCAGACCGCCTCGAGCACGCACTCGCTCCTCCTCGCCGAGTCGCCCTCGAGCGCTCCTCCTGTCGCCCCACCAAGGAGCAACGTCGCCTCGCGGTCCATGAGGTCGCCCGCGCCGCCGAGCCCGAGCGCGCCGCTCAGACCCGTCCCGCCGCCCGCACTGCTCGCGCCCTGGCTCAGCGCCATGCGGTCCATCGTGACGCTCAGCTCGTTGCGGCTCGTGCTCGTGCGCCGCTCGACGAGCGTGAGCGCCGCCGCGGCGGTCGCCGCACTCGCCGCCGCGCCGCCGCCGTGCCCTCGACCGTGACCGTGCGCCGAGGCGTACCCGTGCGCGTGCGCGTGCGAGTCGGCGACGCCCGCGCCCAGCGCCTCGAGCAAGTCGTGCTCCTGCTGATCGAGAACGCGACTCGCCGCCGCCGCCGCTGCCGCCGCACCCGACAGGCGCGGCTTGGCGTGCCCGGGCCCGTGGCCGCTCGCGCGCCGCACGCTGCGCTCGTCGACGAACCCGCGCCCGAGCCCGTGCCCGCTCGGCGCAGCGAGCGACGCGTCGCCGCCGCCGCCGCCGCTGAGCGACGCGTGCTTGCGCTTGGTCCCGCCGCTGCCGCTCGGGCGCATGGCCGTGCTCGCGCTCGCGCTCGAGACGTCGCCGCCCTCGCCGCCGTGCTCGCGCGCCCGAGCTCTGCCCTTGCCCTTGCGGCCGGCGCCGAAGCTCGACCCGAGGCTCAGGTCGCCGAGGACGCTGCCCGTCGTGCCGTCCTGGGCGGCCGCCTCGCCCTCCTCGACGACGTCCTCGAGGAGCTCGTCGTCGCCCTCGTCGTCGTCCCGCTCATCGTCGTCGCCGAGCAAGTCGCCCTCGGGCCCTGCGTCCGGGTCCTCGCCGCCGGGGCCGAGCGCGATGCGCTCGTAGCGCCAGACGCGCAGCGTGCGCGTGCGCTCGTTGGTCGTGACGAGGACGCGGGTTGGCGGCGGCGGCGCGGCGGTGGCCGCCGAGCTCGACGAGGACAACGATGCGGCGAGCGGTTCAGACGACGACGCGAACACGACGTGCTCGTCTGGGTCGTCAACGAGGCGCTTCCTCGCCGGGCGCGCCGCCGCCGCCGTCGCCGAGTCGGGCGCCTCGCGAGGCGCCTCGCGCATCGCGACAGGACGCAGTGGCTCGAGTGGCCCGCCGAGCGTGTACCACGCGGCGTGCTGGCCCGAGCCCGCCCGGGGCGGGTCGGCGCGCTCGAGGAGGACGCCGCCGGCTCGCTCGCCGTCGCCGATGCCGCCGAGTGCCCAGGCGCGGCGAACGCGGAAGGGGAGCGGGATCGGGATGCAGCCGCCCGAGGCGGTCGGGTACGCGAGGGCGACGGTCGAGAGGAGGACGAGGAGGGTGCGCGAGGTGGGCGCCGGGGTGGTGGGCGAGACTGGGGTAGAGGCGGTCGCAGGCGGGTCGCGTGGAAGGGGGAGCGGGTCGTCGGACCAGGACGAGGTGGCCGGGCGGCGGTACGGCCCAAACAGGGGCTCGTCGCCGGCATGCGGGTCGTCGAGGCGGTGCGCCGAGGTCGACGCGAGCGGGACCTGGGCTGACGGCTGCGCGCGCGCGTTCAGGGTGGCCGGGAAGTCGACAAAGAGGGCCTGGTGCACGTCTTGGTCGTACGAGTCGAACGAGAACTGGCGCAAGAGGACGCCGCCTCGGCTCCACACGAGGGTGCGGCCGGACCAGCTCAGCTCGTCGACGTCGCCTGGGCCCGGGGCGGTGCTGCTGCTGGTCGTCTGAGAGGCGGCTACGGGCACGATGCAGGTGCACGGGGCGCTCCTGCTGTGCGCGGTCGACGCCGGACGCGAGGCGGCGCGGAGGGCGAGCTGGAGGCGCGAGGTCGACGAGGGGAGGAGCGAGGGCGGAACGCGCTGCGGCGGTGCTGGAGGGGGCTTGGAGAGCAGTGGTGCTGGCCATGGCCGCACTGGCGCGAGCTGCGCCATGCTGGTGCGGAGTGGTCGAGGTCAGCCAACCGAGGCCAACTCGCTCTCGTCGAACCCGCTCGTCGCACCAACTGTAGCCTTGTGCATGGCTTGGAACGAGCTGTATGATGTTCTCGCAAGCTCTCGGGGCCCGACACTCGCAGCGCTGAGCGCGATCTCGACCAGCTCTCGAGCGCGACCAACGACGTCGAGCCGAAGCCGCGCAACTGCCAGCTACAGGTCCGAACAATCGCACAAAATCTCTTTCGAGAGCCTCTCGAGACGTCGGGCAGTCGAGCGCGCAAGTCTGTGGGAATGCGAATGCGAGTTGCCCGTCGTCCTCCTCGTCGAGCTCCCGCCCTGATGGTACAACGCCCTCGCCGCGCCTGCTCGTCTCGGCCCTCGTGTAGGATACATGCGCCAGTAGGGCCGTCTATGCCTCGCGGCGAAGCCTCCGGAGCTGTTGCCGGGCGAGAGAAAGGGAGAGGGAAAGAGGTCAGTCGGGAAAGGGCCGGGGCGTGAGAGACGATGGACAGGGAAGGGGGGACGTACAAGGTCGCGGTGGGTGCGAGCGACGCCGTGGAACTCTTTGCGCTTGGGGACGTAGTCGTTAACGCGGAGGTTGGACGGCAGGGGGGATTTGACGAGGCGGTCGAGCGTGGGCGACAAGATGTCGAGGTTGGGTCGGGGTGCCGGGGTTGGCGGGAGGCGCAGGGCGTGCGAGGGGATGGCCGACACGGGGATCGGCCGGGTCACGAGGCGGACGAGGGTCGGGCGCATCCTGGCGAGGAGGGGAGAGATGAAGACGAGGGAGGGCGTGAGGACGGCGAGTGAGGGTCGCGGGCGTGGGCGTGGGTGTGCCGGTGGATGTGTTAGGTGCCCTGGGCGAGTGCTTGGCTCGTCTGATGGAGCGCGTGTGGTGTAGTCGGGGCGAGAGGGCGAGGCTCTCCTGGTCGAAAGCGAACACGAGCACCGCCTCGCTCCCTTGCTCGCCGCCGTCCACCTCGAGCTGCAGTGCAGCACACCGACGCTCACATGCACTCGACCCTGCAGCGCCTGAGCAACATCTCGTGCGCCCCTCTCTCCCCCTCCCTCCCTCCTCCTCCTCCCCACCTCGACTCGCCCCCGACTCGCCTCGACTGACACCCTGCCCCGCAGAGCTCTCGCGACCACCGTCATCCTGTCGCTCCTCGCCGCCATCGCCGCGTCGTCCTTCCTCATCCCGACCCCTCTCGACCCCTCGTCCCTCCACATCTCGCACCTCAACGTCGTCCTCGGCCGCCCAAACTACCAGCCTCGCGCCCACGACCGCGAGTACGCCTTTGTCAAGTTTGACCTCGACGCCGACCTGCGCCCGCTGTTCCACTGGAACACCAAGCAGGTCTTTGTCTACCTCGTCGCCGACTACTCGACCCCGGCCAACGTCCGTCCCTCTCTCGCCCCTCTCTCTTCTTCGAGACTCGTCCACTGACACACACGCGCACTTGCACAGCCGGACAACACGGTCGTCGTGTGGGACCGCATCGTGCGCTCTCGGCGCAACGCGCGCCTGCGCCTCGACGACGCCAAGCAAAAGTACGAGTTCAAGGACCTGTCGCCGTCGTTCGGGACCAACACGACGGCCACGTTTGCGCTCCACTACCAGGTGCAGCCGTACGTCGGTGCGCTGCAGGGCGCAGAGGTCGTCAGGACCGAGCCGGTCGCGTTTCCGCCTGTCAAGCGGCGCAGTCAGTGACGGAGCGGGTTCTCATGCAGTGCAGCCGTCTTTGTGACTCGTCCGCGAGAGAGAGAGCGAGGCACGAGAATGCCGACAAGCTCTGTACGAAAAGCGAGAGCGACTCGCTCGTTCGTGAGCAGCACCGCCTCCTCTTCCTCCTCCTCCTTCAACCACGACGACCATCACCGCTCGACCGCCGCACTGTGTGCGCATGGCCCCGCCAACGTCTCGGTCACTGCCCAACCTCGCCCTCGAAGCCGACGACGACCCGCCGAGCGACCGCGAGCTTTCGTCCGACGGCCTCGACGACGACGACCCCGACCTCGTCCTCGCGCTCGACTTTGACGCCCCAGCACCGCCCGAGCCGCCGACACCGCCCCGGTCTGGGCACACGAGCGCACTCGGCACACCGCGCGGCTCGCCCAGGCTGCATGGCGGTGCGCCTCTCGCCGTCGAGTGGGGCGCCCTCCATCATGCTCCTCCCCGCCCGGGCGACCGCACGCCGCAGGGCGCGCACAGCCGCAGCCGCTCGCCGTCCCTCAGCGGCTCGATCCACAGCGCGCCCGAGCTCGAGCTGCCGCCCTCGCCCCTCTCGCCTCCCGCGCCGCGCGACCTCGCCCTGCCCGCCGACGACAACGACGAGGCCGCCGGCCTCGGACGCGCCGAGAGCCCCGGCCCGCTGAGCGACGAGGACGCGCACGAGCTCGTCGAGGTGGGGCCAGGGCAGGGCAGGAAGCGCCGCAGGAGGGCCGGCGAGCGCCTCGCGACGCTCTGGGACTACCTCCAAGAAGAGGTGCGCCGCGCTCTCTCGCTCTCTTCAGGACTCTCTCTGTCGTAGAGCCGGTCACTGATGGATGCATTCGCTCCTGCACAGATCTTCACGGTCGAGATGGACGGCGAGGAGGGCGTCAAGGGCGAGCGCGTCACCAACTTTCTCGCCGTACCACAAGAGCTCGAAAAGGTGCGCCCGGCTTCTCCCTTTCCTCCTCCTTTCGACTCGGCACGAGGTCTCTGACGACCCCTCGACCGCCGAGCAGATCATCATCTTCGGCGTCTTCATCTGCCTCGACTCGTTCCTCTACACGTTCACGATCCTCCCGTTGCGCGCCTTTGCCGCCCTCGCCCAGCTCGTCTCGAACGAGGCGCACAACGTCGTGCGGGTTCTGCGCGGCGCGAGGGCGACGACACGCAAGCGCACGCTGCGCCTGTCGCACAAGTGCGACCTCGTCAAGGCGGCCATCCTCGGCGGCACGCTCGTCCTCCTGCACAAGGTGACCGACGCGAGCAAGATGTACCACGGCGTGCGAGGGCAGGAGACGATCAAGCTCTACGTCTTGTTCAACGTGCTCGAGGTGCGTCCTCGGCCCTCCTCCTCCTCGCCCGGTCGAGCTTCCCTACCTCGCCGTATTGACCCTCGTCCCGCCCTGCAGATCGCCGACCGCCTGTGCTGCTCGTTCGGCCAGGACCTTCAAGACTCGCTGTTCAGCCGGCAGACGCTCGGTCGGCGCACCGACGGCTCGCGCCCGCACCTCCGGCCCGCAGCCCTCGGCGCCCTCACGCTCGCCTACGTCGTCGCGCACTCGGTCGTCCTGTTCTACCAGCTCATCACGCTCAACGTCGCCGTCAACTCGTACTCGAACGCGCTCTTGACCCTGTTGCTCTCGAACCAGTTTGTCGAGATCAAGGGGTCCGTCTTCAAAAAGTTCGAGAAGGAGAACCTGTTCCAGTTGACGTGCGCCGGTGCGTCTGTGTCGCTCTCTCTCTGTGTGTCCTTCTCTCGTACGACGAGCGAGGACCCTAACAGGCAAGGGCGCGCGCACAGACATCGTCGAGCGGTTCCAGCTCGGCCTCATGCTCTTCATCATCTCGCTGCGCAACCTCATTGCGCGGTCGTCCCTCCCCTCCCTGTCCCTCCTCTCGTACCTTCCTTCCCTATCGCCCTCGTCCCTTCCGCCCCTGTCGCTCCCGGCCCTCCTCTCGCTCCTCCACCAGTCGTTCTCGCCCGCCGTCGTCGTCCTGTGCAGCGAGTGCGCCGTCGACTGGCTCAAGCACGCCTTCATTACCAAGTTCAACCACATCCGGCCCGGCGTCTATGGTCGGTTCGTCGACGTCCTGTGCAAGGACTTGGTGACGGGCGCGGGGAGCGGCGGCGGGAGGCGGACCCACGAGGGCGAGGTGCGTCTCGCTCTCCCTTCTCGCGCTCGGTCCTCTTGTCGTCCCCAGATCGTCGTCACTGACCCTCGCCGTCCTCGCCTCCCGCCCCCATCCCGCAGCCGTTCGTCGACCAGTCGCCCCTCGTCTCGCGCCGGCTCGGGTTCGCCGCGCTCCCGCTCGGGTGCCTCGTCGTGCGCGTCATCAGCCAGGCGTTCGAGATGCTCGCCGACGAGAGCGGCGTCGACGAGTGCGCCGTCCCGAGCGCGAGCGCGTCGAGCTTGGGCGGTGGCGGTGCGGGTGCGGGTGCGGCGAGGGGCGCGCGCGAGGGCGAGGACCTGTGGGCGAGGGCGGCGAGGGGCGTCGTCGTTGCGCTCGTTGTCGGCGTCGGCTGGATGTGGTGCGTCGTCGCTTTCTTTATCTCTCTTTCTCTCCTTCTCCCAGAGCGAGCTCGAGCGCAGAACCTGACCCGCTGTCCCTCCCTCTCTCCCTCCCTCTCTCCCTCCCTTTCTCCCTCCCTCGCCCGCAGCCTCGTCGCCCTCAAGCTCCTCATCGGCATCTCGCTGCGCTCATTCGCGTCGCACCGCCTCCTCACCTCGTCGCACCGCCTCGCCGAAGAAGCGCTCGCGAGCCGCTCGAGGCCCAAGATCGGCGTCTCGGCCGCCGAGGCGGCGCTCGACCGCGACGTCGCCGCCGTGCTGCAGGGCGGCGAGGGCGGGCGAGAAGGGGGAGCGGGAGGAGGAGGAGGGGCGGGAGATGGGGCGAGGAAGAAGGGGCTCGAGGAGCTCGGGAGGTACGACATGGTCAAGAGCAGGCTGTGGTAGAGCTCTCTCACCGGCGTTGCCATCGAGCCGTCTCTCCTCTCTCAGGTCGACTCGAGGCTGCTCGTCGCAAAGGGGCAGCGAGAGAGTGAGAAAGAGGAGCGCGCGAGAGAGGGGAAGAGGGGGACTGCAATGCGACGGTGCGTCGATACGCTCGAGGAGAGGAGGACCGAGCTACGCAAAGAGAGGTGCGAGGGCCGACAAGATTAGGCGGACGAAGGAGAGGGAGGGTCGCGCGTGGGTCGCTGCGGATGAAGGAGTATGGCGCTACGCCGAGCGAGGGGGGAGTACGACAGGGTATGGACACGGAGGAGTGGACAGAGGGTGGGTATCGAGGGCATAGATGAAGAGAATGACAGAGGAGAGAGCGAGAGAGAGAGAGGGGGGGCGGGAGCGACGGCGGCGGCGACGTCTCAGCGCGCCTGCGACATCATGGGTCCCGGCCCGTCCTGGCCGCCGTTGAGGAAGGCCGACGAGCCGCCTGGGCCGCCCTGAGCGGCGTACGACTCGCGCGACATGGGCCCGGTGGGTCCGAGCACTGCGAGCGAGAGGGAAGAGGGAGGGGTGCGAGCGCGTGAGTTGACGGCGCTCGTCGAGAGAGGGAGAAAAGGGAGGGAGGGGGCGACGCACTGCTGAGGGCGTCGTCCTCGTTGCCTCGGGTGCGGCGGCGGTTGAGGAGGTAGCGCGCGAGGAGGGCGAGGAGCGCGAGGAGCGCTAGGCCGCCGAGGACGCTCGCGACGACGATGCCGGCGATGGCGCCCTTGCTCAAGCCCTTGTTGCCGCCGGCGCCGTCTGCGCTCGCGGCCGACTCGGCGGGTGCGGACGGGAGCGAGAAGGACGAGGTGGACGAGGTCGTCGACGTCGACGAGGGGAGCTCGGACGAGGTCGAGTTGAGGGTCGACGAGATGTTGAGCATGGACGAGATCGACGACGAGGACGGCATCGGGGCGTAGCTGTGGATGAGGGGCGTCAGGAGTAGGTCGCTGAGGGCAGATGGAGGACGAGCTGGCGACGCACGAGATGACGATGACGACCGTCTGCGCGCCTCCTCCTGCGCCCGTGTTGGGCACCGTCTGGGTCACGGTGCTGAACCCTCCCGCTCCTGCTCCCTGGCCCTGCGACGTGAGGAGGCCGCCGTTGCCGCCCGTCGCGAGGCTGTTCTGCACGGCCGAGTTGACGAACGAGGTCACGAACGAGTTGGCCTGGGGCGAGTTGGCCGTGTTCGGGACGAAGCCAGGCTGCACGGTCGAGATGGTCGAGAAGGCCGTCGTCCTCGTGGGCGACACGGGCAAGGTCGTCGGCGAGCGGGTGGCCTGGGTCTGGACGGCCGTCGTCTGGGCGGCCGTGTTGGTTGCGCCGTTGCTGCCGCCGTTGTTGTTGCCGCCGCCGTTGCCGCCGCCGTTGCCGCCGCCGCCGGTGCCAGTGTTGGTCGGGATGAGCCTGGTGGTGGTAGTGGTCAAGGTGGTGGTGGTGGTTGTTGTGCTCTCGCCAGCTTGACGCTGCACGCGGGGAGAGCGGGGTGAGCCACGAGGTCCGCGGGGAGGGAAACGACGGCGGCGAGGAGGAGGGAGGACGGACCTTTACGAGCTGGAAGCGGTGCGAGTCGTTCGAGTGAGCGGGCATGGCGGGCGCAGGGGGTTTGTCGTGGGCGGGAAAAGAGCGGTGTTGACTGACGGGGGCGAGTGATCGGAGGTGGTCGCAGGGGAAGGGCGAGGGTGAGGAGGGCGAGGGGAGGGCGGCAACGAGGGGCGAGGGGGTGGTGGTCGGAAGGGAGTCCGGTGCTCGTGGGTGAGGTCTGTCGAGAGCAAAGGGCGGCTGGAGGTGTACAGAGAGAGGGAGAGGAGGGAAAAGAGGGCAAGCAGCGCGATCGCACGAGCGACGGCCAGTCTCCGGGTTTAGCCTCGCTCAACTCGCCGGTGTCCACCTCGCCGTCTACGAGCCTGTTGCGCCTGCTGCTACAGGCCCCACAGCACCACAGCCACCCCGTCACTCACCCTCACCGCCGCCCTTACCGCCCCTCGACCCCGACCACATCCTCATCAGCTCGTCCACCCACCTTCACTATGGCGACACCGCGCCATCAGCCACGAGCATCTACCTCGACCTCGGCATCCGGCATCGCCCTCTCGCCCTCGGGCGAGCGCGTCGTGCCCGCCTCGGTCCGCCCAGATGGCAGGTCCGTCCCCCCCTCTCACCTCGTCCCCCTCTCCCCTCACACCGGCCCCCAGCTCACCCGTGCCACTACCTCGACAGCATCCGCAAAGAGCGCAAGGTCCGCCCGGGCTACACCCCCGTCGAGGACATCGCTCGCTACCGCCCGCCCGCGACTCGCGACTCGCCCGCCTCGCCTCGACCACGACCCGTACCCGGCCTCGGCGCCTCCGTCCTCGCCGCCCTCGGGCAGCCAGTGCCACGATCCGGTGTGCGAGCGGGCAGCGACCGGCCGCAGGGCACAGCTACGCCGCCAAGGGCAGCAGCCGTCGCGAGCTGGAAGAGGGCGCCGCCTGTCGACGCGCAGCCACGGCGAGACACGGGCGCGAGCACGGCCGAGGGCAAGGGGAAGGAGCGCGTGTCGCAGCCGACGAATGTCGTGCGCGTGCCGCCGACCAAGGACGAGCCGCGCGAGAGCTGGGACGCGTCGTCCAGCGAGGGCGGAAACGACGAGTCGGGAGCGGGCGAGGGGGGCGAACGAGGGGCACAAGGTCCGGCTGGTGGGTCGGATGTCGAGTCGCAGGCGACGTCGACGCCCGTGGAGAGCGCGCGGCGAGCGCGGGCTCTGCGCAAGAAGCTGCGGCAGGTGCGTCCTCGTCCTCCTTTTTTGCCTTCTCTTCGTCTCTCGCCTGCGCACGCGCCCTGACATTTCGCTCGACTTGCAGGCCGAGCAGTTGCGCACCGCTCGACGCCGCTCTCTGCCGTCGAGCGCGCCAAGGTGGACGGCGTGGCCGCGCTCGAGGAGGAGCTCGCCGCCCTTTCAGTCTGAAACGCCGCCGCTCGCTCCTCTCGGTCTCTTCACTTCTTGATCGAGGTGACGAGAGAGGCTCGGGCTGCTCGCGCCTGAGCCGAGCTCGAGCTCGACGGCCGTCCATCTTCGGGTGCCGCTCGCGCCGCTCGGTCGACTTTCTCGCTTCGTCGGCTCTCTCTCGCTCGCTCTGCTTTCCGCTCCGCTCGCCGCGCAAGATCAGCAACATGGACTAGACGGTGCGCTCCCTCGTCCCTCCTCGGCGTCGCGCATGCGCCGACTCTACTCGCTCCCACAGATCCTCGCCGACGCGAGCGTCCCATCCTCTCTCCGCCACCCCCACCGCCTCCCCGACGAGCTCCTCGACGCCGTCTTTTGCCTCGTCTACTTCCTCCCGCACGACCGCGCGTCGTACACCTCGTACCCGGCCCCGCTCATCTTTCCCCTCTTGCGCCGCCTGTATCGCACCCGGCAGTCCGCCCTCTGCAGCCTCGTCGTCATCTACCGCTACGCCAACCTCCGGTCGTCCTGCGACACGGTGCGCGACGTGCCGGCGGTGGGCGGCATACGTCGAGGAGCTCGTGCTTGGCGTCGACGGCGACCAGCTCGAGGTCGAGGACGACGACGACGAGGAGGAGGGCCAGTTCGAGAGGGCGCCGATCGAGTGGAAGGGGATGACCTGGGCCAACTCGTGCGGCAAGCGGGTCGATGCCGTCGAGCGTGGGCGAGGTAGGACCGGCGACAATGAGCCCGAACGGCGCTCGAGGTCCTTGGCCTTGTCCTCTTCTGTAGAGCACCCTGTCTCGCATTCTCGTGCTCTCTTCGCCTTTCTCTCGTGCCCTTTGTGAGAGGTCTTGCTCTCAGTTGGCGCTAGAGACCAGCACGCTCGAGCTCCCGGGCTCGCTCGAACCCGTCGTCGAGCCTTCGCTCGTTCGCTCCAGCACCTCGCTCGTGCGCTCGTTCCGGATCCTTCCTGCGCCGTCCTTGTTCCTCGACATTACGAGAGCGAGCTGTAAAGTACTTTGCGCCCGCGGGGCAGGGCAGTCGGGCCTCGAGGCGATGCGCACGGTCCCTCACTCCGGTCCGACCTTCCCAAGCTCGTTCGGGCTCGCTGCACACCCTCGCCCGCTCCGCTCGAACTTGCGGACGTCGAGCCGAGTCACATAAGCGGGTCCGTGATGCCGTGTCGGCCTGGCACGCGGTCGCTGAGAGCGTCGAGTCGAGGAGCAGCTACTTGAGAAGGTCGCTTTGCTCGAGAAGGCCGACTTGGTCGTCGTCTCGCTCGCCTCGCTGCCTTTCAGTCCTCGGGTGCGTCAGGTTCGCGGACGGGGAGCGGCATGCGGACGAGACAGTTAGCCAGACTCTATCGGAGCCGTACGCCTGAACGAGGATGCCTCGACGCGTGAGCCTTGCGTGACTCGCTCTCTGTGCCCGTCCGCGCGCTCGTGGTTGGGCAGCGAGTCCCGCAAGACTTGCTGATGTTCGGGCTGAGTACAGCAGGGCCATCAAACCTGTGCGGATACTGTATGTTGCACGCCCCTCGCTCGCCAAAGGAGCCTATGTGGTCTAGTCGTATGATACCTCATTCGGGGCACTTAGCCTCGGCTTGCAGTAACGCAGCCTGAACATTGAGGTGGTCCTCGGTTCAATTCCGGGCATGGGCCGTCTTCTTTTGCCGCTCGTGACGGCGAAAGTGGCGTGGGTGCGGGGTGAGGAGGCCCTCGTCGACTCTTTTTGCCTCGCAGCGGTCCCCGACGCTCTCGCCCTTCTCCCTAGCGCTCGTACTCGGCAGACTGCACACCCAGGAGCCAGCCACGCTCCTCCACGCAGCGTGAGGCGAGTGAACGTAGTCAAACCGGTTGCCCGTCCAGATCAAAATCGCAGCTCCAGGGGCCTGTGCGCGCCTCTCCTGCCGCGCTCTGCGAGCCGAGAGGTGCACGATGCTACGCAGAGATGCTATGCAGGCAGTTACCGCCCGAAAGAGATGCGGCAAGTCGTCGAACCTTGCGCGTGAGGCCGGCACCGACAGCAAGTCGAGGCGCTTTCCGAGACGCCTGACGCTTGTGCGGCCCTCCCCGACCGCCGACGCACCAGAACGTCGTCCCGAGACCTTGTACTGGACGTCGCGAGTGCCGCTGAGCCGGCTAGGAGGCAGTAACGTGCGTGAAGCCGGCCCGTCCGAATCAGAATCTGTGCACTGAGGTCGTCTCTGCGCTTCTCTGCGACGTGCGATGAGCGTCGCGAGAGCCCGAGAATGTTGAGAGAGGCTCTGCGGACAGGTACAGAACAAGCGCGACGGCCGAGCGACACCGTAAGCTGCGTGAGGTGCGAGCACACCAGAAGGAGAGCCAGGGCCCGTCTCGCGAGGTCTCACGTCCCGCCCACTGTTCGAGGACCTGCTCGAGTGACGCTTATCTGGCTTACCAGAGCGGTGCCCGGACGTTCGGGCAGAGCAGTAGCCTCACAAAGCTCCCGCGCCGTGCGAGGCGGACTTGTCCCTTCTTTGCCTCGTTCCGCCTCGGGGCGGGCCTCGAGCCTCTCGCACTTCCCCCCACACCTCGAACTCGACTGTGAGTGGGCTACGAGACCGATCAGGAGTCGACGGCGTGCGTGAGGCGAGCGAACGTAGTTGGCGCTGCTGTCGGTCCAGATCAAAACTGCGGGCAGAGCGGGCCTCTCAGCACCTCTCTGTCGCGTTCGACGTGTCGCAGGCTGTCGTCAGTCAGCTGTAGACGTACAGAGAAGGGCTCGGGGCCTCTCGAGACGCGCCTGCCCGTCGAAGGGCAAGCGAGGCCTGCCGTCGACGAGAAGGGCGCTGGCGATTCGGCTTCGTTTCAGCTCTTTGCGGCCGCCGCATGGCGCAGCTTCGAGAGCACCATCTCGCCGACGACCCACGAGCCAAGGCGAGCAAAAGGAATGCCTCCTGCAGCCGGCGAGAGAGGCAAAAGGTAAGGCCCAATCCCGGAATTGAACCGAGGACCACCTCAATGTTCAGGCCGCATTTCTGCAGGCCGAGGCTTAGTGCCCCGAATGAGGTATCATGCGACTAGACCAATTAGGCTCATTTGTAAGGACACCGAGAAGCGGCCGTCAGAGTCCCTAGCAGACGCGCACGCCTAATTCCAACTCTCTCGCGACGCGCTTGCGCGCCCCTTACGACGCTGCGCATAAGCCAGACCCCGAGAAACCACAGGCGTAAAGCGGCACCGCCCTCGTACGCTCGCGCGGGGCGCTCGGGCGTTCGCTGCACAGCGACGGCGACGGGCTCACAGCGCGACGCAGCCTGCTACAAGCCGAGCTCGACGATGACGACGACGACGACGACGACGACGACGTGCTGCGAGCACCGAGGTCGAGGACGTTCCGGCGGAGAAGACGAGCGTCGAAGCGCGCGCACAGACCCTCGCCCCTCTCGCCGCTCCTCGTTCGCTCAGAGCCTCTCGTACTCGCGCTCTCTTCTCTCAGTAACAACCGACGTCTCGAGAAGGCTGCGACGTCATGCACCCGTCAGGAATGGCGAGGGGAGGCGAGCGCGGCGAGCAGCAGAGAGCGAGCGAGGAACCTCGAGCCCGCACGGACCGCCTCGCCCAAAAAGACGCGCTTCAAGGCTGCATTGAGCGAGAGCGAGAGGGCTCGCCGTGAGGACGTGGCACGGGAGGCTTGAGGAGCTCAAGGCCGAGCCGAGCGCAACTGGCGGAGGACAGCTTGTTCAAGGGAAGGAAAGCTCGGCTCGACCGCTCCGCGCACGGCCGTTCGACGAGGCAAGGTACCAACGACGACAGTTCATTGCAGAGCACAGTGTCTATGAGGCGGCCTGCGCACACAAAGCTCGCGCACCCTCTGCCGCCGCACTCTCGACGACGACCACCTCGGCGAACCGCAGCCCTCGCGCCTCGAGCCCCTGTACCAGAAGGTCCCGATACCCTCCTGCGCGCCACATGCCGCCGCCGAGTGAGAGGAGCGCCCGTCTCGGGTCGATGTACTCGCCGACGAGCCGCGTGACGGCGTCGACGAGCGGGGCGATGGCCTCCTCGACGATGGAACGTGCCACTCGAGTGCTCGCCGGGTTGATGGGCGGCGACGCAAACGCGTGTGTGAGGACGACCGGGGCGGCAGAGGCCATCCACAGTTTGCGGTTCGACTCGGACGAGGTAAAGCTCGGCGGGACGGCGTCGGTTGGGAGCGAGTGGTCGGCGTAGGTGCGGTCGACAAGTTCTGCGGCGTCGGCGACGCCAAACATCTCGAGCAAGTTCTTGAAGAGGGCAGGGAAGGTCGGCGGCGCGGCGGAGGGATTCCGGAGCGAGGCGGTCGTGGCGGCGTCGTGAGCGGCGAGTAGGCGACGAATGGCGATGCGGCCGATGGCAAAGCCCGACCCCTCGTCACCGAGACTGCGTCGAGGCAGAGGGTGAGTGGCTGGACGACGACAGGGTGCAAGAGAGGGCGAGAGACGCACAGATAGCCCCACCCTCCGTCGACGCCGTTCAGCCTCAGCTCGAGGCCTGACGGCTCCTTGGCGAACGCTGCAGGTGACAGGAATGTCAGTCAATGATCGAGTGGCCAAGGCAGAAAGAGGGTGGCGGTTGCTCACCCAGAGCAACACTCCCGGTTCCAGCGACGAGAGCGACTGCCGAGTCGACATGCGGCATGACGAGGCACGGCGCGCCGAGCAGTTGACCATCTGCGCGAGGTCACAGGTATCAGTGATGAATGCGAGGCCGAATGGGAAGCAGGGAACGCACCGTTGGTGATGCGCAAGGCGGGGTCGCCAGGGACGAAGCCGAAAGCTGGGCCGGCGAGAGGCGCAAAGGCGTCGATATCGCTCTGGTGCAGGATGCCGGCGAGGGCGAGCCAGACGCTGGTGAAGAACCCTGCTGGCGGGAACAGCGGCTCGCGGCGGTGGTCGTACGGGAGCGAGAGGTCGGGGATCTGGTGGAGCGCCTTGCGAGTTGCGGCGAGGATGGTCGCGAGCGCGACCTGGGGCCCGACGCTCTTGCTGCAGGTGCTCGGGGTCAGGTCGTGCACGACAGATCCGGGCCAGGGAAGAGGGTGCTCACACGTTGCAAGGTCCGCCGGTCGCGCTCGAGAGGTGGCCTTGGTCCGAGGCGACGACGACCTTGACGGCGGTGCCGCCGCCGTCGACGCAGAGGTACCACCTGGGCAGGGCGACTGAGGGCATCCAGCCCGCAGCAAGTGCGAGCGGGAGGGCGAGGGAGGAGCAAACTGATCAAGTTGGGCGAGTCGCGCGCGACCTCTCTCCCTCCCTCCTCCTCGTGTCTAGATCTGCACCGCCAGTGCTCGTTCCGGGCTCGCGCTCTGCTCGCGCGGAGCCCACTCTGGCCACCGCGCGGCCAACTTTGGTCGAAGGGCGCTAGCGCGTTTCTACCCCCGCGCCCTCTTGCTCCGTTTCGATAAACGCCGTCCTCGCTCCTCTCCCCCTCCACTTGCTGTGCTGCTGCGTCGTGCAGCGCGAGCGCACACTCGACCTCGACCTCGCCCGCCGCCAGCGAGACGCGCTTCTGCCGCCATGGCAGACCCTGCCGCCGCCGCACTGGTCGCCGACCTCCCGCCTCTTCCTCGCCGCACACGACTCGGCACCCTGTACGCCTCGCCCATCGTCCAGGTCGTCCTCATCTCGCTCGTCTGCTTCTGCACGCCCGGCATGTTCAACGCCCTCAGCGGCGTCGGCGGCGGCGGGCAGGTCGACCCCAAGGCCGCCAACGACGGCTCCATCGCCTTGTACGCGTGCTTCTCGGTCGTCGGCTTCTTCTCGGGCTCCATCATCAACCGCATCGGCGCGAGGCTTGCCTTCTCGCTCGGCGCGAGCGGCTATGCCCTGTGCGTCCATGTTCCCCTCGTCCCCCCTCCCTCGTCACGCCTCGTCCCGACCATGTACTGACCTCGCTCCGCAGGTACATGGGCGCGCTCCTCAACTACAACATTCGCGCGACCAACGGCTTTGTCGTCGCAGCTGGCGCAATCTTGGGCTGCTGCGCCGGCCTGCTCTGGACGGCGCAGGGCAGCCTCGTCCTCGCCTACGCGACCGAGGACCAAAAGGGCCGCCTCTTCTCGGTCTTCTGGATCGTGTTCAACATGGGCGGCGCCATCGGCAGCGCCATCGAGACGGGCCTGTCGTGGAACTCGACGAGCAACACCGTCTCGAACGCCGTCTACATCGTCTTCCTCGTGATTGGGGCAGTCGGTGCCCTCATCCCGCTCCTCCTCGTCAATCCGGCCACGATCGTCAGGAGCGACGGCACGAGGGTCATCCCGCCCATCCACCCGAGTGAGCAGCTTCTTCTTCACCTCGAGCCGCCTCGCGAGCCCGAGAACTGACCCTTTCCCTCTCGTCGACAGCCTGGAAGACCGAGTTCCTCGGCATGTGGCACCTCCTCAAGAAGGAGACGATCGTACTCATGCTCTTCCCGCTTTTCTTCTGCTCAAAGTGCGTCCCATCTCCCTCTCTCTCTCTCGAACTCTAGAAACGAGGACTCACGCTCGATTCGTCGCCAGTTTCATGTACACCTGGGAGCAGAACTCGTTCAACGGCGCACTCGGCACGCTGCGAGCTCGCTCCCTCAACTCGCTTCTCTTCTGTGCGTCAAAAAGCCGCTCTCGTCGTCCTTCCCAAGTTGCCTTGACTGACTCTTTCTCCTCCTCCACGTCCCCTCCTCGACTCCTCCTGCCACCACCTCGCTGGCCTGTCCTATCCTCTCACACAGGGGTGTCGCAGATGTTCGGCGCCGCCGTGTTCGGCGTCCTGATCGACCTCAAGCGCTTCGGCCGCCGCAATCGCGCCCGCGCCAGCCTCGCCTTCCTCGTTGTCTTCCACATGGCCATCTGGGGCGCGTCGTACCACAAGCAGCGTGGCTACTACCGGACGCCTGACGGCGCTTCGGTCCCTCGCATCGACGTCAAGGACTCGAGCTACGGCGGGTTCGCAGCGCTGTACTTCTTCCAGGGCGTGCTCGACGCCGTGACGCAGAACTGGGCCTACTGGTGCGTCCTCGCCTTCTCCTCGTACTCGTACCCCTGCTCGGCCAACCCGAGCTGACCTTGACCCTCGAGGACAGGCTCATGGGCGCCATCTCCAACTCGCCGGCTCAACTCGCCCGTCTCGTCGGCCTGTACAAGGGCATTCAATCGGCCGGTGCGTCCCGACCTCCGTTTCGATCGTCTTCCTGAACGTCTCCTTGCCTGTCGAGCCGAGCTGACATCGTCTTTACCCCTCTCGCCGCCTCGCCTCCTCCTCGTCGTCCCTCTTCCAGGTGCCGCTGGCGCGTTCGCCATGGACTCGGCCCTGACGCCCTACATGAACGAGCTCGCCGCGACGTGGGCTGTCTGTGCTACAGGCCTCCTCTTCGCGGCGCCAGTCGTCCACTGGCGCATCAAGGACCGTGCGTCCTCTTCCTCGGCCCTCTGTCTCTTGCCCAGCTTTCTGCCGCAGAAACTGACGATGCGCCTCTCTCTCACAGACACCGAGGACGAGATCGTCGTCGTCGCCGAGCCTGTGATGGGTGGGGACCTTGTGAGCGTGTCGAGCGGCGAGGAGAAGAAGCACGACGAGGCGGTCTGAGCGTCGCTCTCGTTCATTCTGTACTTTTCGGGTTTGCGAGGACTCTCTTGAGTGTGTATCGCGCAATGGACGATCGACTGCACCTTTCTCCAGCTCGAGAGCCGCTCTCCTCTCTCTAGAAAACGTGCGAAAGGAGGGCAACGAGCGCAGGATGCACAGCGGTCGAGGCTGCGACTGCAAGGAGGGGGACGACGAGGGGGACAACAAGGGGTGTGATATGAAGAGTACTGTGCGTGCTATGCTGCGAGACTCACTGCGGCGCGCCCGCCTCGGGGCCGCCACCGTTCGAGTGCCCGTTGAAGGCCGAGACGGTCGGCGTCGCCGGCGAGGGCGGTACGCCAGGCCTCGGCGTCGACGCGCTGCTCGACGACGGGCGACGGGCCGCCGCCGCCGACGACGAGGTGGCCTTCTTGCGCTCGAGGAGCTTCTTGACCCAGTCCTTGACGAACGAGCGGACCTTGGCCTCCTTCTCGGGCGCGAGCGACTCGTACGAGTCGGTCGCGTACGACGGGCGCTTCTTCTCCTTCTCGACGAGGAGCTCCGAGACCTGCGAGGGGGCGACCAGCGAGTCAGTGTCGGGCTCGAGGGGAAGGAGGGAGAAAGGGGGAGAGAGCGGATGGTCGGACGCACCTCGCGCGCGCGCTTCTTGAACGCGTCGGGCTCAAACTCGCCCTTGTACTTGCTCATCGTGTTGACGACGACGGTCGAGAACAGGCCCATGACCATCTTGTCCTTGACCCTCGCGCCCTTCTCCTCCTTCTCGGCCCTCTTGCGCTCGGCCCTCTCGCTCCGCTCGGCCTCGCGCGCGTCGCGCTCGGCCTTGGCGCGCCGCTCCTCGGCCTCGAGCGCTTCGCGCGCCTGCTCCTCGGCCTGCTTGATGAGCTCGTTGGCGTCGAGGACGGGCGCCGGGGCGCGGGCGCGCTCGGCTTGGGCGTGGTGCGGCGGCGGACGCTGCGGCGCCGGGCCCGACGGCCGGTCGCGCTGCTTGGCGCCCGTGTACAGGTTGGTGTACAGGTCGCGGTCCGACTCGCGGTCGTACTCGACGTGCCAGCCGTCTGGGAGGGCGCGGCTGCGGCGCTGGATCGTCGTGTTGGGCTGCGGGCGGATGAAGGCCGGGCGCTGGTCGTCGTCGGTCGAGGGCGAAGGCTCGTCGTAGCGAGCGCGCTTGGCGAGCGAGTCAAAGTCGAACGAGGAGGGGCGCTTGCGGTCTGGGTCGGTCGAGGCGTCCTGTGAGGTGGCGACGGAAGGGCTCGTCAAGATCTCCTTTCTCTGGCGCGATCGAAAGGGTTCTAGGAGAGAGCGAGGGACGTACGAGTAGCGCCTTGGGGATGCGGTACGCGAGCTGCAGCTCGGCCCACGAGGCGAGGACGTCCTTGGCGAGCGTCTGGACGCGCTCGTCGGCGACGTCGAGGCAGCGCGTGACGCTCTCCTCGATGCGCGACGACTCGATCTTGTTGCGCGTCTGGAGCTTCCACTTGGCGAGGATCTCGAGGTCCTGCGGGCCGAAGCGAGGGTGCGTCAGGTCGAGGTCGAAGGAGAGGAAGGAGGACGAGGAGGAAGGCGGGCCGACGCACGAGCAGGATGACGTGAACGTCTTGCGGGTACTCGCGCAGGACGTTGTTCATGAGGTTGAGGCCGTGGAGGCGCATGAGGCCGCGCAGGACCTCGTCGTCGGTCGTCATCTGGACGCGCGTGAGGAGCTTCTCGAGGATGCGGCGCGTCTGGAGCGCCTGGCGGATGGCCGACGACACCTTGGGGACCTCGTCGAGCTCGACAGGATGCAGAGTCGGCTGTGCGCGATGCCGGGCCGCTAGTAAGTCCCGCTGTTCCTCTAGGAGAGGGCAACGAGCCGAACGAGAAGGGGAAACCGACGACGCACCGTAAAGTCCTCGTCGAGCTTCTTGCCCTTCTTCTTCTTGTTGCCCTTGAGCTCGAGCTGCTCGACCTCGTCCGTGATGCCGAGCGCGTCGATGTAGAGGTCGTCCATGCCGCCGATGTCGGTCTGCGTCTTGCCGCCGATGAAGCCGACGCAGTTGGGCTCGCCGCAGAAGCACTCTTGCGCGACGTGGCTGCGACGAGGGAGACGAAGTGCAGGAGACGACGAGAGAGTGGTAGAGGTGGACGAGGGCGGGCGGGAGAGCAGGTCAGGACTGGACGAGGAAGGACGACGGCGGCGACGACGGGCCGAGCGCGCAGGCAGAGAGAGAGAGAGGGAGACGAGGGACGCACCCGTAACGGTCGACGTTGTAGTTGAACGTGAGCTCCTCGTACTGTTTGACGTCGCGCTTGGTGAAGATACCCATGCGCATCTTCTTGCCGACGGTCCACTTGCTGACGTAGCAGTTGGGGTTGCACGAGTGGTTGAGGAACCGCCCTTTGCCGCCCTTCTTGGTCGCGTCGATAAAGACGTCGCGGTCGAGCGCCATGAAGTAGAAGTGCTTGATGCCGTCGTTGGCGTACGCCTTCATCTTGGCCTCGAACGGCTTGGGCCCGATCACCTCGCCGACGTACTCGTACACGAACGCGTCTCTGCGACGGGAGGGAGCAGGAGAGTCAGGGTCGACGTGGGAGGAGGCCGACGAGGGAGGAAGAGAGAGCGCGAGGACGCACGCAGGAATGTCGGCCTCGGCCCGGACGCCAAAGCCCTTCTTCTCCGTCTTGACGACCTCTATCGGCGCGTACTGGCGCTTCTGGAACCTGTGTGTCACAGGGCTTGACGAGATGAGTGACCCGCCCTCGTCGAGAAGAGGAGGGAGCGCTCAAGGGGGAGCGATTGGCGACGCACCGCTGGTTCTGGCACTGCTTGCCGCACTTACAGTCGCCCTTTAGGCACTCGATCTGCATGAGGCGGTTCATGCAGTTGGACAACTCGCCGCAGCTCTGCTCGTCCTCGGGCACACCTGCGCGGGGAGGCAAGGGGACAGGGTCAGTGCCGGGCTCTCGCGGTCGGTGTCGGTCGAGGCGCAGTGGCCGAGGGAGGGAGGACGACGTGGACGCACTCGAGTCTGGGCTGCAGTCGCACCTCGCCATGTCGGGCTCGTAGTACTTGACGTCGCCGATCGCCTTGTTGGCGTAGGTCGACTCTTCGAGCTCGACGAACGTGCGGCCGGCCTCGGCGGACGCGACAGGGAGGTGGCCGATGAGCTGCGGCTCGGGCGTGTCGACGCCCTTGGCGCCCTTGACCGAGCCCTTGCCCTTGCCCTTGCCCTTGTCGCTGCGCGCCGGGGCGGCGGCGGCGGCGCTGCCCTTGCGGACGGCGCCCTTGTCGTCCTCGACGTCCTCGCGCTTGGGCGTGCGGCTGCTCGACGCAGAGCCCGACGGCGTCGACGCGCCCGACTCGGGCTTGGCGCTCGTGCGCCTCGCGTCGACCTCGGCGGCCGAGGCGCTCGTGCTCGCAAACGGGAACGGCGGCGGGAGGTCGGGCTTGCGGTCGTCGGCGGCGTTGGCGACGCGCGGAGACTGGGAGCGCGAGGCGGATGCTGAAGCAGTGAGCATGCCGACGAGCGAGGGCTTGCGAGGCGAGGTCGAGTCGAGGTGGGGAGCGGGAGCGGCACGAGCCGAGGCGGCCGAAGTGAAGGTGGCGAGGTCGGCGTCGAGGGGTTCCGGCTTGGGCACAGACGGGGCAAGAGGGTCGATGAGGGTGTCTGCTGCTGATGTCGGCGTTGGGCTGTGCGCAAGGGGGGGGGAGGGGGACGCCGAGTCGTGGTCAGATGAGGGCGGCGGGAGGTCGCTCAAGGGCGACGGGCGCAGAGGGGGACGCACTCGGCGGTGTGCGGTGCGGTCGAGGGCGCTTGTGCCATGTCGATGTCTGCGTAGAGCAACAAGGTGGACCAGGGGCGGGTCAGTACAGGTCGCTGGCGACGACGGCGGGTTGAGGCAGAGGTTGGCGACAACGCACCGTGCTCGTGCTTGACGCGCTCAGAAGGCTCTTGATGAGCAGAAGCAGCTTGTGCGAGTGGGTGCACGCTGGCCGTCGTCGTGGTGGTCGACTGAGGCGGCGACTGTGGAGTCGGGTACGAGGGCGGCTGAGGCGAGGGCGGCTGGGGCGAGGGCGACACCATCTGGCGCTTGTCGAACCTCGAAGGAGCAGGACCGAGACCCGGGAGAGGCTGCTGCACCGAGGGAGCACACTCGGGTGAGTGGGGAGACGCGAGGCGGGGGAGGAGGACGACGAGGACGACGAGGGGGAGTCTCGTCTCGAGGACGGAAGCGCACCTTGGGGCTTGCTTACAGAGCTCTGCGCGCACAGTCGGACGTGCGCCTGAGCTCCGCGGAGCACGCTGAGGGCGCAACTGCCGACGGCTGCTCGCCTCCGACTCTCCTCGAGCTCGAGAGGGTTGCACCGCCCACACTCGCTCTTCACCCAGCTAGAGCTACCATGGCCGACCAGTCTGCAGCTCGCAAGCGCCAGAAGGGCCTCCAGGGCCAGCCCATCGAGCTCTCGCTCGCCCACCCTCCTCCCAACGCTCCTCTCCCTGCTCTCGGTTCGTCCCGCCTCGCCTCTCTCTCTCCCCCGCCCAGTGGGCCCAGCGAAACTCACACAGCGTCGAACTCACCCCACAGGCCTCTTTCCCTCGACTCAGCCGCCAGCCAAGACGCCCTTCACCCTCTACACCCCGTCCGGCGACGCTCCTTCGGCCGACGCTCGCGGCTCTCGCGCCCTCCTCGCCGCAGAGACCGACGAAATCGAGTACGACAGCCGGAACCACGTCGGCGGCTCGGTAGACGCCGAGGCTCAGGGCTATGCCGCCCAGTGCGTCCCCTCTCCTCCCCCTCTCGCTCTCGGTCCTCCAGGCTCACCGCTCCTCAACCCGCACCAGGTACATGATCGGCGTCCACAACCCGCGCACCAACACCCTCACGCTCCACGCGGCCCCGCTCCACAACTTTACGCCCGCCATCAAGTCGCTCAAGGGCGCGACCGCCGCCTCGACCGACCCGGCCGCCGCCCTGTACACGGCCCAGCGCGCCGCCCTCGGCTCGGCGTTCGGCACCAAGAAGGCCCAGGCGCAGCAGCGCGCCCAGGAGCGCAACAAGCTCAGCACGTCGTCGTTCGGCACCGACGCCGCCGTCGCCGGCCTCCAGAGCCACCTCCAGCACACGATCCAGGCCCAGTCCGGCTCGCTCCCGAGCGCAAAGGACGTCGAGGACGACGCCAACGCTCGCCGACCGATCCCGCCCTTCAACCTCGCCGCCGAGACGCCCGGCGACGTGTACGACCTCGACGCCGTCGTGAGCCCCGCCGAGCTGCACGCGCTCGACATCGGCGCCCTGATCTCGGCGCCCGACTTCAAGGAGCGCCGCCTCCTCCTCCCGTACCGCCGCAGCGACTGGGTCCTGTCCAAGCTGCGCCAGCTCCTGCCCGCGCGCGCGAGCGCAGAGGGCAACGTGCCCAACCCGTCCAAGCGCGACCGCGAGCGCCTGCGCCTCGCCGTCCACGTCGCGCACCTGTTGGCGTTCCGCCAGGCGGCGCGCCCGGGCAAGCCCGTCGACCGCGCGCACCTCGTCGACAAGCTCGGGCACCCGAGCGCCGCCGTCGTCGATGCCCTCATCGAGCGCTACACCGAGGCGACGAGGGGCCCCGGCGGCGACGAGCAGCGCCAGGTGACGAGCACGATGGAGCTCAAGCTGCTCGGCTACCTGCTCGTCGTCGTCCTCAAGGTCGACGGCTGGACGACCGACGTCACCACCATCGCCGACGACCTCGCCATCGGCAGCAAGCGGTGCGTCGCCCTCTTTCCTCCTCCCCTTCCCTCCTCTTTGCGCCTCGCCGTACTCATGTCAGCCGTATTCTCCCCACCACAGCGTCCAAGAGCTCTTCCGCTCTCTCGGCTGCGTCCTCGCGGCCCCCTCGGCCGCCGACCGCGAGAAGCTCGTCGCGACCGGCCGCGCGACGAGCGCCGCCGACGCCGCAAAGAGCAAAAAGGCGACGCTCAAGGTCCCGCTCGAGTTCCCCAAGGAGCGTCGGTCGCGGGCCAAAAAGTGAGCGGGCGAGCAGCGAGGGCGGCCCGTGCGGCGCAGGAGGAGGGTCCACGCTCGTCGATGTGCGGCGGCGGCGGCGGCGGCGGCAGCAGGCGTGCAACGAGGCGTGTACACACAGCATCACGCTCGAGAGCAGAGAGGCCTGACTATCTCGCTAGCTTTGCGGTTGTTGGCGAGCGCGAGCTCGCTCACCTTGGCCGGTCGCGCTCGAGCCTTTCGATCTTTCGCGTCGCCTCTCGTCCGCAGCGAGGAACAGGGAATACGAAGCGGAACAGATGGTGATCGTGATACAGACCCAGAAGCGATGATACTGAAGGAGAAAAGTCTACTGTGCTCGTCGACGGTCGCCCTCGTCGTCGACCTGGACTCGCTACGGCCCCTCTCGCCGCCGGCTCAACGGCTCCAACTCTCGCCGCCCCGCACGAGGTCCGAGCCAGCTCAGAGCTTGGCCTTGGGCGCGTCGCGCGAGACGTGGCCGATGATGTAGCCGCTCGGGGCATCGACGGGCGTGAACACCTCGGCGTCCTGCGGCTCGGTGTTCTTGAGCTTGAAGTACGACAGGTCGGGCGGGATGTAGTGCTGCGAGGCGAGAAAAGCTGAGTCAGGACGAGGCACTGCAGCTGGAGAAAGGAGAGAGGGAGGAGAGAGAGAGAGAGAGAGAAAGGGAAGACGGACCTTGTTGGGCAGCTCGTACTTGATGTCGCTCACCTGCTCGTTGTCCTTGAGCACCTTCTCGCACATGTTGTACAGCGTCGCCTGCACGCTCGCCGAGTTGTGCGTCGCAAAGATCTCGAGCGTCGTCTCCTCGACGCTCTTGTGGATCGCGTCAAAGTCGATCCCGAGCTTGCCGATGGCGGCCGCCGAGAACGACGACGAGCGGATCGGGATCTCGTACACGCAGTCGACCGAGGTCGAGAAGATGCGGTCGTTGACGGGCTTGAGCGTCGTGTACTCGTCGACCCAGAAGTCCTCGAATGACGACTGCGGGCGCGCAGGCACGTCAGTGGCTGCTGCGCCAGGCGCCGTTGCTCATCGCGACGAGTCTGAGGGAGAAGACAGGGTGCGCACCTCGTGAGTCTTGAGGACGAGGAGGTCCTTGAGCCCGCCCTGGCACGTCGCCGTGATGGCGTCCTTGCCCTTGGTCGCGTCGACGACGACCGACGCCGTGCGCTTGTCGTCGCCGTTGCGCACGAACGACCATGGGTGAGGCTTGCCCTTGACCGGGATGCGCGACCACTTGAGCTGGACAACGTCGACCGAGGCGCGCGAGATGTGGTCCTGCAGACGGCGGGCAACAAAGGTCAGGGGGTCGGTCGACGCCGGAGAGGGGACAGGGCGACGCACGTAGCGAGTGACAAAGTGCGTCGCGAGGTCGAGCGCGAACGCCTCGGGAACGAGGACGTACGGCGACGTCTTAGCAAAGACGTTGACCGTGTTCCTGCGGGCGGGCGGGAACTGTTGAGCGGGTTCGTCTTCGAGAGACTGGGCGAGGGCGAGGGAGGGACGTACTTCTGGGCGTCGGTCGTCAAGCACATCGAGTTGTCGCTGTGGGTCCACGCTCCCTCGATGTCGCCCTCGAGGAGGGTGCGGACGACGAGCTCGACAAAGGTCTGGGTGCCGTCCGGGTTGCGCACGACGCGCGCTACGCGGACCTTGTCCTTGCCGTACTTGGCGAGCTTGAGGTGGACCATCTGGACGAGGTGCGGCGAGTGGGGAGGTGCGGCGGAGGACGAGCGAGGCGATAAGACGGTGCGGCGAGGCGAGGGTGCGGCGGGGGCGCAGAAGGTGCGGAGCTGAGAGCAGGTGCTGCAGTCGGTGTGCAGAGCTCGTGTGCGAGGTTCGGTGCGCTGTGTGCGAAGAGCGAGGGCTGTCCAGAGCAAGAGCCGCCGTCGTCCGTCCGACGCCTCCTGCGCCGCCATCTCCGCCGCTTCCCCCGCATCTTTCAGCTTCTCGCTCGTGCTTCTCGGACGCGTGGCTCTGCCAGCGATAGCAGCCGCAAGAAGCTCGACGCACTCACGCGTCCACCGGGCGACCTGAAGCCGGCGAGGCTCGAGCGCCAGGCAAGCTCGCTTCAACGTGGAGCTGGCCTCGAGGGCGCTGCAGCTCGGTACCGGACTCGCTGAACAGGCAGAAGTCGCGCACGTCGGACTGCTGAATGCCCAAATGCAATGCACAAAGACGGGCTCGACGACCCTCGCTCGCGACGACCACCGCTCGGGCCCCTCAGTCTGCCCTCGCCTTGCCTTTGCCCTTGGCCTTCCTCTTTCGCTGCCGCTCCGCCTCCTCCTGCGCCGCGCTCTCGTCCTCCTGCGCCGGCGCCTCCTCGGCGACGACACCGTTGGGCACGACGCCATTCGGCTTGGCCTGCTCGACCGGGCCCTGCAGCGCTCCGGCCGACGACGCGGCCGCCGCCGCCGCCGCCGCCTCGGCCTCCTTGGCGGCGAGCTTGTCGTCGCTGTTGAGCGTCTCGGCGGAGAAGCGCGACTGGACCGTCTTGTAGTGGAGCATCTCGGCCTGCGACACCGAGGGGACGAGCTGCGAGGGGCGGCACGAGCGAGTCAGTCCCGCGAACGCTCAGGGGACCGAGGTCGCGAAGAAAGGGGGTGCGCACCTCGGCGAGAGCGGCCTCAAAGTCCTGCTGCGCAACGAGGACCTCGATCTCTTGCGGCGTGGCCAGCTCGGCGAGGTAGTACTGCGGCGTGAGGGCGGGTGCTGCGCCGGTTGAGTAGGGCGGTTGGGCGTTGAGCTCGGCTGCACGTAACAGGCAGATGGGTCAGTGCGTGTCTGAGGAGGACTGCTGGACCAGTAAAGAAGGGAGGAAAGCGAGGGCGCACCGATGCGGTCGTCGACCTCGGTCGCCTTCCTCGTCATGGCCTTGAGCATGGCGTCCGAGCACAGGGCGTAGAAGTCGGCGCCCGTGTAGTTGTACGGGCACTGCTCGGCGAGCTTGGCGAGGTCCGTCTCGGGCGCCAGCTTGAACTTGCGCGTCAGGGCCCGCATGATGTTGAGCTGCGCCGCGTGGTTGTCCGAGACGCCGAGGTACAGCATGCGGTCGAATCTGCACCGTGTGCGGGACGAGTGAGCATCGGCGGCAAGGGAAGAGGAGAGACGGGAGGGAGAGGAGGACGCACCGTCCGGGTCGGAGGAGCGCCGGGTCGAGCAGGTCCGGGCGGTTGGTCGCGCCGATGACAAACACGTCGTTGCCGCCCTTGCCCTCGCTCATGCCGTCGAGCTCGGCGAGGAGCTGGCTCACGATGCGGTCCATGACGCCGCCCGAGTCGCCCTGGTTGCCGCGCTTGGGCGCGACCGAGTCGAGCTCGTCGAAGAAGATGACGCACGGCTTGGCGTCGCGCGCACGCTGGAACACGCGCCGCACGTTGGCCTCGGACTCGCCGATGTACATGTTGAGGAGCTCGGGACCCTTGACCGAGAAGAAGTTGAGCGAGCACGACGTGGCGACCGCCTTGGCGAGGAGCGTCTTGCCCGTGCCCGGCGGGCCGTACAGGAGGATGCCTGTGCGCGAACGAGGAGCCAACATCAGTGCGTGTCCCCGAGGAGAAGAGACGAGGCCGAAGAAGGGAGACGTCGACGCACCGCTGCGCTTCTTGAGCCCGTCGCGGAACAGCTCTGGCCGCTCGAGCGGGAGCTGGATCGTGTCGAGGATGTCGCTCTTGACGCTCGCGAGGCCGCCGACGTCGTCCCACGTCACGTTGGGGATCTTGGGCGCGCCGATGCTCTCGCTGTAGGCCGCTCGGGCCTTGTCGAGCGCCAAATTGAAGTCGACCGAGGTGAGGGCGACGCCGGCGTGAGCGAGGTCGGCGAGTGTCGGTGCGGGTGCAGGTGCTGGCGAAGATGCAGGAGAGGAAGAAGAAAGGGGAGGAGGAGACGAGGTCGAGAGGGAGGGAAGCGCGAGGACGCGCTCGGCGGCGGCGGCTCGTGCTCGGCGGACGAGGTCGACGAGGTCGTTGGCGACGAGGGCGGCCGTCTGGACGGCGAGTGCGCGAAGCGAGACGTCGGGCGCGACAAGGTCGGCCGAGGTGAGGCTGCGGAGGATGGCGAGGCGCTCGGGCTCGCCGGGGGCCTGCGAGCGTCGAGAAGAAGAGGTCAGGGAGGTGCGCTGGACGAGGGACACCTCTGAGGGCAAGGCGACGCACCTCGATGCCGATCTCCTCCTTGAAGAGGCCGACGACACCGGTCGGGACCTTGTCGACGTCGGTCGTGGTCGCGACGACGACGACCGGGTGGCCCGACGACTTCCAGCCCTCCCGGATCGTCTCGATGCAGTCGCGCAGGACGGTCGTCATCGGCGGCTCTGTGAACGCAGACCTCGCGACGAGTCAGTGTGTCTGCTCGGGCGCGCGAAGCGCCAAAGGCCGGAAGGGAGAGAAAAGGGAGGGTCGGGACGCACCTTGCCCCGTCTCCATCGCCTGGCTCTTCCTCGCCAACGCCTCGATGTTCCTCAGGACGAGCACGACGGGCGCACACGCGAGCGCCTTGTCGACGGCGAGCGCCCGCAGCCGGCCCTCGGTCTTGGCGTCGCTGTCGCCGAGGAGGTCGAAGCAGTCGAGCTCGAGGAGGCCGACGCCGGCGGCGCGCGTGACGCAGCGCAGCAGGACGCGCTTGCCGCTACCGCGGGCGCCCTTGAGGAGGACGGTGAGCGGGAGGGCGTAGGTCGACGCGCGAGGGGTGAGGGACGAAAGGAGGAAGGCAAGGAGGCGAGAGCCCGGGGTGGGCGTGCCGAACGCGTCGGGCGCGAGCGGGACCGATGGGGAAGGAGCTGCGGTCACACATGGACGAATCAGGTCGGCTGCGGCATCGAGAGGGCGACGAGGAACGCAAGAGGGACGCACCGATACCCATCCACCCTGCGACGTCCGGCACCCGCCCTCGCTCGACGCCCGTCTGCAGCAGCTTGGTCACCTTTGGGTCGACGAAGCACCCGAGCGCGCCGTCCTCGAGCTGGCGATCGAGGTCAAAGTCGCCCGTCGCGGCCGTCGAGGCGGTTGGTGGCTCGACCGTGAGCGACGTGACGAGGAAGTAGACGACGGCGGTTGGCGCAGTCGGTGCGGCAGGAAGGCTGTGCGGCGTGGGAGTAGGCGCAGGTCAGTTCGCCGTTCAAAGGGAGAGGAGAAACGGGCGAGATCTGGACGCACTCGACCTCGTCCTCGTGCGGCGCTCCCTCCTTGCCCTCCTGCGCGAACCGAACCCGCTCCTCGTCGATCCCGACCGCGATGACGTCGCCATTCTTGACTGCCCTCGTGCATCGCGAGAAGTGCTCCTTGAGGCCCTCAAGGAAGAGCGGCTGGAAGACCTTGTTGACCGAGAGCGGCGACGCGAGTCGGGCGATGGTGACGGACGACGCGGTCGGCAGCGGTGCGGGGAGGACGGGCGAGATGCGAGGTGCAGGGAGCAGGTCGAGGGATGGCGTGGAAGAGGAGCAGAGGGCGTCGGGGCCAAGGAGATTGAAGAGAAGGGATGGAGGAAGGTGGACGGTGGCCCTGGTCCTGCAGGTTCGCAGGCACGGTCAGTGAGTCTGACCTCGTCGACTGACATTTCCGACAGAGGAGAAGAGGGACGCACGACGACTCGGTCCCTGCGACGAGGCCCTCGGCCGCAAACACCCTCGCGAGCCGTCCCTCGCCCTCGCCCGCCCGTCGGCTGAGGACCGCCCAGTCGCCGCTGAACAGGCCGAGACGACCCAGGTCGGCCGTCGCGACGTACGCACGCGGGATGTCGTCCTCGTCGGCGTCCGGCTGCGGGACGAGCAGCTCGGCGGGGACCGGGTGCGTGAGCGGCGCGGCGGTGACGGTGCTGCCGGCGGTGCGGGTCGCGGCGGCGGCGGCCGAGAGCGAGGCGGTGGATGCCGAGAGGAGGGGGAAGGACGAGCCGTTGCTCGAGTGCTTCGAGTCGGGCAGCGGCGAGGTGAGGGGGGTGCTGGACGAGCGAAGGGGCGACAGGACCGAGCCGGCGAGGAAGCCCTCGTCGATCTCGAGGAGGTCGTCGTCGTCGAGGTTGTCGTCGTCGTCCTCGGTCGTCTCGTCGTGGTGCGCTCCTGCGCCGAGCGACGAGCCGGCGTCGGAAGCCGGCTCGAGTCGGTGGTCGTCGCCGCCTTGAGGCGGAAGGACCAGGACCTGGGTCTGCCCTTTGACGACGACGCCTTGGAGGACGGGCTCGGACATGGCGACGCGGTAGCGGCCTACGCCGGGCAGGCGCAAGGTGCCGCCCTCGCGGACGAGGTGGGCGGACGAGTCGGCGAGGCGCGACTCGAGGGAGCGGCCGTCCGAGGGGTGGGCGGCGTGGGCGTACGAGGGCGAGTCGAGGGCGACGAGGACGACCGAGGTGAGGGGTATCGGGTTCGTGAGCGACACGAGGAGGGTTGCCGGGACAGGCGAGGTGGGGGGGGACGAGGACGAGGAGCGGCGGATGAAGACGAGCGGGTGCGCCGCGGCGAGCGCGTGTGGTACGAGGAGCGCATCGTCCTGGGCAGACTGTGAGCACGCGCACAAGTCAATTCGTGCTCTGAGCGAGTGTGGAGAGAAGGAGCCGGGGCGCACCAGGTCGACGGCGGCGAGGTCGGCCTTGCTGGCCTGGCGGGCGACGACGACGAGTGCGCGGGGCGCTTTTGCGGGCGTGTAGCTGTGCACGAGTGGCTCGAGTGCGAGGGTGAGGGAGGTCGGGTCCGGGTCGCGGGCGGACGAGGGCGACAAGTCGACGAGCGCGTCCCACAGGGCGGGAGCTGCGAGGACGGCGTGGCCGTGGTGGGCGGGTGCGAGGACGGCATGGCGGGCGTGCAGCTGCTCCATGGCAGCGGGCGTGCGTGGTTGTGGACGAAGCGTCGAGCGCCTCGTCGAACCCGGCCCGGCCTCCGTCGCCGGTCAACCTCAAACCTCGCTCGACTGCAGAATGGACGGGGTCGACCTGCCGTTGATGCTGTCGTACATGCTACGCAGCTGGTGCAACACAGGTTCGAGACGAGGGCGACTTTCTGGGCGGCTCTCGACTTTCAGCGCGGCGACGGCACCTCTCTCTCGCTCTCCCTCTCCGGCCAGCTCTTGCCTGCACAGCCTGTTCGCTCCTCGCCCTCTCAAGCCAACCTCTGCGCCCACCCGCCATGCCCACCGAGTTCACCACCGTGAGCCATCTCCTCCCCCACTTCCTCATCAGCACTCGAGCTGACCCGTCCACCTCACCGACAGACCGACGCAGGCGTGCGCCGCATCACCAAGGTCGACCCGAACGAGGCCCTCGACAAGCCCAACGACCCAAAGACGGTGCGCCCACCTTCCCCTCCTCTCAGTCCTCCTCCCGACCACGCTCACCGCGGCTCGTCTCTCCCTCGGCAGTTCCTCCTCCTTTCCGGCGTCAACCACGCTCTGTTCGGCAAGCGCGACGCCAAGCAGTGCGTCCGGCTCCCGTTCCACCCTGCTCGTCCATGTCACTCAGCCTCACCTTGTCGCTCGCCGCCCGCAGGTACGGCACGACCACGCTCGCCCAGATCGAGGAGCGCGTCACCAAGCTCGGCAAGGAGCTCGGCGTCGACATCGTGTGCGCCCAGACCGACTACGAGGGCGAGATGTGCCAGCTCGTGCGTCCCCCTCTTCCTGTCGCCCCACTTGGCTCGAGCCGCGGCTTGCGAAGCGAGGTCGTCCTGAGGCTCACACCGCCGGGCACTGACCGCTCGGCAATCATCGTCCAGATCCACTACTCGCGGTGCCTCGGCGGCGTCATCATGAACCCTGGTGCGTCCCCTACTCCCCCTCCTCGGCCCTCTCGTTCCTTCCCGCGCGAGGGCCGTAGAAGGCGTAGGGCCACGGACTGACGCTCCTGGCCGGTCGCAGGAGCATGGGCGCACTACTCGTACGCGCTGCGCGACGCCATCGACGCGTGTGACTCGCCCGTCGTCGAGGTCCACATCTCGAACGTGTGCGTCCTCTCGTCCTCGCCCTTGCCCTCCTCTTCCCGCCTGCAGTGCGGGTCGAGGCCGGCTCGCACCACCGGATGACGATTGACGCTCATTGAATCCGGCCCCGTCGCGCTCGCAGGCACGCCCGCGAGGAGTTCCGCCACAAGTCGGTGACGGCGCCCGTGTGCGCCGGCATGCTGAGCGGGTGCGGCGTCCTCGGCTACGACGTGCGTCCCTCGTCTCTCTCCCTTTTCCTCTGCCTCTGTCCTCGACGCCCGTCGAGCCGAACTGACCTCTCGACGACGATGATGGTGGGTGCGTGCGCAGCTTGGGTTGCGGTGCGCGATCGAGCGGAGGAGCGAGAGGGACGCGGCCAAGAAGGCGTAGACGTCCGAGCGTGTATCGACTATTGAGCGCGCGCAGCCTGCGAGTCCCGAGAGAAAGCGTGAGAGAGCGAGCGACGAGACGAGACGAGACGGTGCGAGCGGGGCAGAGTGCGCTTCAGACGAGGCTGAGCTCGCTGCTGCCGGGCACCACTCGCTGTCGTGCGTGGACGTTCTCGTCTCAGTCTGTCTCTCGACGAGGCCGCTCTTGAATCTTCTCGGGAGCTCGACGAGAGGGGCGCGAGAGGGAGAGGGTGAGGGCAACTCTTTCAGCGGCGTTGGCACACAGACAAGTCGCACACACACACATTTGGGGGGCACAGCACTGATAGTCAGGGGCAGGAGGGGCGGGAACTACAACGCGGGGTGAAAGCGAGAAGGGGTATCGACGACGGCGAGGCATGCCGATGAGGCGGTCGATGCCGTCGGGAAGAAGACGGGAAGGGGAAGCTGGACGAAGAGAACACGGTGACGGTATATCTACTCGTCGTCCGAGTCGTCCTTGGCGTCGCCGGCCGACTCCTCGTCGCTCGAGGCCTTCTTGGCCTTCTTGGCCGGCGCCTTCTTCTTCGACGCGGGCTTGGCCTGGTCCGGGTTCTCCTCCTGCGCGAGCGGGGCCGAGAGAGGGTCAGGACGACGCGACGAGGAGAGAGGGTGGGGAGAGGACCGAGAGCGAGAGGGGGGACGCACGTCGTACGCCGACTTCTCCTTCTCGTAGCGCTCCTTGTCGGCCTCAGCCTTGGCCTGGTACGGCTGTGGGTGCGAAAGGAGAGCGCGTCAGTCACGAGCGCGACGAGGTCGACACGAGAAAGAGGGAGCGAGGACGGACCTTCTTCTCGTCGTCGGTGGCCTCCTTCCACTTGGCGCCGAGGAGCTTGCCGATCTCGCCTGTGGGGGAATGTACGTGTCAGTCGCTCGAACCTGAGGTGTACTCGACGGCCGGACCGCGTTGCGATCCGGCGCGGCGAGTGAGCGAGGAGGGCGAGGACGCACCGAACGTCACGTCGGGGTTCTCCTCCTTGACCTCGGAGCGCTTGTCCTGCGAGAAGTGCATGTACGCCGAGAGGGGACGCTTCTGCAGACGCGTAACCAAAGCGAGGGTCAGTGAGGTGTGGACGAGGGGCGATTGTGTGGACGAGGGACGCACGGGCGCGTTGGGGTCCTTCTTGGGCTTGGCGGCGGCGGTGGCCTTGCCAGAGCGGGTCTTGGACTCCTTGGGCATCTGTGGGAGTGCAGTGCGAGTCAGCGACGAGGCTCAGAGAGAGAGGAGGGGGGGGGGGGCGTTGTTGTTGTTGGACGCGGGGGCGACGAGGGCCTCGACGCTCGTCCGTCCACGTCGCCGCGAGGCGCTTTTCCGAGGCGACGACGACGACGAGAGCGTGCGACGACACGCTCGACGCGGTCGCGCTGCTGGCCAGACGCGGCCAGAGTGGGTGGTGGAGCGACTCGGGATCTCGGCGGGGGAGAGAGGTCGACGACGAGGGAGTGGGAGGACCGAGGGAGGGGGGACGAGGGCAGGGGCAGGACAGCGACGACGTACAGTGAGAGGTAGAGAGGCGATAAGGTAGTGTCGAGTGAGAGAGACGAGGGAGGAAAGCAAGTCGGCAGGCGGACTTGAGTGGTGGGCGGGCTGGCGAGTGAGGGGGGAGACTGTGAGAGAGCAGGCGCAGGGCGAGCGCGAGGCAGAGGGCCTGCGGGCACCGCGTTTCGCCCAGCCTCAGGGGAGGCTCTCCCTTCGTGGCGACAAACAGCTCGAGACAGGTCGCTCTCACTCGCTCTCGGTCGTGCGGTTCCACTGCAAGCTGCCCTCTCACTTAGACCTACACACGAGAGAGAACCACCGGCTGTCCCCCAGGCGAGAGGCGACTCTGAGCCGGCCCTCATCGACGCGCGAGTCGCTCGTCACCGCCTCGCTCTGCCCCTCGACCCACGCCTCACCACACCAGATCGACCATGAGCGACGACGCCAGCGCACTCCCGCCCGCCCAGAAGGCCGGTACGTCCCCTCTCGCCGTCCCGAGCCTCGACTCGCTCCTCCCGCCGGCCCCCATCCTCGTCGTCCGCCCCACCTCCGCTCCCCTCCTCGACCCCGCCAGGACCACACGCGCCCCTGTCCAGCTGCGCCCATGCAGTCGCGAGACTGCTCGCCGACGAGCAAGCGACGCGCGCGACGTCTCGCCCTCGCCCCCACCTCGAGTCGCGCCAAGGCGGCGACGAGGACCCGGCGACGCAGCACCGCCGGCGGGTCGTGCAGGGCCGCGTTCCCCGCCGAGGAGGCACCGCAGTGGGCGGGCAGAGCAAGGCGGGCCGCGGCAATTGCGAGCGTGTCACTGACCCTCCCCTCTCCTCGCCGCGCAGGCTGGACCTCCTTCCTCAAGAGCCTCGCAGGCGCCACCGGCGACCTGTCGAGCTTGACCGCCCCGTCCTGGATCCTCGCACCCTTCTCGCTCACCGAGTTCCCCTGTGCGTCGTCCCTCTCGCGCCCCCTCCTCCTGCGCCCGCGCCTCCCACTGACTGACCTCTCTCGCGCACGCGCAGCCTACTGGGGCGAGCCCAAGGACATGTTTGCCGCCATCGCCGACGGCAAGACGCCCGAGGAGCGCCAGCTGCTCGTCACCCGGTGGTTCCTGTCGACCCTGAGCGGCCAGTTCACCCGGCGCGAGAAGGAGACGGGCTCGGAGAAGAAGCCGTTCAACCCGTTCCTCGGCGAGCAGTTCCTCGGCAGCTGGGACAACGGCGAGCTCGTCCTCAACGTCGAGCAGGTGTCGCACCACCCGCCCATCACGGGTGCGCCCCCCTCCCTTCCTCCCCTTCGATTGCGCGCGCGGACACGTCCTGACCCACCGCCGCTCGCCCACCTCGCAGCCTACAGCCTCGAGAACAAGAAGAAGGGCATCTCGCTCGAAGGCAACTGCGCGCAGAAGACGAGCTTCTCGGCACGCATGATCTCGGTCAAGCAGGTCGGCCACGGCTTGCTCCGGGTCAAGCTCGCCGACGGTACCACCGAGAGTGCGTCGACCGCTCTCTCTCTTTCCTTCCTGCACACACGAGCCTGACTCGGGCACCCTTGCGCGCGCAGCCTACCTCATCACGCTCCCCAAGCTCAAGATCGAGGGCCTGTGGACGGGCAAGCCCTACGTCGAGCTCACCGAGACGTCGTACATCCAAGGCTCGCACGGCCTCACGTCGACGATCAAGTACGCCGGCGCCGGGTGGGTGAGCGGCACGGCGCACTCGCACACGACGACCGTGACGGCCGGTCCGGGCGGGCACACGCTGTACACGCTCACGGGCACGTGGACGGGCGAGACCAAGTTCCACAAGCCGAGCAAGGACGGCAAGGAGGGCCAGGTGTTCCTCGACGCGTCGGCCGACGGCATGCGCGAGAAGGTGACGGTGCGCCCCATCGCCGAGCAGAACGAGTTCGAGTCGCGCCGGGCGTGGAAGCAGGTGGCCGACGGGATCCTGAGCGGCGACTACGACGCGGCGAGCCAGGCCAAGAGCGCGCTTGAGAACGCCGAGCGGCAGCGGCGCAAGGACGAGCAGGCGAGCGGCGCCACGTTCGAGCTGCGCCTGTTCGACAAGGTGCCCAACGACCCCGAGTACAAGCGCCTCGCGCACGCGCTCAAGTTCAAGGTGCGCCCCTCGCTCTCTCCCTCAGGGTCCTCTCTCTCGACTGACTCGTCGTCCTCGTTGTGCGCAGCCCGACGACGAGGACTCGTGGAAGCTCAAGGCGCCCGCGCAGTAGACGGCGCCCCGACTCTGTGCTCGTTTGTACCATGCCGCGCCTCGTCCGTATCGTTCTCTCTCTCTCTCGTTCCCGTCGGACCTGCAATACGTGTAGTGAGTAGCCTCGTCGTCGTGGAGAGTGCTTCGAGAGCAAGAGCGAGCTGCCTCCGTCAGGTTCGAGGCGGTGCAGCGACCTTGAGCCTCCTCTCGTTCTCACGACGGCCTTGCGAGCCCGCCAAGGTGCTCTACCGCCAGTACACGCTCTCGCGATGGTGACGCGGATACCTCGACACTCGTCGTACCGCCGCAGGCCTCCACGCTCCCCTCTCGTCCTCATCGCCCTCCCGACCCTCGTCGCCCTCCTCGTCGCCCTCCTCGCCCCGGCCGTGGCCGCGCAGACGTCCAGCAGCGTCACCGACCCGTCGACTACGACCGTGCAGCTTGGCAGCGCCGCCTCGGCCTTCTTCCACCTCGTCTCGCCCTCGTCGTCGCCCGTCTGGGTCTCGCTCTCGCTCTGCACCCCGCCCTCGGCCTTTGCCTCGAGCACCAACTCGTCGGCCCTCCCTATCAAGCTCGGCACCGCCCTCTACCTGTCCAACTCGTCGTTCATCTCGACCCCTGGCCCCGACAACACGCGCGACCCGGCCGACGGCAACCCCGACACGCCCCGCCTCGACACCTCGAGCGGCGCGACGGCCAAGCTCTCGCATGGCTACGCCAACGCGACACTCGACGGCGCAGCAGACGGCGGCGTCTGGATCGGCGTCTTTGCGCCCGACTCGGCGGCCCTCCTCGGCGACGGCGACAACGCGAGCGCGACCGCCGGCGAGTGGGTATTCGAGTTGCACGTCAGCTCGGGCATCGCGCCGTACGTCGTCGAGGAGACGGCGGGCTTTCGCCTCGGCGACACCGACTCGACGACCGTCCTCCTGTCGACCGCCAACTACACGGCCGCCGCGAGCGACACGCCCGCCGACGACGACGCCGTCGACGCCGCCGCCGCGCCAGACTGGCAGGTCGTTGTCGCGCCGACCGAGCCGCACGCTTTCGCGCTCGGCAGGTCGCAGTGCGCCGTGCGTGCGGCGATGCAGCGGGCCGTCGGGCGGGCCAGCGCGAGCGCGACGACGAGGGGTTACGGCTGCGGGACGAGGACGCAGTTCGTCGTCGACGGGCTCGAGCCGGGCACGAACTACACGGCGTGGCTCGTCGCCAACGAGACGAGGGCGGGCGGTGCGGCAGGAGGCGAGAACCAGACGCGGGTGTGGGACCCTTCCTTCTTTGCGACCAAGGCCGGTGCGTCCCAGATTATCTCTCTCTCTCTTTTGACGAGCATCAAGGTCGATTACTGACATCCTTGAACCCACAGGCGACTCGTGCCGCCTCGTGTACGGCATCGACGTGTGCCCCTCGGTCGCGTACTCGGTCCCGGCGCCTCGTTCCCTCGACACGCCCTCGCTCGTCGACTTCTTCAACTCGACCCTGTCGGCGTCGCTCGCCAACTTTTCTCGCACCCTGTCGACCTTTCCCTGCGACTCGAGGGACCACGGCCTGTACTCGATCGTCTCGACCTGCGACGACTGCCTCGACGCGTACCGCACATTTCTTTGCGCGACGACCCTCCCTCGATGCACCGACGCGCCGCCGAGCACCATCCTCAACGACTCGAGCGCCGCCATCGCCCGCGACGACGAGCTCGCGACCTGGTTCGTCCCGCAGCAGTTCGAGACGGCGCTGGTGCGCGACGACCCGGCCGCGTCGCGCACGCCCTTGTTCGGCCCGGCCAACCTGAGCTCGACGTTCCCGTCGCTCTTCAACGCGTCGTACCCGGCGACTGCGGCCAACGCGAAGGCCGAGTCGCCGTTCCCGTACAGCGAGGTGCCGCCCTGCCTCGACGTGTGCTACCTCGTCGAGGCGCGCTGTCCGCCCTTTCTCGGGTGGAAGTGTCCGAGGGGCACGGTCGGGGATCTGGACGGCGGGACAGCGAGCGCGGCGTACGGCGTGACGAGGGACGTGCCCAAGGGCGAGCGGCAGGCGGACGACCTCGAGAGGAGCACGCTCGGAGCGAGGGCCGCCGACCGGTTCGGCAACGTCTTGTGCGTCTCCCTCTCTCACTCTCTTGTCTCTTTTTCGTCGGCGAGCTCGCCGCATGCCTCTCTCGCGACGAGCGCGGCGAGCGCGTCGTCCGCCAGCACCGCAACGTCTGATTGACCCGCTCTTTCTTTCCTGCAGCTGCAACGCTCTCGACAGCGACCTCGTCCAGGCGGCACAATTCGTCCCTTGGACCTACTCGAGGTCGTCGGCCGCATCCACTCGCCCTCGGCCGGCGGCCCTTTCCCTCATCCTCCTCTTTTCCGTCTTGGCCGCGTTCGGGCGGCTCGGACATCTGTAGATGGCGCCTCGTCATGTAGACTCGTTGCAGTGCAACTCTCTTCCTGTGAGCCACTCACGAACGGCGTCGAGAAAGAGAGAGAGAGAGGCAGCTTGCTCAGAAGGTCCGTGCGCTCGCCGAGACGGTCGTTTTCTCCCTCGCGCTCTCCTCGCCGGGCGACAAACGCGTACTGCACTCATTGATGTTGACAAAGGCACTACACCATGGAGAAGACGAGAGAAAGAGGACGACGTCGCGAGAAAAAGGTGGTCGACCGCGAGGAGAGAGGAAAGGGAGGGAGAGAAAGAGAGACGGCCTGCGGCTCATGCGCCGGCTCTTCCTAAAGCTTCGTGCACTTGTAGAACGACGCATACATATTGACTCGGTCGATCGGGGAGATGCCGCCAATCTCGCGCTTGTGGATGCACTCGACCTCGAAGCCCTCGCGGCGGTACAGCTCGAGGTACCACGGCACCTGGGCGGCCGAGCGGAAGAAGACGCGGCCGTTAGGCTTGAGCGCCATGTGGAGGGTGCGGATCGTCGCCGTGAGGTTGCAGGGCTTGTCCGAGGGCGAGGAAGGAGGAGCGTCGACCGTGTTGGGGAACCCTGGGTGCGCAAAGCTCGGCGTGAGTGCGGCGACGACGACGACGAGTGAGAGCGAGACACGCACAGTCCTGCAGGTCCATGATGATGGCGACCGTGAGCGAGTTGCTGCCGAGGCGACGCATGACCTGCGCGCGAGAGGCAAAAGGAGGGTCAGTGCGGCCTCGGCTCGAGGCGAGGCGAGCGTGCACGCACGTTGGCGATCGAGTCGGTGTGGATCCTCATGCAGTCGAGCGCCGCCGCGTTGTCCTTCTTGAGCTTGTCGAAGCCGCCGCGGGTGAGGAACTCGGGACTGGAAGAGGAAGGCTCGTAAGCGGCCGGTCGAGGACGGGACGAGAAAGAGGGCGAGACGGACCAGGAGCTCTTGGTGTACCTGCCCTGCAGGCAGAGCTGGTAGAAGTAGTTATCGGTCGCGATCGACGTGTTGAGCGCGACCGGGTCGAACGTGTCGGCGGCGAACTGGGCGACGGTCGTCTCGGCGAGAAAGGTCTTCGCCTGGTTGATCGGGACGCCTGCGATACGCAACGGGTCAGGGACGAGGACCAGGACGAGACTAGGAAGAAGAGAGAGAGAGAGGGAGATAAGACTCACCGAGGGCGTTCCAGAGGAACAACGGGTTCGAGAAGAAGAGCTTGGTGAGCGTCGACGAGAGCAGGACAGGGCGGATCTTGGTGTTCCACAGCCGGCGCTGCTCGTCGAGGTCGGTCGTGGCGCACATCTTGGCGGTCGATGCGTGTACGCCGGCGAGCCAGAGGGCCCACTTGGCGAGACGCAGGGCGTGACCCGAGCTGCAGGGAAGGACGCCGAGAAACGGTCAGGGACGACGAGGGGAGAGAAACGAGGACGAGGGCGACGCACTAGCCGCGATAGTAGAAGTTCCTGTCGAAGACGGTGTCGTTCTGGCGCCAGAACTGGTAGGCGTGCGACGTGAGGAAGGGCGACAACTTGGTGTCGAGCAGCTCGCGAAACCTCGGGTGCCGGCCCTCGCCCCACATCTGCGTGCGGCATCAGCTCGCCGTAGAGAAGGAGAGGAGAGGGGAGAGAGGGGGGGACGGACCATCCAGTAGTCGTCGTAGTCGAGCGCCATGATGCCGGCGAGCTTGAGCTCGAGGAGGTGCCCCTGCGCCGGGTTGAGGTCGCAGCTGTGGACGCGGCGAGGTGCAGCGTCGATGGCGTAGTGCATGCTGCAGGGGCCCACGCCTGAGTCAGTCTCGCTCTCGACGACGCCGACGGACGAAAAAGTGAGAGGGACGCACGCATTCTCGCCGCCAGACGTGATGCACAGGACCTCGTCCTCCTTGCCGAGCTTGATGTGCTCGACGTCGACCCGAGGGTCCTCCCACGCGAACGAGTAGATCCAGGACCGGAACTCGCGATGCACGACGTCGGCGACGTACGGTACTCGATGATGACGCCAGCCAAAGTGGAACGACGACAGTTGGACCTCGGGCGAGATGTCGATGCGACAGCTGTCGCTCTGCTCGCTCGACGACGACAGGGACCGCTTGAGCTTCTTGACCGAGCTAGTCGACCGTGATCTCGACAGGGCGGCGCTCAAGCCGAGAGCGAGGTCGGGCACGTCGTTGCTGTGCTGGCGGTGAAGGATCGGCATGAGGAGAGGTGACGGCGAGGCCGAGATAGTATTGCCGGCGTCGACCTCGTACGCCTGGTTGGCCTTTGACGTGTCGATGCGGCGCGACGTGTGCAGCGAGACGTAGTACGGGCTGTAGGTGAACGAGGGTGAGACTGTATCCGACGATCGTCGAGGAGGAAGGAGCGAGAGAGCCGCACATGCTCGTGATGAAGGGGATGAAGGCGTTGCGCCCGTTGAAGCTCTTGATCGTCGCGAACCGGTGCTCGAGATAGTGCCGACGAGACCTGGCAGGAGCAAGAGAGTTGGCTCGGACCCGGCGCATGCCGCAGAGGGAGAGAGGGGACGCACGGGTGCAGGTCGACGTGGTCGAACGAGAACCAGTTGAGCCAGAAGGTCCGGGTCCAGTACGAGCATTGACGCGAGCCGACGTCGCCGATGACGCCTGCGACCGTCGTGGGCTCTCGGGCCGAGACGTAGAAGTCGGCGACGGCGAGTAGGCCGGACGGGCTGAGGACGCGGTCGATCCTGTCGAGGAGGGTCATGTGGTCGGGCATCATGCTGAGGCTGTACGACAGGGTGACGTAGTCGAGACCGCCGACCTCGCCGTCGAGGCCCGACTCGTTCCAGGTCGGCAGGACAAAGGTCGTCGCGTCTTGCAGGAGGCAGTGAACGTTGTCCCAGCCGCGAGCCGCAAAGCGCTTGCGCGACACCTCGAGCAGGGGCCCGCACAGGTCGAGGACGTAGACGGCGTCGAACGAGCTGATCGGAAAGTACTGCAGGTAGGGGAACGAGGTGAGCCCTGGGTCCGCGCAGAAGAGCAGGCGCGTCGAAGGGAGAGAGGGAGGGGGCGCACCTTGTCCATTTCCTCGACGTTCCAGCCAGTACCGCCGCCGATGTCGAGCCAGACAAGGCGCTTGTTCGGCTCGCGACGGCGCTGCTCGTGGAGGTGCGCCGCCGAGAGCTTGAGCATGGTCGTGCGGCCCTGGAGGAGCCTCGATCGGGTCTTGTCGTAGATCTGCAGGACCGGCCTGGGGAGGGCAGTCCCGCCATGCAGGGCGTGCTCGAGAGAAAGGGAACAGAGGACGCACAGCAGCTTGGCCCTCGTAGAACCGGTTGAGCCTGCCCTCCTGCGTCGAGTTCTTGCCGAGCGGCTTGACGAAGCAGTTCCACGCGAACTGGCACGCGACGAGCGCCTCGGCGGCGAAGGCGGACAGCCCAACGAGGGCGATGACGGTGCCGACAAGCCAGGACGATGCGCCCTCGTGCTTGATGAACGTGTCGAGGTGGGCTCGGAGCGGGCGAGCGAACAGGGCGAGGGTCCCGGCTGCGGCGAGGAGGACGACCCGGCTCGACATGATGCAGGTGGATAGGTGATGTCGATGTACGGGCGAGGTCGTAGGTCGAGGGTGGGCTCAGGGCGAACGGCGAGGACGAGGCGAGGAGCGGATGTGGGGAGGGAGGGGCGACGGCGCACGCGTGTGCCGCAGAGGGGGAGCTGACGGCGATGTGTGGCGGACCAATCGCCCGGATGCGCGAGCACATGGGCCCTGCCGGCGCTGCTGCCGGTGGTTGGCGGCGGGCGACGAACGTGGGCAGGGAGCGGTCGCGTGCTGGCGACTACCGCTCTGCGCGCGCTTGTGGCTGCACTCGGCGCATAGCTGAGCGACTCATCAAGCAGGATCACGCTCAGGCCAGCACTGCGCGGCGAGAGCGGGCGTGCAAGAGTCGACGAGAGCTTCAAGTCTCATCAGTCGCAACCGAGAACCGAGCCTCTCCCTCTCGCTCCAGCATCTCTGCTGCCTGCGTGAGCGCTGCAAGAGCTGTGCATGAAGGTGGTCATCTGCGTCGTCCATCGCGGCGAGCGTCCTCCAGTGAGGATGAGGGGCACGTGGGCTCGCCGACGCCTGTCTCGAGGTACAGCTCGACAAGCGTCTCGCAGGCTTGCTGCAGTCAGGCGATGCTTGCTTTCCACTCTGAGAGGCGACGCGTGACAGAATGTACATAGTTGCTGCTGGAAGAGAGAGCTCCGACTCGCGGCCTCGTCTGTTCCTCCCGCCCACCGCGCCCAGACCGACTAAGCCCAGCTCTCTCCGTGCATCGTCGCCTCGAGCGTCTGGAGCACTCCCCTCGTTCCCTTCTGACGACGCTCGACCGGGCACAGGCCGCCTTTCTCGAACGAGGCGAGCAGAGGGCGCCAGACCTCCTCGCTTGACGGCGACACGAGGCCTCGTTGGGCGATCTTGCCGTCGAGGAAGAGCAGGGCGCCGAGAGCGATAGGCTGCGTGAGAGTCGAGAGTCAGTACCGGGCGATCAAAGGGAATGCGAGAGGACCGAGACGCACAACGCCCACGGTCGTCGCCATCGCCGACGCCTTGTCGTCCCCGTACTGCATGAAAGGACGCAGTCAGTTCGGGTCGAGGGGTCTGGACGAAGCGAGGAAGAGGAGCGCACCTGTACAAGTGTCGAGGTAAAGAGCTCGTCCTTGCCCTCGTCCGAGCGCGTCGTCACCTCGTGGTGCAGGACGACGGCGTCTCGCTCGCCCGGGTGGTAGCGGAGCTGGTGCGCGAGGAGGATGGAAAGGTAGTCCAGAGGAGCGAGAGGGGAAGAAGGGAGGGGAGGAAGGTTGGCGACGGCGCGCGAGGCGGGAAGAAGGGCGAGCCTGCAAGTGTCGAGAGAGGTCAGAGCGTACAGGCGAAGAGAGAGAGAGAAGCGGGACGCACTCAGAGAGGGCCTGGACAGTCTCTGCGACGAGCTCGTCGCTCTCGTCCACCAATACCGCCTCGACCGCACGCTCGCCGGTGTGCTCGACGCCGAGCCGCCTCGCGCAGGCGTCGACGAGCTCGTCCCACCGGCCGATCGGCGCCTCGAACGGCTCGAGGCTCAAGAGCCCGAGCGTGCGGAAGCAGCGCACGACGAGCGCGAAGCCCGGGTACCGCAGGGTGCCGCGCAGGATGGTCGGGAGGTCGGACGGCAAGCCGTACTCGGGGAGGTAGGCGAGCGAGTCGCGGTTGGCGACGCCCTCAAAGGCGAAGCCGCGCAGGAGGGGGACGTGGGGAAAGTTCTGCGACAGGAGCTTGTCGGAGGGAATGGCGACGTCGCGACCGCCGAGGCGGAAAGTCGCCGAGTTGAGGGCGGCGGTGAGGACGCCTCGAGGCGACCACCTGCAGGGCAGCGAGTCAATGCGGGCTCGTCCAGGTTGTTGAAGCTGGACGCACGAGAACTTGTAGCCGAGAGGACCGTTGCTGAGCTCCGGGCTCGGCAGGCCGCCGCAGAACGAGACGAAGGACGAGATCTGCGCCGGCGTCGCGACGTCAATGGCGAGGCTCAACAGGAAGCGCAGGCGTCGGGCGCACCTTGTTACCGGTCGAACGAGCCTCCTCGATCAGCCGCATCGCCGTGACGTGGTCGATACCCGGGTCCTGCGTGGGCGAGAGAGGGTCAAGATCTGCCTCTGAGGGAAGCGAGGGACGTGCGGCTTGGGACGCACCAGCCCGAGCTCGTTGAGGAGGACGACGTTGGCCTTCTTTGCCCTGCCAAAGGGGGTCGTCAGAGTCGAAGGTAGAAGAAGGAGGGAGAGAAGCACGGGACGTACTCGTCGTTGAGCTGCGCCATTTGAGGCGAGGTGTACGAGGCGGTGACGAGCGAGGTGCCGTGCTCGATGCACAGCTTGGCGACGTCGACGTGCAGAGATGCAGGTAGAAGGCTGGATGTGAGGACAAGGTGAGCGTCGAGCGACGCGATGAGGGCGAGGGAGCGACCGACGCACCTGAGGACCACGTCGGCGCTCGCAACCAGGTTCGACAGCGCCGCCTTGTCCGACGCATCGAGGTGGACCGAGTCGACGTTGGCGTAGTCGGCGGCGAGTGCTTGTGCGGCGGGAAGATCGTTGCTCGCTGTGGGCGCGAGAGGGAGAGCGTGAGCGGGCGCTGCGGATGAGGCGGGGAAGGGGCGCGTGCGCACCGACGACGACGTCGAGAATGTCCCTCTCGGCGAGCGTGCGCACCGCAGGTCCTGCGACAAGTCTGTAGGCTTCGAGATCAGCCTTCTGCGGCCCAGAGTCGAAAAGGAAGAGAAAGAAGGGACGCACCCGGCACCGAGCACCACCGCCTTCTGCCTCCTCGACGAGCTCTTGGCCTCCTCGAGCACCCGATACAGCCACTCGTGCCGCTCCGTGAGCTTGCCGTCCTCCACGAGCGTCGCCCGCCGCAGCGCGTCGCGAATCTCCTTGCCGTCCTCGCCCTCCTTCTCGAGCGCCGGGTCCTCGAGGAGGTACCGCACGTACGGGAGCAGGCCGCGAGAGAAGTGCTCGGTCGCGTCGATCGGGAAGGCAGACGGGAGGATCTCGACGCTCGAGAGCTGAGTCGAGGTCGGGTGAGCGGGACTGGCGAGGCGGGCAAGGAGGAAGAGGGCGAGGAGGAAGAGAACGTCAGGGCTAGTTCCCGCCGAGGACGGACCGGCAGTGAAAGAGGACGCACTCGCGATGCAGACGGTTGGCGATGGCGTCGAACTGTACGACCGGATCGTCGAGCGTCGTGGCCGCCTTGACGAACTCGAGCCCGCCCTGCGAGGAAGGTCGAGTAAGTGCGAATCCCTGTTTGACGAGGACGAGAGGAGGCGGGACGCACCTCCCAGTCGCACGAGACGTCGACGATCGAGATGAGGCGGTTGTCGGAGCGCGACTGCAGCTCGGCGAGCTGCGCCGTCGTGAGCAGTCGAGGGCATCCAGGCGCCCAGAAGCCGCCGTTCAGCAGCACGCTCGAGTAGGGCGCGATCTGTGACGCAGGGAACGTCAATCAGGGGACCCCGAGTGGCAGGAAGAGGGAGAGGGAGGCGCACCTTGGTGTGAAAGACCGACTCGAACTGGTCGGGGTGCTTGCGGTACTGCTCGCGCTCGAAAGGCTTGCCGTCGCGGCTGACGAGGTAGTCGGCGAGTTCGAGGTGACACGCATAGATAGTCTTGACGTCGCCTGTACGCGTGAAAAGGTTAGTGAGGCAACGACGAGGTTGTGAATCGAGACGACGCACCGGACTTGGCGACGCTGGCCAGCTCGTCCGCCTTGACCCACCGCACGCCGAGCTCGTCCAGCGCCTTGCGCGCACCGTCGCCCACCTTTCCTCGACCCGAGAGCGTGATGACGAGCTGCGGAGAGGAAAGGCTGTCAGCTAGTGCTCGAGCGAGGAGAGGGGAGGGGAAGCGAGTTCGTCGACGCACCGGACCGTCCATCCCGGCCATCTTGCCCTCTCCAACCTCCCTTCCGACCCGCTCGAGCTCGAGCTTGATCTTCTCGACACGTCCCGCCTGCAGGGGCCGGACGAGCGACAGGAACGGGCTCGGCACGCCCTTTGCCGCGAGGAGCTTGGTGCCGAGCTGCGCGAGGCCGTCGGCCATGCCGCTATAGCCGGCGAGGGAGCCAAAGCCGATCGTGCGCTTGGCGGCTGGAGGAGGTGCGGTCGGGATGGTCGGGTCGGAGCGGACGGTCGAGCCCTTTGAAGGCGAGGTGAGGAGCTCGTAGTCGATGAACGAGGTGCCGGCCGCCTTGGACGAGTCGAGGAGGGTGCGCAGGAGCGAGAAGTTGTAGCTCTGGCCCTTGTGGCAGTGGAAGAAGGCGAGGTGCGCGTGCGGCTTGTCGGTCGACGAGGTGGACGAGGACAGGGACGACTGGACGGGCTCCTTGACGCCGACGACGACGTCGCACCGAGACGCCTCGAGCTTGTCGACGAGCGTGGCTCCGACCTGTATCGCAAGGAGTGCTGGTCAGCTCGACTGCAGGGCGGTGCAAGACGAGGGGGTGCGAGAAAGGAGCGTCCGGCTCACCTCCTCGTAATCGCTCGCGGGAATGGCGCGCTTGGCGCAGCGCTCGACGAGCACCTCGTGGCCCTCGGCGACGAGCGTGTTGACCGCCTCGGGGCTCAGTGCCGCCCTGCGCTCCCACTTGCGCGCCGGGTCCTCCGCCCTGAGGCCGAGCGTCGCGAGCAGCGGCGGCGAGGTGTGGAGGGCGCGGTGGAGCCGCGCGCTTGGGCGATAGAGCTGTGGCAGGCGTGTGCACAGCATGGTCGGTGCAGCGGTGGTTGCTGTGCGCTGGTGTGGGTGAAAGGCGAGGAGCGAGCAGCTCCCCACCCAGCGCGCGGCCTGCCGTGAAAGTGCGGGGTGGGTCACGTGGCGCCGCGTGGTCTGTCGCTTGTGCTCGGCGCATCAGCTGAGCCAGCTCTCGCATTCCGGTAACCACAAAGCGCGGTACATAGCTCTCGCGCGAACGAAGGAGCTGGGGTCGTCGAAAGCGTCAAAGCGGAGCACACTACCCGACAGCGGTCAAAGCGCGCTTACGTGGAGGCGACGCAGGCTCCCTGCCACGGCTGCGGTCCGTTCGTCTCGACCAGTACGTCTCGAATGGTCGAGCAGAGCTGTTGCAGAGACTGTAGAGAAAGACGTGAACGAGAAACTCGCAGACATGCGTCGACATTGACCTTCCCAAGTTGAGCTCCGCGCAGATGGCACCGTGCGTTCGACCCTGCAGCTCGTGACAGGCTTCGCAGTGACTGAGAGACCCCATCGAGGAAGCCTTGGGACCGTAGGCGAGCGAGAGACGTTCATAATCGGGCGCAACGAGTTGCCGGCGGCGGCGACAGGGCGGCGCTGCGCTCGAGAGCAGCGCTCGAGCACTGTCCTGGAGAGGCCCGCCACAGAGCTCCTGAGGCAGCTTCTAGCAGGTCGTGCACGACAGCGCAGCGAGTATCGACGACAGCCGAGCGAGGAAGGACGGCTCAAGGACAAACACAGCGCCAGCTGGCGCCGCATCCGCCTCGCGCTCGCGGTCCTCTGGCCAGTCCGCCCTAGCATAGCGAGCAGTCAAAGCCGACAGCTTGGCGAGCAGCGAGTGATCGAGGGGCGCGCGCACGGCGGGCGCGAGGGCGACGTCCGGCTGCCTGCGAGGTCTGAGCGCCCGGACGCCGCGAGCCGCTGCCTCGCCGACGAGGCGCGAGCCTCAGCGAGCATTTTCGGGACCGAGTGCGGGACTCGACGAGGCAGTGGGAACGCCAGCAGGCCGGGAGGAAGAACAGGTGCCGCGAATGGGCGACGAAGCCGTCGGCCGAGCGTCGGGCGCCGTCTGCTCAAGCCGCCGCGTCGATGCGTCGTACGGGACAGCCCGCAAGCCCAGCTCAGAGCACACGCGGCGACCCTCGAAAAGTGCTGCAGCTGCGCCCGACTCGGCGAGAGTTTTGGACCCGCGCGAGACGAGGTCTAGAACGAGCCGAGGGCGGGTCGCAACTCTGGGGCGCTGTGCCTCGCGCAGAGCCAGCGGGCGCATGCACGCGGACCACGGCGAGAGCCGTACGACCGCCGCACACCGCAGAGATAGGAAGCGCTCGCCCCGAGCTCGCCATGGAGGCGGTGACGAAGCTGGCCGGCGACGAGGCCGTCGCAGCATGGACGCAACGTGCTTGGCAGCCGGCAAAGTAGCTCGGAGCAGAGCGTGTGTGCCGTGCGGAGCAGGGCCAGGCAACGCAGTGCGAGGGCACGCGAGAGCGGGCGAGACGAGCCGCGGCGAGAGCGCGAGGAGGACGAGGAGGAGGAGAGGACGAGGCGACGGCGAGCGGGTGCGCCGGTGCACTCGGTGGCTAGCCAGGAGGCACAGCGAGTGTACAAGACCGCGCAACAAGGCGCACAGCGAGTGGTGGGAGCAAGAGAGCGAGCGCGAGGCTTGCGAGGGGACGGTCGCCTCTCCCTCTCTCGTTCCTCCAAACCATGGCCGACTTTGTCAAGCTCTCGATCTTTGGCACCGTCTTCGAGGTCACGACGTGCGTCCACGCCCGCTCTCCCACCTCTCGCAGCCGTGCCGTGCGCCGAGGACGAGCAGTCGCCAGGTCCCGCCACCTCTGCCGGACGAGGATGATCGGCCTCGCACGCCCTCCACCGGCCCTCTGGGACCGGTTGGGCAGCTCCTGAGCTCTCAAGGAGCACCAGGCGGGCTACTCGGCCTACCAGCGCAGCCGTGCGAGCGAGCGCGACGGCGGTGCGAGGGGGGGGGGCGGCCTCTGCGGAGGGCCTCGTGTTCTGGCAGCGACTGGCGATCCTCTCTCGCTCGTGCGCTGACTGGTTCCCTCCTCGACGCGCCCCTCGCTCCGACTTACTCTCTCGACCACCGATACGCCCTCGCTCGCCCGCCCCGCCGCCGCCTGCACCACCCACCTCGCCCCGCACCGCCTGTTCCCGTTCGCCCAGGCGGTATGTCGACCTGCAACCCGTCGGCATGGGCGCGTTCGGCCTCGTGTGCTCGGCCAAGGACGAGGTCCGTCCCCCTCTCTCCCTCGAGGCGCCGTCCTCCGCACCGCCTCGAGCTCGCGCCGGACCTCGGCCGATTAGTCCGACCGCCGACCAACGACTGACTCTCCCCTTCCTGTCGCGCAGTTGACCGGCCAGATGACGGCCATCAAGAAGATGTGAGCCCGACCGATGTTCTCTGCTCGACGGCCGCGCGAGGAGCGAGGAGCGAGGAGCGAGGAGCGAGAGCGCGTTGCTGACGATTCGAGGCGGTGTATGTGCGTGCGTTCGTCGTGATCAGCATGAAGCCGTTCAGTGCGTCCTCTCCTCCTCCCTCTCTCTATCCTGTCGAGCCTGCCACTGACGGCGCGATCCTCCTCCCCTCCCCTCCCTCACCACCTGCCGACTCGTCCCCCAACTCCGCCCTGCTCTCTCTGCGTCGACAGGTACCCCGGTCCTCGCCAAGCGGACGTACCGCGAGCTCAAGCTCCTCAAGCACATCCAGCACGAGAACATCATCTCGCTGTCCGACATCTTCATCTCGCCGCTCGAGGACATCTACTTCGTCACCGAGCTCCTCGGTACCGACCTCCACCGCCTGTTGACGAGCCGACCGCTCGAGAAGCAGTTCATCCAGTACTTCCTGTACCAGATCCTGGTGCGTCCGCCTCGTCCTCTTTCGTCGCGGCGAGGTCGGCCGGCGCGCAGAGCCCGACCGCCTTCGTCTCGCGCAAGCAGCTAGAGCACGTACTGACTCGTCCCCCCTACCTCCACAGCGCGGCCTCAAGTACGTGCACTCGGCGGGTGTCGTCCACCGCGACCTCAAGCCGTCCAACATCCTCGTCAACGAGAACTGCGACCTCAAGATCTGCGACTTTGGCCTCGCTCGCCTCGCCGACCCGCAGATGACGGGCTACGTATCGACGCGCTACTACCGAGCACCCGAGATCATGCTCACGTGGCAGAAGTACGACGTCGCCGGTGAGCCTCACCCCCTTTCTCTCTCTGCCCTCCCTCGTTCCGCCCGGCGCGCTCTTCCTTCTGGGAGCCGCTGCGGCGGTATCGACGTGGCGCAGGAGAAATCCCCACTGACGCTCGTCTTTGCGCAGTCGACATCTGGAGCGCAGGGTGCATCTTTGCCGAGATGCTGGAAGGGCGCCCGCTCTTCCCGGGCAAGGACCACGTCAACCAGTTCTCGATCATCACCGAGCTGTTGGGGACGCCGCCCGACGAGGTCATCCAGACCATCTGCTCGGAGAACGTGCGTCGCCCGCTTTCCCCTTTCCTCTCCGCGACGAGCCAGTCTCGCGGCCGCACCGTGCGCCGAGAGAGGTTGCGTTCAGAGCGACCTGTACTGACCTTCTCGTCGCCTCCCGCAGACCCTCCGCTTCGTCCAGTCGCTCCCCAAACGCGAGCGTGTCCCCTTCTCGCAAAAGTTCCGCGGCGCCGACCCTCAAGCGCTCGACCTCCTCGAGAAGATGCTCGTGTTCGACCCGCGCAAGCGCATCGACGCGACGCAGGCACTCGCGCACGAGTACCTCGCGCCGTACCACGACCCGACCGACGAGCCTGTCGCACCAGAGGCGTTCGACTGGAGCTTCAACGACGCCGACCTGCCTGTCGACACCTGGAAGGTTCGTCCCCCTCTCCCTCTTTCTCCTCGCCTTCTCTCTCCTCGCCTCCTTCTATTCTCCCTCTCCCTTTGTCGTCCCTCCTCGTCGCTCCGTCCTTCCACGTGCATCGCGCGGTCGATCCTACCGACGACGCTTCCTTGTCGATCCCCCTCGATCATCGTCTGCCCTTCCTTCTTCTCGATCTCCTCCAACGTCGCCCACCCGCCTTTCTCCTCCTGTTGCCGACAACGACACCCACACCTTCTCGCGCAACGCGCACGGACCTGTCGCTCACGTTCCTCTCTTGCGCCACAGGTCATGATGTACTCCGAGATCCTCGACTTCCACCACATCGAGGACAGCACCGACTCGGGCCCGGTCGCAGGCGCCACGCCGCAGCAGCAGCAGGCGTAAGTGAGGAGGGCATCTTTCTCGGTCGGCGGGGTCGTCCGTCGTCGAGGGCAGGACGGCTCGAGGCGAGAGGGCGCATGAGGCCTCTCTCTTTCTCTCTCATTCTCTCCCCCTCGCCCTTTTTCTCTTCTTCTTCTTCTTCTCCCATGATCCTGGTTCGGGCGGCAGCGAAGGGCAATCCATGCTTTGTAGATATCCCTGGAACGCGATTCTCCCCACTGTACGGCACTCTCGAGCCACGCGACGACAGAGGGAGCGGAACGTTTGGTGTGCAAGGAAAGGAAAGAGAGAGAGGTATGCTGCTGCAGATGATGGTGCTACGTCAAGAGCTTCGTCGTCGTCGTCGTCGTCGTCTAGAGCTCGTCCTTCATGTGCTCCTTGCCGGCGGCGGTCGGCTCAGGCTTGACCGTCTCGGCCTTGGTGCCCGCCTTCCTCCTGCGCGGGACCTTCTTCTTCTCGAGCTTGGCGAGCTCGCGTTCGACCTCCTTGAGCTTCTTGTCGACCTCGGCGACGCGCACGGCCGGGTCCTCGTGCGCCTTGAGCTTGTGCTGGCGCGCCTCGACGTCCGAGACCCACGTCTGCGACTCGCGCACGAGCCCCTCGAACTTGTCGAGCTCGTCGGCCGTGAACCGCTGCGGCGCGTCCGGGTCCGACGCGGTCGTCGCGGTGGCGTTGGCGCGCGCGGACGAGAGGAAGGTCGTCGCGGTCGAGAGGGTCGAGTGGAGCGACGAGAGCGCCGCAGGACGGGCGAGCGCCTCGGTCGAGCGCGACAGGATGTGCTTGACGAGTTTCCTGCGAGGGAGGGACCGAGCAGGTCAGTCGTTGAACGACGTCGACCGCGATCGAGAGAACGAGAAGAGGGGACACGACGACGCACTCGAGCTCGCGCTTCTTGTCCTTGAGCGCCTTGGTCTCTGCCGCCTCGCCCTCGTCCCACAGCCACTCTGCCGTCTGGCTCTGCAGCTCGCGCACCTTCTCGCGCTCGGCCGGGACCGATGCGGCGACAAAAGCGTCGCTCTCGCGCGAGCCGCCCTCGACGAGGTCGCGGACCTTGTAGACGTACGCCTCGAGGACGTTGCGCGCCTCCTCGCGGGCGAGCTTGCGCGTCAGGGCCGACTTGGCGTCGCGGAGGCTGTGCGAGGGGGATAAGAGGAGGAAGCGTCAGGTCGAGGAGCTCGCGAAAGAGGAAAAGGGCCACGCTGCGACGACCAAGAGGGGAGAAAGGGGGACGCACCGCTTCTTGGCGTCGACGAGGTCCTCCTTGGCCATGCTCTTGCCGCCCTCCTGCGGCTGAACGATCTCGATGCCGAGCGTGACCTTGGCCGGCGGCAGCGCCGCCTCGGCGAGGAGCCGGTCAAGCTCGGCCTTGTCCTCGTCCGACATGGCCTCCTTGTCGTGCTCGACGCCCTCGGCGCTCTCGTCGCCGGCGCCCTCGGCCGACGCGCCCGCACCACCGGCAGTCGAGCCCGACTCGGTGCCGTTCTTGCCCGCAAAGCGCGAGAACAGGCCCTTGAGCTTGTCGGCGACGCCGTTCTTGTCGCCGTTCTTGGCCGCCTCGGCGTCGTCCTCGCGCAGGGTGAGGACGGCCTTGCCGACCTTGACGAGGCCGTTGGCGTCGAGCTCGAGCGGGACCTGGACGGTCGCGTTGACGAGCTGCTCGCTCGTGAGGATGGCGCACGCGCTCGTGATGCCCGTCAGGCGCACGGTCGACAGGTGGCCGGCCGGTGCGGCGGGGAGCGACGAGCTCGGGTACGACAGGTCGAGCGAGAAGTCGGTCGTGCGGCGCAGGGTGAGCGTCTTGCGCGACGGGAGCTTGGTGTGGGCCGGGAACAGGTGCGTCGTGATGATGCGCGGCTCGCCGTCTGTACGCAGGGCAGAAGATGCGCAAGGGCTCGTCAGGATATCGCTCGGGCTGCGGCTCGACGAGCAGAACGGGCGAGAGGGGACGCACCAGCCGAGCCCTTCTCCGCCTCGTAGGCGACGTCGACGGCGAACGGCGTCACGTCGACGACGCGAATGTCCTTGGTGCGGAACCCGGGAACGCTGCTCGCGCCGTACAGGGCGGCGCCGAGGACGCCGGCCTCGTCTGCGTTGACGTTCTTGGCGATCTTGTCGGCACCGACGGCCTCGGCGACGGCGGCCTGCACGAGCGGGACACGCGACGAGCCGCCGACGAGGATGACCGACTCGATGTCGGACAGGGCGAGCGAGGCCGTCTCGAGGGCCGACCGGATGGCGCTCGACAGGTGCGGGACCAGGGACGCGGCGCGAGCCTCGAGGGCGGCGCGCGTGATCTCGGTGCGGAAGTCGAGGTCGTCGATGAGGCCCTCGATCTGTGAAGAGACGGCGATAGGTGTCAGTCAGGCGCCGGGCGGGGAGAAGAGACGAGGGGGGAGAGAGAGAGATGGCGGGAGACGCACACGAGCGTTGGCGGCCGTGTTGGCGCTCAGGACCTGCTTGACGCGAGTCGCCTCCTTGAGGAGCTTGGCCATGGCGCGCTTGTCGTCGGTCACCTTCTTGCCCTGGGCGAGCTGCTTGCCGACCGTGTCGTTGAACGCCTCGACGAGCAGGTCGCGCACGATGCGGTCGAACACGTAGCCGCCGACCTCGAGGTCGTACGCGAAGCCGTGGACGGTGAGGGCCGTCACGTTCTTCATCTGAGGCGGGTCCGACAGCGAGTGCGGGTCGGGGAGGAGGGCCGACTTGAGCGAGACGAGCGAGACTCGGAGCGAGCCCGAGCCGAGGTCGTAGATGAGGTGGTAGGTCGGCAAGGCCGGGAAGGTGCGGCCCATGGCGTAGTTGACGGCAGCTGCGCACGAGGACGAAGGTCAGTGACACGACAGAGGGAGGTAGAGAGAAAGAGGGAGGGACGCACCGGCCGCGCCGTCATTGACGAGCCCGACGACCCGGAGCCCGGCGACGTCGGCCGCGTCCATGATGGCCCGACGCTCCTTGTCGGCGAACCAGCCGGGCACGGTGACGACCGTGTCGCGGACGGGCTCGCGCGCGGCGTCCTCGGCGAGCTCCTTGGCGTAGACGAACTGGAAGGCGAGGGCCTCCTCGACGGGGATGGTGCTGCGCTTGCTGCCGGTGCCGAGGGTGACAGCGGGCGACGAGCGGGCCGTGGTGGTCTGCGGGAGGTCGTACAGGGCCGAGTGGAGCTGGGCTTGCGGGTGCGAGGGCGGGTGCGCGAGGAGGAGCTTGGCCGAGTGGAGCGTGTCTTGCGGGAAGCGGGTGGCCTGCGGGGTGCGGTGTCGAGGTGAGCTCGTGCGGTGCGTGTGACCCCGGATGCAGCAGACAAAGGTGGACGCACGAGGCCCTCCGCGTCGCCACCGACAAAGCGCTCGTCGCCGCGGTAGGTAACGATGGCCTGGGTCTTGCGGCGGCCCTCTTTGGTGAGGAGGACGTCGAAGGGGACGCCGGGCTTGACGAGCGAGGCCTTGAACGAGTCTGTGCCGTAGTCTATCGCGAGGAGCGAGGCCGCCGACGCGGAGGGGAGGACCGAGACGAGGGCGACGAGGAGCGACGCGAGGAGGAGGAAGGCGGCTGGTCGCCTGCGCGCTGTTGTTGGTGCCATCTTGCGCGAGTGGTCGACGTCGGGCGGCAGAGCACAGCGAGGTGGGAGAACAGCGAGCCTTCGATGAAGTTGCGGCCGCCGAGATGAAAGCCGCACCCCTCGCTCTCGCCTCTGAGCTGCCAGGTGGAAGCTCTCAGTCGATGTAGTGTAGTCTACTCTGGCCATCCAGCTTGTCTCCAGTCCGCCAGAGAGAGAGAGGAGCGAGCACGAGCAGCTGCTTCGGTTCCCCACTTGTTCGTCGCGCTCTGTCGACACGTCGCCTCACTCTCCAGGCCCACGAGCAGCCAGGCGCGACGCCAGACAGCTCCCACTGCCCCGCCATGCAGTCGACTCGCGGCAAGAGCGTCCTGTGGGACCCCTCGCCTTCGTCCTCCTCGTCCAACCGGCTCCTCGTCGGCGGCGGCGCCGAACTGCGCCTCTACTCGCACGAGCCAGGCCACGCCGCGACGGCATTCACCGCCACCACCGTCGTCACCGAACTCGCTGGCCTGCGCGCCTTCTCGTGGGCGCCTCACGCCGCCTTTCCCCTCGTCGCCGCCGGCCTCTCGACCGGCCGCGTCCTCCTCCTTCGCCTCGACGAGGGCGCAAAGGACGACCGCACGAGGGCCCCTGCCGCCGTCCAGATCAATGGTCCGTCCCCTCTCGCTTTCCTCGCCCGATTCCCGCGCTCAGCGCTCACCGCTCCTCCCCACCCGCAGTCCGACACTCGCGCCCGTGCAACGTCGTCACCTTTTGCGCCGACGAGCCGGGCCTCCTCGCCGTCGGGCTCGAAAAGGGCCGCGGCGAGTCGCTCCTCGTGTACGACGTCTCGCGCTCGCTCGACTCGTCGTCAGCCTCGACGTTCCACTCGCACCTCGGCGCCGCACCGGGCGGCGGCCACCGCGCCTTTTCCCTCCAGCGCGACGCGTCCCAGTCCAGTCGAGGCCGCGGCAACTCGCCGGCGTCGGGGCCCTCGTCGTCGTCGTCGTCCGCCGACCCGACCCCGCTCGTCTCGTTCGGCTCGTCCGAGGTCGTCGCGTCGGCCGCCTTCCTCTCGTCGCCCTCGTCGCCCGGCTCGACGGCGTCGCACACGCCCCTCCTCGCCGCCGCCATGGCCAACAAGTGGCTGCGCGTGTACGACCTGCGCTCGCCGCCGTCGACCGTCACGACGTGGTCGACCCGCGCCGTGTACGGCATCGCCGCCAACCCGTTCCACGGCCAGCAGTTCACGTCGCACGGCGACGACGGCGTCGTGCGCCTGTGGGACTTGCGCAAGCCCATGGACCCGCTCCTCGCGTGGAGCGAGACCGACGCCGGCAGCATCTCGGCGCAGAAGATGCGGGCCAACGTCGTCGCGCGCCCGCTCGGCGAGACGGCGTGGAGCACCGAGACGAGGGGCCAGTTTGCGACGCTCGAGAAGGACGTGAGCAGGATCAGGGTGTGGAACCTCGTCGACGGGCCCGGTCCGAGGCTCGTCGGCGCGGCAGGACCGGCGGCAAGGGGCGGCGCAGGCGGCGCAGGCGGCGGCAGGAGTGTGGGCGTGGGAGGACCAGACGACTCGGCTGGCGAGGAGAAGGAGGCCCTGCGCATGCCCATCGTGCTCGACGACCGCCAAAGTGCGTCCCACCTTCTCTCTTTCGTCCTCGTTACCCAACGAGCCCCGCTCTGACTCGTTCTCGCCCTCGTCCCGCAGCGCACGCCTTCCAGCACTCGCTCATCTCGTTCGCCTTTGCCCGCACGCCATCCTCGTCGCCGCACGACCTCCACTTTGTCGGCCTCTCGCGCGACTCGTCCAACCCGGGCTCGTCCGGCCAGCGCCTCGAGCTCGTCACGCTCCCTGCCGCCCCGCACGCCACCTTTCTCGAACGCGGCATCCTCCTCACAACCTCGACCGCCGAGCAGACGGTCCTCGCCGTCCCTTCCTCCTCGGCGCTCGCCGCCGCCGCCGTCGCTGCAGAAGGCGAGCACGCCGGCGCGGTCCCGTCGGCCGACCCGCACAACTCGTCCATCTCGCCCCACACGCCCGCCGCCCTGCAGCTGTCGGTCGACCCGCTCAGTCCGCAGCTCGACCGCGGCCGCCAGCTCTCGCTCGCCGGCCTCCTCCACCCGGTCGACCGCAACGCGACGCCGCGTCCGGGCCTACCAGGCGGCGGGCTCATGCGGCGCATCTCGTCGGGCCCTGTACCGCAGCTCGCGGCGTCGTCGTCGCCGCCGGCCGGCGGCGCTCCGGGCTCGCTCGGCGCGTGCGCGACCTCGTCGACGAGCGGCGGCCTCGCTGCGCTCGCGACCGACATGAGCGTCGTCATCCGGCAGCGCGTCGAAGCCGGGTACGGCTCGGACGCGCTCGTCAACGCGGCCCTGTGCGACGACGGCATCGCCGAGTTCTGGCAGTGGGTCGCGCGCGCCCAGAGCCTCTCGAGCGAGAACTCGACGAGCGACTACGACTACCGGTTCCGCGGCGTCCTGAGGATCCTCCTCGGGTTCCCGTCGGGCATGACCAACCCGGCCCTGTCGTCGTCCGGCGCGTCGTCGCCCAACGGAACCGGCACCCCGCCCTCGCCCGTCGACGGCCCGCACTCGTCGTCGGCGTCGAGCGGCCGCCGCACGCCGACGCCGCGCTCGATCTACAGCGACATCTCGCGCTCGCTGCGGCGAGGCGACGAGGCCCAGTCGAGGAACGCGGCCTACACGGCCGCCTGCGCCACGCTCGTCGCTCGTCGCCGCCTCGGCAACACGTTCGCCATCTCGAGCAGCCAGTTTGCGGCGCAGCGCAAGATCGCGCTCAGTGCGTGCGGCGCAGAGTGGGAGGAAGGGTGGGAGGCGGTCTGCGACCGGTCCGTCCGCAGTCGGCCCGTCTTGGTGGTCCACCTCGGTCGAGCATGTACTCACGACCTCCCTCTTTGCCCTTCCCTGGATACAGGCTCGCCAAGAAGGGCGACCACGAGGCGGCGGCTCGACACGCGTTCTTCTCGGGCCAGATGGAGCGGGCGATGAACCACCTGCGCGCCTGCAAGGGTGCGCCCACCCTCTCTCTCCCTCATCGAGCCGTCCTCGAGCCGGTCACTGACTCGTACTCGAGCGCAGACGAGAACCTGCGCATGCTCGCGCCGATCATTGCCGCTTACGTGAGTCGTTCTGCGCCCGGACCCCTTTTCGTCCCTCTTCCCGCGCCTCTCGCCCTCTCACTGACTCTCCTCCCTCCTTCTCGCCTGCAGCTCGCCCAGAAGGACACGTTGCGCAACGCCTCGTCCGAGTCCAACTACGCCGCCCTGTGTCGCTCGCTCTCGTCCGACGTCGAGACGCCCTGGGTCCGCGCTATGTTCGCCTTCCTCGCCACGAGCGACTGGCGCGAGCTCGTCGACGAGATGGGCCTGCCGCTCAAGGACCGCGTGGCTGTCGCTCTCAGGTGCGTCCTCGTCGCCCTTTCTCCTTTCAAGAACCGCGAGAACTGACCGAGCCGACGAGCGCCCGCAGGTTCCTGTCCGACAGCGAGGTGCGCCCCGTCTCTCTCACTCACTCAGACGAGCCTCATCGTCAATGCCCTGGACTGACCCTCACGACGGTCGTCTCACAGCTCATTCCGTTCCTGCAAGAGCTCGGCGACGAGGCGCTCTCGTCGTCCGACCTCGAGGCCGTCGTCCTGTTCGGCCTGCGCAACGACGGCCTCAAGCTCTTGAGCGCGTACGTCGACCGCTCGGGCGACGTCCAGACGGTCGCCCTCGCGTGCAGCTTCACGTCGCCGGGCCTGATCCGCGCCGACATGCGCGTCCAGCGGTGGGTCGAGACGTACCGGGCGCAGCTCGACCGCCTGCAGCTGTACGCCGCACGCGCCATGTTTGACGCCGCGCGAGGTCGGCGAGCGAGGGCGGCGTTCGAGCAGGCGAGGCTGGCGGGCAGGAACGCCGAGGCCAAGGAGGTCGCCGGCGCGATGAGGAGGACGGCGCCGCCGCAGATTGTCGTGCGGTGTCAGTTCTGCGCGACCAACATTGCGCCGTCGAAGGGTGCAGGCATGCTCGGCGAACTGAACGAGGGCGGGAGGAGCACGGGAGGGCAGCTCGGCATCAAGGTGCGTCGGCCGCACGTTCCCCTCTTTTCTTCCCTTTTCGCGCCAAGTACCTGACGCTCCTCTCCCTCTTCTCCCTCCTCGACAGTCGACGCTCTGTCCGTCGTGCAGCAAACAGGTCCCGGCGTGCTGCATCTGCCTCGAGCGACCATCGCTGCACTCGTTCGACGCCCACGGCCGTGCGTCCCTCACTTCTCCTCTCTCGTCTCGTTTCGGCCTCTCAGCGAGCAGTCCTGACGCCATCACTTGTACAACATGCAGCTGCGACCCTCTGCTGGTGCCAGCGGTGCCGGCACGGCGGGCACGCGTCGCACCTGCTCGCCTGGTTCGAGAGTGCGTACTCCTCCTCTGCCCTGTCCCCTCTTCCTTTCCTCCCTCTCCCTCGACGTCCAAAGCCTGAATTTTTTTCTCGACACAGCGTCCGAGGTGTGCGCCGTCGCCGGGTGCGACTGCGAGTGCAACAGTGGCAGGTAGACGAGCTGGCGAGGCTGGGGAATGTGGGAGCAAGCCGTGCACGGCGGTCGTGTTGTCATATCAGCTCTCCTTCCATGTTCTCTCGTGCGCTTTCTGCAACCTCGAGAGCGACGAAGCAGTCGGCGCGAGACAAGAGAGCCTCCCTTTCGCCCTCTGTCTTGCCTCGCCTCGTCCAGCTCAAGTCGCCCGCTCGGACCTGTAGCTCTCTCGTGCCCATCTCTCGCCAAGGACCGCCTCGAGCAAGGTATCGAGAACTGCATGTTCCACTTCAGGTCTAGCTAGCTGTACAACACCGGCACTGCCCGTCTAAATCCCTCGCCGCCTTCTCAAACGCGCCATTCCGCCGAGGTGCGCGTGGCCGGTGTCCGCTCCGGGCTCTCCTCCTCGACGACGTGCGTCTCGATCGACACGTGCACGCCTCGCTCCTCCTCATCCTCCTCGCGCAGGTCGTCGAGCACGCCCTCGGCGCCGAGTCGAGCCGGCCTCGAGCCCGTCATGGTGCCCGTCATCGTGCCCGTCTCGAACTCGTCGCTCGTCGTGAGGCCCGAGATGCTGCCGCGCACGCGGTCGCGGTCGGCCTGCGACGTCGCGCAGCCGATGAAGTGGGCCAGGCGCGAGTTGGGCGAGACGAGGTGGCGGACGCTGTTGACGAGGAGGAAGCTGAGGGCGACGTCGACGCCGACGAGGTACATCCAGATCGTCAGGGTGAACGAGACCTCCATCCTGCAGACGACGATCCGAGAGAGTGTCAGTGTGACTGGGTCGAGAAGGTCCGTCGCGAAGTGATAGGGACGCACCTCCTCCACTTGGAGTAGACCGAGATCGGGTTGATGGCGAGCCAGAGGGCGAGCGAAAGGAAGACGGTCGAGATGATGACGATGGCCGAGAGGAACTGCGAGGCGTGAGAGCGAGAGGAGAGGCAAGTCAGGGTCAGGGCGCACGAGAAGGAGGAGGGAGAGAGGAGGGACGCACAACGAGGAGGTCGAGCTCGATCTTCTTGAGCGCGAGCAGCTGCTTGGCCTGCTGCCTCTGCGACGCTCCTGCCGGCGTCTTGTCGTTCGCAGCGTCCTTGAGCTGCGCGACCGACATCTGCTTGCCCTCCTTCTCGCCGTCGTCGGCCGCACGGTCCCCCGACCGCGCAAAGACGACCTGGCGGACGACCGACTTCTGCGCCGGTGCTGGCTCGCCCGTCGACGTCGGCTGCGAGGTCGTGGGCGAGTCGGGCGGCGTGCCGGACGTGCTCGACGTGTCCCTTGCGCTCGACGGGCCGTGCATGCCCGACAGGACCGGGATGCCGTGCACGCTCGAGCTCTGGCGGATCTGGCTCGTGAGACGGCCCGTATTGAAGCTGCAGAGGGAGAAGAGTCAGAGAGGTGCAGAGAGAGGGAGGATGGGCGGACAGACGCACCGAATCTGGCCTCGAAGCGTGAAGAGGAGCCCGAGCCCTCCCAGGTTGACGGCGATGATGATGACCATGACGGCGGCGTAGACGGCGTGATTTGCTTGGATAAGGCTGTGTGGACGAGGTCCGTCAGGCCGTGATCGGGAAGGAAAGGAGAGGAGGAAGCGTGGACACACTCGATGCAGAAGCCGAGCTTGTCGTTGAACGGGTCGAGGAGCGGCATGACGACGGCCTCGACCTCGCTCGGCGTGTCGTTCGGGTTGGACACCATGCGCGCGAGGACGAGAGCGCGCAGCTTGAGGCCAAAGTTCCAGGCTCGGTGCCACGCCAAGCCCGAGTAGACGTCGAGAACCTGCGTCGGGCGAGCGGGTCAGTTCGCCGGCCGGGTTGCGTCGTCGAGAGTCGAGAGACGCACAATGACAGGGACGAGGATGATGACCAGGCCGGCGCTGTAGAGCGTGTTCGCGACGAGCGGACAGACCAGATGCCGTTTTGTCGCTTTTTGCGTCGACAGGACGGACGCCTGCAGGTTGCTCCACGACGAGATCCAGGCGTGCAGGATGAGGGGGACCCTGCGTCAGGAGAGGAACGTGAGCTCGACCTCGGGCGAGAGTGAGGTCGAGAGAGACGACGGACCAGATGAGGTTGCGCCACAAGAACGACTCGTCCTGGGCCCGGCCGACGAGGACGACCTGGTGCAGGTTGTAGAAGTAGCCGATGGCGACGGCGCAGCTGATGAAGGTGAGTATGGCGAACAGGGCGTGTTGGCTGCGAGGCGAGGGACGAGCGTCAGGTCGAGGGGCCGAGGGGTACGAGCGCGACGAGAGGGAACCGCTGACGCACTTGCCGACGATGTAGCGCCCGTTGGGCCGCATGACGAGGCGCCAGAGCCAGAACCGCTTCTCGCGCCGGCGGTACTCGATGTTCATCGTGCACAGGTAGACGACCGAGATGACGATGCCACTGCGAGACGGCGAACGAGGAGCAAGGTCAGGTGCATCGCTCGACCGGCTCGAGGAGGAGGAGGGGGAGCCGACGCACTATCCGGCGAGTGCCCACAGGACGTAGAGGCGCGTGGCGAAGCCCGGTGTCGGCGTCGGGCTGAGCGCGGCGTGGAAGGTGGCGTAGATGCGGGCGTAGGGGTTGCCCTGAGTGAGGTCCGGCAGCGAGAGGATGCCCATGGTGCGTCGAGCGCAGGGTCGCCGGACGGGCGCTCAGACGATGAGGTCGCGGCCGGCGAGGCGAGGGGCGGAAGGCGAGTCGGCGCGGCGGTCGAGCACGGCTCGGCAGGTGGACGACGAGCGGGTCGGGACGGTGCGCCGTCGAGAGGCAGGGCGAAGGAGGGCCTGCAGACCCAGGTCGCGAGTGCGTTGACCGAGCAGAACAAGGGCTCGCTGGCCGGCCGCCGTCGCCGCTCGACTCGTCGACCAACCCGTTCCGAGAAGGTGGGCCGGCGGTGGAGAGCGCTTCAACTTGCCAAGTCGGGGCAAATCAACCGCACGCTGCGCACGGCCTGGCCTCCGTCGTCGAGGCTCAAGCTCTGCGCGTGCTGGGAGCGCGAAGCCTCGCGGCGAGCGGAGCGGGAGCACCTTGTTCGCTGCGGGCGGCCGGCGTGGCTCGACGCCGTCCGTCGAACGGGCGACGTGGCCGCGTGCGAGCGAGGTCGATCGCCGTCTCAGATGAGAGCCCTCACGCGCGCCGACAGCGTAGCGCAGCGCGGTGGTGGAGCGAGTGCTGTGAGAGGAAGCGAGACGAGCGAGGGGAGGCGCGAGCTGGACGAACGTCCGCGGCTGTTCCGGCAGACTGCAGCTCCCCGCCGAGGCTCGTCCGAGAAGATGAGACGCTCCTCCTCCTCGCTCCTCTCATCGACCCGCACCAGCATGCTGCCGCCGCTGCCCAACCCGTACGCCACGCCAGTCGACTATGCCGACCTCGCGCAAGTGGTCCCGGCCCTCGCCCCATTGTGCGTCGAGCTCCTCCTCCCCACTTGCCTCCGAGCCGCTGACACCCACCCTCGCCCGGCCACAGCTTGCGTCCTGCTCGCGACGGCCGACAGACGATCGACTTTCGCGACGACGCTGCTGTGAGGTGCGCACCCGGCCTCTCTCTCCACACGAGCCCGAGCAAGTAGCTCACCTCCTCGTCCCCCTCGCGACAGAGCCCTCAACGCCGCGCTCCTCAAGCGGGACTTTGATCTTGCGCTCGACCTCCCCGAGGATCGTCTATGTCCTGCGGTCCGTCCCCTGTCCGTTCCCTCTCGCACATCGAGCCGCAGACTCACTCGCCCGAGCCGGCTGCAGGTCCCGAGCAGGTGAGCCGTGCGCCTGCATCGCTCCCAGCGCACGCGTAGAGTACTGACTATGCGCACTCGCAGGCTCGAATACGTGCTCTTCGTCCTCCATCTCGCCCTCGCCACGCTCAACGACATGAAGCCGTCGTCGAGCGCTCGTGCCCTTGTCGGCCTCGACGTGTGCGTCCCCGTCCCGCCTCTCCTGCCGCATGTGGCTCGCAGGACTGACTCAAAGCTCTCCCATAGCGGCACCGGCGCCTCGGCCATCTATCCCCTGCTCGCGATGCGCACCATCGAGCCAGCCGCTGCACCTCGTTCGCCCGACACCCTCGGCCCTGCCACCTCGCTCAGCATGCACGCCACCGACATCGACTCGCACTCGCTCGACTCTGCGAGGAACAACATCCGAGCGAACGACATGCTCGACGGCGTCTCGCTGTACCAGGTGGAGCCCGATGGCCCGCTTTTTCCGCCCAGCGTGGTCGACTCGGCCGGCGTGTAAGTCTAGCTCTCTTTCTTCTCGCGCCTGCACCTGTCGATACAGTCTCTGACCCTCTTGCGGCCTCGCAGTATCGACTTTACGATGTGCAACCCGCCGTTCTACTCGTCGCAGAGCGAGATCGACTCGTCGCTCGCGGCAAAGGAGATCGAGCCGTTCGCTGTGCGCCCCTCTCCCTCCGGTCCTCGTCGACGACCGGTCCTGACGCGTGTCTCGTTGCAGAAATGTACAGGCGCCGAGAACGAGATGATCACGCCCGGCGGCGAGGTCGCGTTCGTCTCGAGGATGGTCGAGGAGAGCCTCACGCTCGGCCGGAGCAAGATTCGGTCCGTCCCTCTCGTCGTTCTGGTTGAGCGCGCAAGTCGACCGGAACCTGACGCGCTCGTTCCCGCAGGTGGTTCACGTCGCTCCTCGGCAAGCACTCGAGCCTCTCGCCGCTTGTCGACCTGCTCAAGGCGAAACAGGTGCGTCGCTCGCCGCCGCCCCCTCCTCGCCGTCCGACGACTCACTGCGGCTCTTGCCCTGCAGATCTTCAACTACCACGTCCACGCTCTGCCGCCGCACGGGCACACCGTGCGGTGGGTCCTCGCCTGGTCCTTACGAGACCGCCGCTTTCCCTTCGTGAGCCTCTCTCTCAAGTGCGGACGCAAACGCGGACGGACCATCCTGACATAGTCTCTCGTTGCAGGAGCTCCTCTCGCAAACCGCAGCCTCGACCGCCCCTCCTTCCTCGCCGCCCTCGTCTTCCTCCTCGACGCCGCGCTTCGTCATCGCCCGCCTCGCCTCGCCCGCCATCTCCTCGATCACCTACTTCACGCCCGGCCTCGGACCCGACCCAGCCGAGCGCCTGCAACGAGTCGGCGATGCGCTCGAGGGCGTCCTGCGCGAGCTCGACGGCGGCGCGGTCGTGGCGCCGGCGGGCGAGGCGGTGGACGGGCGGGACGGAGGGCGCGCGCCGAAGCGCAGGCGCATCGAGGGGCGCGAGGAGGAGCGCTCGAGGGGGAATGGCGAGGCGGCGGCGGCGAGCGCGCTCGAGTGGAGGTGGGAGCCGCCGGCGAGTGCGCCGAGCTCGCCTCGAGTCGGCGACGGCGAGGAAGGCCGATCCGGGCACGCCGAGCTCGTCGTGCGGGCCTGGCGCAACGTGTGGTCGCGCAAAGCCCGACGCGCCGCCGCCACCGCCGCCGCCGTCGCCGCAGCGCCGAGCTCGCCGCAGCGCCCGCTCCTCGAGCTGCGCCTCCTCGTCGACCTCGAGCCGGCGCCCTCGGCCCAGGTCAGGCTCACGGCGCACTGGGTGCGCGGGCTCGATGTCGACCGGGCGGCGTTCACGGGCTTGGTCGGGTTCGTGACGCGCAAAGTCGGCGAGAGGTTGAAGGGCGAGGAGGAGGCGGATGGCGGGACGGGGCAGGGTGGAGAGGTTGGTCGGACCGATGAGGAGGGCGTGCGATAGTTGTCGCGGTGGAACAATGACGTGTCGGCTCGAGTTCACCCAAGGCGAGGGAACGTCGAGAGGCGAGAGGCGAGCGACTCGAGCGAGCGCTCGACGACGGCTCCAGACCGAGAGAGGCCCTCGCCGCTCGAGACGATGCGGCTCAGCCCGACGGCGTCGTCGTCGTCATCTCGCCCGAGTAGACGACCCGGATCTTGGACATGGCTCGCGGGCCGGTCGTCGCGCGCGGGCAGGGCGTCGTCTCGACCGAGACCTGGCACGTGTTTTGCGGAAGCGCGGAGAGGATGACGCTCAGGTTGCGCCACACGAACAGGGCGATGTTCTCGAGGGTCGAGGGGCGCGACAGGAAGAAGGGGACGTCGGTGTCGAGGTTGCGGTTGTGGAGGACCTCGTGGACCGCCATTGCCATGACGTCCTCGAGAGGCCCCGTGCCGGGCATCTGACCGCTGCGTAGTAAAAGCCTGAGTAAGCGTCCAGACGAGAAGGCTACTGCGCGTGCGAGAGAGAGAGAACGAGGGGACGCACGTTGCCCTCAGGACCGGCCCGCGGAACGTGACCTCAAAGCTGAGCGTGTGCCCGTGCAGGGACATGGCCATGCGCCCATAGCGCTGCAGGTTCTTCTCCTCGGTGAGCAGGCCGGACGAGAGGCGATGCACGACGTTGACTGCAGGCGGGGGAACAGGGAGGAGAGGGAGGAGGGAAGAGGTCAGTTCTGCGCTCGCCAGGGCGGCTCAAGGCTGCTCCAGACATTAGAGTGGAAGCGGGACGCACTGCTGGCGCACTGAACGATCGTCACGAGCGGTGCCTGTTCCTCGACAGGTGCAGTGTCGGGCGGAGGTTGGTCGAAGGCCGCGGGCGCAAACTGGTAGTCAAGCATGGACGAGGTCGACCAGTCGGTGCTGTCCTGCATCTCGAGAGCGCTGGGTCGAGCAAGATCGCTGTCGTGAGCGTGTGCGAGGAGGACGAGCCGCCAGAGTGCCGGAGACGAGATGAGGCGGCAGCTGCATCTGTGCGACTCTCGAGCTTGACGAGGCTCCCGAGGACGCTCGACCGGGGACAGGATAAATACTGGGTCCATTGCACAACACTTTGTCCGACTCGCTCCAGTCGACGGGCCGCCGCCTCCTCGACCCCGCTCGGGCTCACTCTCTCACACCCTCGACTCGGCGAACGAGCTCACGACGCTCGCGACGCCCATGCCGACAGCGACGACGCCCCACAGGCCCGTCACGGCCCCGTCGAACGAGTACCGCCCGCCGGCGAGCCCGAGGCTGCCCGGCCCGCCCGCCGCAATCTCCTTGAGCGCCGTCTTGAGCGACTCGACGACGCTCGTCGGCGACGCGATCGGGGGCGCGAGGACGTAGCCTCGCAGGAGGGCGAGCGCGAGGCGCGACAGGCTGAAGATGAGCGGGTTGGGCGGCGCGAGGTGGGCGAGCGGGTGGCCGCTCGCTCGGCCGTGGCGCCGGATGCGGCGGTCGGCGTGCGTCGGGAACGAAAAGATGGTCGCGAGGGCGAGGGGGAGGAGGTAGGTGCCGACGACCCACAGGAGGAGGGCGGCAAAGAACGTCCTGTGGAACAGGACCGAGAGGACGGGGAGGTGGAGGGTAAAGCTCGGCGTCGACGAGCGGTGGAGCCACTCGTGCGGGCCGTAATGCTGCATTACAGTTAAGAGTCAGTAAACTTGGGGTAGAAAGAGAGGAGAGAGGAGAGGAACTGCGCGGCGCACCTTGTCGACCCAGGGCACGGCCTCGTACACGATGAAGGCGAGCTCTGCGGCGAGGATGCCGCCGACGACGACCCAGGGCTGGCTCGCCTTGACCTGCGCCTCCTCGACGAGGCCGACCGTCTCGTGCGCGGCGTGCCTCAGGCTCGTCGAGCCGCGGCGAGCGACGAGCGCGAGCGACTTGCTCGCGCGACGGCGGAGCGAGTTGGACACGGGCACGAGGGCGAGGTCATCGACGACGCCGTCGACGCCGCGGTGCATGAGCGAGTCGACGATGTGCTTGGGGCCCTGGAGGATGGCGTCGTGCAGGGTCGTGAGGACCTCGGTGCTGCCGTCGACGGTTGCGGCTGCGGCCTCGGGCGAGGCGGTGTTCTCGTGGTACAGCTGGTCGAGGCTCTTGCGCGGGCTGTCGTAGCTCGGGTGCAGGTCACCGCCGAGCGTCACGAGATCGTGGCCGTCGTGCGTCTTCTCGGCCGTGCGGAGGAGGGACGACGGCTTCTTCGACTCGGGCATGTGGGCCCAGATGCCCTCGAAGCGGGGGTCCTCGCGGACGGACCGGTTGGCCTTGAGCTCGGCGCGGATGGCCTCCTGCAAGTCGTACTTGGTGACGGCCCGGCCGGCAGGGAGGCCGCCGCGCAGGTCGAGGTCGTCGACGATGGCGAAGAGCTCGTCCTGGAGGGAGGGGAGGCGCGGCAGGTCAGCTCTGAAGACACTCAGAAGGCACTGGACAGGTGGGACGGACCTTGCGCTTGTCGAGGAGGCGTCCTGGACGAGGGAACAAACACGGCGACGTCAGGAGAGATGAGACGAGGGACAAGGGAGCGGCCACGCGGCGGGGGCGCACCGGTATAGGTCGACATGCTTGCTGTGGTACTGGTGGTGGTGCTGGCGTGCTCAGCTCGTCGGTAGAGCGAGGTGCGCGATGTAGCAGAGTCGACGCAGGTCGGCTCTCGGATTCGCTCGAGATGAGAACCTCGTCCCAGTTCTCCCGCTCGCTCTCTCGCTCCAGCACTCGCACAGGCTCGTGCCCCGGCTGCACAGCTCTCGTTGCCCAGCTCGACACTCACTGCATGCGCAGTCGCAGCCCCGATGCTGGCGACCCCTCCCCACCCTAGCCCGTCGATCCTTGCTCTTCTCGTCCACCGGCCGTCTTCCTGCGCCCAGCGCAAACAGCACGGCAGCTCGTGGGCGATGACGCTGCGGCAGCGGCGGCTCGCACGGCATTCCCGTTCGGACCGCGGCCGCCCACGCCCAGTCGAGATGCGGCTCGGCCTTGACCTTCCGCTTCGTCACCGCTAAGCTTGTTCGAGACAGGGCCACCTTAGCCTGATCTCGGGCGGGCATCTGCTGCATCGATGAGCTTCTTTCGCCCGGCCTCCCCGCGGCGCGTCCTCCGCTCTCTCTCCGCCTCCTCCTCCCTTTCCTCCTCATCCTCCCCTCACCGCGCCCCACCTTGCGCACCTCGCCCGCCATGAAGGTCCAGCTCCTGAGCGCCCTCGTTGGCGCTACCTACGCCTCTGCGGCCGCCATCGCTGAGCGCCAAGTCCTTTCGTCGCTCGCGTCGACCGCCGCGTCCGGCGCCGCTTCGGCCACCCAGGCCGTCTCGTCGGCCACCTCGAGCGTCGCCGCCAGCGCCTCGTCGGCCGTCTCGTCCGTCTCGTCGACCGCATCGTCGGCAGCGTCGTCTGCGACCATGTCGGCCTCGTCGGCCAGCTCGTCGGCGGCGACCGCCGCCAGCTCGGCGGCCATGACCGCCAGCAGCAGCACCCCATCGTCGACGTCGACCTACCCGATGCCGCCTACTGCCGTCCCGACCGGCGTCGCGCCCACGGGCGACTACTCGGGGCCGCTGCGCCCGCAGGTCCACTTCTCGCCGCCGGTCGGCTGTGCGTCCCTCCCTCTCCTCCTCACGTCGCACAGACTTGACTGACGCCTCCTCTCCTGGCAGTCATGAATGACCCGAACGGCCTGTTCCAGGCGTCCAACGGGACCTACCACCTGTACTATCAATGTTCGTCCCCTCTTCTCGCGGGCTCGGACCCCTTCCCTCGTCCTGACGCCTCGCCGCCTCGCAGACAACCCGACCGCGCTCGTCGCCGGCAACCAGCACTGGGGCCACGCTACGTCCGACGACCTGTACACGTGGACCAACCAGCCGATCGCGCTGTTCCCGCCGAGCGGCGTCGAGGGCGCCGGCGTCTTCTCGGGCTCCGCCGTCATCGACACGAACAACACGTCGGGCTTCTTCGGCAACCTGACCGAGGGCGTCGACCCGATCGTCGCCATCTACACGCTCAACACGCCCGAGAAACAAACGCAGGACATCGCGTACTCGCTCGACGGCGGGTACACGTTTACGGAGTACGAGAACAACCCCGTCCTCGACATCAACTCCACCCAGTTCCGCGATCCGAAAACTATTTGGCACGAGGAGACGGGCAAGTGGGTTATGGCCGTCACGTACTCGCAGGAGTTCGCCATCGGCATCTACACGTCGCCCAACCTGATCGAGTGGGAGTTCGCGTCCAACTTCTCGCACGCCGGCCTCCTCGGCCTCCAGTACGAGTGCTCGAACCTCGTGAGTTGCGCCTGTTCCTTTCGAGACGCTCGGGGCGGCCCTGACTCTCCTCGTTGTGCAGGTTCCCGTCCCGGTCAAGGATTCGGACGAGCTCATCTGGGTCATGTACATCTCGATCAACCCGGGCGCCCCTCTCGGTGGTTCGGTGGGCCAGTACTTCCCGGGCACGTTCAACGGCACCCACTTCGAGGCGTTCGACGCCGCCGCGAGGATCGACGGCTTCGGCAAGGACAACTACGCCAGCCAGTTCTTCTACGGCACGCCGGCCAACGAGTCGATCTCTATCGGGTGGGCCTCCAACGTGCGTCCCGCTCTCTCTCTCACAGTCTGCCCCCGACAGGGCGACGATCTGACGATCCGCCCCTCTCGACCTTCCCAACTTGCCTCGTCGCTCCCCCGACCCTCCCACCTCGCCCTTTCCGCACGCTCGCCTTCGCCGATCGCAGTGGCAGTACACGAACCTGGTCCCGACCGCCGAGGAGGGCTGGCGCTCGTCGATGGCCACCCCTCGCCGCCACTACGTGACCAACGCGACCCGCATCGGCTACGTCCTCGCGAGCGAGCCGTACCAGATCGAGTCGGTCCGCAACTCGTCGCTCCTCCCCGACGGCGCCGAGTCGGCCAGCATCGTCAACACGACGGTCGAGATCGACCTCAAGAACAACACGTCGGGCGCCGTCTACTTTGCGCTCAACTTCACGATCCCGGACGGCGCCAACGTGCCCGAGACGGCCGCCGTCACCCTCACGATGCGCTCGTCGGCGTCGAACGAGACCTTGCTCGCCGGTCACTACTTGGGCGGCTCGAACGCCGGCACGACCTGGGTCGACCGCGGCAAGCTCACCGGGTTCGAGCACCCGCTCTTCAGCGACAAGGTCAGCCACACCATCGTCGGCAACGCCGAGTCGCTGTCGGGCATCTTCGACCGCTCGCTGTTCGAGGTCTTTGTCAACGGCGGCGAGTTCTCGGCCACGTCGACCGTGTTCCCGAGCGAGATGCTCGACACGCTCGAGGTCACGACGACCGACCTGCCCGAGGGCGCCGACGTTTCGGCGGCCGTCTGGGGCCTGCGGTCGACCTGGGCGCAGCAGTAGGCGCGCGAGCGCGTCTTCCCTCGCCCACCCTCTCCTCCTCCCTCTCCCTTCCTTCCTCTCCCCTTCCCTCTCCCCCCTCTCTTCTTCTTTCTTTCTTCGCCGAGTCTCGACATCGTAAAAGCTTGAGTAGACTTGTACAGACCGTCCTTTGAAAGGCGCCAAGCTTCACCGTCCTCTCCCGACCGCGAGAGCGAGAGCAACGAGAGAGAGGCTCGTGCGCTGCTTTCGCTCGGTGCGCCCCGAGCTGTGGCTGCTGCGAGACGCACTGCAAGCTGCGCCTTGCAGTCATGCGCTGCGAAAGAGTGCACAGCCTCTCGTCGCAGATCCAGGCGGAGGAGAGATGGCCGAGGTCGTTAACGAGCGCCTTGGCTCTCGGTCGTCCCACCGCACTCTTGCGCCTCTTGCAGTCGCCCTTGCTGCCTGTCGAGCACCGCCAGCACTCGCTTCCCCTCCCTGCGACCTGCACACGCCTGCACGGCCTCTCGCCAGCCGCCCACGTCCACCGCCCCGCCCGCTCCTCCCCCACCTCGCACCCTCTCCCGCCCAAGCCCGATGAAGCGCCTCTTCCACAAGAACAAGCGCAGCGAGACTGCCACGCCCACCGCCACCCCGCCTGGCGACGGCCAGTACGCCCCTGTCGCCAACTCGTCCACCAGCCCCCCACCTCATCTCGCGGCGGCGCAGTACCAGGGCCAGGGCCAGCAGCACGCTCAGCCGCAGAGCGGTCAGGGCTTCGTGCCTGTGCAGGGCAGCGGTGGCGGCGTCCCCCGTCCGCCCCGGGTCCAGGACGTCGGCAACGCGGTCGGCTGGAGCGTCGCCATGCCCGCGTTCGACTGGGCGTACCTGCTCGCCCTGAGCGACCACCTGTCGACGAGCTCGAGCGCGAGCAAGGACGCCACCAAGGCGCTCATCGCCGAGTTCAAGCACGCGACGCCGCATGCGCAGCAGCGCGCCGTCCACCTCACGAGCCTCCTGTGGACACAGGATTCGAACGACCGGTTCAAGGGTGCGTCTCGCCCTCTGCCTGTCTCTCCGCCGACAGCCCGACCTGACCTCTCTCTCCTGTGCGCGCAGAGCAAGTCGCCTCGAAGAAGTTCCTCGCGTCGCTCACCGACCTCGTCGGCGACCAGTCGACGCCGCCGCAGGTCAAGAGCATGGTCTACCGCGTCCTGTCGCCGCTCGCGTTCGACGCCCAGTCCAAGTCGTCCCTGCGGCCCATCACCGAGGCGTTCAACCGGCTCCTCGCCGACCCCAAGACGTCCCTGTCGTCGTTCCCGAACGAGCTCGACCCGACCACGGCCGCCTTCCAGCCCAACGGCGCCCCTCTCGCGCCCGACGACCCGCTCCTTCGCCCCGAGGCGCTCCTGTCGCAGCATGGCAGCAGCCGGCGCTCGCGACCGCGCATGGAGCGCTTCCCGACCGGCATCGAGCAGATGCGCGACCTCGGCCGCCGCGCCGTCGAGGGCAAGTCGTGGGCCGGCATGCTGTCCGAGGCGGTCGCGCTCGCCAAGGACGAGCCCAACGCGCGCAACAAGGGCCGCGGCAAGAAGTGGGAGGACATGGACACCGAGGAGAAGGAGGCGGCGCAGGCGATGGGAGAGGGTCCGGGCGGGAGCGAGGGCGGCGACGGGCACGAGGTCGAGGTGAGGGAGGGACTCGAGGCCAACGAGGTCGTCCAGGTGCGTCCCCTTTCCCTCTCTCGAGCGCCCAAGTGCGAGCACTGACTCGTTTGCGCGCCGGCAGGAGTTCCACACGCGCTGCCTCGAGGCGCAGGACTTTCTCTCGACCAACCTCGACTGGGCGTCCGTCCAGGCCGAGCAGTCTCGGCAAAAGGCCGATGCCGAGGCTGCTTCAGCACCCGCTCCGGTCGCGCAGCCTCCTGTCGACGCCGGCGAGGCGCAGCACCTCGCGAGCAACAACCCGTTCGCGGCGGTCGTCGCCGGTCACGAGGTGCCGGGCACCAAGGCCGGCGCAACCGAAGAGGAGGAGATCCTGAGCGAGATGCTCGGCGCCATGACCGAGGTGCGCCGCTCTCTTCCCCTCTCGAGTTCGTCGTCGTCGTCGCCGTACGGTCCTGACCCGCCTCGCGGTCCTCGCTCCGCAGATCTCGGACGCCCTGCACCTGTACGCGCTCCGCCTGTCGCACTCGCGCCAGACGCAGCAAGAAGACGCCGAGCTCGCGGCCGCCATCGACCGCTCGCGCTCGGACGACCACTTCAACCGCTTCACGCACGACGAGCCCGAGGTCGACCACGCTCACGGCGAGGGCGGCAGCCGGGCGCCGGCGCGGGACCCGTTCGGTGACGCAGACGGCTTCGGCGATGCGCAGCCGGCGCAGCACGACAAGGGCAAGGCGCGCGAGAGCCTCAACCCGTACTCGTCGTACCTCTCCTCGGCGGCGTCGCACCCTTCTCCCGCGCCCGCCGAGTACGAGCAGCCACAGTCGTCGTCGCCGCAGGCTCAGCCGCAGTCGCAGGCGCCGCCGACGAGCGCCGCCTCGCCGTACGACGGGCTCGAAGCGCTCGAGGGCCTCGGCGGGCTCTCGTTCTCGTCGCCGTCGTCGGGTGCCGCCGCCGAGCAGTACGACGACTTCCTGTCGCCGGCGAGGCCCAGCAGCGGCGGCTTCTCGTCGTCGAACCCGTACGCGTCATACTCGTCGCAGCCGGCGAGCAACGGCGGGTACGCCGTGCCCGACTCGGCGCCGGCCGCGCACCGTGATGGGCTTCGAGACCGGTCCGACAGCGCATTCCTGCGCGAGTACGTCCCCGAGCAGCCGTCGCAGAAGGCGCTCGGCAAGATCAGGCGCGTCAGCCAGGGTGCAGGTGCGCTCACTCTCTCTTTCTCCTTCTGGCCTCTGTCCCTCCTCCTCTCCTTCCTTGGCTCCCCCCTCTCTCCCTCTCCTATCCCTCTGCCGCCCTCTTCCGCTCTCTCTCTCTCTCTCTCGTCGCAACACTCGCAGCGAGCCGCAAACTGACCCGGACCTCCTCTCGCACGCAGCGGACGACCAGAGCCCCGAGGAGCGGCAGCTTCAGCTCGAGGCCGCGTTGAGGGACAAGTACGAGCGTAACTACCGCGAGGAGCAGGAGCGGCGCGAGCGGGGTCACGAGTGACGCGGCGACGAGGAGGTCTGGAGGAAGCGGATCGGGCGCAAGCGGACGTTGTTGTAGCGGCTCTCTCGTTCGCGCACTGCCTCTTCTGTATCACTCGCATCGGTTTGCGCTGCGAAGCTCTACGAGAGAGGCTTGTCTTGCGCTGTCGCGCAGTCGCGCCGCGACTGCGCGCGAGCTCGCTGAGGAAGACAAGCGCGCGCACGCGTCGTACGCTCTTGCGGGCACGGGACGGGCAGCGCAAACGTTTCTATAGCACGCTGCACACTAGTAGACGGCCTCTGCTGGTGAGGCGAGGTGCGAGGCGGCCGACGAGGTCGAGGCGGAGAGCTGTCGATGCTCTCGCTCACCACCACACGCTTTCACGGTCAGTCCTGCCCGCCAGAGTCCACACAAGGACGACCAGGACCGCATACTGCACCGTCGCGCACGTCCTGACCCTGCCCACGCCCTCCCTCTGTCCCTCGCCGTCCTCATCTCGCTCGTCTCGACGCGTCCAGATGGCCGACGAGTACGACGACCTGTACGGCGACCTGTACCCGGGCGAGGCCGAGTTTGGCGCCCAATCGACCACCAGCACCACGGCGGCAGCCTCAGCACCGGCACCCGCCGCGCCGACCTCCGCGCCGTCGACCTCGCTCCCTTCGGCCCCGACTTCCCTCCCCGCAGCCCCTGCAGCCCAGCTGTCGACGTCCGCCATCCCGAGCTACTCCGACACGCCCGCACAGCACACTCAGCAGCAGCAGCAGCAGCAGCAGGGCGCCAGCAACGCGGCCGCGCCCAACCCGCCGCCGCTCCACTTTGCGCCAAACTACGCCGCGCAGCGCACCGCCGAGGGCAGGACGGCGGGAGTGAGGCCGAGCGATATGCCAGAGGAGGGGTGAGGCGCACATTCCCACTCTCCTAGATCCCCTTCCCTTCCCTCCCCCGTCGACCAGCGCAGCGCGCTCGACGTCCGAGACGCGGCCGCACCCGAGCCCTGTCGAGTCGATACCTGCCTAGCGCCGACAGATCACTGCGCTTAGCGCCCCATCGTACCCTGTCGACCACCCCGAGCTCCTCTCGACGGCGGCGACCCGCCTCACCTCGCCAGCACGCCCTCGTTCCCTACGCCTCTCTGTCGAGCTGTGCCTACACCCTCGTCTCTCGGTCCTCCTTGGCAGACGTACAAGTACTCGTTCTCCGTGTAGAACGGCCGCACTAATGCAAGAACCTCCTTTCGCACCCTCTCCCCCTTCCCTCGTCCTCGTCGCATCTTCTCGATCCGCTCGGTCCTGTCCTCGTCGCGTACGACTCGACGCGTTCGCGCCAGCAGCAAGATGTTCATCGGCGGCCTCAACTGGGACACGACCGACGGTGCGTCCGCCTGCTATCGCCCCTCTCGCAACCCGTCCCTGACCTCGAACCGTCCCCCTCTCCTCCTCGTCGCACCTCGCAGACACGCTCAAGGCCTACTTCGAGCAGTACGGCCGCATAACAAACTGCATGATCATGCGCGACATGGAAACCGGTCGTTCGCGCGGCTTTGGCTTTCTCACGTTCGAGGACGTCAGCTCGGTCAACGCCGTCATGGCGCGCGAGCACCACCTCGACGGCAAGACGGTGCGTCCCCTCTCCTCCTCGTCCATGGTGTCGATGACTGACGAGCCGCACCCCTTGCAGATCGACCCGAAGCGCGCCATCCCTCGCTCCGACACGGCCAAGACGGACAAGCTCTTTGTGCGCGCCCTCCCGCCGTCGTGCACCCAGGAGTCGTTCCGCGCCTACTGGCGCCAGTACGGCACGATCACCGACGCGACGCTCATGATGGACAAGGACACGGGCCGGCACCGCGGCTTCGGGTTCGTCAACTACGAGCGCCGCGAGGACGTCGACAAGGTGCTCCAGGCCGGCCCGCACTACATGGACGGCCAGATGGTGCGTCGCGCTCTCTCTCTCTTTCTCTCTCTCTTTCTTTCCTCGGTCTCGTCGGCGAGCGACTGAGCGACGAGCACTGACTGTCGCCGTCGCCGACCCTCTTCCCGCCCGCAGCTCGAGGTCAAGCGCGCCCAGGCCAAGGGCGAGCCTCGCCGCAACGACTACGGCATCAACACGAACCAGCACTACACGCCTCAGCCCAACATGGGCGGCGCGTCGGCCATGGGCGGCGGCGTCGGCGGCGGCGCTGGACCGATGTCGATGGGCGGCGGCATGGGCGCGCCGGGCATGGGCGGTATGGGCGGCGGGATGGGCGGCATGGGCGGCATGGGCGGCATGGGCGCGATGGGCGGCATGGGCGGGCCGATGGGCGGCATGGGCGGCGCTGGCGCGAGCCCGTTCGACCCGGCCGCCATGGCCAAGTTCTTCTCGTCGATGGGCTGGGTGCGTCCCCTTCCTCCCTGCCTCCTCTTGCCTTTCTCTCCTAGAGGACTCTCGACCTGACTCTCCGTTGCCACTCCTTCCCCTCCTCGCTCGTCCGTCACGCTCGTCGTCATCGTCGTCTTCCTCTCTCGCAGGGAGCGTGGAACCCGCAGATGATGATGGGCGGCATGGGCGGCATGGGCGGCGGCATGATGGGTGGACAGGGCGCCTTCAACCCGATGATGGGCATGGGCGGCATGGGCACGGGCGGCGGGCAGTTTGGCGCCTCGCCGATGGGTCTGATGGGCAGCCCGGGCCCGGACGGTGCGGGCGGCGACGGCGGCGACGGCGCACCGCCGCAAGGCGGCAGCGGGTTCGCCGCACCGATGGCGGCGCCGATGAGCATGCGCGGCGGCCGGGGCGGCGGGATGGGCGGCCCGGGAGGTCGAGGAGGTGGAATGGGCGGACGTGGTGGCGGCAGGGCCGGGTTCAACCCGCCGGTGCGTCCTCTTCTCCTTTTCCTCGTCTCCCGTGATTGCCTCTCCGACGGTCGAGCGACTGACGAGCGGTCCTCCTCATCCCGCAGACTGGCCCTGCATCGATGCGCGACGACGGCGGCGCGGGCCCGCAGCGCAACCGCGGCAACGGCGCCGGCTTCCACGTGCGTCCTCTTTTCGTCCACTCTTCGCAGCCGTCGACCTGACTCTCCCTTTCGGCCACAGCCTTACTCGCGGTAGTTCCTCGAGGAGCCCTGAACGTTCCTCGCGACGTTTCCTCATCCTCTCATGCTTGTACTGTCGCCGAGCCTTTGCTCTTGCATTGAGCATACTGTGTGTCACTCGACGAGGTTCTGCAAAGCCGAGAGATGCGCGGGTCCAGCCTGACGAGCTCGATCTCGAGCGCTCTGCTCCCTCTCGAAGCGGTCGGACCTCTTCCTCGTCGACTCGCGCCAGCGACTTTCTGCCTCTGCCCCAGCACTCTCTGTCGCACGTCCAGCTTTCTCGCGCTCGAGAGCGACTATCATTGCGCGCTTCGGCAACGAGCCGGCTGGACAAAGAGAGAGAGAAGGAGAGCCGGTCCTCTCGACTGAGCTCGACGACGCAGACAGACTCGCCGCAAACGCCGATAAAACTGCATGACAGACTCGCTCGTACAACTACGTCGTCGCCCCGCCGGCCCTCCTGCTGCGCGGACCCGCTCGCCATCACTTGCTGTCGACCGGTCCGAGCGCCATCTCCTCGTCGCCGTCGACCTGCTCGATCGAGTGCTGGTACCTCGCCGACTTGGTACGCCCGAGGACCTCGACGGGCTCGCCGTCGCGCACAGGGACGACGTCGTCCTCGCCGAGGGGGATGACGGCTTGGAGCGGGACGGCGATGATGAGGGTGATGACTGCGGACGAGGAAGGAGAGGACGCAGGTCAGTACTTGCTTCGTCCGTCGACGCAGGACAGCTGCTTGTGTACGACGACGACCACGGAGCGGATCGCCATCAGGCACGTCGAGGGATCGAGGGCGAGGGAGGAGAGGGTCGTGGTCGACTTGAGAAGGTCGCCAAGGGGGAACAAAGTCGCGCCGGATAGGGAGAGGGAGGTCGACTCGTGCGAGCAAGGGCTGGACGAGTCGAAGAAGGACGAGTCGAGGAAAGACGAGTCGAGGAAAGACGAGTCGAGGAAATGGAAGGGGAGAGCGGCGACGAGAGAAAAGGGAAGAGGAGGAAAACGAGGACGCACGATAGCTCTCCTCGACAATCAAGGTCAAGGCGTCGAGGAACCCTCGCAGCGCCGTGTTGGGCCCCGAGTACGTGAAGAAGTTGCTGAACCAGCTCGGCGAGCAGATGGCGGCGAACCCGAGCGAGAGGGACGCCGTCGCGATGAACCGGTTGCGGCGCGACCAGTGGACGCCCGACAGGATCTTGAGGCCGGCGACGCACACGCTCGAGAAGAGGAACGTCGTCATGCCGCCGATGACGCTCGCCGGCGCGACGACAAAGAGGGCGCCAATCTTGGAGAAGATGCCGGCGAGGAGGAGGATAACGCCACAGACGTAGCCGGCCACGCGTGACGCGTTGTTGCTCAGGGCGATGACCGAGACGTTCTGGCTGAACGTGGTCGACGGCGGGACGGTGGCGAGGCCGGCGAGGCACGCCCACAGGGCGTCGCTGAGGAGGCCGCCCTGGACGTGCGACGAGTACCGCGGGCCCTCGATCGGCAGCCTCGAGATCTCGCACGTCGCAGTAATGTTTCCGACCCCCTCAGAGATGACAATCAACATCGCGGCCAAGTAAGGGAGGACGAGCTCTCCTCGGATCGAGAGAGGGAAGCGGGTGACCCAGAGGAAGGTGGCGGCGGGCGCGTTGTCGATGGTCCTGCTCGCGCACACGAGGTCAGGCGTGTACACGCAAAGACGAGTGAGAGGCGGACGTACGACTGCTCGAAGTAGCCACAGGCGGCGCTGACGATAAAGCCGACGATGAGTCCGAGCATGACGCTCGCGTTCTTGACGAGCGGCGGACCGAGGAGGTCGAACGTGATGATGCTGATCCAGACGAGGAACCCGAGACCGATGAGGCGAGGCGAGCCCCAGGGAGCCGCCATCGGCGCGTTGTCGGACCTGCGAGAGGGGAGTTGACTAGGTCAGGGCGACAGTTCGACGAGGCTCGAGCGGGGTCGAGAGGGACGCACGGGCACAGCCCGCCACTCTGGCACCCACTGCCGCCTGCCCAGTTGGTGATACCGCTGCCCATGAGAGAGAGGCCGATCGTGAGGAGGATGGAACCGGTGACGAGAGGCGTGAAGATGCGGCGCAGGAACCGAGGCGGCGTAAAGGCGAACAGGATGGCGACGAGGGCGACGACCGAGGCAGTGCCGAGCATGGCGCCGAACGCCTCGGGGCAAGGGAGCTTGGACCCGTCCTCGGCGAGCTTGCAGTTGCCGCGAGTAAACTCGTTGTTCAGGAACGTGAGACCGGTGTTGACAAAGGCAAACGAAGTCCCGATGACGTTCTGCGGGAGCGTTCAGTCAAGTACAGGCGGGAGAAGGGGAGAGGCGGCGAAAGGAGGACGAGAGGACTCACGAGAACGCCCGAGCCGATGTAGTACCCCTTGCCGATCGGGATGCGCGACACCTGGAGCAGCGTGCCGAGCCCACACCCTGCAGGAAGGACGTCGTCAGTAAGCGAACGAGGGAAGAAGGCGGCTCGACGACGCACAGATGAGGCAAGCCGAGACGAGATAGATCTGGTCGCCGGATGTCAAGCCCGCGCCGGCTGCGCCGCCGAGCAGGATTGGCGGCACGACGAGACCTCCCATCTGTCACAGAGAGGAGAGTCAGTTAAAGGCGACACAGAGACGCAGAGAGAGGTGGGCGCACCATGGCGAGAGCGTGCTGAAGGCCGAGGATGAGGGCGAGTAGGACGGGCACCGGCTGGTTCGGCGCGAAGAACGGGATGTGCTTGTTCTTGACCGAGAGGAGGGCTGCATAGTCCTCGAGACGATGGGACCCGAGGGAGGTGAATAGTCGATAAGCTGCTCCTTGAGAGGGTGGAGAAAGAGAGGGACGGAGGAGGGGCTCACATAGTTTCCGATCCAGAAGCTGCGACTCTTGAGCATGGCGACGGTCGGTCGCTTCCACAGGGTGTCGCCGTGGCCGTGCGTGACCTGGTCGTCGGGCGAAGGTGGGCGAGCGTCGACGTGGCTGCTCATGGCGGAACGAGGGGGATGGGCGCGGGGAAGAAGGACGTATCCGCGAGCTAGGGAGCGGGAGGAAGGAGAGGGACGTCGCGCAGATACGGCGACAAAGAGGGAGCGGAGCAGAGATAGCTGTGCGACGGCTGAAGCGGGCCGGAGAGTGCGGATCTCGGGCGCGAGGACCAAGTTGAGGTCGTCGGCCGGGCCCCGGCCGAGTTGCGGAGACGACGGTGCAGGGGCCGCAACGCCAGACCCAGCGTACAGCTCTGCACCAACACTCGAGCTGCTCGACCGCTCCTCCATCGCAAGCACGAGCCAACCCGCCGCCCTCCCCAAGCCGCACGATGCTCGTCTCGACCTCGGCCTTGTGGTCCATCGCCCTCGCCCTCGCCGGCTCTGCCGCCCTCGTGCAGGCTACGCACTACCCTGGTGCGTGCCATCTCCCTCGATCATGCGAGAGCAAGGGTTCGCCGAGTGCAGGTGGGCCGTCGTCGGGTCGAGAAGTCGTTGGCGGAGATGGAGCGAGGGAGGTAGGCGAGGAGGCTGCGGCGCACGCAGGCGGCAGTGCGGGTTGTGACTGCGCCAAGCGGGTGCAGTGCAGCACAGGCGGAATCACGCAGCACGGGCGCAGTAGCCGTGGCGGACGAGAGAAAGCCAGCTCCGGCTCGTCGCCTGGTCCATGTTCGCTGACACTTCTCTCGTCCATCGCCACAGGCCTCGGCTTGCACAACGACGACCAGAGCGGCCTCAGCCTCAATGGCGTGCCCGCCACAACCCGCTCAAAGTGGATGAGGGCGGCACTCCAGTCCGTCTCGTCCTCCTCCTCATCGCCCTCGTCTCTTTCGCCTCGAGTCGCCCTCAGCTCACCCTCCTTTGTACCTCTCGCAGCGCCGTTCCCGAGATCCTCGGCGAGCCCTGCAGCCTCTTTCCCTTCGGCGTCGCCATCGTGCGTCCTCTGTCGTCCTCCCACCACCTCGCTCTCCGACCCTCTTGTTCCTCTCGAGCACGCCGCCAACAGACCTATTGACAACCTCCATCGCCGCCCACAGGTCAACACGACGTCTGACGAGCTCGTGTGCGTCGCCGCCAACAAGGTCGGCGTGACTGGCAGTGCGTCCAAAGCTCTTCTGCGTCGACGCCGGCCACGACGACTTACTCCTGTCCCTTGCCTCGCAGACCCTTCCCTGCACGGCGAGATCAGCGGCTTGACGCGATGCACCGAGGTCCTCACGGAGAAGGGCCTCACGCCGCAGGAGATCCTCAAGGCGTGGCCGCAGTTCACCATGTGTGCGTCCCGCTCTTCCCTTCGCTCTCGAGCATCTCGAGCCGTCCCTGACCCTGCTCTCCTCCCTCTCGCAGACACGAGTACGTCTCTCCTTCTCGTCGCGAGGTCTGCGCGGCCCCGGCTCCTGCCCTCGCCAAGGCTGGGGAGAAGCATGCTCAGTTTCGTCCTCCTCCTGCAGCCGGCGAGCCCTGCCCGATGTGCGCTTCTGCGCTTCGCTGGGCCGGCATGGGCGAGGTTGTGTGGGCCACGTCGATCGAGACCATCATCAAGGGCGGGTGCGTCGAGTCTTCCTCTTTCTCTCGCGAAACCGGCCGCGAACGGACCCCTGACCTCGACATCGTCCCTCGTCGCCCAAACAGCCGCAACCAGATCTACCTCCCGTCGTCCCTCATTGTCCAGGCGTCGTACTCGCTCCCGCACACGACCCTGTGGTACGGCTCGATCCTCGCCAACGAGACCGACCCGTACTTCCAGCAGCTCAACGAGTCGGCGCCGTGCCTCGACGGCTGCACCCGCACGCTCCCCGCCGGCAGTCGCGTGTCGCAGTGCACGCCGACGCACGGGTGGAAGGACGCTTGGAGGAAGCGCGAGGGCAGGTGGGAGGAGGAGCTCATGCGCTCGAAAGGCGCCGTCGCCGACAAGTGGTACGGGCCCGGCGCGCACGGACACCCTCACTCGCACGACGAGCTGTAGATGGACCTGTGCGAGTGACCCGAGTAACACAGAATGTTCGACTTCCCCTCTCTCTGTCACTCGCGCGACCGAGAGAAGAGAGCACGAGCACGCGGCGAGCCAAGAGCTTGAACGACGGCTCGCAAGCGTCTCGCGCTCAGGCCTCGCTCGACGTGCAGAGAGAAGAACACTCTAAGGCACATGCACAGCGTTACAGCCTCCCTCGCTCCTCGCCCTCCCCCTCCTCAAGCTCCTCCCACCGCTCAGAACAGCAAGTCATCGAGGTCGGTCTTCCCTCCCGATGCGCCGCCGCCGTTCGTGTGCACGACCGGCACGGCCGGCGCGAGCGGCGCTGTTGGTGCCGGGGCCGATGCGGGTGCGGGCGAGTCGAACGAGAAGTGGGCGGCGCCGGGCGAGGGCCCTGCAGGTGCGCCGGCGGGAGGTGCGCCGAACAGGCCGAGGAGGTCTGCGAATGCGCCAGAGCAAGTCGTCAGTACGCTGCGGAGGCCAAGTCGAAGATCGAGAGAGAGAGAGAGAGAGAGAGAGAGAGAAAGGGGGAGAGGGCGCACCGTCGAGAGGGTTCGAGCTCGCGTTTGAGCCGGACGGCGGCGCGAACAGGTCGGCGGATGCGCCTCCTGCGAGTCCGGCGCCCTCGCCTGCGGGTTCGTCGTCGTCAAAGTCGAGGAGCTGCAGGGAAGACGAGGGAGAGTCAGTAAGGGCGCCCTTGGCCGTGCGAGAGGGCCGTGCGAGGAAAGTCGAGCGAAATAGGGACGCACATTCTCGGCCTTCTGCCCCTGTTGCACCGTCTTGACCGCCGCGTCCCGCCTCTCTGCGTCGCCCTTCTCCCTGCTCGCGTTGATCTGGTCGGCGCCGAGCTTGCCGCCGGCGACAAACGCCTGCACGGGCTTGTGGTACACGGCGCTCAGGGCGCCGAGCTCGCTGATGAGCTCCTCGAGGAGCGCCGGCGGGACCGACGTGGTCGGGAGCGAGATGGGCGGGCGCGTCGCGAGGATGACCGACTGTGTGAGGGCAAGAGTCAGTCGTTGGCATAGGAGAAAGAGGTCGCCGAGGCAGGCAGAGAGATAGAGAGCGAGGGCGCACCTTTGCGACCTCGACGTCGCTCGAGAGGAGGCGCCACTGGATGTAGGCCCGGTCGCGCAGGTCGGCCGAGTCGGCCGTCTTGGTCGCGAGGGCGAGGACGCGCTGAACAAGCTGCTGCGCCTCTTCCGGGCGGTGGAGGAAGAGCTTGACGACGGCCGTCAAGGTCTGGAGCTGCACCTGGACGGGCTCGTCGGCGTACGTGTCGAGGAACGAGCCGATGAGGTCGGACGCGTTGCTGATCTTGTCGGCGTACTCGCCGAGGATCCAGATGAGCGACGCCTTGGCCTCGGGCTCGTCGAGCTCGTCGAGCGAGGCGCACAGCGTCGGAATGATGCCCTCGTAGCGATGCGGGTACCGGCGGAAGATGTCCTGCGGGCGTTCGTCCTTGCGTGAGCGAGGGCGAGAGTGGGAAAGAGGTAGAGAATGGAGGGACGGCGTACCTTGATGACGACGATCGACTCCTGCACGACGTAGCTGACCCGGGTCGCGATGAGGTCGAGCAGGACGTTGACGCAGCGCTCGGCCGCCTCCTCGATCTTGACGGCGCACTGGCCGATGGCCCGGATCGACTTGCGCACAAAGTCGACGTCGACCTCGGACGCGTACCTGCACGAGGGGGCCGCCGTTCGTCAGACGGCGAGAGGAATAGAGAAAGGGAGCCGAGGACGCACTCCTTGAGCTCGCTGAGGAACGTGTCGACGTTCTTCTCGGTGACGAGCTTGATCATGATCTCGAGCTTCTCGACCTTGACGTAGGGCGGGTCGTTGTACTTGCAGAAGAAGACGCGCATCTCGTTCGAGAGGGCGCCAGGGCGACGCTGCAGGATCAGGTTGATGTTGCGCAGCGCGACCCACTGGACCTCGGGCGCCGACGAGACGAGCGTGACTGCGAGGGGCGAGAGGACGAGTCAGCTCGTCGCTGGGGGGGACACGGGACCGAGAGAGGGACTGGGTGCGCACCGAGCGGAGGTGCCATCTTGCGCAGGATCGTCTGGACCAACTCGTCGCGGCGGATGCCGTTCATGTGGATCATAATGACCTGCGCGCTCGTCCGCCCAAAGTCAGTTCGGGGTCCGCCCGACAGAGGAAGGGGAGATCGAGGGCGCACCTTGATGGCGGCGAGCACGACGCTGCCGTTGGCGTGCTGGAACTGCGGGATGACCCTCTCGCAGATGTGCTCCGACTCCTTCTCGTCCTCGGCCTCGTACTTGGCGACGGCACCCAGAATGGCTATTCGGCCCCACTCGGTGCACTCGCCGAGGGCGATGAGCAGTCGCGAGATGACCTGCGAGTCGAGGATGAAGATGGGCGAGTCCTCGGCCGCCTCCTGGATCTCGGTGAGGGCGACGACGGCGTTGGCGACGACCTGCGGGGGGAACGAGTCGGCTCCTGCAGTACGACCCGAGACACACAGAGAGAGAGAGACGAGGGCGCACCATGGGGTTGCTGTCGGTCACCATCTCCTGGAGCATCTCGATGAAGCCGTTGTCGATGGCGAGGCTGGGCTTCATGTCGTACAGCTTCATGACGCCAAGCGCGGCCGTCTTGCGGACGTACGGGTTCTCGTCGCGGAGGCACTTGCGCAGCGGGTCGGCGATGTAGTCGAGGATCTTCTCGGCGCGCAGGCAGCCCATGGTGCGGATCGAGAGGGCGCGGATGAGCGGGTTCGGGTCCTCGGTGTCCTGCGGGAGGTGCCGGGGTTCAGCGTCGTCGGGAGGACATGCCGTTGTACCGCGAGGAGTGAAGTGAGGCGCACCTTGACAAAGGTGTTGACGGCGAGGATGACGAGATCGGGTTGCTGGGCGAGGGGAGCAGGGTCAACGTGCGGCTCGAGGTGGTGTAGAGGCGGGCAATGCTCACCGTCTTGGCAAAGTTCATGAGGTACCTGTCGACACGGAAGAGCGAGTCAGCCGCGAGACGTCGAGCCGCACGTCGAGCGAGATGAGGCCGGGGTGGGGAGGAGGAGGAGGGGGACGCACAGGTAGACGAGCTTCTTCTGCTCGAGGTCGTCGGTCTGCATGTTCTTGAGGACATCGGGAAAGAGGCCTGGACGGTACCCAGGGCAGGGTCAGGTCGTGGTTCGGTGCGCGAGAGAGACGAGGGGAGGAGCGGACCCGAGACGTCCTTGCCGACCGTCATCGAGGCGATGACGCGCTTGATGGCCTCCTTGCGCTGGTCGCGGTACTGGCTGTTGAGGTCTGCGCGCAACTCGCTGCACGGGAGGGCGAGACGAGGGCGGGGTGAGCGGGCGCCGGACGCGTGGAGCTGAACCTCGACAGCTCGCTCGAGGCTGCCGGGTGGGGGACGAGAGCGGGGACGCACGCGTTCTCGCCTCGAGCGCGAGCACCGCCGAAGCGTGCCCTGGTAGCCATGGTGAGGGCGGGGTGGTGTGGTGGCCGAAGCGAGGTCGGCGCGTGGGAGATGAGGGAGGGAGACGCTTCTCAGGGGAGGCGCGAGAGTTTCGGCCGGCTGAGGGACTTGGGCGAATGAGTCGTTCAACTGAAGCTCGGATCTGGTTTCATCTCGCCTCGCTCGCTCTCCACACCGCCTCGCTCGCTCCTCACCCACACCAGTGAGCTCTCGCCTCGCGCGCTGCACTCTCTCGCGACTGTGCTCACCCGCACCCACCTCGTCCACCTCGACAGTGCCGCGAGCCACCTCGGAACGCTTCAATCGCCAGCACGCCGCCGCACCCTCGACCAAGTCCAAGCAGGACCGCCAGGAGAACGGCAAGGGCGCGCTCAACCCCATCTTCAAGTGCGTCCTCCCCCTCGACTCGGTGTCGAGCACCGTCGGCTGACCGTCCCCCTCCCTCCAGCACCGCCCAGTTCGGACAGCACATCCTCAAGAACCCGCTGTGCGTCCCTCGTTCTCCTTCTGGGCGCCAGTCTGAACCTCTCAAACTGACCTGCCCGATCCTCCTCACAGCGTCGCACAAGGGTCCGTCGCCTCGACCTGTCTCCCTCCTCTCCCACCCTCGGCTCAGCCCTCCCTTCCTCCCGCAGCATCGTCGACAAGGCCAACCTGCGCGCCTCTGATGTCGTCCTCGAGGTCGGTCCCGGTACGGGCAACCTGACGGTCCGCATCCTCGAAAAGTGCAAGTCGTGCACGGCCGTCGAGATGGACCCGCGCATGGCCGCCGAGTTGACCAAGCGTGTCCAGGGCAAGTGCGTCGCCCCGTCTCTCTCTCTCCCCTTGCCACTCCCTCGCGCGCGCACAGAGACCTGACGAGTGCTCCCTGCAGGCCTGAACAGCGCAAGCTTAACATCCTCGTCGGCGACTTTGTCAAGACGGACCTGCCCTACTTTGACGTGTGCATCTCCAACACGCCCTACCAGGTGCGTCCCTCTCGCAGTCCCGTCACCTCGTGAATCTGTACCTGACCCTGAGCCCTTCGGCGCGCAGATCTCGTCGCCCATCGTCTTCAAGCTCCTGTCGCAGCGGCCAATCTTCCGGGTCGCCATCCTCATGTTCCAGCGCGAGTTTGCGATGCGCCTCGTCGCTCGCCCGGGCGACTCGCTGTGGAACCGCCTTTCAGTCAACGTCCAGCTGTACGCCAAGGTTGACCACATCATGAAGGTCGGCCGCAACAACTTCCGGCCGCCGCCCCAGGTCGAGTCGTCGGTCGTGCGCATCGTGCCCCTCGACCCGCCGCCGCCGGTCGCGTTCGCCGAGTTTGACGGCTTGACCCGCATCGCGTTCAGCCGCAAGAACAAAGTCATCCGCGCCAACTTTGGCGCAAAGGGCGTCGAGCAGGTCCTCGAGGCCAACTACAAGGCCCTGTGCGCCCAGCAGGAGAAGGTGCGCCCGCCTCTCACTCCTCTCGTCACCTACTCCGTCACTGACGAACTCGTGCGCCCCTCGTCGCAGATGATCCCGGACGACTTTGACATGTCGAGCCTCCTCGAGCAGGTCCTGCAGGAGAGCGGCTACGCCGACCAGCGCGCGAGCAAGATGGACGTCGACGACTTTCTCAAGTGCGTGGGACCTCTCTCTCTCTCGTGCGCGTCAGCAGATGCGCGAGGACTCACTCTCGGTCTCGCCCGCAGGCTCCTCACCGTCTTCCACAAGCACGGCCTGCACTTTGCCTGAGCCCCGGCGCTCTCTCCCTCGTTCTGCGTCTCTCGTTCGACGTGTTGTAGCTGTGTCTGTTGTTACACTAGGCGTCGTGCCCTCGTCTTTGGCGCTCTCGAGGAGAGCTTCGTTCAGCGAGCGAATCTTCCCGCTCGTTCTGCTCGTCTCGCTCCTCGTCGATCTCGCGAGAGTTGCTCTCGTTTCCCCAACGCTGAGCGTCTCTTTCGAGTCGCACAGAGGAAGAGCCAGACAGGCGAGGCCAAAGCGAGGAAAGCGGTCACTGACTCGTCCTTCCCTCACACGGCGTTCCTGCTCACCAATTAGCCAGCCCAGCAGTCGCTCTTCCACTCTGCTCGTCGTATCGTCGCGCACAGAGGCCAGCGTCGGGAAAGCTCGCCGAATTCAGCCCGCAACGATGCGGTTCGTGCGGCGTCGAGGTTCTTTGCTCGCTTTCTGCTCGACCTGCTCGCTTTCTCTCGCCAGTTCTCGCGAGCGCATAACGTCGCAGCCTTCCCGCCACGTAGGTCGTCCTCTGAGAGAAGAGAGCGCGAGAACGAGAAGCTCTGGGCAAACGAGGAGCGGCGAGAGGGGGCAAGGGTCTGTGCGCTCGCTTCGTCGCTCGTCCTCTTCGCCGGAATGTCCTCTACCTCAGTGCTCGCAGCACCTCGTCGTCGTCGTCGTTGTCGTCATCGTCGTGCTCGGCTTGTAGCATGCTGCGTCGCGCTGTGACCCCGTCGCCGTCGCTGTACAGCGAAGCGCGAGCACCCCGTGCGAGTGTACGAGAAGCGTCTCGCTTTACGCGTGTGGTCTCTCGGGTTCTGGCTTGTGCGCACTGTCGTAAGGGAACGGGCACGGCGAGAGAGAGTTGGAATTAGGCGTGCACTTTGGCTATGATTGTGTATGGTCGTTGTCCCAGCGTCTTGATAAATGAGCCTAATTGGTCTAGTCGCATGATACCTCATTCGGGGCACTTAGCCTCGGCCTGCAGAAATGCGGCCTGAACATTGAGGTGGTCCTCGGTTCAATTCCGGGATTGGGCCGTCCCTTTTGCCTCTCTCGTAGGCCGCAGGAGGCATTCCTTTTGCTCGCCTTGGCTTTGGGGCCGTCAGCGAGAAGGTAGTCTCGAAGGTGGGTCCAACGGCGGCGACAGAGAGCTGGTACGGAACGCCCTTCTCGTCGACGGCAGGCCTCGCTCGCCGTTCGAGGGGCAGCCGCGTCGCGGGAGTGCCTCAGGCCCTTCCCAGTACGTCCTACGCTGCTTAAGGACGGTCTGCAACACATTGAGCGCGACAGAGAGACGCTGAGAGGCCCGCTCGGGCCGCGATTTCGATCTGGACCGGCATCAGCGCCAACTACGTTCGCCCGCCTCTTGCACGCCGTCGACTCCTGACCGGCCTCGTAGCCCACTCACAGTCGAGTTCGAGGTGTTGGTGGAGGCGCGAGAGGCTCGAGGCCCGCACTGACGCAGAACGAGGCAAAGACGGGACAAGACCGCCTCGTACGGCGCGAGAGCTTTATGAAGCTACTGCTCTGCCCCAACGTCCCGGGCGCCGCTCTGGTAAGCCAAATAGACGTCACTCGAGTAAGCCGCACGAATGGTGGTCGCAACGGGAGACCTCGCGAGGCGAGCCTGGCTCTCCACCTTGCGCGCTCGCACCTCTCGCAGGTCACCGTGTTGCACGGCATCGTGCCTGCCCTGTACCTGTCAGCAGAGCCTCTTTGAACAGTTCCGGGCTCTCGCGACGCTCACCGCACGTCAGAGAGAAGTGCAGAGGCCACCTGAGTGCTAAGATTTTGATTCGGACGGGCCGGCTTCACGTACGCTACCGCCTCTTGACCGGCTCATCGGCACTCGCGACGTCCAGTGCAAGGCCTCAGGACGACGTTCTGGCGCGTCGGCGGTCGGGGAGGGCCACACAAGCGTCAGGCGCCTCGAAATCCGCCTCGACTCGCTTCTGCAGGCTGCTCGGCTGCTCCAGGGGTCCCACTTCTCAGCGCACCGTCCCTTCAACGCGTCCAGACGAACGCATCCAGACGGGGCCGCTTGTCGCCCTGGAGAAGCGACGGCCGCGAGGCCGTCCTGTCGAGGCGCGCTGCGGCCCTCTTTTCGCAGTCACGGCCCTCGTTCTTGAATGAACCAGAAGACGTTCCTCTTGCCCGCCGTGGCGCGACTGAGTCTACCGGTGGTCAAGCGCGTAGATGCAGGAGCAGCGACCGCAAGGCGGACCTCGGAAGACGAGGAACGGCCTCCCTTCTCGCAGCTGCGGGCCTCATGCGCAGGATTCGACGACTTGCCGCATCTCTCTCGGGCGGAAACTACCGGCGTAGCCTCTCTGGGCAGCAACGTGCGCCTTTCGACTCGCAGGGCGCAGCAGGAGAGGCGCGCACAGGCCCCTGGAGCTGTGATTTTGATCTGGACGGACAGCAGGTTTGACTACGTTCACTCGCCTCGCGCTGCGTGCAAGAGCCTGGCGGGCTCCGGGGTGTGCAGTCTGTCGAGTACGAGCGATGAGGAGGAGGACGGCAGCGTTGGGTCGCGCTGCGAGGCAAAAAGAGTCGAGGACGGCCTCCTCACCCGGCACCGACGCTACTTTCGCCGTTGGCGAGCGGCAAAAGAATACGGCCCATGCCCGGAATTGAACCGAGGACCACCTCAATGTTCAGGCTGCGTTTCCGCGAGCCGAGGCTTAGTGCCCCGAATGAGGTATCATGCGACTAGACCACATAGGCTCCTTTGCCGTTGGAGAGGGATTCAACATACACGGGACGCACAAGCTTGATCGCCCTGCTGTACTCAGCCCGAACATCAGCAAGTCTTGCTGGACTCGCTGCCCAACCACGGGCGCGCGGACGGGCACAGAGAGCGAGTCACGCAAGGCTCACGCGTCGAGGAATCCTCGTTCAGGCGTACGGCTCCGATAGAGTCTGGCTACCTGCCTCGTCCGCATGCCGCTCCCCGCCCGCGAACCTGCCGCAGCTGAGGACTGAAAGGAAGCGAGGCGAGCGAGACGACGACCAAGTCGGCCTTCTCGAGCAAAGCGACCTTCTCAAGTAGCTGTCCCTCGACTCGGCGCTCTCAGGACAGCCTGCCAGGCCGACGCACCGGCTCTGCGTCAAGCTTTCCTCTCGAGACGATGAACAGAAGCTAAGAAAGAGAACGACAGGTCCTGCATTGCGCGCCGTCCCGCTCGTCCGCCACGTACTCGTCTCAAATCGACTCGACCCATCTCGCGAGCTCACTTTTTGCTCTTGCTCAAGTCGACGTCGATAAAGGCCTTGGGGATTCCTCGGGACGTGAGCAGCTTGACGACGAGGGCGTCGTGCGTGCCCTGGCACATGATCTCGACCTTTGGCGTGCCGCCCTTCTTGGCCGAGCCGGCGAGCGGTTGGACTGCGACGGCCGCGAGAGGAGGGACAGGGGGCAAGCTCGATGTGAATGAGTATGAATTCGACAGGCGATAGAGAGGGAGAGCGGCGACGCACTGCTAGTCGAGCTCGCGCTGCGGTGCTTGAGCTCCTCGGCGAGCTCCTCGGACGAGAAGAGCTCCCACGGCTCGTGTCCTGCAGGGCGCCGGTCACGCTCAGTTCACGCTCGACCGACACCGACAACGAAACCGAGGGAGAGTGAGAGGGAGAGGAAGAGAGCGACGCACCCGAGACGAGCGTCACCTGGCGCTTGCCGACGTTCTTGATCTGGACGCGAATCTGCGGCGGGCTGCCCTTCCTGCGACGCCGAGACCGAGTGTCAGTTCCAGAAACATGCGACGACAAGACTGGCAGACCTGACGAGGGCAATCGGAGGAGAAAGAGGGAGGGGAACGCACTTGATGACCTCGTCGCCGTCCTTCTTGTACCCCCAGTACGCCGTGCACCCGCTCTTGATCCTCCTCAGCGCCTCGTCCCGGCCGACGCACCCCGCGGCGCCCTTCTCGGCGCCGTACGCGTCGACCGTCTCGCCCTTTTTGAGCACGACGCGCGCGACGAGCTCGATGGCCGATTCTTGCTCGAGTGAGAGCGAGGGCGGGTTCGGGTGCGCCGAGGGGGTGAGGAGGAGGAGGGCGCGGTGGGACGGGTGCGAGAGCGAGTGGGCGTCGGTGAACCGGCGGAGGAGGGTCGAGAGCTGCGAGGTCGTGTAGAGGTCGTTGGCGGGCCTGCGGACGAGAGGGACGGCGATGGTCAGGATCGGGACGCGGGACTCTCGCAGATAGAGAGAGGAGCAAGGGGACGTACCGCTCGTGCTCGACGTGGCGGAAGAGCTCCTTGACGCCGTCGCCGCTCAGCTTCCACAGCTCTTTGACCTCGAGCTCGCCCTTCTTGCGCTCCTCCTTGACCTCGTCACGCTTCTCACGCTTCTGCTCGGCGCGGTCCTCCATGCCGAGCGTCTTGTACGGCCGGAGCGCCTCGACGTCCGGGTGCGCCGCGTTGACGCCGACGACGACGACCTCGCCCTTGACCTCCTTGGTCGAGAGCCAGCCCTTTTTGGCGGCCGCCTTGACGAGGCGGTCGAGCTTCTTGAACGTGCTCTTCTTGACCTCGGCGGTCGAGCCGGGCCCAGATGCCGGGCGCGAGGGCAGGATGTGGGACGAGTACAGGAGCGAGGCCGGGAGCGGGAACGGGGCCGACGAGAGCGAGGTCGAGATGGCGAGGAGGAGGGCGTCGAACAGGGCGGCGTCGACCTGCGCCGGCGTGAGCTCGGCCGAGGTGGGTGCCGGCGAGGCAGGGCGCGACTCGCTCGTGCTCGACGAGGCTTTTGGCGCCGCCTCGATCGAGGTCGACGCGAGGTCGTCTGCGACGGCGTCGACCTCGTGCCGACTCGACGAACCCTTGGACGACGACGATAGAGGCGGCAGAGGCGCGTCGACGCCCGAGCCGGCGGCCCACAGGTAGTCGCCGCGGGCGTGCAGCTGTAGGACGGGAGGGAACAGGGTGAGCCGGATCCTCGAGAGGGCAGGAGTCACGCTCGACGCACAGTGATGACGGCCTTGCCCTTCTTTTCTCCACCGCTCTGCTGCATGCGGATCACCTCGTCCCTCGTCCCGCCGAGCTGCCCGACGGCGACGACCCGGCGCGACGGCGGGTCCTCGACGACGACGACCGCGACGAGGTCGCCCGAGCGGATCGACGGCGGGAGGGCCTTGAGCGACCGCGCCGAGACGCCTGCGGCAAAAAGAGCTGCAAGCGGGATGATGCACGAGTCAGTTGAAGGGAAGAGAGACGGCCTGAACAGGGAGAGGGAGAGGACGGACCGGAACCGCTGACGAGGTGCTCAACGACTTGCGGGGCCGTCTCGAGGACGGGGAGGAGGTGCGGGCACACGTCGAGGGCGTAGCAGGTCGGGACGAGGTGGCCCTCGAGGCCTTTGCCCGGGCGGAACAGGCGCGGGTCGTTGGAGCCCGGCGCGAGGTAGAGGGTGCAGGGCTCGTCGAGGTGAGTGGTGGCTTTTGCGGCGAGGACGCCGTCGGGGAGGACGAGCTTGGCGTCGCTGCTCGAGAGGCTGAAGGTGGACGCGAGCTCGTCGCGGAGGCGGCGGACGTCGGACGAGCGGACCGGGGCGCTCGTCTTTGTGGCGAGAGGGCGCTTGAACATGGCGGGGCTGTAGATCGAGTGCGAGTCAGCTACTGGTCGTGCTCGTGAGCCCAAACGAGCGCCCGAGCGAGTTGCGAGGGCCACAAGCCGTCATCAGTCGGAGGAGGAGAGGAAGGAGGGGAGTAGAGAGGAGAGTGCTCACAGCTCAGGTAAGGCCTGCAAGGTGTGGCTCGAGTGCGTAGCTGTACTCTGGCGCAGTCGGTGTGCAAGCCGAGTCTTGTCGAGAACAGCGGAGGCGACCCTGGCCTCTCGTCGTCGGGACCAGGGGGCTCACTCCCGAACTCTCGCCCCGACGCGCACCTGCTCAGACCTGCGCACCGTCGAACTGCTCGCCAGTGCACTCGCTGCCGGCTCCGACTCGAACCAGCCCTGCCCGTCGAGTATCCGCCTCCCCCACCTCGTCCACATCGTCACGCACCCACCCTCGTCCCTCTCGCGTCCACCACCGCCTCGAGCACCACACAGCCCCATCCATCCAGGCCCTTGAGCGCCATCGCCCACCATGGGCCCGCCCTCTGTCATCTCGATCGCAGACGACCACAAGCTCCTCCAGGAGGCCCTCGCCACGGTCCACACCCAGACCGGCCAGCTCCGACGATGCCTCGTGAGCCCCTCCTTCTCGATCCATCAGTCGAGCGACGACCAGCTCCGCTCACTCTGGACCCACCGCAACAGGACGCCGACCAGATCATGGACGCCCTCAAGGCCGCGTCCACCATGCTCGCAGAGCTGCGCACCAGCTCGCTCTCGCCAAAGCAGTACTACGAGCTGTGTGCGTCCCTCAATCTCTCCCTGTCGAGCCAGATCCCACGACTCACCGAGGACCCGCACCCGCAGACATGGCCGTCTTTGACGCCCTGCGGCACCTGTCGAGCTACCTGTACGACGCTCACACCTCGGGCAAGCACCACCTCGCCGACCTGTACGAGCTCGTCCAGTACGCCGGCAACATCGTCCCTCGCCTCTGTGCGTCTATCCCTGTCGCGCCCATCTTTCTCCCTCGAGCGGCCTCCCCTGACCCAGTCCTCCCTTCCCGCAGACCTCATGATCACGGTCGGCTCGTGCTACATGTCGGTGCCCGGCGCCCCGATCAAGGAGATCATGAAGGACATGATGGAGATGACGCGCGGCGTCCAGCACCCGACTCGCGGCCTCTTCTTGCGCCACTACCTGAGCGGCATGACGAGGGACCACCTCCCGATCGGCGAGAGCCCTGGGTGCGTCCCCCCTCTCTCTCGGTCTCTCGAACACGCACGAGCCGGTCCGCTCTGTGCGGCCAGCCTCGTGCTGCTCCGCGAGGCGCAAGACTGACGACCCTCTTCTCGCGCGCAGGCCCGAGGGCAACCTGTACGACTCGATCGGGTTCGTCCTGACCAACTTTATCGAGATGAACAAGCTGTGGGTGCGGCTGCAGCACAGCGGCCTGTCGCGCGACCGCGACCGGCGCGAGCTCGAGCGGCGCGAGCTGCGCATCCTCGTCGGCACCAACCTCGTGCGCCTGAGCCAGCTCGAGGGCGTCGACCTCGAGATGTACCGCCGCGTCATCCTGCCCAGCATCCTCGAGCAGGTCGTCAATTGCAAGGACATCATCGCCCAGGAGTACCTCATGGAGGTCGTCATCCAGGTGCGTCCCGTCTCTCCCCACACGTGTTTGCGGACCCTTGCGCCTCCAACGAGAGCGCATAGGCCACATCCATGGTTCGGGCGACGGGAACGCAGATGCTCACGTCCTTTCGCTCGCGCGACAGGTCTTCACCTCGGACTTTCACCTGCGCACCCTCGGCCCGTTCCTCTCGGCGACGGCCCAGCTCCACCCCAAGGTCGCCATCAAGTCGATCGTGATCGCCCTCATCGACCGCCTCGCGGCGTACGCCGCAAAGGAGGCCGAGAACGAGCCGCCCGAGGAGCGCCGCCTCCAGGAGGAGGAGGCCAAGCGGCGTCTCGAGGGCGAGGTCGGGCGGCAGCGGCAGCGCCGCCGTGCCGCACTGCGGGCCGAGAACGCGGCGGACGGGCAGGGCGAGGGCGAGGGCGAGGGCGAGGGCGACGAGGAGACCGAGGGGTGGGGCGCGGCGGTCAGTGCGCTCCCGCCCGGGCATCCCGACGCGGGCGTCAAGGACCTCGACGTCGGCGACGGGCTCATCGACGGGCAGCAGCCGACGAGGGTCGGCAAGGACGGCGAGGTGCGCAAGTACCGCGGCATCCCCGAGGACGTCAAGCTGTTCGAGATGTTCTGGGAGCAGGTCGTCAACCTCATCAAGGTGCGCCTCGCTTTCTCTCCCTCCTTCGTCTCTTAATTTCTCCCGTACTGACTCGGCTTTGCCGCACGCACACTTTGCAGGCTCGCCCGGACCTGTCGCTCCAGGACATCACGGCCCTCCTCGTCTCGCTCGCCAACCTGTCCCTGTCGTGCTACCCGGCCCAGCTCACCTACATCGACCAGGTCCTGTCGTTCGCCGCGTACCAGTGCCGCGCCTTTGCCGACTCGCCCGACCTGCACCACACGACGACGACGGCGCACCTCCTCGCGCTCCTCCTCGCGCCGACCCAGCACTACGCCACCGTCCTCACGCTCCTCGCCCTCCCCTCGTACGACTCGCTCCTCGCCGCACAGCCCTACGCGACGAGGCGCGCCGTCGCTCACGCCGTCGTCGCGTCGGTCCTCAAGAACGAGACGGTCGTCGACGCGCCCGAGGACGTCAAGGGCGTCCTGGCGCTGTGCCACGTCCTCGTGCGCGACCAGCGCGACCGGCCGTCGGGTGCTGTCGCTCGAGGCGGTGGGCCGGGCCAGGTGCCGCAGCAGCAGCAGCGCGAGCGCGACGAGGCGGGCTTGTTCGGCGCGGGAGGCTACGGCGGCGGCGGGTACCGCAATGGGGCCGGTCAGGGGCAGGCGACGGCGTTCGAGAGGGAGGAGATGGCCGAGGAGCAAGGGTGGATCGCGAGGATAGTCCACCTGTTCCGCGCCGACGACTTGACCGTCCAGTTCCAGGTGCGTCGACGCTCGCTCCCCCTCCCTCTTCCCTCTTCCCTCTTTCCTCGAAACTGACCCTGCGCCCACCTCTCACAGCTCCTTCAAACGGCACGACGCGAGTTCACCGAGGGCGGCGAGCGCATCCGGTGGACGTTCCCGCCCCTGATCCTCGCCGCCGTCAAGCTCGTGCGGCGGTACAAGCGCATGCAGCGCACCCGGCGCTCGCTCCCGCCAGACGAGTGGGACGCCCGTGTCTCGACCGTGTTCAAGTTCATCCACCAGTGCACGTCGATCCTGTACAACAAGGTCGAGGCGTCCGACATCTGCCTGCGCCTGTACCTCCTCGCGCTCGCGGCGGCCGACGAGTCGGGCCACGAGGAGCTCGCGTACGAGTTCGCCGTCCAGGCGTTCACCATCTACGAGGAGTCGATCAGCGAGTCGAGGGCGCAACTGCAGGCCATCGCCGCCATCATCGGCGCGCTCCAGGTCACGCGCGTCTTCGGCGACGACAACTACGACACGCTCATCACCAAGGCGGCGCTCCACGGCGCCAAGCTCCTCAAGAAGGGCCAGCAGGCGACCGCCGTCGCCATGGCGAGCCACTTGTGGTGGCAGATGGACATGCCCGGTCGCGAGCAGGGCGAGGACGACAAGGTGCGCCGGCGGTTCTCTCGTCTCCTGTCGGATCTCTCTCGAAGCAGTCGAGCAGTGTACTGACTGGATACGTGTCCTCGTCACGCAGCCGCCCTACCGCGACGGCAAGCGCGTCCTCGAATGCCTGCAGAAGGCGCTGCGGATCGCCACGTCGTCGATCGACGAGCTCACGAGCGTCCAGCTGTACTGCGACGCGCTCGACCAGTACCTGTACTACTTTGAGCACGGCGTCGAGTCGATCTCGGCCAAGCACATCAACTCGCTCGTCGAGCTCATCTCGTCCAACCTCGACTCGCTCCCTCCTCCTCCCGCCGGCGCGCCCTCGCCCAACCCGTCGTCGCAGCAGCGCGGCGGCCCGGCCCCGCACGCGGCGTACGCGCCGAGCACGATCGGCGGCGCGACGTCGGGCCTCATCGAGGGCGTCAACACGCCCGAGGCGGTCGCGCGACACTTCCTCGCGACGCTGCGGTACATCCACAGCCGCAAGGACGGCGCCAACGAGGCGACGACCGAGGACATCATGCGTCTGTACGAGGACGTCGACGTTGCCGGCGTGCTGCTCAAGCTCGGCCAGGCGCAGGGCGAGCCGCAGGGGCAGGCCTTTGGCGGGCAGCCTCTCAGGTGAAGCGGCTCGTGCACGTAGTTTGTCCCTCGCCCTCTCCTTGTCTCTCCTCTCCTCTCAGAGACTCTCAGTCTGGCAGTGCAGTGCAGATGTTGCAGGACGAGCTACTCGGGTGTGCGAGAGAGATAGGAAAACACGAGCTAGTCGGCCTTTTTCGGCGGGAAGACGAGCTGCGGGCAGGGCGAGCGTGAGCGACAAGGCCTCGCCACGACGAGAGACACGCAGAGATGGAGAGAAAGCGAGAGCGCACCTTGACCCTCTCTGTCGGCCCTCCCTCGATGACGAGGTCGTCGTCGTCGTCGCCTCCTTCCGCTGCCAAAGGCTCGGTACCGGCTGGCGCCGAGACGGCCGTGCGCTTTGCGCCCTTGGGCGCCGACAGCTTGATCTTGCGCTCGCCGAGACCGTCCTCGAGGGCGAGCTTCGGGCGAGGGAGGGTGAGACGCAGGGTCAGGGCCAGTCGCGAGAGAGAGAGAGAGAAGGAGAGGGCGCGGGACGCACTCGATGGCGCTTGGCCTCGTCGCTCTCGTCGCGCTGCAGGTCGCCGGCCTTGACGGTCGGGTTGTACCCGATGCGGCGCAGGGCCTCGGGGCGAAAGATGCCCGGCTTCTTGTCCTTCTTGCCGCCCTCGCCGCCGCTGTCGCCCTCGAGCCTCTCGCCGCCGCCGTCCTCGTCCCCGCTGCTGCCCTGCCCACCGGCAGCGTCCTGCTTCCTCTTCCTCGACATGAGGAGGTACTCGCCGCCGGGCGTCTTGCCCTTGTCCCTCCCGACGAGCGCCCGCAGCTCCTGCCGCGCGCGCTTGTCGTCGTTGACCTGGCGCTGCCGGCGCTTCTTCTCGTCGCTGACCGACGGGCCCTCGCGCAGGCCCGGGATGAAGCCGCCGCCGGGTCGACCAAGCGGGAGCGTGTTGGCGCGCGCCGAGGTGAGCGACGACGAGGCCGAGGACCGTCCGCCGGTGGTGACGTAGGTCGTCGAGCCGGCGATGACCTTGGCGTTGCGGGGCATGCCGGGAGGAGGCGAGAGCGGGCGCTGCTTGACGACGGGGCCGGTGCTGCCGAGGCGAGACGAGGCGGACGAGGACGAGCCGCCGAGCGAGCGCGTAAAGGCGGCCTGGTTGAACGTGCCCTTGGCCGACAGCGAGCCCGTGCTGCACGTGCGAGAGTCAGTACGGGTCGTCGGCGGCAAGAGAGGGCGACGAGGAAGGGAGACGCACTTGGCGTTGGTCTCGGCGCGACGCACGCCCGTGCGCTTGATGGCGCGCTCGACGTGAAACTGGCAGACCCGACCCATCCTCCTGCGCACAAGCGAAGACTCGTCAGTAGTCGCTCGGTCTAGAGTAGAGGAAAGAGAGAGAGCGAGAGGCTGGGACGCACGCGTCGACCCACTGCCCGCACCGCTTGCCATCGGCCTTTGTCGCCTCGCAGAACGCGAGGTTGTCGGCGCGCCCGAGGACGACCATCGAGTCGGCCGAGGTCGGCTTGAGAGTGTACGAGAAGTCCTGAGAGGAGAGGGAGGAGGTCAGGCGAGGTTCGCGAGAGAGAGGGGACGAGGAACGAGGAGGGGACGCACCTTGTTGTGCGGGAGGAACGTCGGGTTGACGATGGCGACGACCGCGCCGGCCGTCTCCTTCCAAAACTTCTCGAACGCGCCGCCGCTCTGGCCCTTGTACACGCTCACCTCGTTGCCCTCGTCGTCGACGGCCTTGTCCTCCGAGTCGGCCTGGACGAGCATGACGCTGAGGCGGCCGTCGGCGGCGCTCGAGGCCTGGGTCGACGACAGGTCGACGAGCTCGAAGCGCAGGTAGCGCTGGCGGCGCTGGCGCTTGTTGGGCTGGCGGAACAGGGTGTCGCGCGAGTCGTCGTCGTCCTTCTTCTGCTGCCGGCGCGCCTTGCCCTTGCCCTTGCCCATCGCCCGCCCGAGCTCGTGCTCGTCCTCGTCGAGGCTGTCGACGTCGTCGTCCTCGCTCGCGCCGTCCCCTCCCTCGCCCTTGCCCTTGCCCTTGTCCTGCGCCGACGCTGGCGGCTTCTTGCCGCCCATGGCGCCCGAGTTGAGGAACCGCACCTCGTCCTTCCACGCGAGGACACCGATGACGACAAAGTCCGAGTCGATGACGTCCGGGTCGAGGTCAATGCGCTTGCGCGAGTCGATGCGCGCGAGGCTGTAGACCTGCGCCGGCGTGAGGTGGTACCGGCCGTCGAGGAGCATGTCGAGGTCGGCGTGCGGGAGGAGGCGCTCGCTATGGAGGCGTCGGGGCGACGGGCGAAATAGTGTCAGTGACGGGCTCGAGTGGGGGAGAGAGGGCGAGAGAGCCGGGCTCGAGGACGCACCGCAGACGGATCCCGCTGTACGGCTCGACGCGCTCCCACGTCGGGTCGTCGCTCGGCGCGATGAACTCCCTCGAGCCCATCTGGACCGTCTCGATGTAGGTGCCGTCCCTGCGCCGGGTGCGCCTCGCCGGCCCGTTGGTGATGGCGAGGTCGTCGTCGTCGGGACCGGCGGTCGAGGGCGCTGGGCGTGCGGGTGCACGGGAGGAAGAGGCGGTTGAGGAGGTGCCGAGAGGTGCGGGGCGCGACATGGCAGGGACGGAAGGAGCAGACGGGCGAGGCGGCGCCGAGGTCGACGAACTGCTCGCCGCCGTTGCCGAGCGGGTCGACGCCGCGCGATCGCCCGCCTCGGGCCGCGACTTCTTCTCCTTGAGGCGCACGTCGCCCGTGCGGCCCGACAGGAGGACGTCCTTGCTCGCGCTCGACAGGTCGCTGAAGCCGCCTGGGCCGCCCTGGTCGGCCGCTCCTCGCCTCGCGCGGTTCTCGAGCTGGCGCTCCTTGCGCTCCTGCTTGACGCGGTCGAGCGTCTTGCGCTCGGCGAGGGCGTCGGCGAAAGATTTGGCTGTCGCGGGAGGGGAGAGCGGGTCAAAAGGCGCGAAAGGAGGACAGAGCGCGAGAGGGGACGCACGGACGGCCGACATGTGGTCGACAAACTGGCTCTCGCGCCTGGGAGCATCGCGCAGTTGGAGCTTGTCGCTCGGGTTGAAGGAACGTGCGAGAACGGGGTTGTTGAAGAGGGCGGGCGGTGCAGGTCGCGAGAGGGAGGCGAGGTCGGCGGCGTCTGAGCGGCGCTTCTTGCCTGGGCGCGTGTGCGAGGGTTGTCAGTCGACGTGCAGGACGGTGAAGACGTCGTCGCAGAGCACGCACGAGGCGAGGGAGTGCCGGGGACGAGCTCCTGGGGCCCGCTGTCGCGTCGGCGCTGCTCTTGGTCGAGCTTGCGCTGCTTCTTGGCGTGAGCGCGGGCGAGTGCAGCTTCGAGGGCAGCGATGTCCTGGTCGTCGTCTGAGCTCATGGCAGCGGGTGCTCGAGCCGGTGAGCGAGAGCAGAGAGCAAGAGAGCGCTCCTCGACGCGACGGTCCAGCTCAGCTCCACTCGCACCCACCGCGCAAAGAGCAGGGCCGAACAATGCTCGAGACGGTGCGCAGCAGGCGCATCTACGGTGCAGGCATCACCCTCGTCCTCCCGCTGTGCGCCGCCGCCGGTTACTACCTCCGCACCTCGCACGACGACACCGTCACCGACTCGGCCGCCCAGCTCCTCCACAAGGCCCAGCCCGACCGCCAGGACCCGCAAGCACCGCTCACCCCCGCCCAGGAGGTCGCCCTGTGGAAGGAGCACGCCGCCGTCGAGGAGCGCATCCGCATGCTCCGCCGCAACGAGCTCCAGCTCGACCTCGAACACAAGGAACTCGACGACAAGCTCAAGCGCATCGCACACCGCAAACTCGCCAACAAGGCCGCCTGACCGCCCCGGCTCGACCTCGGCCCACACCGCTGTCCTCGGCCAGAACCAGGTCCGCCCTCCTCCCTCTCCCTTGCCCTCCTCTCGACGCGCCCAACTGACCCTTTGCGCCCCCGTACAGGTCACGCCCGCTCTCTCGGTCATTGCGGTCGCGGCAAGAAGGCGCAGGAACCCGCGCCGGCGGCGGCGAGCCAGGACAAGCGCGAGTAAGCGCCGTCTCGAGCCCTCAGGCCGCCGTGGACGCGCCTGCTGTGGCCGAGACGGCCCACAGGACGTCCGTGCCATCGTTCTCGTCGATGCGGCCGGTCTTTGGTGTGCAACGAGCGGCGTTCTGACCTTCGAGCGGCTCGAGGAGAGTGCGAGAGAGGAACCGGACCAAGAGCGCTTCCGCGCGACTTTCGCTTTGCTCGAGCTTCTGTCGGCGATGTACGAGAGCACTAGAACAGCGCGAGGGTCCGCTGCTGCCAGCGTTTGCGTCCGCGGAATCCGGCGACGCATTCACCCCGGCGCGTCCGCTCACGCCTCGAGCTCTCGCCCGCTGTCCGCTCGCCAGTCTAGCGAGCCCGCTCAGCAGCGAGCACGAGCCAGCCGACACGCTCTGCACGCCCGCCGCACCCGCCCGGCCGCGCATCCACCTCGCGAGCCCGCCGTGTGCCCGCTCCTCGCCGACGACGACAACGACGACGAGGGCCCGCGGCAGCACCCTGCGTGACCTCGACAACGAGCATGGCGACTGTGCCAGACCGGCCACCGCGCAGTAGCGCGCGTCCCTCCCTCCCTCGCTCGTCGCCTTCACCGCCTCCTTCGTCAACCGCCGACGCCTCCTCCTCGTTCAACCACCTCGCCGACACGCCCGCCCTGTCGAGCACCGAGGACGCACTCGGCGTAGCCCTCGACGGCAGCTTTGTCGAGACGACGAGCGAGGCCGCAGCGCGTGCCGTCGCCCAGTTCTACGCAGGCGAGCACGACGCACTCGAGGGCGACACGGCGGCGACGGCGGGTCGCGCGCAGCGAGGGACGGGCCAGTACGGCGTGCAGACGAGGATCGACAGCCGCGGCAGGACGGTGTACCGCGTCAGGTGCGTCTCTCTCTTCCTCGCCCTCTCCCTTCCTCTCTCTCATGGCGCAGGCTGACCTCCTCGTCCGCCCACAGACCTATCGTCACCTCGCCCGCCAGCTCCCTCACCGACGCCGCCTCAACCTCGTCTTCCCCTCCATCCGCACACCACCCGTTCGCGCGCCCGTCGCACCACCCGCAGCCCTCGCAGCCGCCGCAGCAGCAGCCGACCATCGCCCTGCACCGCTCGTCCCTCCTGCGCACCTCGCGCTCTATCCCGCTCCTGCGCTCCCGCGACGCCGACGTCGAGCGCGCACACGAGCAGCACGCAGCCGGGCTGCACCCCTCGGCCGCGTCCGCCTCGGCGCGCCTGCGCAAAGCGCCCTCGTCGCCGTCCCTGCGCGGCGAGGCTCGCGCCAGCCTGCACGAGGGCGGTACCGTCGTTCAGCCGGCGCGCTTGGTGCCGACGCAGCGCGTGCGCGCCCGCTCGACGGCGATCGGTGCGGGTGCGGGTGCGGGTGTGGGCGCCGGCTCGGGCGAGGGCGACGTGCTCGGGCGCATCCTTGGCTGGAGGGTCGACGTCCCTGCAGCGCGCAGCTCGGCGTCCCGCGAGGACGCACAGACGGGCGCGAGCGGCGGCACGAGGCGCAGGGTCAAGAGCCCGGCTGCGGGTGCTGCGGGCCCGAGCGCGAGTGGCGGGGCGGCGAGGGTCGGGCTGCCGGACATGTTCCGGCTCGGGGCGAGGAAGGGGAGCAAGGGGAGCAGGGGGCAGAAGCTGAGTGGGAGCGCGGTGAGCGAGGCTGGGACGGACAGGAGCGACTTGCCCGAGGATCGTGAGTCGTCGGTTCCTCTCACTCACACCTCTCCTCGTCCGTCTGCGCATGCGCAATATGGCTCAAGGTTGTGGATGATGTCCTCGGTACTGACGGCTTGTCCTCGCAGTAGTCGACGAGCTCGACGCCGTCTCGGTCTACGACAACTCGACTCCCTCTTCACCCTCGAGCTCGCCCGTTTCACCCTCGAGCTCGCCCGTTGTCGAGGAGGACCACCCTTTCGCGTCGCCCAAACAGCGCCCATCGTACCTGCGTCGCCCGACCGGCCCGTTCGGCACCGGCGTGCGCATCCACCGCGCCTCGCCGCAGCCCGTCGCCATGCCCGCGCTCGTCACGCCTGCGCCCGCCCTCGCCCCGGCTACGGCGCCGTACGCGCTCACGCACGCGATGCGCGAGGTGAGCTCGAGCGACTCGATGCGCACGGCGCGCGCCGACGACCCGCAACCGCTCCTCCCGCCCGCGCCCATCGACGACTGCCGCTCGTCGCCTTCACCCGCTCGCCGGTTCGAGGACCCGTCCATTTTCGACGTCTTCCACCGTCCCTTCCCGTCCCTTCCCTCGTCGCCGAGCGACTCGAGCCCGTCGCGCCAGCCGCACGCCATCCCGTTCGGCGCGCACGGCCGCCTCCCCTCGTCGGCGTCGCTCGCCTCGTCCCACTCGGCGCGCTCCGACCACAGCCACGCGAGCGCGACCGCGCACGACATCACGGTCGTACCTGCCCCGGGTGACGACCCCCGGTTCGTCATCTGGGGCGTCAAGGAGCCGCCTGCGCCTGCCGCTGCCGCGACGACCTCGCCCCGAGGCGCCGGCGGCGCCGGCAAGGGCGGCAGGCGCCCGTCGTTCGCGCCGGGCACGCCGAGGAGTGCAGCGGGAGCGGGTGAGCAGGGCAGCCCGCCGGCGCAGGCGGCGAGCCCGGGCTCGGCGCGCACGAGGTGGAGCGTTGGGGCGAGGTCCGGCTCCGGCACGGCGTCGACGGCGAGCGCAGGAGCGAGTGCCGCCTCGTCCCCGGCGACGAGCCTGCGCAACTCGGTCGCGTCGTCGGCGTCGCACGCGACTGCGCAGCGCGTCCTCATGGCGGCGACGGTCGAGCGGCTCGTCGCGGAGCTTACGAGCCAGATCGCGCCCGACCTGCTCGCCGACTTCTTCCTCACCTACCGTCACTACCTCGCACCCCTGTCCCTGTTGTGCCTCCTTATCGCGCGCTTCGAGTGGTCCAGGCCCTCGTCGTCGACCGCGCCCTCCTCGTCGCCGCCGCCCGCACCGCTCTCGCCCGAGGACGACGCCCTGCGCCGCGTCGTGCGCGTGCGCACGTTCGTCGTCGTGCGGTACTGGCTCCTGAACCACTTCATGGACGACTTCTACCCCGACCGCGCGCTCCGCACAGCGCTCACGACGTGGCTCAACGACTCGGCGCGCGACGAGCGGTTTCGCCAGAGCCCGCGCGACCTGCGCCTCATCAAGGGCCTCAAGAAGACGGCGAGGAGGTGCAAGGAGCGCTACATCCTCGGCGCGGCGGCTACCGCTCCGGGTGCGCCCGGGCCCGCCGTCGCGCACCCGCACGGGCCCCTCGAGGGCGAGGTCGACCTCGACCTCGGCGTCGGCGGTGGCATGCATGATGCGCCGACCGCAGCCACAGCGCCGCATGCCGCGTCGTCGAGCGGCTTCGCGAGCCTGCGGTCGCGCGCGGGCCTCTCGGCGACGCCGCACCACCACCACGACGCCTCGTCATCCTCGTCCGCCGCTGCATCCGCCGCGCTCGACTCGGCCGCCGCAGCGTCGACCGAGCACGATGCGCACGGTCACGGCGGCGCAGGCCCCGGCGGCGCACTCGCGCGCGGCGTCTCGACGGCGCTCGGCACGCTCGGCCGCTTCCGGCGCAAGCTCAAGGAGCGCGCCGCGACGGCTGCGCATGCGCACGACGCGGCGACGGGCGGTGTGGGCGGCGTGCGAGGCGGCGAGAGGGCGGAGCTCGAGCTGGAGAAGCGGGGCGAGACGGACTTGCTGTGGGTCCGGGGCGGCGTCGACGCGTACTTGCGGTACTGGGGCGTCGAGGTGCCGCAGGACGGCCCCGTCGAGGAGGGAGGCGAGGAGATGAACGAGCGCACGCCGGACATGGTGCACGGCGAGGAGGAGGAGGGCACGCCGAGCACGGCGGACGAAGGCGCCGAGGCGCTGACGCCTCGTCCCGTCGACGCGCCACCCGAGCCTGCGCTCGACGGCAGCCTCGCTCTGGACGCCTCGCCTGTACTCGCCGACGAGGGCGTGGGCCTCGGCCTCGGCATCGTCGGCGACGGCCTTGACGAGCCGCCGGCCGTCCTCGCTCTCGACCACGCCTACCCGTCCTCGTCCAAGCCGCCGCTCGTCGCGCCTCCCGCCGATGTTCCCGCTCTTCCTTCGACGACCGAGCCCTACGTCTTCTCCCTCGCCCCGGGCGCCTTCACCTCGCTCGACGCCGCTCCCCCTTCCTTCCCCTTGTCCAACCCGAGCCCGCTCCGCCCCGAGTCGGTCCGCATCGAGCTCGACGACCTCGACGACTCGGACGACGACATGGACGACGACGTTATCGAGGCCAAGCGCACGCTCAAGCGCCTGCCGGCGGCGACCAACCTTCGGCTAGCGGCGGCGGGCGTCCAGCAGCGGCGCAGTCCGAGCGCCGGGTCCGAGGCGTCGTCGTACGGGTTCGCTGCGCCTCACGGGCACGGCGGCTTCGACTGGTCCCTTGGCGGCGGTGGCGTCGGCGGCGAGGACGACGGCGCGTCGCGCGAGTCGATCTCGTTCCTCGACGACGAGGCCGGCTCGACCCTTTCCGCCGCCGCCGTCATCCCCAACTTTGTCCTCGACGGCCTGTTTGACTCGGACGACGACGACGAGCCGGGCGACGTCGAGGCGGCGCTGCGGCGGCTCGAGGGCCTCGTCGACGAGTCGAGGGAGGACGAGAAGAAGAAGCGGGTCGAGCGCCAGATGGAGAAGAGCGGCAAGCTGGGCGAGGAGCGGCGGGGCGAGATCGACAGGCTGGAGAAGGAGGTGCAGCGGCTCGACGCCGAGTACGCCGACATGCGCCGCATGTCGGCCCCCTCGACCAACGAGCCCGACTCGGCAGCCGTCGCGCCCGTACCGCCGCAACGCGAGATGGCCATCGTCGACGTCGCCCCGACGCACGTCGAGGTGGGTCCTCTCGACCTCGCCACCAATGCGCCTGCGCCCGTCGCGCTGTCGTCGTCGCCGACCCAGATCGACCAGTCGACTACCGGCCCGGACCTCCTCACCATCTCCCCTCCTACCGCGACTGCCACCACCGTCGACACGCTCCGCAAACCCTCCCTCAGCCACATCTTCGGCATCCCCCTGCGCCCACTCTCGGCGCGCCCGGGCCTCCCCACCTCGTTCACCCTCCCGCTCCACCCTCACCGCGGCCCGTCACCTCCCACGCACCGGTCGTTCGTGCTGTCGTGCCGCACCGACGTCCTCGCGGCCCAGTTCACGCTCATCGAGCGCGACCTGCTCCGCATGTTGAGCTACCAGGAGCTCGTGAGCGGGAGCTGGCGCGAGCGCACGGGCGCCGTCGACGGCGAGCGAGGAGTTGGAGGTGCAGCGGCCGAGACGGACGTCTGCGACTGGGAGGCCTACGTCAAGGAGCGTCGTCGGCGGGACTTTGAGGAGGCGCGCGAGGGAAGGACGGTCGCGAGGACGAGCGCGGTCCAGGACGTGATCGTGCGCTTCAACTTGACGGCCAACTGGGTCTGCTCCGAGGTGCGTCTCCTTCTCTTCATCCTTCTCACGACGAGCCGAGACTGATGAGGACGTCGCCGCACACGCGCAGATCCTCCTCACGGCCGACGTCCACGAGCGAGCCATGCTCATCGCCAAGTTCATCCGCCTCGCCTTCGTGCGTCCCCCCTCTCTCTATCCTTCCCCTCCTCGTCTCCTGTCACTAATCTATGCCGTCTTCTCGCGCAGAAATGCTACTGCCAGGGCAACCTGCAGACCCTGGCCCAGATCGTCCACGGCCTGCAGCTCGACGACGTCGAGCGGCTGAACAAGACGTGGGCGCGCGTGCCAGCGTGGGAGATGCGCAAGTTCCGCGGCATGCAGGCGTTCGCGTCGCACCTTCGCAACGTACGTCCTCGCTCTCGCTCTGCCTCCCTCTCTCGTACTGGCCTCTTGGGCCTCGACGGGTCCGAGCGGGGCTAACCTTTGTATTCCGGCCGCGCGCAGTTCAAGCACCTGCGCGCGCTCATGAGCGCAATGGTCGAAGAGTACGGCGGCTCGGCGGACGACGACGGAGCTTCGTCGTCGTCGTCACCGCGGCCCTCGACCAGCCCATCGTCCGGCAAAGGCTGCATTCCCTTTCTCGGTGCGCCCCCTTTCCCCTCTCTCGGTCTCTCTCGATGCGACCCTCTGCGACGGCCACTGACGTCGAGCTCGATCGGCGATGTACAGGCCTCTTCCTGCGCGACCTCGCCCTCACGACCGAGCTCCCGACCTACCTCGACCCGTCGTCGCCGTCGTCGCCCGCCCACGTCTCGCCCTCGGGCCTCCTCGTCTCGCTCGCGTCCCCCTCGTCCTTCTCGCACCTCCCCTCGCTCCCGCCCTCGACGCCGTTCGCGCCGCTCGTCAACGTGCACAAGTTCCGCCTGCTCGCCGGCATCGTCGGGCGCGTCGTCACGTTCCAGCGCCTCGCGGCGCGGTATGCGCACGAGCCGACGAGGGGCGCGTACTGGAGGTGCCTCAAGATCAGGTGCCTCGACGTCGGCGTCGCGAGGGAGCTGTCGAGGAGGTTGGAGCCGTAAAGGCGGGTCTCGGTCGCTCTCGGTGTCGCGCCGTCTTTGTACCACCACCTCGCACGTTTCTCCTTGTCGTCACCCACTCTACTAGCCCATACCCCTCCCTTCGTAGCATTCCACCCCTCTCACGAAACACGCACTCGGTCTCTCTCGGCCGTCGAGCCACCTCGCGAAGGCGAGCTTTTCTCTCTCTCTTCTCGCTCTCTCGTCTCGCCCGCAAAGAGAGCCCCGCACGAAGTACATTGCGCCCTCGGACTCGCTCTACCGCTTCGAGCCTGCTCCTGCAACCGCACTCGAGCCTGCTGCGGGCGACGGGCCGAAGAGGATGCGGCCGCGGTGTCGCAGGTTGGCGAATGCGACGCCCGAGTCCGTCGAGTCGATACTCCTGTGCGTCCGTGTCAGCCAAGAACCCTGTCTCATCCGGCGGCAGGCCAGCGCAGGAAGTGCAGAGGGAGAGAGGAGAGGCGCACCTCGAGGCCATCTCGCTCGCGAACGAGACACCTTTGGGTGGCGGCGCCGACAAGAGGATACCGACTGTGAGGAGGAGGAAGGACGCAAAGGCCTCGAGAGTGACCTGAAAGCGCAAGGGAAGGTCAGCCGAGTCCGAGGAGGAGGAGGGGGAGGCGGGAGCTGGACTCACGGCAAGGGGGAGGTGCGAGCCCAGGAGGGTCGGCTCAAGGTGAATACCGAGTGCCTTGGCCGACGTGCGTGCTGCGTGGTCGAGCCGAGTGAGCGTGCTGCCGCAGGAGCGAGGAGGAGAGAGAGGAGACGGACCCAGCCAGGCCGAGTAGGCCGAGTGGAGCAGGGCTGCGCTTGCGAGGACGATAATGAGCCGTGCGAGCATGGCGACGGTGCTGCTGTGCTCGTCGGTGCTGTGGTGGACAAGGGGGAGGACGAGCAAGACGTGCGGGGAGATGAGAAACGGTGCGAGACGCCCTCGTCGACTGAAGCTGGTTCTGGACGATACAGTCCGTCGTTGACACTGTCACCCAGCTTGCCCGCCTGTCAGTCCAGCAAAGCGAGGCGGCCGCGGTGTCGTCGTCCCGGTCGCTCGCCGCGTCGTCGTCGCGTCTCGTTCCTCCTCGTCTCCACCTCGCCTAGCCGACAGGCGCAGCTCGCAAGGCGCCTCGACACTCGTCTGCCACATGGACGGCGCGCTCGCACAGCGGTGGCCGCAGCTCGTCGCGTCGCCAGCTGCCGCCGTCCCTCCGAGCGACCCGGGCGACCTCGAGGAGACGCGGGCCGCGCTGCTTGGCGAGCGCTACTGGGCGACACCGTCTCCACTCGGCACGGCACAGGGGGGCGCCGCCATGCAGCTCGACAGCGACGATGAGGTGCGCCCCCTCCCCTCCTCCTCCTTCCGCGACCCCTGACTGACGCTCTCCCTGCCCAGCCTGCACCTTCGCCTTCTCGAGCAAGAGCGTCCTCGAGCTCGATGCACGGCGCACGGCAGCCTTCGCCTTCTTTTGCCGCGCCTCGCCGCCGACCCACCCCCTCCTCCCCACTCGCCGCCGACACTTCCGACGCCGACTCAAGCCAGCTCTCCCTCCCAGCACTGCGCAAGCCTGCAGCCCTCCCCCCTGTTTGCCTCGTGTCGCCCCTCAGCTCGTCACCGTCGCAGCCTGTACTCGGCAGGGCGCATCAACCTCTCGCCTCGACCAGCCGCACCTCATCCCCCTCGCGCTCTCGCTCGCCCACCCCGCGCGCTCGCGCTCCCGCGTCGTCCTCTCTCGTCGAAATCGGAGCGCAAGAAGCGCTTTCCTCGACGCGCGCAACCTCCCCGCCGCCCATCATCCCTCCCGACCCCGACCCTCCCGTCCCCGCCGGCCGCTCCTTCCGGCAGCGCACGGCAGCGCAGCTCGCGCCGTACAGCACCGAGCACCAGCGCTACGCCGTCGCGCTGCTGCGCAACGGGTGGGAGGGCGCCGTCGTGCGGGGCCTGCCGCGCGGCCACGACGAGGACGGCGAGGACGAGGTGCGGCGCCGCAAGGAGGCGGCCGAGCGGGCCGACAAGGCGAGGCGGCAGAGGCTCGGTGGGTGGCTCGTCGACGAGGAGGAGGAGGGCGAGGGCAGCGGCGAGGGCGGCAGCACGCCGAGGGCGGGCGGGAGCGCCGCCCGGCGCCAGACCGCGACGACGGGCGGGCGGTACGAGCGCGACGGCGCGTGGGTGTCGACGGCGGCATCGGGCGAGACCGAGGACGAGGACGAGGACCTCGAACTCGACGGCGACGACCTCCTCGAGCGCGAGGCGCGCCGCAGGGACCGCATGCGGCGCGCGGTCGACGCGGCCATGGGCGACGACGGGACCTCTCGAGCTCGCAAGCGCAGTACGTCTCCTGTTCTCCTCCTCTCTCCTTCTTCTTCGCCTCCCTGTCTTCCACGCCCTGACGCGAGCCGTCCTCCAGAGCACTCGCCGCACCGCCACGGCCCATCCCGCCTCGACGACTCGCGCTACCATTCGAACGCCGGCCCGACCTCTCGCCGCCGCCGCAGCGGCAGCCTCGGCGCGTCGAAAAAGGGCCCTCGCTCGACTCGCCCGTTCGCCGACGACCGCGACCGCGACCACGCCGCCGACTTGGGCTCGCCCTCCGAGTCCAACTCGAGCGCCGCCTCAGGCACCGAGTCCGACTCGCTCCCGGCGCCGCACGAGCTCGGTACGACACGCCCGACCCGGCGCACGCGCAAGCGCAAGCGCACGACCGCGCCCGAGTCGGGTCGCAGAGCGCGCGCCGGCGCCGACGCCGCCCGCCGGCCTCGCACGACGAGCGGCCGCGCCGAGTCGGCTCCCCCGTCTTCCTCCCCAGCGCGTACGTCGCGCAAGCGCTCGGGAGGGACGTCGCGCGGCCCGGGACACGGCTCGGGGCGGCGGCACGGCTCGGGCGCGGGCAAGACGCGGCGCGAGCGCGCCGGCAGCGAGCCGATGCGGGACGGCCTTGCCGTCAGGAGGCGGCCCGACGGCATGGCGATGCCTGCAGGGTCGCTGCACGGGCGAGCTGGGCGGGCCGGCCTCGGCGGGCGGGAGGAGGACTGGGAGGGCGAGCTGCGTGCGCTCGAGAGCGGGAGCGACGACGCGAGCGGGAGCGCGACCGAGCGAGGCGGCCGGCGCAGGCGGTACAGCGGCGAGTCGGACGACTCGTTGGCCGGCTCGCGCTCGTCCTCGGCGCCAGCGCTCGACCGCGCCGGCGACGGCGACGACCCCTCGTCCGACGTCTCGGCGTCGGCGCGTCCCGCACCGCGCCTCGAGGTCCGCGGCAAGCGCCGTCGTGCCCTCGGCGCCATGATGCCCGCCGTCTTCCTCAAGAGGGCCGTCGCCGACCTCGAGCTCATGAAGCGCGAGCGGCGCGCGCGCAGGGCCGGCGGCGCGCTCGGCTCGGACTCGGACGCCGAGCTCGACGGCGGCGACGAGTCGGACGAGCTGAACTCGGGCGACGAGGAGGCACTCGAGCGGGAGCGGGAGCGCAAGAGGCGTGCGAGGGCGAGGGTCAAGGTGAGGCGGCGGGACGACGACGACGACGCCGCCGCCGACGGTCGTCCGTCGCTGCTCGGTGCCGACGTCTTCACCGACGAGAGCGGCTCGGCACCCGAGCGCAGCGACGACGACGACGACGACGCGCACGACGACGAGGCCGACGCCGTCGCCTCGTGGCTCGATTCGTTCGCGCCGCGCTCGCGCAAGGGTCGCGCCGGCGGCGCCGCCGACGAGGACATCGTCGACCGCTTCCTGCGGCGCGCCCGGCGACCGCCGCGTCGGCCGGCGCAGCGCCAGCCGTCGAAAAAGAAGGGCGGCGCCGGTGGAGCAGGGCGTTCCGGTCACGGCGTGGGCAAGGACGCCCCGGCGCGCTCCCGGCCCGCCGTCACCGGCACCGGTCGCGTCGACAAGCAGCAGCGAGGCGTCCTGCGCGACAGCGGCAACTACGTCGCCGGGTACCGTCCGCTCGACGGGCCCGCTGCGCCGGCCTGGCAGCGGCGGCCGAAGCAGGTCGCGCTCGACACGGACGAGGCCGTCTTCGCCTTCGTCGGGCTGCGCGACGGCTCGACCCGCGACGACCCGAGCGACGCCGACGTCGTCGTCGTCCGCTCGCCCCATCGTCCCGCCGCACCTCGACCTGTCGGCGCCATTCCCGCCGACCACGGCATCCCTGTCGTTCCTCGAGCCCTCGTCGCCGGCGCCGGCGAGCCAGACGGCGAGGCGTGGGCGTCGTTCGGCCGGTTCTCGCACGACTTTGACCTGCATGGCCTCCCCGCCGGCGTGCGCTTCGTCGGGCCCGACTCGTTCGTCCGCAACGGGTACCTGTTCTCGCTCGTCGACTCGTCGGCCCTTCCGCAAGGCCCGTTCGCCGCCGATGTCTTTGGGTGTCGCCTCCTGTCGAGCATGACGGCCGGCGAGCTCGACCCGCTCGTTCCGATCGTGTGCGACGGCGCGCACGACGCCCTCGTCGCCTCGCTCGCCGCCGCAGACGACGCGCCGAGCCCGCTCGTCGAGATCGGGTCGGCGCTGCGGTTCCTCGGGCAATGGACGTCGACGCAGGCCGTCCAGGTCGGCGCCGAAGCGCTCGCCCGGCTCGGCACGGCCGTTCTCGCCCACCTCGAGCGCCTCGAGACGCGCCTCGACACGGTCGTCATCCCCGACGCCCCCGCGGCGAGACCGTTCCGCCTGCGCCGCATCGTCCTGTCGTGGCACGTCGTCGACCTCGCCGCTCGGCTGCGCAAGGCGTGCGGCGACTCGGCGGTCGACTCGGCGCGCCTACAGCGTCTCGTCGCCGTCCTCGTGCGGCGCCTCCTCCAGTACGGCGTGGACCGCACGACGCGCACGCTCAAGGCGGCCCGAACGCCCGACGCGCTCGTCGCCGACGTCACGGTCGAGGCATGGCTCGGGCTCGTCAGCCTCGCTATCAGCGACGACGGCGACGTCGGCCTGAGCGAGAGCGACCTGTGGACGACCGTCGTCGACGAGACGAGGACGACGCTCGCCGGGACGCGAGCCGAGCGCGGTCCGGCCGGCGGCGAGGTCCTGTCGTACACGGCCATGGCGCTGTGCGCCGTCTCGCAGTTCTCGCCGTCGGGCATCTCGACGTCCAAGCCTCGACTCGCCGCGCACTGGCCAGTGCTGCTCGCGACGCTCGAGGCGATCCAGCCTGCCGCGCTCGCCCAGCCCGACCACACCCTGTCGAGCACGGCCGTCGCCCGTCGCGACCGGTACCTGTGGACCCTGTTCGCGCGGTGCCTCGTCTTTGTCGAGCGGTGGGCCTGGTCGGTCGACATCCGGGACGACCTCCTGCCCCGGCTGTTCGACCTTCTCAACGCTCGCCGCCTCGCCGACCTGACGACCGAGACGGCCGGCGACTTCCCGTCCTTCCTCCAGGACCTCGCCCTGTTCGACAAGAAGGTCGAGCTCGACCCGAAGCGCGACACGGCGTTCGTCATCTTCCTCAAGCTCGTCATGGCCGCCGCCGCCGTCCTCCCGTCGTCGACCGACGCCGAGAGGCGCCGCCAAGGCGCCAAGCTCACGCGCCTGTTCCTTCGTCTGTCGCCCATGGTCTCGTCGGCGTGGTCCAAGCAGTCGGTCGAGCTCACGTCGCGCGGCCCGTCGGTCCTCGTCAACCACTACTCGCTCCACCTCGCGTTCGCCGCGCTCCTGCCCTCGGCCGCCCCGCAGCGGATCGAGCAAGCCGCTCGCCTTATCGCGTTCGGCAACGTCGACGACGAGGCGCGCAAGACGTGCATCCGCGCCGTCCTGTACTTTGCCCTCGTCGCGAGGCGGCACCAGCTCGCGCTCGGACCCGTCGTCGAGTGGCTCGCCGCCATCACGGGCACGCTCAAGAGCGAGTACGGTGCTGTCGAGCGCGAGCGTCGCAAGGACGAGCGGCTGCAGCGGCGCGGCGGCGGGGGACCAGGCGGCGGCGGGACGAGGGCGCGCGAGGGCACGAGCGGCGACCCGCTGTGGACACGCGCGCTCATGATCACGATGGTCCTGCGCTCGGTGCAGGTCGTCACGCGCTGGCGTCAGCGCTCGGGCGAGGACCAGACCGCGGTCGACTTCCCGGACCTGGCGCTGCTGCATCCTGGTGCGTCCTCGCCCGCTCAGTCCTCCTCCTCTCCCTCGCGCTTTCACTGTCGTCGTGAGCGAGTCCTGACCTTCTCATTGAGCGCAGCTTGGACGTCGCAGCTCCTCGACTCGCCGCTCGCGCTCGACCCCATGATCGGGCGCGAGGCTATCCGCACGATCGAATGCTTCCTCGACGTTCGGCGCGCCGCCCTCCCTCGCCCCTCGGCTCCTCAAGCCGTCGCAGCAGGTCACGGCGACAGCCAGGACGACTTTGGCATGCTCGACGACCTCGACTTTGACGACCCGGCGCTCAACGCCATGCTCGGCATCGACGGCGGCGCAGGCGTCGCCGACGAGCAGCAGCAGCACGAGGACGAGGTCAAGGCCAAGGACAAAGCTTTTGCCGAGGTGCGCCCCCTGTCCCTCACCGGCGTCGCCCTACAGCCGAGCGAGACCTGACCCGCAGTTGTCGTTCCTCCGCCGCAGCTCCTCCGCACGACAATCGCGCCCGCCTTCTTCCGCCTCGTCTCCAACATCTTTGTCGACCAGCAGGCGAGCGGCCCTACGATCGTCGACCGCGTCAGCTACGCCCAGACGGTCGTCGAGTGCTGGACAAGGTGCCTCGCCGTCGCTGTCGAGAACCGGGTCGCGGTCCGTCCTCTCTCCCTGCCTCTTCCCGGCGCTCCTCTCCTCGATTCGTGCCTGACGATGAGCCACTGTTGGTCGCGCAGGACTGGCGCCCTTACCTGCAGTACGGCGACCAGAGCTGGAAGCGGCTGAGCGACCCGGTCGGTCGACGCGACATCGGCCTCTTCCTCATCATCCAGATCCTCAAGCATGACCCGGCCGCCTATGTTGTGCGTCCCACACGTCTCGTTCAGCCCCAATGCGCGTCACTGACCGTCGTTCCTCGCGTACAGGCCTTTGCCGACGACGTCGTCGAGATCTTCTTCGAGTCGATCGTCGCGCGGCGCCTCACGTCGCAGCATGTCCTCCTTGAGCAGCTGCTCAACGCCGACCAACACGAGCACCTCGGCACCGTCTCGCCTCTGCTCGACGGCCTGCCGTTCGCCCGCTCGACCGAGACGGGTCGAGTCCGGGTCGAGCAGCTCGACCTTCTCGACAAGCGCCTCGACGTCCTCGCCGGTGCGTCCCAGATTCCTCTTCCTCTCTCTCTCCTTGTCCTTGTCCTGGGACTGACCTCGCACCCTCGCACGTCTGAGCAGTCTCCTTCCGCAACGCCGCTCGCCTCGTCCTCGCCTCGACCGCCGGCCACCCGGGCTCGGGCCCGCTCTCGACCACCCAGCTCCTGCACCGTCCCGCCGCACGTCCACCTCTGCCTCGTGGGACCGTCATGAACCTGCTGCGGAGCATGCTCGCCGCCATCAAGGACAACTTGACTGTGCGCTCGACGCTTCCTCTCCTTCTTTCCTCGTCCTCTCGAGCCTGACCCGCTCTCGTACACCTGCAGGCCATCCACGACGAGTCGTCGCGCGCGAGCTACGCCTCGTTCGCGCGACTCGTGCTCGGTGCGCTCACGAGTGCCGGGAACGAGGCGGCGGTCGGGGCGGGAGCAGCAGGGCCGCGAGCAGGCGCCAAGAAGGGCCCGTTCGACGAGATGGCGCTGCCGGACATCAGGGCGTTGAGGCTCGCTGTAGCCTAGTGGGCTCATGAACTGTCAGTCCTCGAGTTGCTCGTCGCGCGAGGCACTCTCTCCGAAAAGCGAGAGCGAGATGCGCATGCACGCAGCGCCGTCTTCTTCGCAAGGCGCTTCGTGCGCAGGTTTGCGAGAGAGTGTCACAGTCTCGTAAGCTTTGCCACGCTGTCGGGAAAGCCTTTGGACGAGGACACGCCGCGACCAAATTGCGCAGCTGCGTCTCCACCTCCTCCTCGGCCTCTCCCCTCTCCTCCCTCCTCACCACCTCACTCGCCTTTGCCGAGTCACAGTGCGTCCACTGCCAGAGCCCTCAAAGCGCGCGTCCACTGACCCGGCAGCGTCCCGCAGGTTCTCTTCGCCCTCCCGACCCGACCCTCGCCTCGACCCTCGTCATCGTCATGGCCGTGAGCTCTCCCTCCTCCTCTCGCGGTACTGCCCAGATGTGCGCAGACCTGACCTTGCCCCATGCGCGCAGTTCTACAACCTCATCAGCTTCGCCATCCTCACGCTGGAACTCATGACGTTCCTCGTGGTCATTGTGCGTCGCCGGCCCCCTCTCCTCTGTCGAGCTGGCTCCCTGTGACAGACGCGCTCCGCAGCAGTAGAGCTGTTGTACAGCTCTGCTCTCCGGTTCGGCGAGCCTTCCCCCGTGGAGCCACGCTGACCTAGTCGGCCGTGACGCAGTTCCCGCTTCCGTTCGCCTGGAGGCGCGCCATGTTCAAGGCGATTGCCGAGTCGCGTACGTCCCCTCTCGCACTCTTATCCAGCACCAGGACCGAGCCTGACCCGCCCACCTACTCGCAGACATCATCGCCAGGGTCCGTCGCTTCCCTCTCCCCACCTCGCGCACACGACCAGGCCCTGACCCTTCTCGTTGTCGCGCGCAACAGCTCCAGTACGGCCTCAAGATCACCTTTATCTTCATCGCGATCCTCTTTGCCGACGCCGTCAACCAGATGCTCAAGATCCACCGCGAGCGCGAGGCGTGCGGCGACCGTTTCCTCTCTATCTCTCCTCGAGCCCTCGTCCCCCGCAGCGGTTCGCTGACTGTTTGGCTCGCACGCATATCCTCGACAGCAGCCTTGCGACGAGCCCTGCCGGCGTCGCCGCCACGCCCGACATGCGCGCCCAGGCCGACTACCGCTCGCGCAAGTTCCTCAGCGGTGCGTCCCCCTCTCCTCCTCTCCTCCTCGTCTCGTCTGGACGGGACCCTGACTCGTCGCCGCCCGCCCGCCCGCCCGCAACAGAGCGCAACTTTTACCTGCACGGCTCGTGCCTCGTCCTGTCGCTCATCCTGTCGCGCACCTACTCGCTCGTGCTCGACCTGATCCGCGCCCAGGAGGAGCTCGCCGTCCTCCAGGCGCAGACGGGCACCGGTGGGCCCGAGGCCGAGAAGCTCGCCCAGCCGGACAAGCTCATTGGCGAGGCCGAGAAGCCAAAGGTCAAGCCCCAGGTCGTCGACAAGAAGAGGGAGTGAGCGCGGGTCGGGCGAGCGAGGAGCGTGCGTGGCGTGAGGACGCGGCTCGAGAGGTGGCGCGTTGCGCTCGTGCGACACATGGAGGAGGAGCATGAAGCGGGCAGGAGGGCAGCGACGGGTGGACGAGGGCAGCGAGCAGACCAAGTCGGACGAGCAGTACTTTACCTTCCCTCCCGCCCCCTCTGCACAAAGGACTCTTTTCTCTCTCTCTGCGACTGTCGTGCGAGAGTCGAGAGCGAGCGTGTGCGCGAGGGAACGGTCGCGTCGAACCCGAGGAGCCAGACGAAGCGAGACGAAGAGAGCCTCGCCGAGAGAGAGAGAGAGGGACACAGAAAACCGCCGTCGAGTACAACTGCCCGCCTCTGTCTACGGCCACGTCCATGTCGGTCGCACCCTGACCTCGCCCCGTCGCACTCAGGCAGTGGGCTGGACCTCCTTCGAGTCGTCGCGCGAGTTGTAGAAGGCGTCGAGGAAGTTGTCGGGCCGTGCTGCGGGTTGGTGGGCAGGTCAGTGGTGGGCCGTGTGACAGTGCGAGGGACGAAGAGGGACGCACGGGGAAGCTGCAGGGAGGGAGGGAGGCCCGGGTCAGTCCGGGTCCGCGGCGGAGACGACGAGGAGGAAGGGGGGCGCACCTCCTCGGCGGCGAACCAGCGCAGGACGTGCGAGTCCATCTTCCAGCAGTTGAGGGTTTCCTGGAGGTCCTGGTGGCCCTTGAGGAGCAAGACGTCGACGGCCTTGATGTCGCTCACGTGCTGGTTGCGCTCAAACTGCTCGCGGACTTTGGCGCGGATGGCGTAGGCGGGGATGTTGAGGGCGTACAGCGAGACGATCTCGGGTGCGGCGCGCATCCACTGGCGGTACAGGGAGCGGGACGAGGAGCGGGCCTGGTCCCAGGACGAGGACGACTTGGTGAGGCGGGCGAGGCGCGACGGGATGGTCGTCATGGTGAGAGGGGGTGCTCGTGCGTGTGTGGGTGGGTGCCGCGGTGTGGATCTGGGCGACTGCTCGGGTGAGAGAGAGGAGAGCCGAGAGCTTCCCCTCCTCCTCCTCCTCCTCCGGCCTCCTCCTCGCTGCTCGCTCTCCCTCTCGCTCTTCCCACCAAGCTCGACTCGCTCTGCTGCTTCGCAAACTCCACCGCTCATGGCCCAGCCCGTCATCGGTCCCGCCCTGAGCGGCACAGGCCGGCACTGGGCCACCCAACTCGCCCTCGCCGTCTCGTTCCTCAAGCAGGTCAACCGCCCGATCCGCCTCGAGGACCTCGCCTTCGAGTCCAACGTACAGGCCCTCCTCACCAACCACGACCTCGTGCACGCCCTCGCAAACCACGACCGCGTCCGCCACGACGAGCGCACCGGGCTCTTCTCGTACAGAGTGCGCTCCTACTCTCTGTCTCGCCCGCACACTGTACAGGCTCTCACCTTGCACAACGATGACGACAGCCCGACTACATCCTCTCGTCCAAGGCCGACCTCCTGTCGCTCCTGCGCCGCCACTCGCCTCAAGGTGGCCTCCCCGTCAAGAAGCTGCGCGAGTCGTGGACCGGCGCCCAGCAGGCCATCGAGGACCTCGAGCGCGAGGGTCGCGTTCTCGTCACTCGCACGGGCAAGACCGAGATGGCCGAGAAGGATGGCCAGATGAAGATGGTCTTCCTCGACGACATTGGCCGCGAGCGCGACCCGCTCGACCAGGGTCCGTCCTTCGTCCCTCGTCCGCTCTCGATGCCGTGCAGGACAGGGGACTGACGACGTGTCGGCGTACTCGCAGAGTTCAAGGACCTGTGGCGCTCGCTCAAGACGCCCGTCGGCGACGACCTCGCCCTCGAGCTGCAGCAGGGTCCGTCCGCGTCGTCCTCTCTCTCTCTCCCTCGACTCTACGCGTTCCTGACGCTCGATCGCCTCCCTTCTCTCTCCCTCTTGCGCCTCCTCGCGTCGCCGCAGCCGGTCTCGTCGCCTCGTCGGGCGCGCCTCCACCGCCGACGACCAAGAAGAAGGCGGGCAAGGGGCGCAAGGGCCCCGGCAGCTCGAACCGCAAGTTCAAGATCACCAACACGCACCTCAAGGACCAAGGGATCGACCTGTCCAAGGACTATGTGCCGCAGCGGTGAGCTTGCGGGGGTCGAGCGTCGGCGAGTCGAGGAGGAGGAGGGGGAGCCGCTTTTGTGCCTGTTGTACAAGTTTGTCGCCGCGTCGCGCATCTTCTGTCTGTAGCATCTCGTCGTTTCTCTGCAACCCGTCTCGCATGCGCAACGAGCGCCGTCGCAAGCCTCTCGAACGAGGTTGTCTCAGCCGGCGTGACGACGAGAGCGCGATCAGGTTGGTCTCCCTCGACCTTGACCCTCACCACCAGCATGACGTCGCACGCCCAAGGCGCAGCCGCGAGCACAGGAGGAGCATCGAGCAGGCGCCGCTCGCACGGCCAGCGCAGGCTCGTCCCCGAGGGAGAAGGCGAGAGTTCGGTGCGTTCCCCTCCTCGTCGTCCTCATCTCTCGCCCGCCTTGGCGACCCCGCCCGGCCACAGGGCGCACCGTGCCCCCTTCTCGCCACCGCGCACACTACTGACACGGCCCCTCGTCCCCTGCAGCGCGAGGCTTCGGCCGAATCCAACGACGAGACGCCCTCGGGCCCGGACCTCGACCTCGATGAAGACGACGACACCGACGACCGCTCGAGTGCGCCCGACGCCGGCGCGCGCGGCCTCAGCGTGCCCCTCGAGGGCATGCGCCTCGGCTCGCCTGGCCAGGGCCCGCTCGGCACCCCCAAGGCGGCGCCGCCCGGCTCGCTCGCGAGCGTGCAGCAGCAGGCGCAGGTGGCCGGCGAGGGCTACGACTCGGCAGGGCGTGCGTCCCCGCTCTCTCTGTCTCTCTCTCTCTCAGACACCTGAGCTGACTCGCCTCCCTGCAGACGACGGCGACATCTCGTCGGCGACGGCTGCGAGCCGCAACCCGGCGTCGGCCGCGCGCCTCTCGTCGCACCCGCACGCGTTCCGCGCACCCGTCGCGCTCGGCGCCCAGGCGCACCCGCACCCGGGCGGCACATCGGCGGCGGCGCAGCAGCAGCAGCAGCAGCAGCAGCAGGTCCTGCACCACCAGGCGTCGTACCGCTCCTCGGCGTCCGACCTCGCCGGCGACGAGCGCGGCATGACGAGCAGCCCGAGTCCGCCTGCGACCGAGACCGAGACGGAGGACGCCGACGTCGAGGCGCACGACGACGAGGAGGAGACGCCCGCGCCCGAGACGGCCGTCGAGAGCCGGCACCCGGGCGCGCAGGGCCAGGGCGACAAGGACGGCGACGTCATGTGGGCGCCGGCGCCGAGCGGCTTCTTGAGCAACCTGACGGCGACCGAGATCCAGGTGCGTCCCCGCTCTCTCTCTCCCTGTCCCCCTCTTGACGCTCTCGACGAGCGACACGAGCTGACTGGAGCTTTGTGGGCTCGTCGTGCAGGACCACATCCGCACCGCGATCGCTGGCGACCCGCGCAGGCCGTACAAGATCAATCCGCCTCCCGAGGGCCGGCCTGTGCGCATCTACGCCGACGGCGTGTACGACCTCCTCCATTGTGCGTCCTCGTCCTCCCCTCCTTCCTCCCTCGCCCGTCTGACTCGTCCCGCCCTCCTCGCAGACGGCCACATGCTCCAACTGCGCCAGTGCAAGCTCATGTTCCCCTCGGTGCACCTCCTCGTCGGCGTGTGCTCGTCGTCGCTCGTGCGCGCGCACAAGTCGCACCCGGTCCTGTCGTCGCAAGAGCGGTACGAGTCGGTGCGCCACGTGCGGTGGGTCGACGAGGTGGTCGAGAACGCGCCGTGGCAGGTCGACCAGGACTTTATCGACAAGTGGCAGATCGACTACATTGCGCACGACGAGGAGCCGTACGCGAGCGCGGGCAAAGAGGACGTGTACGCCTACGCCAAGTCGATCGGTGCGTCCCTCTCTCCCTCTCTCTCTCTCGTCCTCGCCGTACGGTACGGTCCTGACTCGCTCGTCGTCGTCGTGCAGGCGCGTTCCTCCCGACAAAGCGCACCAACGGCGTCTCGACCTCGGAGCTCCTGCAGCGCAGTGCGTCCCTCTCTCTGTTCCCTCACCTCGTCCCACCGACCTCGTCTCACCTGTGCCTCCTTCTCTCACGCTCGCAGTCGTCGAGGGATACCGCGACGGCGAGTACGACGGCAAGCTGCGCAAGATCGGCCACCCAGAGCTGTGCTCGCGCCAGGGCAGCGAGGTCGGGACGCAGTACGGCGGGGCGGCGCCCTGAGCGTCGGGCAGCGAGCAGGTGGGTCTGTGTACAACACGAGTAGAGTCCAAGTTTCTGTGCCCTGTCTTGCGAGACGTAATCGAGCTTTTTCCCTTCCGCGTCGCTCCTCGAGGAGGTTGCGAGCGCTCGATCCTCTCGTCGCTCCCTCCTCTCGGTTCGGGCTGTCCGCTGCACTCGTGCAGAGCTCTCTCTCGAGCGTCTCTTCGTGCCGCAGCGAGTGGCTGCGCTCGTCGCCGGCGCTCGTTTGTCCTTCCGCAGCCGCTTCTCACCTCTCGTCTTTGCACCATCGCTTCGTCCGTGGCGCTGCGGAGCCCCTGTGCGGCCAGAAGATACTCGACGCCTCCTCTGAGGCGGAGGCGCGGGCTCGTCAATGGAGCGTCGCCGGCCCCGGTCTGTTTCGCCGCTCGCGCCTCTCGAGATGAGGCCGGAGCTCCCTTCCTTCGCTCGTCCTTCCTTCTCGCCGCTTTGCCGCTGCCTGAGTGGCCCTCGTCCTCCTCGACATCGACGCCCCGACCTGCGCAAACTCGTAACGCAACGCCCGACCATGCCGCTCGCTCCGCCTCTCGTCACTCGCGACCTGACGGTGCGCCCACTCTTCCCCGCCTCTCACACGCACCGCGGCCTCACGAACTCACTCTCGACCGCCAGCAGCACAGTCGCAAGCTCCCAGGCCGCCAGGCCGCCTTCCACACCGTCGCCGACGCCTTCCTGTCGCTCCTCGCCTCGCCCGAGCACCCTCTCGCCCCAGCTCTGCGCGCCGTCTTCCTCCCCGCCCTCCTCGGCATCGACGCGCCTCGTCCTCGCGACAACGGCTCGGCCGACGAGCAGCTGCGCCGCCTGTTCGAGGACCCGCCGCAGGTCGTGCTCCTCCAGACGGTGCCGAGCGCCGAGGGCGTCGACGCGGCGTGGAAGACGAGGCCGGCCGAGATGCTCTCGAGGGTCTTTGCCGCCTTTCCTCTGCACTCGGAGCTCGAGCGGGCCAAGGGCGAGGGCGAGCAGGAGGAGGTGGCCAACTTGTCGAGTGCGTCGCCGCCGCTCGTTCCCCTCTCTCGACGTCACTGACCCTGTCCCTCTCGTCGCGTGCGCGCAGTGATGGTCATCGCGACGCTCACGTACGAGCTCGCGCACTGGATCTTTGTCAAGGCGCACGGCTACCGCCCGCACGACGCCATGTCGGACACGGCGTCGCTGTACACGACGACGACGGCGCACTCGGTGTCGTCGATCCACTCGTCGCGGTCGCTCCTCGCGCCGCACCGCGACAAGGACGACGTCGGGACGAGGGCCGTGCTCGCCCTCCTCGGGTGCGAGTACGAGCTCCTGACCTACACGATCGGCGAGCGCGAGCTCGTCAAGCGGCGGTACCCGACTCGTCGCAGCGCGGCGCTCCAGCCGCCGGGCGTCTTCTTCCTCATCGGCGACACGCCCGCGATCCGCGACTGCACGACCATGAGCCCGACCGCGAGCGGCATGGTGCCGCCGCACCGCGAGGGCGACTCGATGTACGCCGTCACGAGCGTCCTCACGCCGGCGGGCATGGCGCGCATGCACGGCAACTGCACGCTCGGCGGCGGCGGCGGCGGCACGAGCGTCGGCGCGCAGTCGGTCCAGGGCGTCAAAGTGAGCCTCGACGCCGCGTCGCAGCGCAGCGGTGCCGGCGGCGACGACGACGACGACGACGACGATGGCAAGGGCTTGGACCCGATGTACTCGAGCCTCTGAGCAGCTCTCTGTCCCTCTCGTTCTCTCGATGCGCCCTCGTAGTACCGTCCCCTGCAGTAAAGACCTCGTCTCGTCTCGAGTGACCGGCGCGAAGTCGAGAGCGAGGATGCGCGTGACGCGAGCTCGTCGCGGCCGCAGCTCAAGCTTCTTGTCGCCAGTCGTCTTGAGCGAGCCCGACGGAGAGCGAGAGCATGCATAGAAGCTTCGTGCGACGAATGCAGCGAGCAAGCGCCGCCGTTGCGGACAAGCACGAGGGAGGGAGTCGCGCTCGCTCGCGCGCACGGGCCCGTTCGCTTCTCCTCGGCTGCGAGGCAGCACGCCAAGTGCGCCTCGTCGACCGGATCGCACAGAGCGATCGCATGCCAGGCAACGGGCGGAGAGAAGGGCGCGCCGGTAGCGCGTCCGAGGCCGACCCCGCCGCGTGCGAGCGGGCGAGGAAGAAACGGTCGAGGAGGGGGCACAAGACCGACTCGTGGCTCGCGCGAGGGTGCGAGCAGCGTCGAGCTGGGAGACGAGCCTTGAGAGCGAGAGGGAAGCGGTAGCGGAGGAGGAGAGCGGGAGGGACGAGGGACGCCGTCCGAACAGCTTGGTCGTCCGGAAGCGAGAGCGAATGAAAAGAGGGGCGGGCGGCCACGCGAGGGAGCACTTCGGCGAGCGACGCCGACGGGATGCGGAGGGCAACTTCACGCGCCGGAGGAGGAGGGGGTCGAAGGGTCGATCGAGCGAGCTCGCCGTTGAGTGAGGGAGCGCGAGGTGCGCGCGGCGAGGGGAGGAGGACGAGTGGTCCGAGGAGAGGGAGGGAGGGCAAGATACGCAGAGGGAGGAGCTTCCGATTGCCACGAGGCGAGCGCGGTCGAGAAGAACGAACAGCGAGAGCGACGGGTTGCTCGACGAGGAAGGAGTGGCCGCCGCGACCGACGCCCGCGCCTTTGTGCTCGACGACCGCTCGACGACAGCCACGGCTTGTGCAGCCTGAGCAGCAAGGCCGCCTCGCCCAGCACAGCAGCCACACCCGCGCCGTCCAGCTCCTCACGCGCCCCCGCCAGCGCTTGTCGCCGCCCCGTCGCCCCGCCCGTTCGCGACGCACCTCCGGCTCATCGCCCTTGTCGTTCCCCGGCCCCCAGGCGCACCACGAGCAGCCTCGCCTAGCCTCGACGACCGCCTAGCCGCCCCATAGAGCCGCGCACGCCACCTGTCGCGCCCGTCGTCGCGTCCTCGAACCTCGTCGGCGCCCCCTCCCGACGCACGACGACCCCCTCGCCCTCTCCTCCCTCGTCCTCGACCTCGTCGATCGCGCCGCCGAGAGCCGCATCCGCATCAGCCAGAGCACCACCTCGCAACGGCGCCCATGACCAGCGTCCATCCCTACGCGGCAGCGAGGCCGCAACCACCACTCGCGTCCGGCGCTGGCGGCGGTGCCCCGTCTCGCTCGCCCGCCCTCCTGTCGGCCCCTCTCCCGCCGACGCCCGGCAACCCCGCGGCGACGACCATGTCGGCGACGTCGAGCGGCGCAGCGAGCCCGCTCTTCGGCGCGTCCCTGTCGTCCTCGCTCCGCCCGCCGTTCGACCGCACCCCGTCGTCGGCGTCGGCCTTCAGCGACACGCCCGTCGCGACCAACTCGGCCCTCAACAAGGTCGCGTCGGCCTCGTCGTCCATCTACCAGCGCTGCAACGCCGTTCGACAGCGCCTCCTCCGCGTGCCCGACTTTCGCGAGCGCTTCTTCGACTCGACCGAGTCGACCCTCCAGGGCGCCCTCTCGCCGTCGATCGGCGGCCCGAACAACGGCGCACCCGCACCAGGGGGCGCCGACCCGAACAGCGGCGGAGCAGCAGGCGGCGTCGGCCCGCAGACGGACCCGGTCTCGCAGGTCCTGTCGGTCCTGCGCCTCGGCGCGAGCCTGTGCTACCTGTTCAACCAGCTCGGCCACGCCCACCAGCTCGACGTCAACCCGCAGGCGACCCTGAGCAACCTCAAGGCGTGCCAGAGGGGCGCGGCCCACTTCATCATGGCGTGCAAGCAGGACTTGCGCTGGCCCGAGGGTGACCTGTTTGCCGTCAACGAGCTGTACGGCCAGGACACGAACGGCGTCGTCAAGGTGCGCCCCACTCTCTCTCTCTCTCTCTCTTCCCTTTTCCCGTCCTCGTAACTGACTCGAGCGTGCGCGCCGCAGGTCGTCCACACCGTCACCAAGCTCCTCGACGTCCTCGAGGCGCAGGGCGCCCTCCTTCCTCCTCCCGACCTGCCCGATCCCGTTCCTCAAGCCGGCCCGTCTGACGAGCGCTCACTCGTCGTGCGCGAGATCCTCGACTCGGAGCGCAAGTACATGCAGGACCTCGAGGTGCTCCAGGTGCGTCTCGCGCTCGCTCCTCTTCCTGTCGCCCTCTGGCGCCCGCCGCTCACCGTCTCTCTCTCCCCTTGAGCAGGACTACCAGCGCCAGCTCCAGCTGCACGACGTCCTCACGCAGGACCAGATCCACAGCCTGTTCATCAACCTCAACAAGCTCGCCGACTTTCAGCGCCGGTTCCTCATCGGCGTCGAGGGCAACGCGAGTTTGGCGCCCGAGCAGCAGCGCTTTGGCAACCTGTTCCTGCAGATGGTGCGTCCCGTCTCTCTCGTCCACCCGTTCACAAGCGGCAAGACTGACTCACGCTCGTCCCCCCTCGCAGGAGGAGAACTTTGCTTGCTACGAGCCGTACTGCGCCAACCTGACCAACGCGCAAGACCTCGCCATCGCCGAGAACGCGGCCTTGTCTGTGCGTCGTCCCTCTCTTCCTGTCGCCCGTCGACAGAGAGAGAGAGAAACTGACCTGCCCTCCTCTCCCTTCAGCGACTGTCGCACGTGCTCGATCCGGTGTCAGAGCTCGCGCCGTTGCTCATCAAGCCCGTCCAGCGCATCTGCAAGTACCCGCTGCTCATCTCGGTGCGTCGCCAATCCTCTTCCTCTCGCCCGTCGGGCCTCGTCCTGACCCTCGTCGCCTCGCCTCTCGCAGTCGCTGCTCAAGAACACGCCCAACTCGTACCCGTACTACGACGAGCTCAAGGCCGGACTCGAGTCGATCATGCGCGTCACCGACAAGGTCAACGAGGAGAAGCGGCGCAAGGACAACGCCCAGGCCGTCGACGAGCTGCACCTGCGCGTCGAGGACTGGAAGGGCCACGACATCAACTCGTTCGGCCAGCTCCTGCTCCAGGAGACGTTCGTCGTCATCAAGAGCGACAACGAGCGCGAGTACAACGTGTACCTGTTTGAGCGCATCATCCTGTGCTGCAAGGAGGTCGGCACGCCGAGCAAGAAGGACAAGAAGAGCAACTCGATCCTCAAGCGGCCCCCGAGCCAGCGCGTCAACAAGCTCCAGCTCAAAGGCCGCATCTTTGTCAACAACATCACGGGCGCGTCGCAGATCCACCACCGCAGCGGTGAGCCCTCCCTCTCTCTCTCTCTCTTGCCCCCTCGTCGTCTTCCTCCTTCCTCTCGACGCCTCGTACTGACGTCGCTCCCTCCTGCAGGCCAGTACCTCCTCGAGGTCCGGTGGCGAGGCGACGTCGCCGAGGAGGCGTTCACGATCAAGTGCCGCACCGAGGAGCTCCTGCGCCAATGGCAGAAGGCGATCAACAAGGCGGTCGAGGAGGCGCCGAGTCGGCGTCGTGCGCACCACCTGTCGTCGAGTCGGCGGTCTGAGCGCGGCATGTACTCGCCGGCGTCGCAGTTCCCGCCGACGCCGATGAGCGAGTACGGGCCGACCGTCGGCGGCGCCGGCGGGTACGAGGGCAGCGGGCACCACTCGTCGCAGCACTCGCAGTACTACAACCTCGGCCAGCCATCGTACCCGCCCGGGCACGCCACGCCGGGCACGCCGCACTTTGGGTTCGACGACGACGCCGACGAGCAGCGCCACGAGGCGAACGAGTCGGGCCGCTCGACGCCCGCCACCGGTCGACGTCGTCCTCCCGACGCGACGCGCTCGCTCCCGCCCGACCACCCGCACATGCACGCCGCGCAGCAGCGCGACCTGCCCGGCATCCCTCGTCCTCGCGCTCAGACCGAGGACTCGAGCTCGCACGTCATCACGCAGTGGAGGACGCAGCCGCCTCCTCCCGGGCAGCAGCAGCACCACCACCACCCGCCGCAGCGCGGCATGAGCCAGTCGAGCGACGCGCCGTCGCTGCGCAGCTCGGCGAGCAGCAAGCAGCTGCGCACCAAGCCGAGCAGCGAGTGGGGCGGCGGCCCCGGCTTTGGCAGCCTGTCGTCGAGCCCGGCGGCGAGCTATGCGCGCCTGCCGACCGACGAGGCGACGCCTCGCACCGCCTCGCAGGCGTCGTCGGCCGGCGGCGTGTACCGCCACGCGTCGCACGGCCAGGTCCCGTCGAGCGGCTCGGCGGCGGCGTCGTCGTCCCACCACCCGGGCCAGTCGCCGCAGGCGCCGGGCATGATCCGCAACCGCTCGGCGAGCTCGCCCAACATCTACGGCCCGCCCGGCGGCCGGTTTGCCGACTCGCCGCAGATGCCGAGCGGCGACGAGTGGCACGAGGCGCAGGCCCGAGCGCACGCCCAGCAGCAGCAGGCGATGCAGCAGCCGCACTACTCGCAGCAGCAGCAGCAGCAGGTGTCGAAAGGGCGGGCGACGGGCGGCACGAGCTCGGGCGGGACGCTCGCGAGCGCGACGACGGCGGCGAGCGGGGCGGGCGGCGGCGGCGGCAAGAACGGCAAGCGCTTCTCGAGCAGCAGCTACGGCACCGACCGGTCGAGCGGGACGTCGGCGCACGAGTCGCGAGCAGGAGGGTACGGCTCGGGCTCGGTACCGGCGCTGCCCTCGGCGAGTGGCGCGTCGTCCCCCGTCGTCGTCACTTCGAGCTCCGCCGGCGGGCACGCTCCGGCGACAGCGGTGCGGGTCAAGGTCTTTTTCGGCGACGACGCGTTCGTCGTCGTCGTGCTCGACTCGGTCCCGTACCCGGACCTCGTCGACAAGGTGCTCAAGAAGATCCGCATGTGCGGCGGCGACCGGGCCCGGGTCGAGAGCCACGCGCTCCGGCTGCGGTACCGCGACGAGGACGGCGACCGCATCCTCATCACGAGCGAGGAGGACGTCGCCATGGCGTTCGAGACGGCGCGGGTCATGTGCGCCGACAAGGGCCCGGGCGCACAGCTCGAGCTCGTCCTCGACGCCGCCGTCGACCAGCAGTAGCCGGCGCGCTCAAGCTCCTGCAGCACCATCGTCGTCGTCGTCGTCGCCGCCGCCAACCTACGCCGTTTCTCGCCGTCTCGACCGCCCCGCCGTCGCCGTCTCGCCGCGGCGCTGTAGCCCGTACCCGTCGACCTCGTTCGCCTCTGGCGGCACCCTCTCTCGCATCCCGTTTTCGATACCCTTATGCGCCTGCTACCCCTACCTCTTGTTGTGCCGTCCCCTCGCCGTCGCTCGCCAGCCGTCCGTGCATAGCCCCGTCCCTCCTTCGTCTTCCTCCCCTCTCTCGCTCTCTCTCTCTCTCTCTCCCCTCATTCCCTCTTTCCTCCCTCTCCGTGTACACCCTCTGCGCTTCTTCGTACCACCCACGGTTGCGCCTTACGCATCAGCAATGCCAGCGCTCGCACGTCTCGCAGATCCGCTCGAGCTTCGGCCGTCGCGAGGCAAGAGAGCGAGAGCAGCTCGTCCGCATGCCTCGCTCCCTCACGAGCTCTCTCTGTGTAGCTCGTCGAGCGCTCTGTGAGCCGGACGATGCGCGTCGGCTGCGGTGGACGACGCAAAGCTCGTCCGCTCCTTCGCTTGCTCCTCGCGCTCGCTCGGGCCTCCTCCTCTCGCTCGGGTCTGGCGCCCGCCGTCATCGGTAGAGCCAGCAAGCTATGGTCAAGCGCCCGGACGTCCTCTCGCGTCTGACGCCTGCCAGGTGAGCAGGTCCGTGCGTGCGCGAGCTCAACCGGCAGCGAGCCCTCTCCTCGAGCAATCCGGAAGCTTCCCGCGGTCTCTCTTTGGTCCGCCTCTGCGTCTCTCGGTCTCTCGGTCTCTCCGTCATGCCGAGGCGCCGAGGGTGCCGAGGAAGGAGGAACTGCACTTCGTTCGCACTGCTGCCGAGGCGAAATCGACCGAAACCGGACCCTGCTTGCCGTACGCTCGCTCAGATACTGCGCGTAGGAGAGTTGAAGAGGGACGAGGAGGAAAGAGTGAGGAGGAGAGAGGGAGAGAGGAAGGCGAGAAAGAGTCAGTCTTGCGCTTTCGACACGCTCCTCGCTCTCGCCAAGGGACGAGAGAACGAGAGAAAGAGAGTGAGAGAGAGCACGACGACGCACCCACGACCACCCGTCACCTCGAGCGTGTGCCCGCTGATATAGCTCGACATCTCGCACGCGAGGAACAGGCACGCCTTTGCGGCCTCGTCGGGCGAGCCGGCGCGCCCGAGCGGGATGTCGGGCACGCGGTCCGAGTCGGTCTGGGCGTTGTTGCCGCGACCGGGGATCCCGAGCGGGATCTCTGCAGGAACGCGGGGGCGAAGGAGAGGCCGTTAGGAGGGCGCGACGGGAGGGGAGGAGGAGGGTCCGAGCGGGGGAGAGGGAGGACGCACTCTTGCCGTTGACCTCGATCGTCTCGCCGAGCTCCTTTGCCTGCGTCAGGCGAGTCGTGATGTAGCTGTGCGAGGTGAGGCGACAGGCTGAGAGTCAGTCTCGCGGTCTCCGAGGCCCGACTCGACGACGAGAGGAGGAGAGGGCGTACCCGAACGCGACGGTGTTGCAGCGCACGCCGAAAGGACCTGCGAGGGGTGAACGACTGTGAGCTGCTGCTCGACGAGAAAGAGCGAGGCGGCAGGAAGCGGGAAGAGATCGGCTCACCCCACTCCTTTGCGACGCTGCGAGGGGAGTAACAACGTGAGCGAGGCCGTTCGGGACGGTCGAGGCAGGCAGGAGGGACAGGGACGTACGTCTTGGTCAGGCCGACGATGCCCGCCTTGGCCGTCGCGTAGTTGGCCTGCAGGAACGAGTCCGAGACGAGGTCAGTCGGGTCGGGGAGGGAACGTGCGCGGTCACGAGCGACGATTCGAGGCGCACCTGGCCGACGTTGCCGTGAATGCTGCACGCAGACGAGGACGAGTCAGTGACCCGCGTGGGCTGCGAGAGGTGCGGGACAGAGCGCGATACGCACCCCGAGGTCGACGAGATGTTGATGATGCTCTTGTTCGTGTCGCGCGACTTGGGGTCCTTGGAGCGCATGTACGGCGCGATCTCCTTGATGAGGCGGAACGGCGCAGTGTTGTGCACCTTGAGCATGAGCTCGAACATGTCGTCGGGCGTCGTGTGGAGCATCTGCAGGAGGGGGACGAGCGGGAAGGAACGAGTCAGTCGCTCGCTCGACGCTCGACTCGCGCGTCGGGATCCGGGACCGTCGAGACGCACGCGGTCTGCGGTGAAGCCGGCCATGTTGACGACTGCAGAGGGGCAGGATGAATTAGTTGCTGCGGGAAGAACCAGGCCGAGAGGGAGAGCGATGCGGCGCACGAATGTTGATGCCGCCGTACGCCCTGCGAGGAGTCAAGGGGGAGTCAGCCAGACGTTCCATGCTGCTCTCGAGGCGAGAAAGGGGAGCAGGGACGCACTCGATGGTTGCGCCGACGAGCTTCTTGGGGAAGTCCTGGGCCGTCACGTCGCCGCCGACGGCGATGGCCTCGCCGCCGGCCTTCTTGATCTCATCGACGACGAGCTTGGCCTTGGCTGCGTGCGGGTACGAGTCAGTGAGAGGAACCAGAGCGGGGGGGAGAGAGGCGCGAGGACGCACCCTCGTCGAGGTCCGAGACGACGACCTTGGCCCCCTCCTGGGCAAAGATGATGGCGCACGAGCGACCGATGCCTTGGGCGGCCTGTGGAGCGTGCGAGTCAGTCGGTGCGGTGGCAGGGCAAGTGGCAGAGAGAGGGAACGCACGCCGGTGACGATGGCAACCTGGCCGGCGAGGATGCCCTTGGGGGCGGAAGCGAGCTGGCCAGCGACGGCGTTGAGACGGGACTGGGCAGACATGGGCGGCAAGCTGAGACTGAGCGGTGCAAGAGAGCTGTGAGGAGGAGGAGGAGAGCGAGAGAAGTCGAGTTCGCCCCACTTGGCGACCGCGACTGCGAGAAGCCGGGCCGGAGCACGCCCTCGACAGCGGCGACGCGTCTCTCTTTGGGTGATCTAGACAACCAGACCTGTGGACGAGTACTTCAAACGGTACCTGATTCTTGCAGAACTGTCCACCCTGCGCGAGAGAGCGAGCTGTCTCTGGGTTTGCGCCGTCGCGTCGAGGTGAGCCGGCCGCGCGCCATCTCCCTTCTCCTCCTCACCCACCACTCGCTCACACTGTACGTCCCAGCCCGTCTCCTCCTCCCTCTCCTTTGCATCTCCCCTTCCCAGCAGTCTCCCGACTCGCCGCGCCCGCCCACCACCTCCCCAAGCGGCGCAGCGAGACCCCTCCCTCGGCGCCCGTCGTCGTTCGCGGCGGCGGGCGACAGCGAGACCCTGCCAGAGCAAACCCTCCACATCCCCAGTTTGACAGTCTCGTAGTCCTGTCCATTACAAGGGCCAGGGCATGCAGGGCGCTGATAGAAGTGGGCTGACATCTTTTCCCCTCCAGCAGCTCGCCTTTCCTCCTCCTCCGACTACCGACCGCCCGCCCATCCCGCCCCGCGCTACCAACAGCTGCGTCCCCTCGACCCGCCTGCGCGCGCCAGAGCTCCCGCAGCTCGGCCGCCGCCTCGCAACGGCCCCTTTCCTGCTCGACCGTTCTCCCCAAGCCGCGCACTCGCTCGCGCAGCCTGTGCATCAGCTGCACAGCAGACGAGTGTACCGCCCGCATGGCCTCGCCGTCGCGGCCACGCTCGTGCGGCGCGACCTCCCCTTTCCCCTTCCTCTCCCTCTCCCTCGCCTTCCCTCCCCTCCCTTCCTTCTCCCGGCCCCCCATTCTCGTGCGCCATGATCGAAGAACAACCAAATAACGCAGAGGCTTCGGCCGATGCTGTTAAACCTTTACAATCATACCATCTTTCGGGACTGAGCGCACCTCGAGATTAGGGTTGGACGGACGAGCGAGGGACGAAGCGGGCGTCGTCTCTTTCCTGCTCTTCCGTTCGTAGTGGCCGTGTCATGTCACTCTTTCTCTACGTCCCTCGGTCGTCATTCGCGCTTTCGAGAGAGTTATGCCATGAGCCGCGAGAGCGAGCGAGCTGTTGCAGCTTGAACGAGGGTGAGACGGCTCGAGGCTCGCTCTGTCTGGCCGAGAGCGTACGTAGCCAACGTGAACCTGCCGGTGCCGCAGCAGCCGCAGGCGAGCAGCGAGAGGCGAGCGCTTCCCCGCTTGGTCGTCTCGTGCCGGCGGCTCGTCGCTCCACCACTCGCTCATCTCGCCTGCTCTGCCGCTCGTCAAGGCGTACCAGCATGGACTCGCAGGTGCGTGGAGCCTCTCGCCCCCGTTCCCACGTCCTCGCTGACCCCGTACTCGCCCCTCCAGGTGTTCATCAGCTCGACCTCGACCGATGCCGATTACGAGCCGTCACCCCTCCTGCGCCTGCCAGAAGAGCTGCTCGACGAGATCATTCGCCTTGCAACGGGCGCACAAGCCTATGACAGTGCCTCGTGTCAGAGTCAGTCTTCCTCCCCTCCCCCTCCCGACGCGCGAGCACAGTCACTGACCCTCGCTCTTGAACCAGCTGTTCAGCCCCTTTGTCGTCGCCTGTATCCTCTTCAACGCCGTCATTACTATCGATCCATCCGCATCAGCAACTATCCCATGTTCGCCGGCTTCTGCGCCACGACGGCCGCTGTCCCCGCTCTGCGCGACCTCGTCGTCCAGCTCGGCCTCGAACTATACGAGGCGTCGAACGATGCATCCTCCCCGCGGTTGTGGGGCGTCGGCTCCGGCCCGCACTCCTGGGACGACTCGCACCTCGCCGACGAGGACAAGGTGGTGACGCCGGCCGACCTGTCCGCCCTTCTCGCCCGACTTTCGCGACTCGAGGTCCTCAAGCTCGACTACCTGTCGGTCTCGCTCCTCGGCGTCATCTTGTACGACGAGGCGACCCTGCCGTCATTGCGCCGCCTCGAGACGCTCGGCATCATGACGCCGTCAACCGAGGGCCCGCCTGGCGCGCGCCCGGACGCCTGGGTGCGGCAGCTCGCACGCCTTCCGGCGCTTGAGACGCTCGCGATCGCGCGCGAGGTTGACGGCGACCTGTTCCCGCCTTTTGACGCGCCCATGCCGTCGTTCACGTCGGTCACCACGCTCGTCCTCGGGCGGCACTCGCACGAGTGGACCGGGCCGGCCCTGCGCGACATCATGCCCAACCTCGTCGCGCTCGACTTGTCGTCCGCGAGCCGCAAGCCCGACTACCAGGCCATCCTCGAGGGCGCTCCCGACGGCCTGCGCCGCCTGTCGATGCGGGGCAGCCTCCGCCCGGATTCCCCCAGCAGCGCCGTCTCGCCCCCGAATCTGCAGACGGCGGGTCTGCGCTTCAAGCACCTCGAGCACCTTGCACTCGGCGGGCACCTGTTCACGCCCGACATCCTCCACGCTACCCCGTCCAAAATCCCCTCTCTGCGCTCCCTCACCTTCGCGCCGGGTACGCCCGCCACCGACACGCTCCTCTCGTCCCTCCTCAGTGGTCGAGCCCGCCTCGCAAACCTCCGTGTCGTCACGCTCGACCACCTGTACGCCCACCGAGGCCCGACCATCGCTTCCCGCGGCGGCGTCCTCCCGTCCAACCTTGTCCTCTTGCGCAATCCGCCCATGTACGACGGCTGGCTCGCGCCCAACGAGGTGCAGGGCTGCTCGGCCGCAGGCGTCGTCGCCGCCGTCGCGGCCGGGCGCACGCACGGCGTCTGCGTGCGCGGGACGGCGCTCGGCGTCGTCGGGTGGGAGGAGCAGTACGCGGCCGAGAGGGCGGCAGCGATTGAGCTCTGGGGCGAGGACGGGCCGAGGGAGCTCGAGGAGGCGAAGAAGAGGGCGCTCATGCGCTTGCGGACGCTCGGGCAGGGGTATCGAGACGAGGCGGCGGCGCAGTCGAGCTCTCTCGGTAGCTGAGCGACTTTGCGCTCGTGCGCACGTGTGCAACCCCGCAACTCTTTGTCTCTCTCTCTCTCTTCTCGCTCGCTCCTTGTCTCCTTGCGGCACTGCGTCGCCGTCGTGCTCGACTGGAGAGACTTTGGCGGCGACGAGCTCGACGAGCCGCCTCGGCGGGAGAAGCTCTCGCGCACGAGCCTCTTGCGTTTCTCTCTGCCTCGGCGAGTGTCTAGAGATGGACAAGCTGCAATGTATAACAAGAGGCGGACTACTGCTGAACTGCGGCGGCGACAACGACCCTTGAGCGACCCCTTCGAGGTCTCTCCCCTCCTCGTCCCTCGACACGGACGCTCTAGATGCCCATGCCGCCCGTGCACTCGAGCGTGACGCCCGAGACGTAGCTCGCGAGGGGCGAGCACAGGAAGAGGACGGCCTTGGCGGCATCGTCGGCCGTGCCGGGGCGGTTGAGCGGGCTGTCGCGAAGGGGAGAGGGTCAGTGCGCGGCTCGAGGGGGAGCGAGAATGACCGGGAGGAGGGGGCGAGGACGCACATGTGCGGGTACGTCTCGGGCTTGTTGTCCTGCTTCTTGGGGCCAGAGGGAATGCCAAGAGCGATCTCTGCGAAATGAGAGAAAGAAGGAGAGGAAGGAGGCGGGGAAAAGGGTCAGTCCGGCGCTCGAGGACGCGAGAGAGGGCGAGGGGAGAGGGACGCACTCTTGCCGTTGACCTCGATCGTCTCGCCGAGCTCCTTGGCCTGGGTGAGGCGCGTGAGGATGTGACCAAACGCGACCGTGTTGCACCGGACGCCGAACGGGCCCCACTCCTTTGCGATCGTCTTGGTGAGGCCCGTGACGCCCGCTTTCGCCGTCGCGTAGTTGGCCTGGCCGACGTTGCCGTGGATGCCGGCGACCGACGAGACGGTGACGATCGACTTGTTGCGCGCGACGCGCTCGGGCGTCTTTGAGCGCATGAAGGGCGCGGCCTCCTTGATGAGGCGGAACGGCGCAACGTTGTGCACCTTGAGCATGAGCTCGTACGTGTCGTCCGACATGGTGTGGAGCATCTGCGCGCGGCGGGGCGAGTCAGTCGAGGTCGAGAGGGAGGGACGGAGGAGGAGCTTGAGGAGAGGGGGCGCACCTTGTCGGACGTGAAGCCGGCGTTGGCGACAATGTGCTCGACCGAGCCGAACGCGTTGACAGCCGCGTCGACCACCTTCTTGGCAAAGCCGTCGGCCGTCACGTCGCCGCCGACTGCGATGGCCTGGCCGCCGTTGTGCTTGATCTCGTCGACGACCTTCTGGGCCTTTGCCTCGTCGAGGTCCGACACGACGACCTTTGCGCCCTCGGTCGCGAACAGGAGCGCACACGAGCGACCGATGCCTTGGGCGGCCTGCGAGGAGAGTGGGGGGCCGGGTGTCAGCACTGACGCTCCTCGTCGCGCCTCGGGGAGCTGGCGCCGAGCAGTGGAGGGAAGGGAGTGCTCACGCCGGTGATGATGGCGACGTCGCCTGCGAGGAGGCCCTTGGGGTTGGAGGCCGAGAGCTGGCCCGAGACGGCGGCGAGGCGGTTCGAGGCGGACGAGGACGACATTGGGGAGGGCCGGTGGTAGGGTGTGCTGGAGGGAGTGGAGCAGAGAGAGAGAGTGCGAGCAGGAGCAGCAGTGCAAGAGTGCGAGAGCGAGAGCGAGACGAAGCCGGACTGTGGCCCGGTTCTCTCGCCCGGTCCGGCTCGAGCGGCACAAGTTGATCCGCCCGTCTCCCTCTCTCTGTCCTGAGGAACCGCGGCTTCTCACAGCGACGACGACCGTGCAATGTAGTCTGTACAGGGAGGGACAACACGGAGAGCAGCCTATCGAGCACACGCCCAGCTCCCGCTCAGCTCCACCACAGCTCGCCGCGGTTCAACCCTCGCTCGTCTCGATCCCGCTCACCGTCGACGTCCTCGCCCTTGACGAGGTCCGACGACCCAGACGCAGTCGCACCCGCCGTCGCCGCCGCCGCCGCAAAGTCCTCGCCCGACAGCGGCTCGTCCTTGACCTCGACGTCGGCGGCCTCGGCGGCGGCGGCGTCGTGTTGCTGCTGCTGCTGCTGCGGCGGCTCCGGCGTCGGCGACGGCGCAGCGTCGGGCATGGCCGGCGGCCACGCAAAGTCGTCCTCGGTCCACCCACGGTGGTCCTCGTCGTCGTCCTCCTCCTCGTCGGCGCCCGCCGCCCCACCGCCGCCACGCCGCGCGCCCCACACCGGCTCGCGCTCGCCGCCGCCACGCACAGACGCCTCGTCGTCCTCCTCGTACCCGTCGTCCTCGTCGCCCTCGCCCTCGGGCGCGGGCGGCGCGCCAAACAGGCCGAGCGACCGCAGCCACGCCTCGTCGACCCCGAACCGCTCGAGGTCGAGGTCGGCGAGCGAGAAGGGCTCCTCGACGCGGCCGCCGCCGCCGCCTGCGCCGCCTGCTCCTCCTGCACCGCCCGCGCCGCCGTCTGCCCATGCGCCGCCGCCGCCCTCGTCCGACGAGTGCGACGCCGACGCCGACGCCGACGGGTCGCAGCACGTGATCGTCGCCGTGCGCAGCATCTCGAGGTCGTTGTCGCCTCGTCGCTCGCGCCGCTCGTCGTCGTCGTCGTCGTCGTCGTCGTCGTCCTCGGCCGAGCCCGACGCAAAGTGCGCAAGCCCGCTCGACGGCCGCGGCAGCGCCAGGTCGTGCTCGTGCGCGCTCGAGTTGTACGAGTAGGCCCTCGGGAGCTCGCCGAACGCGACGCGACCGGGACCGAGCGGCGCCGGCGGGCTGTCGTCCTGGCTCGACAGCGGGTGCGCCATGTGCTGCGACGACGACGCGGCGCCCGACTCGTGGTCGTCGTCGTCCTGGCCGCTCGCGCCGCCGTACACGCTCGGCGGCGCGCTCGGCCACGCGCTCTGCACGCCGCTGCTGCTCGCGCCGCTCGCGCTACTGTCCGTGTGCTGCAGCGGCGGCGGACCGGCCGACGCCGACGCGAGCCACTCGAGGATGCCGTCGAGGTCGGTCGCCTGCTGCTGCTGTTGTTGCTGAGCGTCAAACGGCGCATGCGGCGGCGTCGTCTGGGCCGAGTGCGACGCCGACGAGAGGTAGCTGTTCGTGCCGCTCGCTGGTGCTGCTGCTGCTGCGGCGGCGGCGCGGTCGAGGTGGTCAAAGTCGAGGTCGAGGTCGAGGTCGAGGCGCTCGAGGGCGCTCGTGGCCGACAGCGACTGGGCGCCCGACGCCGACGCCGACGAGTACGACGACAGCGTGTGGCTCGCGACGGGCTCGAGCGGGTAACCGTACACGAGGGCCGAGCTCGGTCGGCGGTCGCCCTGCTGGTGCTGGTGCTGGTGGTGCAGGTCGAACACGTCGGACGAGGCGGCCGACGACGATGGCGGCGGGTAGTCCTGCGACGCCCAGGCGTCGATCGACGGGCCCGCCATGCCCGACGTCGACGACGAGGCGGCCGGCGCAGGCGCGAACGAGTACAGCGGGCCGTCGTTGATCGAGCTGAACGGCGGCACCTGCTGCTGCTGCTGCTGCCGCTGGCGCTCGAGCTCGTGGAAGATGGCGTCGCCCTCGCCCTCGCCGAACATGGGCGCGAGCGCGACGCTTGGGCGGGCAGCGGCGTCGCCAAGGACGAACGCGGCCGCCGCCGGGTCGATCAGGTCGGGCAAGGGCGGGAGCGACAGCGCTGGCGACGCAGGAACGTCATCCGAGCCGCCCTCGAACGACAGGGGCTCGTCGGCCATGGGCATCTCGCGCGCGCCGTACGGGCTGTAACGCTCGTCGCCGCCGCTCTCGCCGCCACCGAGTACGGGCGCCTCGAAGTAGGCCTGCAGGGCCGGGTCAGCCGGCGGCGGCGCCGTCGACGACGTGGCGGTCCCGGCGGGCGAGACGACGAACGCCTCGGACTTGGGCGGCAGGTCGCGGAAGAAGTAGGCCGACGCGAGCTGCTCGGTCGTGAGAGGCGCGGACGGGCGAGGTGCGGCGAGCGAGGAATGAGGTGGAGCTGGCGACGACGACGACGAGGCCGAGCGGGCCTCGGCGTGGTACGGGGTCGGCGCGCTGTTGGAGCGCGGCGGTGTCGGGGCGAGGGATGGCAGGCGAGGAAGGTGGAGCGTGCTCGAGGAGGGGAGTGGCGGCACGGCGGGCTGGCCCTCGGCCTTGACCCTGCGCTGCAGCTCGGCGCCCTTGGAGAGCGGCGACGGGCCCGGCGGCAGGTGGTGGTGCGAGTGGTGGTGCTCCTTGGTGCCGTGCTGCGGGTATGGCGAGTAGACGGCCGAGACGTGCGTCGGGTGGTCGGCGAGGTGGCCGTGCGCGAGGTCGTGCGGCTTCTTGTCGCGCGCCGACGAGCTGCGGCGCGAGACGCTCGTCGGCCTCGACAGGCTCTTCTTGCGCCCGACGGTCGCGAGCTCCTGGTCGGACGCGGATGCGGCGGATGCGGCGCCCGACGACGGGCCGGCGGTGCGCTGCGCGCCGGGTGCGGGCGATGGGGCGGCGGACGAGACCGACGAGCGGGACCGGGTCGAGGAAGGGCGCCGGACGAGCGAGACGGTGTGGAGGTCGCTGACGCCGTTCGGGAGCGTCTTGAGGAGGGGCTCGGCGACTGTGAGGGGGGGATGAGAGTCAGTGTCGGGTCCGAGAGGGAGGGAGAGGGGACCTGAGCGACGACGCACGCTCCGTCTTGTCGTGGTGGCAGGTGCGGTGCGCGTTGTTGGTCTTGCGTTGCTCGCGACAGGCGGCGCAGGCTGTGACGGGCCGTCCACGCCGAGCGATCTCGCGCAGCGGGCGGTCCGTGTGGGCGCAGGTGGCCTGGCGGTGCCCGCGAATGCAGGGCTCGCACGCAAACTGCGGGAGCGGGACAGGGTGAGCTGGGCTTGCCAGAGTCAAATCAAAGGAGGAAGAGAGGGTCGGGGCGCACCTTGACGCCGTCGATCAGCATGGTCGACTCGCGAGGCGGCGCAGTCGGGTCGAGCGACGAGGAGGTGGACGGGCCGGGGGCAACTTGTGGCTGCGGCGGTGCTGGGCCCAGGTGGATGCGCCGATACGGTGCTGTAGAGCAGTCCGGGTCGGGTCTAGAGTCGTAGCTGGGCGGCCATGAGGCAGGACGGGTCGAGGGAGATGAGGAGGAGGAGGAGGATTCGGGGAGGAGGATCGTCCGAGAGGGGGACCTGCAGCGCGGCGGGTGGTGTGGTCGAGTACGCCCGCCCTCCTGGAGGACGGGGATGCAGCTGGCTAGGTCTGGCCTGCGGATGGGTGGTGTCGACGGCGAGGTGGGCTCTCTCCTTCTTCTCCTCTCGTCGGCGACTGCGAGAAGGTCTCTTTTCTCGCCCTCAACCTCGTCCTGGACGCTCTGCTTCCGTCGACTGAGATTCGCTGTACTCCTGCTCGCTCTTGCGCCCCACTGCGACGCACCAGCGACCACAGCGGACTTTACGATTTCTCCGTCCAGAGTTCCCTTCCACGCCGTCACGAAGCTTCGCTAGCGCTTCTTGGCTCCGGCCGGTTCGTGCTCCTCGACCCGTCACGCGGCTCCTCGTCAGCGACACCGCCCTCATCGCTCTCGGTTCGTCCGAGAGAGCTCGAGGCCGGCCGCTCTCATCCCTCTCCCTCTCTCTCTTCTCTCGCTTTCGCTGCGCCTCGACGCTGTCCCTCTCCATCTGCACCAAGTCATCTCTCTCGAGCATCTCCAGCTCAACATGTGCGTCCCCTTGCCCTTCTTCCGGTCAGCCTCGCTCCCTTCGTACACTGACAAGAGCCGCCCGCAGGTCGTCGAGCTACCACGAGTACAAGCCCGTCCTCGACCACTTCTACCTCGGCGTCAGCGCCATCTTCGCCATCCCGCTCCAGGCCGTCTTCTTCGCCGCCGCCGTCGCGTTCAGCGAGCCCGCCGTGTGCGTCGGCGACTTCCTCCCCCTTGTTCGAGTCGTCGCTCACCGTCCACTCTCCCCCTCGCCAGACTCATTCCCGGCACGGCGATGACCTGCATCGGCCTCACCGAGCTCGTCTTCTTCTTGGGCTCGGGCGCGTCGTTTGGCATCCGCAACATCCTCGTCGTGTGCGTCCCGCGCTTCTTCCTCGTCCTCGAGGCGACCTTGCTCACCTCGCTCTTCCCTGCAGCGCTCTCGGCGGCGTCTGGGCACTCCACCTGTACATCTTAAGCATCGTGCACACGTGCGAGGCGAGGAAGCGCGGCAGCCTGGCAGCTCAAAAGGTGCGTCGTCTCGCAGTTCAGCCCTCGCACCCCGTCCTCGTTCCCGACCTGACGAGCCCTCTCTCTTCCGCAACAGCGCCCTGTCCGTCTTCCGCTCGGCATCATTGTGTCGTACCTCCTCTTCCCCTGGGTCCTGTTCCTCCCCTTCATCCTCTCGTGCTCGCCGCACGTGTCCTACTCCGGGTACGGCAACTACGTCCGCTTCAAGCCGTATCCGAGCGTGCGTCCCCTCTCCCTTTCTTCCTCGCGAATAGAAGCGCGACACTGACGATGCCGACCGACAGGACGTGATCGGGCTTGTCCTTATGGCCCTCGCCTTCCTCGTCGAAATCGGCGCGTGGTACGGCAAGCTGCGCTTCGACTTGCGTCGACGCGACGCGCAGCCGGGCAGCACAACCCTCGCGTCGTCGTCGATCCTCTCGCACGGCATCTACGTGCGTCGACCGCTCGCTCCTCTCACAAGAGATGCCGTCGACCGAGCGACGCACTGACCCTCTCGGCCCTCGCGCAGACGATCACGCGCCACCCTCTCCTCTTCTCCGTCCCTCTTCTCTCGCTCGGCATCTACATCCTCGTTGCGACGCCCGCCTTCTACGCCTGGGGCGGTGGCGGCCTGTTCAACCGCCTCGAGTCGCCGGGCCGTGAAGCTCTCGCCGCGAGCGTCGTCGCCCCGGTCGCCATCATCGGTGCGTCTCTCGTCCTCGACCACCCTGAGACTCGTACGAGTACGAGCAGGATTGACGCAGCGTCCTCACCGCACGCAGCCGCCGAGCTCGTGTTCTTCCTGCCGTGGCTCGAGCGCACCCAGCAGGCGCACTACAGCTCGCTCGCCTCGGACCGCGCCGCACCGACCTCCGAGGGCAACGTCTGGACCGCCTACGAGGTGCGTCACCTCGCGTTCCCTTCTCTCCTCTCCTCTCCTCGCTCGCCGGCCCTGACTCGGTGCGCCGCCCGCAGGTCTACCGCTCGCGCACCTCGCCCATCGTGCCCCTCCCGCCCGCGCTGTACGCTCGCCTGCCCGCCGGCGCCAAGAAGTACCTCCTCGGCGAGCGGGGACTCGACGCGACGGCGGCGAGGCGCCTCGGTGCGAGAGGCGCAGAGACGGGCGTCGAGTGCTGAGCGGGTCGAGGAGCGGGGCGAGACGGCTCGAGGCGGCCGGCCTAGCGTTCTTTGTCTGTAGCACGGTCGCTGTGAACGCGTGTGTAGCCCATTGTGCGTCTGTGCGACTCTCGCGTCCGGTAGAGAGCAAGCAGAGCCGAAAAAGACTTTCCTGCTCGTCGAGCTTTGCCAGCTCGTGTAGCCCGGACCTGGTCGAAGCGGCGCCGCCATTCGCTCTCCAGAAGCTGTCGAGCTCTCGAATAAAGTCTACAGACGAAGCCCTCGCAGCTCGCGACGACAGAAGAGGGTGAGGGGGACCTTCTCAAACCAGAGGGCCCGTGCGGCGCTTCTCTCTCGCTCGCTCGTGCTCGCTGACTGAACGTGTCGGGACCAGGTTACAGACGTCTGCGCTACAGCTAGGCCTTGGCCTTGGGCGCCCAGCGATCCGTCTTGCCGAGGACGGCGCCGCTGGAGGGGCGAAAGAGTCAGGCTCGCGCTCGCGGCGCTCGAGAGGGACGAGTGAAGGCGGACGACGCACAAGTCCATCGAGGCCTCGCACTTGATCTCGGTGTCGAGAGGGCCGATCCAGGAGAACTTGTCCTTGGTGTACTGCTCGATGCGCGGCGCGAGTTTGGTCTGGGCGAGCATGTGGTCGTCGACGGTCCCGACGCGCATGATGCGCACGCCCGGCGCAACCTCGCCCGTGCGGAACATGAGCGTGCCGCACACCTTGCAGAAGTGCTGCTTCATCCACCCGCCGGACCCGATCGTCTTGGACTGCGAGAACTCGGTGAGGAGCTCCTCGCCGCGCACGAACGACGTGTGCGAGTCGAGTGCGACGAAATTCGTGGCGAAGGACGTCGCGCTGAACGATTTACAATCCGAGCAAGAACATGCGAAAGTATCAACGAGGCCGGGGGCTTCGTGAGGCTGTCGAGCGGAGGAGGAGGAGGGGGAGGAGGAGGAGGAGAAGGACGTTTCAGCTCGTCTCGCCGGGTCTCGGACGGCTCAGAGCGACAGAGGGGACGACGAGCGACTCACGAACTTCATCTGGACCTTGCCGCAGTAACACGTCGCGGTCGCCTCCGTATCGTTCGACCAGCCGTCGTCGGCGAGGCCGGCGAGCGGGAAGTAGGGCTCGTTCTTCGGGGCGGCAGCGAGGGACATGGTGAAGATGGAGTGTCGGGTTCGAGTGGTGTAGCAGGTGAAGGACGAGGGAGAGAGAGAGAGAGAACGAGAGAGAGCGCCGTGCGGGACCGAGGTGAAGGTGGGGCACTTCGGGGATGACTGCAATCGATTGCTTGGTCAGTGCCCGACCTCGGCCGGATACATAATTATCGGCCTGACTCGCCTTTCTGACTCGTTCCCTGGTGCGTTCTCCTCGGGCTTCCACATGAGCAGAAAGCGCTCGTCTTGCGAGGCTCGCTTTGGCGTGGAGGACGCGAAGAAAAAGATGTTCAAAGGCGAGAGGGCACAGGCGAGGTGCACGGTGCTGGTGGTCGACAAGGTGTCGCAGGTCATCCTGCCGAGACCCTCGAAGAGAGCTTCCTGCGGATCAAAGCAGACGTGTGCCGGAACGACGAGAAAAGCGCGCGCGACGACGGTGACCGCGTCGACTTGGAGCGACCGCGGGGTCGAGAGCGCGCGCGTCGCGGTCGGCCGGCAAGTCCAACGGTTTCGCTGCACGCTCTCCTCGTCGCCGTCAACCCTCGTCCTTCGCCCTCTCAGCACCCGCACGAGCTCCCTGGTGGACGTCTCTGTTGCCCGCGCCTCGCCCGCCTCGCCGCTGCTCGCCTAGCGCGACCGCCTCGCGCGCCCTCACTTCTCCGCCTCGAACCTCGCCGTTGGCGCCTGGTCGCCCGCCGTCTCGCCCTCTTTTACCGCGTTCGACACGCCCACATCCACCACAAGATCCCTCAGCACCCACGCGCCCCAGTTCGCCGCCGACTCGACCACACGCTCGCCGCCGACGACCTCCTCAACCTCCGACCGTTGCACCCTCGCGTGCCGCCCTCGCCCTCGGTCAACCTCGTTCGACTCGCGCGCGTGCACATCGTGTACATCGACGCTCTCTGAAGCCCGGCCTGCATCCCGTGTGCGTCCCTCGTTCTCTCTCGACCTGTCACGACGACGGGCGCGCGACTTGGGAAGGTCGCGCGCGAGCGGCGTGTGCACGATGTCAATGCCGTTCAGGGCCCGCTCGAGCCTGCGAGACGCGCACAAAGGCTCAAGCTGTCGAGCAGAGCTCTTCTATCGACGGTGCACGCCCTAGACGCCGAGCACGAGGCCGTGTTTGCGTCCTCGACGCGCACGAACGCGCTCCCCCTCGTCACTCCCGGTCTCGCAGCAGGGAGCGACCAGTGAGCGAGGCAGCGTGCTGACTCTCTTTCTGCGCCAACAGACTCGACGATGCAGCCGTCGTACAAGTTCCCCCGTTCCCTCGGGTCGCTCGACCTCACGGACCCCTCGTCCGTTCCTGCACCTCCTCCTGCCGGCGGGCCCTCGGGCTCGCGGTCACACCCCTCGCTCCTCGTCACCGACTCGTCCGGGCACCCTCAAGCGTCTCTGAGCGACGAGCAGTACCTCGACAAGTTCACGACGGCCGTCAACACGCTCCGCGAGGGTGGCTCGTCCGCCGGACTCGCGGCGCCCAACCCTGCCCACCTCTCGACCCAGTCGTTCGGGCGCAGCAAGTCGCTGTCGAGGATCTCGGAGTACTCCGAGTCGGCCTACTCGTCGGGCTCGCGAGCGCGCGACTCGCACGAGCCGCCGCCGTCGCCGCCACCTCGGTCCGACGCGTCGCGCTCGCCCTCACCCGGCGGCGCGTCGCCGATCGACCCAGCGTTCGGCTCGGCGCCGTCGTCCTTCTCCTTCCCGGCGCCGCCGGCCATCTATGCCGCGCACCTCGCGCCGCAGGGCGCCCACCCGCAGGCGCAGCCGCCGCTCGTTCCCGTCACGACGCCCGTCTCGCCCAAGCCCGTCCCGTCGCAGCGGTTCCACGTCACGAACCCGGACGCCATGTCGCCCTCGCTCTCGCCGTCGCCCATACCCGGCCGGCACCACCTCCCCTCGCGCCCCTTGACGACGCCCCTCCCGCTCGCCAACCCGCACCCGGTCCCCGTCCCGCTCGACAACTTTGCCGCACCGCCCGCCGCACCGCCTCGAGCCGACAGCCCGCAGTGGAGCTCGTCGTCGCACTCGCACGAGTACGGCTCGTCGTCGTCGCCCGAGTACATGGTCCAGCTGCCCAGCCGCGCCGTCCTCGCCGAGCACGCCCAGCAGCAGCAGCAGCAGCAGCAGCAGCGCTTCTCTCGGCACGGGCAGGAGCACAGCGAGTCGTCGACGGCGTGGGCGACGGCCGAGGACGAAAAGTTCTTCAACGAGGCCGGCGGCAACGTGTACGCCGCGCCGTACCACGCCATGTCGTTCGAGGCGCACGGCGACCCGCAGCAGCGCGGCGGCGACTCGCCGAACCGGTTCACGCTCGACGACGAGAAGATTGGCGTCGGGCGCGACCTGCAGCAGCGGCGCAAGGGCTCGGACGCGACGACCATGACGGCGACGCAGGGGTGGGAGCCCGAGGGCGAGCAGGTGCGCCGCGGCGCCAACCGCCGCCTGTGGTGGGCCCTCCTCGTCGTCGTCATTATCGCCGTCGGCGTCGGCGTCGGCGTCGGTGTCGGCAGGAAGCAGGCCGACGCAGGACGCGCCGAGAACGATTCGCTCGCCTCCTCCTCCGCCTCCCCCTCCTCGTCCCCCTCTGCTCCCTCGCCTTCCTCCGCCGACACCTCGTCGAGCTCGCGCACCATCATCCGCCCGAGCGCCACCTCGGCCGCCTCGACAGCCACCAACGCCGCCGCCGCCGCCGCCGCCGTCGAGACGTACTCGACGACGTTCGGCTACGAGCAGTCGGGCCGTTCGACCGTCGTCCCGCTCACGTACACGATCCCGACCTCGTACGCGACGCGCGCCGACGGCCGGTACCAGTTCACGCAGCAGGTCGTCCTGCCCAACCTGGGCGCGACGGGCGCGCGCGCCGCCGAGTCGTTCACGAGCGACTTGAGGTTCCGCGTCGCGCCGACCGACAGCGCGGCGCCGGGCGGTGGGGCGACGATCGAGGCGCGGCGGGAGCGGGAGCGAGAGCGGAGGAGGAGCGTCGAGGAGCGGGTCGAGAGCGCGAGGAGGTGGGACCGCCGCGAGCGGGACAAGCGCGCGAGGGTGATCCGCTGAGAGCGAGCGGGGCCGAGCGCTCGAGCGCGACAGACACTTTGGTACTCCCCACTCTCTCTCTCGCTCTCGCCCCTCGTCCTCGACACGCTCGGGTCGGCGCTCCGTAGACGCTCTCGAGCGACGTGGAACGGCGCAGTATCTGGGCACGAGCCTCTCGAGCGCGCACGGAGAGCGAGAGAGGGAGAGAAAAGCAAGTGCATTGCGACGAGGGGAGCGCGACCTGCGCGCTCACCGGTACAGGATGTCGTAGTGACCCGGACCTGCGGATGCGGAAAGGGCGTCAGGCCGATCGCGCCGCGAGGCAGGAGAGGTCGAGGAGAACGGCAAGAGAGAGGGACACAGAGAGAGAGAGAGAGAGATGGACGCACGGTACAGCAAACCGCCCTCGATGCCCTTCTCTCCCCTCCTCGCCGCCTCGTCCTCAAACTCGAAAAAGTTGACCTCGGCCTCGGCGCTCGAGGCGCCCTCGCCGCCCGGCGCGAGCTGCTGTGCGCCCAAGAGCGACTGATCGAGGTAGGCGATGCGGAGCGGGACCTGGAGCGCGCGCGTGAGGGCGGCGATGGCGAGGTGGTCGGCCTCGCGGGCGACGGCCTGCGGTTGTGCGCGGGAGGACGAGGTCAGTGCGGCTCGAGGCGCACGAGGGATGGGGCGCAAGACTGTCGAAGAGGACGCACCTCGACCTGGTCGGCGCAGAACTGGCGCATGGTGGGCGCGCCGCCGTCGGCGAGGAAGCGCGGGTCGTCGTCGAGGGCGAACAGGAACGGCGCAAACTCGTCCTCGTGCGTGCGCAGGTACGCCGACGTGATGAGGCGCAGGATGACGATGATGCAGCTGCGCGCGCGTCGAGAGATGTCAGGGTCGGATGGATCGAGGCGGCAGAAAGAGAGAGAGGGGGCCGGGCGCACCTGTTGGTCTCGGGGTCGTTGAACGCCTCGACGAGCCCGTCGCGCGTGAGCTTGGGCTCGCCGTCCTTGCGCTTGCCACCGTCCTTCTCCTCGGGACCCATGCGGTGCAGGAGGCGCCGGAGCGGCTCGTGAAAGTCCTCCCACACGGACTCGTCGAACCCGCACGCGGTGAGGAGCGGGAGGAGCGACTCGACTTTGGTCAAGAGGTGGGCGGCGTGAGAAGGGTGGAGCGGGAGGTAGGCTTCGAGGAGGGCAAAGATGAAGGACCTGCGGGAGGGGCAACGGGGTTTAGCAGACGGTGCGAGAGGAGGAGAGGGAGGAGGAGGGAGAGACAGCGCACCTGTAGAAGCAGTCGCCGTCTCCTCTCGCACGTCTGATTCCCGACCAGCCGTCCGACTGGAGGCGGGAGACCTTGTTGCGGTAGAGCGAGTCGGGCGGGAACTCTTGAGCGAGGTGGTCGAGAGGTTCGAGAGGGCCGACGAGGGGCCGCTTGGAGGCTTCGGATTCCTTGAGCTCTTGAGTGAGAGAGGAGATTTCGAGGTCTGAGAGCTCGCTGAGCGGTTTGGTGCTCATGGCGACGATGTGGTCGAGGGTCGAGAGGGAGGTGGGGGAGCTCGCTCGTCGTCTACTCGCTCTGACCCCGACCTGCGTCTTGCTACAAACCACACGCTCTCATAGGAACCGCCGCTACGCCTCAGCGCGGCCCGGACTTGCCCGCACTGCCGCTCACCCTCCCTCGCCGCCTCATCAACCTCGACCTCGTCATCGTCCGCTCACCCAACAGCACCGGCCTCGAGGGTTCCGTTCGGCTGTCGTGGGTCCTCTAGAGTGAGTCCCTGAGATCTCCACCGGTCCCCTCGACTGAAAGAGGCTAACCTCGACCTCCTCGCCCGCAGACGATGGCGCCGTCGGTCCTGTCGACGACGCTCTCGCTCGTCGGCCTCCAAGTCGCCTCGCGCCTCTTTTCGTTCGCCCTCAATCAGGCCCTCTTGCGGTCCACCACCCCGCAGGCGTTCGGCCTCGCCACCATCCAGCTCGATACGCTCCTCAACACGGTCCTCTTCCTCCTGCGAGAGGGCATCCGTGGCGCCGTCGTCGTGCGTCCCCTTCTCTCTCACTCTACGCTCGAGACGTTCTCAAGACTGACGTGCCTGACGGCCCCGATGCAGCGCACCCGCTCGGCCGCCTCGCCCGCCGAGGCCACCCTTCAGCGCCAGTCCCTCCTCATCCCAACCCTCCTCAGCCCTCTCGCCATCGCCGCTTTCGCCCTCTACCACCGCTACGTCTCGCCCTCGCCCATTCCGGCGCAGTACACGCCCGTCCTCGCCCTGTACCTCCTCTCGGCCGTCCTCGAGCTCGTCGCCGAGCCCCTGTACCTGCGCACGCTCCAGTCGTGGCAGACCCTGACGACCCGCCGGGTGCGCGTCGAGGGCGCAGCCGTACTCGTCAAGGCCGTCGCGACGCTCGCGGCTGTGCGCGCCGTCAGCGACGACGATGCGCTCCTCGCGTTCGGCGTCGGGCAGGTCGCGTACTCGGCGACCATCTGGGCCGGCCTCGCCTGGGTCACGGCGTCGTCGCCTCGGTCAGCGTCGTCGTCGTCATCATCGTCTGAGCCGGTCGACGTGCTCAAAAGCCGAGAAGGCGTCGCCGCTCGACCCACGAGCGTCCTCCAGCTCGAGCGCGTCGACGGGCACCTGTTCGACCCGGGCCTGACGACGCTCGGGTGGGCCCTCACCAAGCAGAGCGTCGTCAAGCAGCTCCTCACCGAGGCCGACAAGCTCGCCGTCGGCAAGTTCGGGTCCGCGGCCGACATGGGCGGGTACGCCGTCGCGCTCAACTATGGTGCGTCGGGCTCTCTCTCTCTGTGTCGGTCGTAGTCGCCCGTTGCCGATCTCTGACCGAGTGGTGGAATACCTCCTCGCCACACAGGCTCGCTCCTCGCGCGCGTTCTGTTCCAGCCGCTCGAAGAGTCGTCGCGCTTGTACTTCTCGACCCTCTCGGCGCCGTCGCCGACCTCGTCGAGCCGCACCACGCCGACGGCGGACAACACCGACACGTCGAGCAAGGTCGTCGGCGACGCCACGGCGCCGCAGTACTCGACGTTCGACCTCCCGCCGCCGCCCGACACGCTCGCGGCCGTCGCCTCGCACCTTCGCCTCCTCCTCCTCTTCTACACCCACCTCTCCCTCATCTTTACCTGCCTCGCCCCGTCCTTCACTACCCCGCTCCTGCACCTGCTTCTCGGCGCCCGCTGGTCCCACACGTCGGCCGCGCCGCTCCTGCGCGCCTACGCCCTCTCGCTCCCGTTCCTCGCCCTCAACGGCCTCACCGAGGCCTTCTTCCAGGCCGTCGCGCCCCCGAGGTGGATCGCGCGCGGTAGCGCGTGGATGGTCGCCTGCGCGGCGGCGTTTGCCGGCACCGTGTGGGCGCTCATGGGCCGCGAGAGCAAGGGCGGCTGGGGCGCCGAGGGCCTCATCGTCGCCAACTGCGTCAACCTCGCCATGCGCACCACCCTCTCGACCACGTTCATCGTGCGGTACTTTGCCGAGGCGCGGCGGGCGCACGGCGGCGGCGGTCGCGGGACACAGGCGGCGCGAGGTGCGGACGAGGCGGCGAGGACGCTCGAGGTCGCGAAGTGGGTGCCGCGGTGGGCGACCGTGGGCGCGTTTGTCGCCGGCGCGTGGGTCGTCAGGCGGAGCGAGACGAGGTGGGAGGCGGCGCCGCTGCGCAAGGGCGGCCGCGGTGGGCTGAGGAGCACGGTCGAGCATCTCGCTGTCGGCGGTGCGGTCGGGCTCGGGTGCTTGGCGGTCATGTGCGTCGCCTCCTTCCTTCCTTCCTTCTCGACCTCTTGTCCTGGCAGAGACTGACCGCCTCGCCGTCGTCCGCAGCATCATCTCGCACCGCACAGAGATCCGGGCGCAGCTCGCCGCACGACGAGCGGGTCGGGCCAAGAAGGCGCAATGAGGGCGTCCTCGTCGAGTTGTCCTGTGCAACGCAGCCGAGTGCGCCAGGTTCTCACAGAAGGAGGAGCGGCCGAGCGATTGTCGAGGACGCGAGCCGCCAGACAGGAGGACCGAGAGCGAGAGGACGGCCACTCGGCGCTCGTTCTTTCTTCGCGGTCGGACCTGCCAGGCTCTTGCGAGTAGAGTGAGCGTGCTTGCACCCAAGCAGAGAGCGCAAGAGCGGTGCTTTCAGCCCCTCCTCGCCGCGAAACTTGAGCCGTGCAGTCGGCCGCGGCGGGGAACCGGCTCGCTCCCTCACTCGCTGCACACGCGCGGCATGGCTCACATCCAGGGCAAGACGGGGCAGCGCTCCCGCCTGACCGGCGGCGGCCTCATCAGCAGTCACCTCGCCGCTCCTCCTCATCGCGCCTCCGCGTCCACCACCCTCGATCGCTCCCTCTCGCCGGGCGCAGCCGTCTCGCGCCCGCTGTTCCGCCCACCAGAAGCCGACTCGGACGACCCAGACGCCGACGACGACGACGCGTTCGAGCCCGTCGAGGCCAGCTCGGCTCGAGTGACGCCAGGAGGTGCACCGCCCCCACTCGACAGTCGCCCTTCAGCGCTCGCCCAGGGCCGGTCCCGCATCAGCCACCTCCCTCCACCGCCCAAGAAGCGCCAGAAGACGCTCGCGGCGACGCTCGAGGCCGAGGGCGCCCAGGTCGACGACGACGGCGGCGCGGCGGCAGGGGGCGGGCGAGGGAGGGGCCGAGGGAGGGGCAGGGGCGGCGCAGCCGGGCGCGCGAGGGGCAAGGGCAGGGCCAAGACGGACCGCGAGACGATGGAGAGGCTGCTTGACCCCGCCGTCGACTTTCCCGACCACTTTGTGCGGCTCGAGAAGGCGTTCAAGGTGCGTCTCCCTCTCTCCCTCTCGCGCCCCCGTCGCGGATCGGACACTGACACACGCTCCTCCAGGCGCTCAACACGGTCTACACGTTCTGCTCGGCGCGCAAGAGCATGGCGACGACGTTCGAGGTCCTCAAGGGCAGCGTCGAGAACCTCATCAAGCGGTGCGTCCGTTCGCCTCTGACCTCAGACGGCCATGAGCTCACTCTCCCCTCTCGCACAGACCTCTCGAGATGCACGACATTGCGCAGATCAAGTCGCTCTTGCCCGAGCTCGTCTCGTTTGCCTACATCGACTCGGACGTCCTGCGCGTCCACACCTCAGCGGCCGCCTCGCCCTCGACCGAGTCGGACCCGCGCGCCGCCAAGCGCGAGAAGCGCCAGCGCGAGCTCGACGAGGCGTACCGCACGGCGGGCGCACGCGAGGAGGGGCGAGAAGGCGAGGGCAAGAAGAGCGGCGAGACGGTCCTCCTGTTCTCGTTCAACGACGGCGAGCTCAAGAGCCCAAGCGGCGCGGGCAAGATCATCAACAAGAAGTTCTCGTGCGTCCCTCTCTCTCGAGACATGTCGTGCGCCTGCGCGAGCGCGACCTGATCCTGCTGCCCTGCCTGCAGCCGACGCAAGAAGAAGGGCGACGACTCGCCTGCGCCAGCTCCTGAACCCGCCACCCAGGCCACCTTTTCGACCGAGACGATGACGTCGCTCATCAACAAGCGCAACCTCAAGTTCCGCTCGGCCGTGTCGGACCTCCTCGTCGCGTGCTCGTCGCACAACCCGCCGCTCGACCCGGTCGAGCTCCTCCTCGAGGCGACCGAGGAGAACCTGCCCGTCCACCCGGACGAGCTCCTCACCGAGGAGGACATGCGGTCCCGGGGCGTGCGCGAGCGCAAGGACGAGCTCGAGTTCCGCGAGCGCAACCCGGACTTGCGCCCGAGCATGCGCAGCGTCGTCGAGGAGATGGCGCGCGACCAGGACCTGTACAAGAACCAGATCGTCGACGACGGGCACCGCACGTTCGAGGCGCGACAGGCCGTGTACGGTGCGTCGCCCTCGTCTCGCTCGGCGTGTTGTCGGACGCACGAACCTCGCTCACCTCGTTGCCGTCCCGACGCAGGTGAGCTCAACCACGAGATCTCGCAAGGACTCGCCGACGCGCTCCTCAACACCAAGAACATCCGCCCCGACCACCTGTACTCGCACCAAGCCGCCGCCATCAACGCCCTGCACCCGTCGCCCGAGCACCCTCGAGGGCAGAACGTCATCATCTCGACGTCGACCTCGTCGGGCAAGTCGCTCATCTACCAGCTCCCCGTCGTGCAGGCGCTCGAGGCCGACCCGGACACGACGGCGCTGTACGTGTTCCCGACCAAGGCGCTCGCGCAGGACCAGAAGCGCGCGCTCGGCGAGCTCGTCGGCGGCGTCGAGGGCCTCGAGGACGTCAAGATTGCGACGTTCGACGGGGACACGCCCAGGGACGACCGTGACTACATCCGCGAGAACGCCAACGTCGTGCGTCGCGCGCTCTCTCGTCCCTCCTCCTTCCGATCAGTCCCTCACTGACCCGCTTTCGCGACCGCCCTCGCAGATCTTTACCAACCCGGACATGCTCCACATCACGATCCTTCCGCAAGAAGAGCGCTGGCGCCGCTTCTTCCGCAAGCTCCGGTTCGTCGTCGTCGACGAGCTCCACATCTACTCGGGCCTGTTCGGCTGCCACGTCGCGTTCGTCATGCGCCGGTCTGTCTCCTCTCTCCCTGCTCGAGTCCCGGGTGATCGTGTATTGACACCCCTTGACCGCCTGCAGGCTGCGCCGGGTCTGCGCCGCGGTCGGCAACCGCCACGTCCGCTTCGTCTCGTGCTCGGCGACCATCTCGAACCCGGTCGAGGTGCGCCCGGGCACTTTCCTCTTGCTCGACGTCGAGCAGGTACTGACTCGACGTCGCACCTGCAGCACATGCGCACCATCTTTGGCGTCGACGACATCGTCCTCGTCGACGAGGACGGCTCGCCGTGCGGGCAAAAGGTGCGCCCGTCGTCCTCCTCTCCCAGTCTCGGACGCCTCGTACTGACGAACGATGAGCCTTCAGGAGTACCTTGTGTGGAACCCGCCGTACATCGACGACCTCGACCCGAAGCAGGGCCGCATTTCGACCATCTTCGAGACGAGTCGGGTCTTCCGGTTCCTCATGGAGCGCGGCATCAGGGTCATCGTCTTCTGCCGAGTGCGTCCGACTCTCTCTCTCTCTCTCTTTCTGTCTGTGTCGCTCGTGGTCCTGCAGGCCTGACCTCGGTGAGCGCGCACGCAGGTCCGCATGCAGTGCGAGATCTTGATGCGGCAGGTCCGCCAGGACCTCATGCTCGACGGCCGCAGCGACATGGCGGCGAGGGTCATGTCGTACCGGTCGGGCTACAGCGCGCAAGACCGGCGCCGTATCGAGCAGGAGATGTTCTCGGGCCAGCTCCTCGGCGTCATCGCGACGACGGCGCTCGAGCTCGGCATCGACATCGGCAGCCTCGACGCCGTCATCACGGTCGGGTTCCCCTACACGCTCCCGGGCCTTCGACAGCAGGCGGGCCGAGCCGGTCGGCGCAACAAGGACTCGCTCGCCATGCTCATCTGCGACCCGTTCCCGCTCGACCAGCACTACGCCCGCAACCCGGACCTCATCTTCTCGAGCCCGTTCCAGCAAATGAGCCTCGACCTCGACAACCCGCTCGTGCTCGAGGGCCACATCCAGTGCGCCGCCGACGAGATCCCGCTCCACCCGGTCGAGGACGCCGCCTACTTCACCAAGGGCGACTCGGCGCGCCTGCGCGACATCTGCCTCGAGCGCCTCGTCGGCGACGACGACGGCTTCTTCCACTGCCACCCGCGGTTCAAGCCCTACCCGGCGCGCACGGTCCCGATCCGCAACACCGAGGACGAGCACTACTCGATCATCGACATCACGCACGGCCGGCACGACGTCGTCGAGGAGGTCGAGACGAGTCGCGCCATCTTTACGGCGTACGAGGGCGCCGTCTTCATGCACATGGGCCGCACGTTCCTCGTGCGCGGCGTCGACCACGACCGCAAGATTGCCAAGATCGAGGAGGCGACCATCGAGTGGAGGACCCGGCAGCGCGACTACACGTGCGTCCCTCGCTCTCTCCTCTCTTCTCTGTCGCACCGAGCTTGTACTGACGCTAGTCAACCGAGCAGGAACATCGACCCGGTCGAGCCGTTGTCCATCCGTGAGGTCGCAGGCGGCGCGACGACCGCCTCGTACGGCACGATCAAGAGTGCGTCCTATCGTTCCTCTCGTTCCTCTCGAAACATGCACTGACGCTCGTGCCCCTCTCGCAGTCGAGGCCGTCGTCTTTGGCTACTTCAAAGTCGACAAGCGCGTGCGTCCCCTGCTCTTCCTCCTCGCCCCCCCATCGTCCAGCCAGCTCACTCTCTCGCGGACTTGCCTCGCTCGCAGAACAACATCCTCGACACGGTCGAGATCCACGCGCCGCCGTACGTGCGGCACACGCACGGCCTGTGGATCGAGATCCCGCGCACGGCCCTCGAGATCCTCCTCGTCAAGAACTTTCACCCTGCCGGCTCGATCCACGCCGCCGAGCACGCCATCATGGGCCTCACGCCCGTGTTTGCCATGTGCGCCGAGGGCGACGTGCGCACCGAGTGCAAGAACCCGGAGAAGGAGCTGTCGAGCGTGACGACGACGCGCAAGAGGCCCGCGCGGCTCATCCTGTACGACACGGCGGGCAAGTCGGGCGGCATCTGCGCCAAAGTGTTTGACCACGTGTCGGCGTTGGTCGCCCAGGCGGCCGACACGATCGCCAACTGCGCCTGCAGCGAAGGCTGTCCGTCCTGTACGTCCCTCGCTCAGCGACTTCTCTCTCTCTCTCTCTTTCCCGCCCAGCTGCTCACTCTCTCCTTACCCCACAGGTGTCGCTTCGCACATCTGCTCTGGCGCCAACACGATCGTGTCCAAGCTCGGCGCCCTCATCGTCCTCGACGCCATCCTCGGCCGCCCCATCGACGTCGACTCGATCCCGATGCAGGACGCGCCAAAGGGCGTCACGCCCGGCGGGCCCGGCGCGACGATCGACCTCGCCGCTGCGGGCGTCAGCCGAGACGTGATCCGGGCGGCGCAGGCGCAGGCGGCGGGCGGCGCAGGAGGTCGAGGCCGAGGGACGAGGCTCGAGGAGCTCGAGGAGCAGGACGAGGTCGACGAGGACGAGCTGCAAGAGCGCGAGCGCGCGCTCGCCGAGCTCTTGGGCGGCGGACCGCCGTCGCGGCCGCTCGGGGTCGACAACGCCCAGGGCGAGGCGCCGAGCGAGGGGCGCGAGACGCTCGTGGGGCAGGAGCGCGAGTCGTTCAGGCTGAGCGAGACGGGCGGGTTCCTTCGCGGCTACTAGAGCCGACGAGCTGTGCAGTACCATGTTGTCGTTATCGCTCGCATTTGACAGCCTCTTCGTCGCGCGTCGCAGCGAGCGGCAGCGAGACGAACGACTCGGAGGAGGCGAGCGAGCAGGGGCCAGAGGGGAATCTCGCTCCCGTGCGGCAAGATGCGGCGAGAGTGCCCTGCAGAGTGTGCTGCGGCAGTCCTCGAGGAGGAAGAGGCCGGACGAGGCGAGAGGACGGAGAGCCGGATCAGCCGCCGACGACGACGACGAGTTGGAGGTCCGCCATCATCCCTCGCGCTCTGCGTGCCCCGCGCGCCCGCCTGTAGCGCAGAGAGTACCTCAAGGACCGAGCAGGTGCGTCCGCTGCTCTCCCCTGTGCTGTTGCGCGCGCTCACCAGCTCCTCATCTCCCCAGACGCGTCGACCTCGGCTCCGCCCTCGACAGCTCGCCCCGCCAGAGCAGCCGGGTGCTGGACACGAGCACCATGGCGAGCGCCACATCGGGCCTAACGCCCGGGCTCACGCCGCCCCGCATCGTGTCGCCCTCCCTCCTTTCCCCTCCCGCCGCCTCGTCCCCCACCTCGCCAACGTCCCTCGACCTCGCCGCCCTCACGAGCGACAGCTTCGTGTCCGAGTCCGACTGGCTCAACGACGTCCTCGGCGCCACCCTGCCCGGCAGCGGCGCAGATGCCGCCCTCGCCGACGTCGAGTCGACCCTCACCCGTTCCCTCCACTCGCTCGACCTGTCCGTCACCGACACGTCCGCCCTCGTCGACCGCCTCATCAGCGACATCTCGCTCTCGGTCCCTCGCCTCGCGTTCGACCTCCAGCTCATGCGCGAGAACGCCCTCCTCCTGCGCTTCACCCTCGACGGCATCCGCAAGCGCGGCGGTGGCTTCGGCGCCGAGAGCGAGGTCGGCAAGGTCCTCGAGCGCATGAAGGTCCTCGACCTCGTCAAGCAGCGCATGGAGGCGGCGCGCGACGTCCTGCGCGAGGCCGAGAGCTGGTCGACGCTCGAGAGCGAGGTGACGGGCCTCGTCGGCGAGGGCCAGTTCCAGAAGGCCGCCGAGCGCCTCGCCGAGGCGGCACGCTCGATGGTCGTCTTCCAGAACACGACCGAGTACGAGGCGCGGCGAGCCCTCATGCTCTCGCTCCAGAACACGCTCGAGACCAGCCTCAGCAGCGGCCTCGTCAAGGCCATCTCGGAGCGCGACGTCAAGGCGTGCAAGCAGCTGTGGAACATCTTCAGCATGGTCCAGCGCGAGCAGGAGTACCGCGCCTACTACTTCGGCAACCGCCGCACGGCGCTCGTCGAAGGGTGGACCCACGCCAAGCTCGTCGACTCGCTCGAGGTCCCGCCGGCCCACCTGTCGTCGTCCTCGACCGCCCTGTCCGCCTCTCAGCAGACGCCGCACAAGTTCTCGTCGCACCTCGTCCAGTTCTACTCGGACCTGCAGACCCTCCTCGCCGAGGAGCGCACCTACGTCCCCGCCATCTTCCCCGACCCGGCCCACACCCTATCTTCCTTCATCGAGACGACCCTCGAGGGCCTGTCGCCGTCCGTCCCGCAACGCCTGACGGCCATCGCCGACTTTTACGGCCCGCTCGTCCTCCCCGAGCTCATCGCCGCGTTCAAGGCGACCGAGGAGTTCGCTGTGCAGGTCGAGCGCACGTTCGCCAAGCTCGAGCCGGCGCCGTCGGCCGTCGCACCTGTCGTCGCTTCGCCTGTCTCGCCGGGCGCTCAGCCGCCAACGTCGCCACGACATGGCCACAGCCCGTCGACCGGCTCGGTCTCGAACGGCGTCTCGTCGCCGGCTACGCCCGCCGCCAAGCGCCGCATGTCGAAGCGCCGCTCCATGTCCAAGCGCCTCTCGTCGCGCTCCATCTCGTTCGCCGCAGGTGGCGGCGGCGGCGGCGGGGCCGGCGCCGACTTCCTGAGCGACCAGAGCGGCGGCGGCGGCGAGGACGACGAGGGCGGGCTCGGCGCGCACTCGGCGCAGGTGCGGCCGTGGGAGACGGCCCTGTTTGAGCCGTTCCTCGACTGGCAGGTCGAGTACGCCGAGCTCGAGCGGCGGTACCTCGGCGCCGAGGTCGAGCGCGCGCTGAGCAACCCGAGCGAGTGGGTCTCGGGCCTGTTGGGCCTCGGCTCGGGCGGCGGCGTCGGCGGCGGCGGCGGCGGTGGTGCGAGCGGCAGGGGCGGGTCCGGGTCGGACAAGGTCGGCGCCAAGGTGCTCCTCGACAAGGTGCAGCGCGTGTTTGCGCTCCTCGAGGACGCCGTCGGGCGCAACCTCGCCCTCACGCACGGCTACGGCGCCAAGGGCCTCGTCGACGTCATGAACGACGTCCTCGTCGCCTTCTTTGACGAGCGCAAGGGCGATCTCGTGCGCGCGAGTCGCGAGAAGGGCTCGCTCGCGGCGCGTCGGCGGGCCCAGGCGACGGCGGCGGCCCTCTCGGGCGGCGGCGGCGGCGGTGCGGGCGGCGGCTCGGTCGACGACGAGCACGAGATGGCGCTCGAGGGCCTCGAGTTCTCGACCGACGACTGGTCGACGTTCCAGTTCGGCCTGCGGCTCCTCGACACGTGCCGGGCCATGGCCGACCGCCTGTCGGCGTTCGAGGCGAGGGTCAAGTCGCGCATGACGGTGCTCGCCCACGCTGTGCGCGAGGCGAGGCTCGACCCGGCGGGCTACACGGCGCCGGGCACGACGCGCGGCGCCATCCTCCTCCTGCGCCAGTCGACGCTCAACTCGGTCGAGCTCGCCGACCTCCTCGACCCGCTCGAGAAGCCGTCGCCGTCCGAGGTCCCGCACCACGCCGCCGGATCCCTGTCGCACGCCGCACCACCCGCACCGGCCCCGACGCCGTTCCTCCTCCCCAAGGCGCGCGGCGCCGCCATCGACTTTACCCGGACGACGCAGCTCTTCCTCCACGAGACGATCCTCGCGCCGCTACTGTCGCACCTGGCCGAGTACGCGTCGCTGTCGTGCTGGGCGACGAGCGAGGCGCAGCGTCCCGGCGGCAAGGGCGCGTTCGACCTGGCGATCCCGACCTTTTCGCTGTCGCCGACCGAGACCATCTCGCGCGTCGGCGAGGGCCTGTTCAACCTCCCGCGCCTGTTCGAGGTGTACGCGCAGGACGACGCGCTCTCGTTCTCGATCGAGACGCTCCCGTTCGTCGACGTCGAGTCGCTGCGGGCGCTGCAGCAGCCGAGCGCGCCCGCCGCCGCCGCAGGGCCCGCCGGCGCGCCGCCCATGTTGCGGCAGCACTCGAGCGGGCACCGCGTCACGGCGTCGGGCGACGCGTCGTCGAGCATGGGCGTGCTCGGGTCGCCGTCGCTCGGGCGCACGCGCGGCGCGAGCAGCGGCAGCGTGTCGCTGTCGGGCCCGCCTGCGCCCGCCGCTGTGGCCGCGCCGGCGCCGCTGAGCGCCGAGATCGTCATCGCGACGTGGCTGTCGTCGCTGACGCTGTCGGTGCTGTCGCACCTGACGGCGTCGGTGCTGCCGTCGGTCGCGCGCCTGTCGAAGCACGGCGCGGCGCAGCTCGTGAGCGACCTCGACTACATCTCGAACGTGGCGCGGGCGCTCGACGTCGAGAGCCCAGAGGAGCTCGAGGCGTGGCGCGAGGCGGCGGCGCTCGACGAGCGGCAGCTGAGGGGCGAAGCAGAGGGGGCGGACAAGGTCGAGAGGGGGGTGCTCGAGCGGGTGGCGCGGATCCGGGGTGTGCGGCGCGTTGGCGTGTAGATGATGCAGTCACAGATGCTCTTTCGTCATGCGAGTCTGCCCTGCGAGACGTGAGAGCGGCTCCTCTCCTTCGGACGTCGCTCGTGAGGCTGCGCTGGCGGAGCGACTCGTCTCGACCTCAAGCTCGCCTCTCGACCGCTGCTCAGCACCAGCGCACTCGACAGCCATGCAGCGCGTCTCGCAAAGCCCGTGCACCTGCGCGCGTGCCGCCCTCGCCGCTCGCAGTGCGGCTCCTCGTCCTCTCCTCCTCGCCCGCGCCATCCACGCTCCAGCCGCCGTCGACCCGTCCAGGCGGGTGCCCAAGCCTCGAGGTGCGTCGCACGGGCTCTCTCTTGGACTGTCGCGCAGAGTACACGAGCTGACATTGTCGTCCCTACCCTCCCCCTCCTCCTTCTCCTCGTCTTCATCTCCTCGTCGCCCTACGGCCTCGCTCGCCCGCTCAACAGGCCAGTACACCGACCCTGCCGCCATTCTCGCCGCCTCCAAGCGCGGCCTCGAGTCGTACGCCGACAAGATGGGCAGCTGGGACGAGGCCTTTACCAAGACGGGCGCCGAGCTGAGGGACGCCGGCATGACCGTCAAGCAGTCGCGCTACACCCTCTGGCTCCTCGAAAAGTACCGGTGCGTCCTCTCACTATCTCGGTCCATGAGCGCGAGCTTACCCGTCCTCCTCGTCGTTTGCCTCCTCCCCCCTCCTCGCGACTTCCCGCTCCTTGCAGGCAAGGACACGACCCGCTTTCCGTCGCTGTGCCGCCAACGCCAAAGAAGACGATCAGAGGGTGGGGGCCCCGTGTGCAGGGTGGCATCCGCGTGCGGTAGATGGAGCCGAGCTGGAATCGTGCATGGACCTTCTCCCTCTCGCTCGCCGTCTTTCCTCCTCGGCCGGGCAGCAGCCGACGCACGGGTCGATCGCTTGATCGTTCAGCTTTCAGAGAGCGAGTGTGCGTGCGACCGGGCTCGAGGCGGTGCGTGCGGGCGGACGAGGCGGACCTGCTCGTGCGCGAGCTGCGCTCCTGCTTCTACGACTCTCTGCTTCCTCCGCTTCCACGCTCCTGTGCCCGCTCGAGCTGCACCTGCGCTGCAGCCCCCGACTGCGCTCCTCTCTAGCGTTTGAGCTGCCCATTCGTCGTGCACGCGCCTTCTTCGGCCCGCAACTTGGCGACATGGACTCGCTGCGCAGCTTGACGAGGGAGCTATCGAGGCGCGCACAGCGCGAGGAGGACAAGGGCGGATACACGGCCATCCCGATGTGCGCGAGGGAATCGTTGGACGAGGTGCGCTCCTGCTCTCCCTTCTGAGCTCGTCGCGCGACGACCTTCCTGACGTCCTGGACGTCCGCAGATGAGGGCACAAAGTCAACGCGGCGGTCTGGACGAGTCAAGATTGTCTAAACTCGAGCGCCGTCAGGTGCGTCGCTCGAGCCTTCTCTCTGCGTCTTCCGCAGCGGCCTGAAAGTCTCCCTCACCCAGGTCGTCTTGCGCCGAATCGCCCTCATCTTCATCGCCCTCGCGCTCTGCATCTTCTTCATCCTCTCGTCAGCTCGAGCACGCCTCTCGTCGGCAGTCAACCCCACCTCGTGGCGCGTCCGTCCCGCCAACCTCCCTCGAACCCGAGTCGGGCCCCGCCGCTCTCCCTCCCTGTACCACGGTCGAGGCTGCAACGCGAGCGAGCTCATTGCAGCTGTCGCACGGTCGAGGATCCGCGAGGACGGCGCATCGCGGACCGAGCACGAGCCGCCGGCGGGACGAGGTCCGAGCGAGTTTGACCTCGACGCCTTCACGTTCTCGTTCGACCGTGCGTCGCGCTCTCTCTCTCCTCCCTGTCTCTGTCAGAGATGAGCCTGACGTTCGTGCGCCTCGCAGTTGACGGCTGTCCTGCGCCGCACATCTTCTCGCCGGCCGAGACGTGCGACCTCCTCTCGGCGTTTGGCGGCGTCTACACTCGCGGCGACTCTCGTGCGTCCCGCTCTCTCTCCCCCTCCTCCTCGAGTACACGAGCTCTGACGCTCTCGTGCCTCGCAAAGTCATGAGGCAGTTTGCCCAAGGCGTTTTCCTCCTTCTCGCCAACTCGTTTGACCTCATGCGGGTCCCGATGCGCAAGTGCGTCGGCGAGGGCATCTTTACGCAGGGCAAGGCGTGCAAGGGCTACTCGGTGTTCGACAGCGCCGAGTTGCGCACCGTGTGCGGCAAGGAGGACGAACCGTTCGCCATCTACGACCAGTTGTGCGTCCGCTTGACTCGGGTCGGGGAGGGGTCCGAGCACAGTCACTGACTCTCTCGAGGTCGGTCGCACGCAGCTGGGGCTTTGGCAAGGAGGCCAACACGTCGGCGTCGTTCCTCCTCGACAAGTACCGCACCTACGTCGACGCGCTCCCCGAGCGGCGCAGGCGGTACTCGCCGATTTTCGTCCTCGGTGTCGGCATCCACTCGGGTGCGTCCCTCTCGTCCTTCTCTCCTCTGTCCACACGCGCCGAAACTCACACTCCCCTGCCCGTCCAAACAGCCTGGAACGTTCGAGAGACGCTCGACCTGCACCTCGCGCCTTTCCTCGCACAGACCTCCTCCGCCACCGCCACTCCTCGCCCGCTCACCTTCTTCTCCGGCTACCCCGCCGTGCCGGCCAACAAGCCGCCGACGTACCTGCCCCGGCAAGGCGCTGCCAACACGCGGCAGTACAACGCCGACGTGCGCGAGCTGCTTGACAACGTGAGCCCGGGCGAGCCGAGCGAGGGAGCGTGGACGATGCTCGAGTGGTACAACGTGACCGACGGTGCGCACTCTTTCGACGGGACGCACTACGGGTTCCAGGTCGCGATGGAGCGGGCGCAGGTCTTTCTCAATGTGCTCGACACGGTCTGGGGCGAGGTGGTGGCGCAAGGCGGGTTGGTCGACGAGACGATTCTGTGTCGCTTGCGACGCAGCTTTCGGTTCTCGTCGCTGCCACCAGACAGAGAGAGACAGAGAGACAGCTACATGATGTAGTGGCAGCGTCTGAACGAGCTCTACAACAACCTCCTCCCGCCCCATCGGGCCTCTCGCTACCGCTGCCCAAACTTGACGCCCTCGGCCGCAAAGTCCTGCTTGAACGCGACCTCGCACGCCCAGCCCGTCTTGCCGCCCTCGCGAGGAGGGATGGCGCAGTTGTTGGCGCACGTGTAGACGAGGAGCGAGTCGAACTCGAACGAGTCGTCCGAGAGGGACGAGAGGAGGGTCGAGAGGACCTGCGGCGGCGAGGGGTGCGAGAGCGTGAGTGCGCCGTCGCGCGAAGGAGGGAAAGACAGAGAGTGAGAGTCGAGCGCACCTGAAACTCGACCTTGCGCTCGGAGCGGCACAGCTCGCACGTCGGGACCTCGGACGGCGAGATCGTCTTGCTGCTCGCCCACAGCGGCTGCGGGTCGTCGACGCCGGGTATCCGGTAGAAGCTGCGCGCATCGTCGTCGACGTGAGCGGACCATGGAGGACAGGGATAGGGGAGAAGGGTCTGGACGCACCGGAGGACCTGCTTGGGCTCGCGCTCGAGCCGCTCCTGGAACTGGAGGAAGGCGCGGTCGACGCCCGTCTTGGTGTCGGCCGACGTTGCGTCCTCGGTGCCCTCCTCGTTGTCGAGCGCAGGGGCGGCAGGATCTGCGGGCACGACGAGACAGGTCAGGGAAGGCGAGATTGAGGAGCGAGGGAGACGAGGACGCACCGGGGAGGTACGATTCCTCGTACGGCTCAGGCTCGGCGCCGATGTCGAACTCGGGCCAGGGCCTCGCAGGCGTAGAAGGCTTGCTCGACAGGGCCGAGTTGGGCTCGAGGGCGTCCTCTGCGTGAGGGAGAGAGGTCAGATCCAGGCGGCGACGAGAAAGAGACTCGGCGAGAGGAACGAGAGCGACGTACCGAGGCGCTTGCGCTCCTTCTGCGTCTCGTCGGTGTGCGGGAAGAACGCGTTGGGGCTCTCCATCTGGGTGCGCCACACCCTGAGCGCCTGGGCCGGGTCCTTGGCGAGGCACCCGGGCGAACGGCACGCGAACAGGTACAGCGAGCGCGCCGCGGCGTGCGGGCGCTCGTCGTCGGGCGAGTTGACCTGGAGCAGGAGCGCCATCGTCTTGTGGCACGTCGCGCACTCGACGTCCTCGGGCGCGAGCGGCGCACGCGGGTCGAGCCATCGCGGGACGCCGCCGACCTTGCCGACGGCGAAGTCGATGTCCCACTCGTCGCGGTTGGCCGGCATGGGCTTGACGAGCCCGAGCTCGACCTCGTCCTCGTCGATCTCGTCGTCGTCGTACTCGTCCTCCTCGGCCTCGTACGCGTCCGAGCCCTCGCCGCCCGCCTCCTCCTCCTCATCGGCGACCTCGACGCTCGCGCCGCCGCGCAGCTGCATCGCCGGCGCCTCGACACCGGCACCGTCGACGACGTTGCCGTCGAGCGACATGGGCGTGTCGGACCCGCCCGGCGGCGCCGGCGCCGTGATGTCGACCTCGCCCCGCAGCGCTCGAAGCGCGTCGGCGGCGCCCTCGTCGACCGTGTTGTCGACAGGCGGCGGCGAGTCCTCGAGCGAGATGTCGCGGACCGTGTCGGCGTCGTCGGCGAGGTTGCCGATGCCGGACAGGAGCGGGATGTGGACCTCCTCGGGCTCGAGGGACGACAGGGGAGGGAGCTGCCACGACTCGACGACCGAGGCGCACGAGGAGGGAAGGCTCGCGGCGAACTCGTGGTTGTCGCGGGCGATGGCGCGCTGTAGGACGACAAGCGAGAGTCAGTCTGTGCGGCGGTACTCAAAGCGAAACAGGGCGAGAGAGGAAAGGGGCCAAGACGGACCTGAAGGTGAGCGGGAACCTCGACAGGAGCCACCTCGTCCATCTTCTGGTAGAACAGGAACGTCGAGCCGGCGTCCATCATGAGCCCTGCGCGGTCGCCGAGCGCGTCCTCGAGCTTGACCTCCTCGCGCACGAGGTCGACAATCTTCCACCACCGGCCGTCGTCGCCGCGCACGACCGACCACGCCGTGCCGCGACCGTTGAGGCCGTTGCGCATGAGGAGGGCGACGAGGCGGTAAGGGCCGACGCGGTGCAGGTCGTCGTCGTCAAAGATGCCCTTGGCCCGATCGTCGAGCGCGGCGATGTCCGAGTCGTAGCCTGTCGCGCGCAGGATCGTCAATGCGGCTGCCTCGAAAAGGGCTCCCAGAGAGAGAGAGAGAGATAGAGAGACGCACCGGCGATGACGAGGTCCATCTCCTCGCCCACCTTCTCCCACTGGTCCCTGAGCCTCCTCTGCCTCGCCTCCCTCTCGTCGTGCCCCTCGGCCGTCGCGCGCCGCAAGTACTCGACCGTGCCCCTGACGAGCTCCCTCGCGTCCTGTCCCTCCTCGGTCCTCGCCACCTCGTCCCTCCTCGCGCGAAGCTCGTTGCGCTCGCCTTCGAGCCGCGCCTGCTCGGCCCGCGCAGCGGCGACCCGCACGCGGTTCTTGACCCAGTACCGGTCGAGCCACACGTCCTCGTGGCCGGTCGGCGTCGGGCGAAAGACGCGCTTGGCGTCGTGGTGCGCGTTCGGGCCCCCGGCCGAGCCCGGGCCCGACGACGACGAGCCAAAGTTGTCGAGCGAGGTGAGGGCGGGCGTCTCGCGCACGAGGTGGCACAGGATGAGGGACGGGACCGCCGTGAGGAGGTGCAGGACCCTCTGGCCGGCCGGGTCCTCTGACACGAGCTGCTTGTCGAGGAGCGTGAACAGGTCCTCGGGCGAGTCGGCGCGCGGGTGGATGTTGAGCGAGATGATCTGCAGGTGCAACAACGGCGACGAGTGAGTATTCAGGGCGAGGAGGACGGCGCGAGGGAGGGAAGGGCGGTGACGCACCGTGCCAGAATTGTCGTCGGGCGTCTTGGGCGGCAAAGGAGCGCCGATGTGCTCGTCGACCGTGACGGGGCGACCCGAGAGCCCGAAGCGCCTGCGCAAAGAGGAGCTGCGTCAGTGACGAGCTCTTCTGGGCCAGATAGAGAGAGAGAGAAGGAGAGGTGGACGCACGTGTTGGCCTTCTTCTCGAACGCGCCGACCTCGTCAGGCGGGACGCCTTGCGCGAGGAGGTAGTGGGCCTCCTCGCCCGCCGCGATGCGCAGGTCCTCGAGGATCGTGTTGTACATGCCTGTGCGCGGGGCGGAAAGGGCGCTGTCAGGACCCAGGTTCGAGAGAGCCCTTCCTCGCCCTCTTCTTCCTCCTCGACTCGGCCGCTCGCACCTCTTCTTCGAGAGGGAGAAAGGGGGACGCACTGCGCGCCTTGTAAGGCCACTGGCTCGGGGCCGAGGAAAAGTCGCTCTCGCGGAGGTTGAACGCGCGCGCGACCTCGGACAAGTGGACGAACGAGCGGTGCGTGTCGGTCATGATGGCGAACAGGCGCTGCAGCGCGACGAGGCCTGCGTGACAGCGCCATATGCCAGGACGAGTGAGTCAGTCGGTGGTGGAACTGAGGGACTCGAGGGCAGGGGGACGGCCGACGCACGCAGCTCGCGGCTCTCGCGGTTCTCGTCGACGGGCATGGGCAAGCCGATGTGGCTCACGCCGCCGTCGCCGCGCCAGTAGTCCTTGAAGTCGTCGGACGCGAGGGCGTGGTCCGAGGGCGCGCGGTACGACAGGACGGCTTGGCGGAACGACGGGACGGCGTACAGGCACTGGAGGAAGGCCGACAGGCCCGACATGAGGTTGGACGACGCGCGCAGGATGGTCGGGCTGCAGACGAGAGGGGGCAACATGTCAGGGGTGGACGACGAGGAGGGCAAGAGAGGCGGGCTCGACGTACGTTGCGGGCTCGCGGATGCGGTCCTCGGGCTTGATCGAGTCGACGACGCCGAGCGTCTCCTCGTCGGCGCTGCCGAGCGTCGCCATGCTCATCGAAATGGCCTTGGCCATCTCCTCGTCGGCGTCGTCGGCCTGCGAGGCCTTGAGCGCGAGCGCGAGGTCCGAGTCCTGCTTGGAGCCCGTGGTCGGCGGGGGTGCGGCTCCGGCGACACGAGGCGACGAGGGCGGTGCGGCGAACGCTGGCGGAGCGTCGTCGTAGTCGCCGGTGAGGTCGATGAGCTCCTTCTTGTCGGTCGCGGGAGGCGGAACTGTGGGCGTCGTCGACGAGGGTCAGTCGTCGCCGGGAGCTGGGTCGTGAGGAGGACGGCGGACACGGCCAGCTCACCAAAAGGAGCCGGGAGGAGGGGTCGGTGCTGAGGTCCGTAGACCTTTGGGTCTTCTGGCGCGTACGGTGGCGGCTGGGTGCCGAGCGTGGACGGGTGCGGGAGGTGGTCGTCGTCGGTCGAGATCAAGGGCGGGAGGTCGTCGTTGGACTGGACGGGCGAGTCGACCGGGTCGAGGGCCCAGTTTGTAGCCGACTCGGCGTTGGCGCCAAACTTCTGCAGGGCATGCCAGACTCGTGGTGAGCAGATAGGTTCGGCGGGGAGAGATGAGGACGAAGGAGAGGAGGACGCACGAGGGCAGCCCTGCGCGAGAGGGCCGGGTCGAAGCCCATGCTGAGGAGCGAGTCGAAAGTGCCCTGCTGGTCGTGCGTGAGCTCTGCCATGGCGGGGCGAGCGGTGGGTCGAGACGAGAGAGCGAGAGCTTCCTTCGTCGAGACGGCCTCGTCGCAAAACTCCGCGGACTCCGTTTCTCTCGTCCGTCTCGATTGGTTGCTTTGCTGTGCTGCGCAAGCTACTCTGTACAGCTTCCTGCATCTCTCCAAAGCTCAGGTCGCAGCTCATCTTGGCCGTGAGAAGCGCGAGCTGTGGAGAGCGAGCGCAAGAAAGCCTGAGAGCTCGGGCAGTACTGGCGGCTTCACACTAGGTACTGCTCGCCGCAGTGTACAGTACTGCGCTGCTTGCAAGCTGGCGAACGAAGCCCGATCACAAAGGCCGGGTCAAGTTGAGTGAGCGCGCTGTTGGCCTTCCTCTTTCTCCCACCGACCACCATCCACCGACCCAGCTCGCTCGCCTGCGCCAGTCAGCCACCCAGCCATGCCTCAGCGACGCCCCAAGCGGTCCCCACGCCGCCCCATCCACCACACCGCCGCCGCCGCCCTCGTCCTCGTCGTCGCCAGCTCGACCGTGTCGGCCTCGTTCCTCACCGCCCCGCTCGACGCCCTCCGCGCCCGCGCCTTCCTGTCGCCCCGGGCACTCGCCGTCCCCAACACCAAGACCCCCGTCACCTACTCGAACGCCTCGGCCTCGCTCCCGACCGTCGTCGACACGACCGCCGCCCAAGGCCGCTACGGCCACTCGGCCGTCTACCTCCCGCCGCCGACCAACGAGCTCCTCCTCATCGGCGGCCAGGTCGGCGAGGCCGACACGGCCATCACGAGCGACGTCCTGCGCTTCCGCCTCGCGTCGTCGCTCGTCTGGGCCGCCGACCGCCCCCTGTCGAGCATCCCGGACAACCCGCTCAAGAACAGCTCGCTCGCGACGGGCCTCCCGGCCTCGGCGTGGGGCGCAGCAGCCGTCGATTCCCAAGGCCGCGCGTGGCTCGTCGGCGGCGTCACGGCCGACTGCGACAAGGACGCCATCGCGCACGTCCTCTCGCCCTCGTCGTCGTCCTCGTCGTCGTCCTCGTGGACCGTGCCCGCCCTCGCGCCGCGCTACCCGCCCCGACGACGGCAAGCGAGCGCGCTCGCTGTCGCCAACGCGACGACGGGCGGCACCGACCTGTGGGTCCTCGGCGGCATCGCCGACAGCTGGACCTGCTCGTCCGACACGATCGGGTACGCCGGCGTCGACCGGTACGACACGGTGAGCGGCCTCGTCGAGTCGATGCCGTGGAACGCCCCCGGTGGCGTCGACCCGGCCGAGTGGGAGCCGCCCGTGAGCGACTACGCGGCCGTCGTGCTCGCAGGAGGCGTCGGCATCCTCATCGTCGGCGGCCAAGGGTCGGACGGCCACCTCGCCGACACGGCCGAGGTGCTCAACTTTGACGTCGCGAGTCGGAGCTGGACCCAGCAGGTGCGCCCCTCGCCCTTCTCCCTGTCTCTTTCCTCGATCCCGCTCGACCTTCCTCCTGACCTTCTCGACTCGTCCACCCACAGAGCGTCGCCAATCTCGCCCCGGCGCCTCGCATGGGCCACGCCTCGGTCCTCCTCGACTCGGGCTCGATCGTCATCCACGGCGGCCTGTCGTCGGCGCACAACGTCCTGTCGGACCTGTTCCTCCTGTCGCCCTCGACCTCGGGCTGGACCTGGACCCAGCTCGTCACGTCGGACCACTCCGAGGCGTCGCCCGCCCTCGCGTACCACTCGGCGACCCAGATCGCCGGCGGTACCATCGTCGTCGCGTTCGGCATCGATGGCGCGACGAGCGCCCCGAGCGGCGAGTTTTGGTTCCTCACGGTCGACGAGGACGCCGGGACCTACACGTGGACCGACCAGTTTGGCGGCAACGCCGATGCTGTCGCCGCACTCGGCGCCGCCGACGCTGCCGCGACGACGACGTTCGCCGCCAAGTTCTCCAAGAAGACGTTCGAGGTCATCGCCAACCCCAAGGCGCAGTCGGGCGAGGCCGCCGCCGCTGCCACCGTCGCACCCTCTCTCGGCGCCTACGGCACGCCCGAGAGCGAGGCGCCAATCTCGGCGCCGGGCTACACCTCGTCGTTGTCGTTGCGCACGAGCCCCCGCACCAGCTCGTCCGCCGCCGCGACCGCCGCCAAGTCGCCCTCGTCGAGCGCCGCCACCGCGAGCCAGGACGAGGCGCCCACGCCCGAGAGCACCATCATCGGCGCGTCGCTCGGCGCTGTCGGCGCCGTCGCCGCCGCGGGCCTCCTCCTCTTCCTTGTGCGGCGACGCGCCGCCGCGCAGGGCGGCACGCGCGCGCCCTCGTCGCCCGTCATGGGCTCGGCCTCGCGCGCAGACGGCGCCGCACCGCCGCTCGTGAGCCAGCTCATGTACACGCGGCGGGCCCAGGCGCGCAACATGAGCCTCGGGAGCACCCTCTCGGCGCTGTCGCCGCGCGCGCTCGACGTCGACGAGGGCTCGCCCAATATGGCCGGGATCGGCGCTGCGTCGCCTGACCCGTTCAACGACGCGTACCGTGTCACCGAGGTCGGGCAGCTTGAGCGCGCTGGGTCGGCCGCGTCTGGCACGAGCAGCACGGGCGGCGTCGTCGGCGCGGTCCTCGCCTCCGTGTCGGGCCTCGTCGCTCCTTCGCAGCAGCAGCAGCACGGCGACACGTACACGAGCCCGGCCCCTACGCTCTCGGCCAAGCGTTCAATGCGCCGACCTGCCGCGTCATCGTCGTCGTCGCTCCCCGTTCCCGGGACGCCCGCCGAGCTCATCGGCATGGCCATCACGAGCGACGACGGGCATGACGGCCTGCCGTACGTCGCCTCGTCGACCTCGACGCACTCGCACGGCGCCGCACCCGCCGTCGTCGCTGCTGCCGCAGGATCGTCCTCGTGGGACCCGGCGCGCTCGCAGCGCCCCTTCTCGGCGCCGCCTGCCCCGCCCGTCCCGTCGTCGCGCGACGCACGCACGCTCGACCTCGACGCGAGCCCCGTGCCGGCCATCCTGCGACCTGGGACGCCGCTCAGGGTCGCCAACCCGGATCCTTTCGCCGACCAGTAGCGCGTTGTCGCTCGCGCCTCTCTCTCTCCCCCCTCTCTCTCCTCGATATCCCTCACAGTAGCCACCTGTACCTTCTCTTGCATCAGTGACCTGTCGCACCTCGAGCTCGAGCGGCTTCGTCGCAGCGCGAGAAGGACGACGGAGAGCGAAAGCGAGAGCGAGGAAGGCTCGGCTGCGACGGGGGCATTTCGTGAGCCTTGCATTCTCTGCTCTGCTCTTCTGCAGGCGAGCTCGCAGCGAGACGAACGAGGGCGACGAGGGCGGACGAGTCGCAGCTGCAGAGGAGGCTCGAGCGGCGCCATCGAGCCTTGCCGCGGGCGCAGGCTGGTCTTTAGCGGCATTGGTACGTCGAGTTGCACGCCCAGAGTACCCTGTACCTACGCGGGGCAACCCAAGTCCTGCAGCGCGACGACGTCTGCTCGCGCCTCGCGCTCGCCGCTCTCTCGCTCCCCCGCTCCTCTCGCTCCCACCTCTCGCTCGCTGCTCTTGACAACTCGCTCTATCGGTCGTCCGGCACGCCAGCATGGACAACCAGGTCCGTCTGGATGCCCTCGTGCCCCTCGCGAGCCCGCCCACCTGACGCTCGTCTCCCCCCAGATCGTCATCAGCTCGTCGTCGTCATCTGGACCTGTCGACCCTGACAAGCCGTCGCCGCTCCTGAGCCTGCCCGACGAGCTCCTCGACATCATCTGTGGCAAGGTCCACGTCGCCAAACTGTCGCCGATCTGCCGCCGCCTGTACCCGTTCCAGCAGAAGCGCCTGTACGAGCGGATCACGATTCGCTCGTACCCGGCTCTCGCAAGTCTCTGCGCGACGGTGCACAACTCGGACTTCATCGGAACCCTCGTCATCAGCCTCCAACTTGGCTTCGTCTCCTGGGCGGCGCCCAACATGACGGCCACCGACGGCCGGTTGTGCCAGACGGTCTCGTCGGACGAGTTCTACGACCTCATCCGGCGTCTCTCGTCCCTGCGCACCTTCACGGTCAAAGACATCGACACGGACCTCCTCGACGTCTTCCTGTGGAATACCGAGGCCCCCCTCGACCTCCCTCGCTTGGACCGCCTGTCGTTCTCGACCGAGCGGGTCGGCGGTCTCGACCAGGGCGACTGGGTCCGCAACCTCGCCCGATCTCCACGGCTCACGAGCCTCGAGATCAAGCTGCACGCTCAAAACTCGCCCCTGCCGTCGATGCCGTCGATGCCGTCGCCGCTCCCGCAGCTTGCGAGCCTCCGGGTCCTCGAGCTCGCCGGAGCAGACCTCGGCGGCTGGGTCGGTCCTGCACTCGCCGTCATCGCGCCGCACGTCGTCGACTTGCGCGTGCGCGAACACAGGGCGCCGCCGGCGTACGAGCGCATCCTGCGCCAGGCGCCAACGGGCCTGCGTCGCCTCACCCTGTGCTCGCCGCTCGCCAATGTTTCGGCCGCTCGACCGGGCGTCCTCCTCGACCAGGTCCTGCCGCGGTTCGGCCGTCTTCAGCACCTCACCCTGAGCCAGCACTCGTTCACGCCGTCGCACCTCGCGCCCTACCTCGCCTCCCTCGCCTCCCTTCGCGTCCTCGGCTTCGGCTGGGCGTCGAGCCCGACCGACGACCTCCTCCTCGACCTCCTCAAGGGCCCGCACCGCCTGCAGCACCTGCGCGGCCTCGAGCTCAACCACGTCGAGGGCATCCGAGGCCCGAGCATCAACGAGAGCGCGCCCGTCCCGCTCGACGCCGAGACGGCCGTCAAGCAGTTCGAGTTTGCGTGGTCCGCGCCGGTCTGGCCCGTCGGGTGCACCGAGGACGGGCTCGAGGCGGCACTCGCTGCGGCGAGCGACGCCGGCGTCGAGGTCACGGGTTCGGCGGTGGGAGCTGTCGGGTGGGACGAGGCGTACCAGCAGGAGCGCCACAAGCGCCAGCGGGTGTGGCTGCGTCACGGGCGAGACGTCATCCTCATCTACCAGGTGACGAGCGGATACTAGTGGGTCTCGTTGCACCTCCCTTTCCTCCCTTTCGTCGTCGGTGGGCTTTTGCAACGAGCGCTTGTCGAGCACAGTATCCTTCTCTCGGTAAGTCTTACTCTGCCGAGCCCGCACTTGCGCACGAACGAGAGCGAGAGAGACGCTCTTTGCACGACACGAGAGAGGGCAGCGAGAGAACATGCGCGAGCGAGCGAGCCACAGCTCTCGACGAGAGGTCGTCAGGACGAGCTGGACCGCGCCCGCTCTTTTGCCGTACCGCACGTGGTCGACCACGACGTGCACACCGACGCACTCGCAGGTCGAGAGCGAGATCCGGGCGCACGAGCGAGCGAGAGCAGCGTGAAAGCGAGCGAGCGAGCGAGCGAGCAGGTCAAAGCGCGTGCGCGGCGCGCTCTCCTCGCGCGCTCTCTCGTTCGTGCCGCTCGTGCGATGACGCTGCTCTGACGCCGAGAGGGAGTAAGAGGGTCGAGCTTGAGAAGGAACGGCGAGCAGGACAGGAGGGACGCGACGAGGGAGGGGAGGCGAGCGGGAGGAGGAAGGTCAAGGTGGACGAGCACGTTGCTCGACGATGCGAGCTCGCCGGTGACTCGGTCGAGCCAGCGACAGGCGAGTGCGAGCACGAGTACCCATGCACGCAGCCGACGAGGAAGACTGGGCAGGCGTGAGAAGCCACGCAACGAGGTCAAAGCGCCTCCTCGTCCCTCTCGCGCTCGACGTGCAGCTCTCGCTCTCGCGCTTCAACACGTCAGGTCTTTCTACGGTTGTTCGTTGTCAACAACTCTCCCATCGTGCGCCGCCACCGCCGCCCGACGACCCATCGAACAAGGACAAACTGAGGTGAGGGGCGTGTGTGAAGGTAGGTAGGTAGGTAAGGGGGAGGTATGCGAGGTGCGGGGGGAGAGAGAGGGGGAAAGGGAGAGAAAGAAGGGGAGGCGGACGAGAGAGACGAGAGAGGTGGTCGATTGAGGAGGACGAGAGAGAGCGAGGGAGGGGGGGAGTGACGGTCGCTAGAGACGCGCCGCCGACTCGCCCGAACCCGACCCAGGACCGCCCATCGACAACCGACACCGCCCCCACCCTTCGACTCGACTCGCCGGGGGGAAACAGAAACAGGGAAAAGGGGTGCGCGAAACAGGGGACCGACAGCGACTCGGGGACTCAGTGAAGAGGACGAGGTGCAACGGGCGCCGTTTACGACTTGGGGGCGGGCTTCCAGCCGAGGCAGTGCTCCTCGCCCATGGCCGACGTGATGGTGACGATGATGTCCTCGCCGTCGTCGAACGCCTTCTGGATCTCGTCGCCGACCTTGTCCTCGGGGACCTTGACGTCGTTCTTCTCGCCGCCGTCCTGGGTGAGGAGGTTGAGGAAGCCCTCGTCGATGTTGACGAGCTGGTACTCGTTGCGGACGACGTGGGGGACGTCCATGTTGTGCGTCGACGGCGACAGGTCCTCGTACTTCTTCTGGGTGAAGATCTGCGAGTCGGCGCGAGGGCCAGGGTTAGCTCGGGGGTGACGGTAACGAGGAGGGAGGACGGGAGACGCACGTCGGTGGCGATCAGGTGAACCTTGGCGTGACCGTGCTTGCCGGTCTTCGAGGTCGACATGTCGATGATCTGGTGCGAGAGTGCGAGGGGTCAGTGCGCTGTTCTGTGGGCGGGGCAGGTCGTCGCCTCGTCGCCCGAGTGCTCCGCTCGCTGCAGCCGCCGTGCGCTCGCCTGCCGACCACCGTTCCACTGCCGCTCTGCCTCGTTCCCATCCTCGACAGCTGGCGCCACCTCGTGCGGGCGGCGCGCACCACGACGGGCGACTCGGGGGAGAGAGGCGACGTGCGTCACTCGGGCGGAACGAGGGCAGAGAGCTCACCTTGCAGGGGCGGCCCTTGATGACGACGTGGCCGTTCTTGCGAAGGGCCGAGCACTGCATCGGGAAGGTGAGCGACGCACCGGCCGAAGCCGTGTCGAAGGTCTGCTGGTGCTGTGGGCGGAGAGCGAGGGAGGAGAGGGTCAGGTCCGACGACTCGCAGCAGACAGAGGGCCCGCGGGCGGGGTTGCGGTGGCGCGTTCGAGAGAGCGAGACGTACCTGCTCCTGTGGGCATGGACGCGGCGGGTGCAGGGGTGCGAGGCGAGGCGGTGGAGCGGCGAGAGGTTTTTGCGACGACGAGGGGCGGTGAGGGGGCAGTGGGTCAGCGCGGTGCGTGCGGGTTTCGGGTGCGACGGGGTGCGAGTCGAGTGGAACTAAGGGCGCACGTCGTCGGACATGATGGAGGTCTGAGGGCGGGGAGGAAGGAGGAGAGCGGGAGGACGACGAGACGAAGCTCGACCAAGCCTGCCCCCTTTTTGCCCCCTCCTCTCTCGTCCGTCTCGCTCTCTGGGCCGCTTCGAGAGCCTCGCACGATCTCACACAGGCCTCACTCGAGTGCCTGCCCAACAGCAACCAGCGGCGAGGTCGAGACGGCGAGCCGCTTCGTCCCTCCTCGTCGTCTCTCCTCGCTCTCTCGCTCGTCACAGCCATGTCCGCAAACGAGGATGCAATACAAGCTCGCTTCCACCACCCCTCTAGTTGGTCGTGTCCAAGTACTGGTCCAGGTCCTCGCCGAGGTGCTCCTCGATGCGCTTGATGAGCCGGCGCGTCGCCGCCTCGACCCCTCCCTCGGTCTCCTCGCGCGCCTCTGCGAGGAACGGCGTCGTCTCGGGCACGAGCGCGAGCATGTCGTCGCCGACCGCTTGCCACAGCGCGTCGAGCGCGTCGACCGCGTTGCGCTTGACGCGCACGTCGTCCGACCGCGTCAGGTGCAACACGTGCCCGTTCAACTGCTTGAGGTGCGACTCGTGGGCGGCGACGAGCTCGCCGAACGACGACAGGAGCGGCAACAAGGACGCGACCGGGAACAGCGACGACGGCGCCTCGAGTTGGCGCGCGAGAGGGCCCGACAGCTTGGCCAGGCGTTGGGCCGACCAGAAGCCTGCACGCGAGAGAGAGAGCGAGAGAGAGCGTCAGTTCGTCGGTCGTGACACCCTCGAGAGCATAGACAGGCTCGAAAAGAGAGAGAGCGGGGGACGCACCGCTCTCGTCGTACTCGAACGACTTGGCGAGCGCCGAAGCGACGGCCTGCCACAGGTCCGGGTCGCGCACGTCGCCCTTTGCCGCCGCGTCGAGGAGCTCGACCGTCTGGTCGAGCATGAAGGAAAAGTACGGCACAAAGATGCTCCGCAGCTGGCCGAGGAGGCGGTCGACGACCTTGTACAGGACCGTGCGTCGCGCGACGAGGCCCGGGTCGGCGATGCTCGTCGACTGCGCGTCGCCGGCCTCGGCGAGGTCGATGACGGCCCAGTCGTACGTGCGCAGGAACAAGGGGCGGAACAGCTGCTCGTTGAGCTTGAGGATGAACTGGACAAACGCGCCGAGCGCGTTGTCCTCGATCGCGACCACGTCGTCGTCGTCGAGCTCGGCGGCGTGCACCCGGCGCAGGTCAAACACGCCGAGGAACAGCTTGAAGATGGCGCGGTAGTTGCTGCCGACGTCGGCCGTCTTGCCGTACCGCAGCGTGCGGTTCAACAGGTCGAGCAGGCCGACGAGCGGCTCGCGCTCCTTGCCGTCGAGCGACGCGTGCAGGCGGATGATGGCCGGGTACAGCGCCTTGGCCGGCAGCTTCTTGGCCGCCGTCGACAGGAGCGCCGCCCGCGCTTTCGCCGCCGACGCGCCCTTGACCCGCGACAGCGACATGAGCTCGGGCGAGAGCGCCGCCGCAAACACCTTGTCGAGCTGGCCGCCGATAAAAGTCGGCACCGAGCTGAACAGGCCCTCGAGCGTCGAGTAGGCGCCCGAGATGAGCGCGCTCGCGCCCGCGGCGCCGGCACGGGCCTGCGACTTGAGGACCTCGAGCGCAAAGTTGACGAGCTTGCTGACGAGCGGGATCAGGCGCGGGCCGAGGCGGTTCCTGCAGCGCATCATGTGAGACTGTCAGGGCGTGCCACGGGACAAGAAAGAGAGAGAGAGAGAAAGAGAGGGCGACGCACGAGAGCTTAGTGAGGACGGCAAAGGCGGCGGCGCGAGTCTTGTCGTCGCGGTGGTCGTCGCCGGCGATGTCGATCAGCGCCGGCACCGTCTTGGCGAGCGCGGCGTCCTCGTCCGGGAAGACCGAGTCGGCGACGGCGTCGAGCGTCTCGAGCGCGCCCGAGATGTCGTCTGCTGCGGCGGCCTCGAGCGAGTCGGCGCTCGCGACGAGGACGTCGTGCACCTTGTCGACGACGGCGACGACGGCGACCGACAGGTCGGCGCGACGGGCCGGCTTGACGTGCGGGAGGCGCGCGCGGAGGAGCGCGAACGCGCGAGGCTTGATCGACGGGTCGGCGAGCTCGAGGAGCCACAGGAGGGCGTCGGCAAACGTGCGCGTCGACATGAGCGCGACGGTCGCGTGCACCACGTAGTCGGCGCCCTCGACGAGGTCGGCGCGGTCCTCGGCCGGGAATGAGTCCGACGTCGCCGTCGACAGGTCGAGCAGGGCGCGGACGAGCTCGGTGAGCGAGATGTCGACGGCGCTCGCGACGGTCGCAGTGCGCGCCGCGTCGACCTTGCTGACGAGCTGCTTGGTCTCGAGCGCAAAGGCGACAAAGTTGAGGAGCGCGAGCGCCTGCTGCTTGGCCTGGGTGGGCGCGACCGGGTCCTCGCCGGCGGCGACGACGGCGGTGGCGGGAGCCGGCTCGAGGAACGACGGCACGAGGGCGACGACTTGCTGGAGCTCGTCGACGACCTGCAGGTACGCCGAGAGCTGCGTCGCGACGTCAAAGTGCTCGACGAGGGCGAGCGGCAGGGCGGCCGCATCGCTCGACTTGTTGCCCGCCTTGTCGACGAGGAGCATGGCGACGGCCGACAGGAACTGCTTGGCGCCGAGCGTCTCGACGAGGCGCGTGAACAAGTTGATGCGGCGGTGGCGCGGGACGTGGGCGGCCGCGTCGGTAAACGCGCGCAGGAGCTCGCGCAGCTCGGCGAGGAGGCTGTCGCGGTCGCCGGCCGTCTTCTTCTCCATGGCCTGGACGAGCGCAGGCACGATGTTGTCGAGCGTCTGGTCGACCACGCGGAGCGAGTAGGCGTCGTCGCGCTGGAGGACGTTGGCGCCCATGAACGTGAAGATGGGCATGACGTTGTGCACGAGCTGGTCGGGGACGAGGGGCCCGAGCTGCGACAGGAGGAGGAGCGACTGCGAGTACGTCTGCGGGTTGATCGACGACCGCATAAAGTCGAGGACGGGCGCCATCCGGATCGAGTGGGCCGAGACGCCCGACGACGGCTGGACGTTCTCGACGACGCGAGCCAGCGCGCCGAGGATGAGCTGGCCCGGGTACGACACGTCGGTCTGGCCGGCCGTCGACGGCAGCTCGACGAGCGTCGCGAGGAGGTCGAAAAGGCCGAGGAGGAGGCCGTGCGACGCCGGGACCGTCCCGAACTCGACCGACTCGAGGACGACGACGAGCTCGGGCAGGCGCTCGGTGCGGCTCGCCGTCGACGCTGCGCCGACCGCGATCGAGGTGCGACCGCGCTTGGCGCCCTTGGCGGTCGGCGGCGCGAGCGTGTTGCGCACCTCGTTCAAGAACAGGGTGACCGTCTCGCCGTCGGGCTTGGCGGCGCGGATGCAGGCGAGCACGTCGGACGCGACGCGAGCGTCGGACGACACGGCGAGCTTGACGAGGCGCTTGAAAAGCTCGAGGCGAGTCTCGCCGCGCACGGTCGAGAAGACCGACTTGGCGACGAGGCGCAGGGCCTCCTTGCGGAGGACGGCGCGCAAACCTGCACGCAGAGAGGTTCCGAGTCAGTCACGGTGTAGAGAGACCGAGAGAAGGAAAGGGAGGACGCACCAGTCGAGTCCTGGGTCTCGAACGCGGCAACGAGCGAGTCGACGGCGCCGGCGTCCTCGAGCCACTTGCGCTGCGCGCCGTCGAACGGCTGGAGCACAAGCCGAGCGTACTCAACAAGCGTGTCGTACTCCTCGGCGGCGCCGTGCGCGTCGACCGGCGCGTCGACCGCCTCCTGCACGAGGGCGACGAGCGCCGCCGCCTTGTCGCGGTCCTTGACGCCCTCGAGGGCGGCGAGGAGGCGCGTGCGCGCGACGAGCGACGACTGCCACGCCGCGACGTGCGATGCGAGGTAGGTCGCGGCGCGGAACGAGAGGGCGGCCTTGCGCTTGCGCGTCTCCTTGGTCGGCGAGTCGGCCGGGGACGGGACGTCGAGGAGCGAGGCGTGCAGCGTCGCGAGGTGCGTCGGCGAGAGGGTCAACTCGGTGCGCGACGCGAGGACCTTGTCGACGTAGGCCGACACGTCGGGCGCGTCGAGGTACTTGAGCGCGGTCGGGGTCGCGGTCGGGCCGTAGAACTTGTCGCGGCCGTGCACGACGCCGACCTTGGCCGCCGAGGACGACTTGGCCGAGAGCGTGAGGCGCACGGCGTCGAGAGCCCGGAGCGCCTCGGCACGGACGCGCTTGTCGCCGTCGGCGAGCGCGACGATCAGGCTCGGGACGACGACCTGCCAGTCGACGAGCTTGCCCTTGGGCGAGGCCGTCGCCGCCGCGAGAACCTCGACGAACGCGGCGGCGTCGCGCAGGGCGGCGAGGCGCAGCTCGACCGAGACGGTGCTCGGCGGCGCGGCGTAGATGGACGCGAGGAAGGCGACAGCGTCGTCCGTCACGAGCGCGCCGAACAGCGTCTCGAGGATCGACGCGGCGAGCGCGCTCGACGCAGGCGACGCCGAATGAGCGTGCGCGAGGCGGTACGCCGCGAAGCACAGGTCGCGGTAGGCGACCTCGACGGGAGCGGGCGTCGGCGCGAGCCAGGTCCAGCTCGCCTCCTTGAGCGGGTGGACGGCCTTGAGCGCGCCGACGAGAAGCGCGGCGCGCAGGTGCTGCTGCGTCTTGTCGGCCGTCGGCTTGGCGAACGCGGCGTTCTGGACCGACGTCGCGACGACACTCGAGTTGCCGGCGTCGAGGAGGTCGGCGGCGTGTTCGGGCGAGGCGGCGACGAGACCGTCGAGGCCCATCTGCTGGACCTTGAGCACGTCGACGACGGCGACGACGAACTGGACCCGGCGACTCTTCTCGAGCTTGCCGGCGAGGCGCAGGGCGACAAGGAGCGCGAGCGCGAGCGGCTCGCCCTGCGCCGACGCGACCTGCGCGAGGAGGAACGCGACGGCGGCGTCAACGGCCTCGCTGCTCGCGCCGGCCATGTTCTTGGCGACGACCTCGACGACCTTGTCGGCCGCGGCGGGCGATACGTCCTCGACCGAGTGCGGCAGCGCCGCCGAGACGCCCTTGAGCCAGACGTGCATCTTCTCGAGCTCGGAGCCCTTGAGCGCCTTGAACGCGGCGAGGCGGGTGCGCGGGTCGGCCTTGGCGACGAGGAGGCGCGGCCAGAAGACGTCCTCGACGACGTCGTTGGCGTGCGACGGGTGCTGCTGCACGAAGCGGCCGGCGAGGTACGGCAGGACGACGGCGAGGTAGTCCTCCTTGTGCGACGATGCGACGGCGGGCACGACGGCGGCGAGGACCTCGTCGGGCGACACGTGCGCCTCGAGGACGGCGTGGTGCTCCTTGGCGAACAGGACGCTCGCGACGTCCTTCTCGGCCTCGGCGAGGCGCGCGATGAGCGTGTCATGCACGAACCCGGCGTTGCCCTGCTCGACGATGGCGTCGGCGTTCTCGAGCACGTCGCGCAAGGCCGAGACGCGGATCGCGACGTCGGGCGCCGAGGCCGACAGGACGAGGGCGGCGGCGGCGGCGTGGTCCGACGAAAGGGCCTCGCCGCCGAGGACGGCGTTCATGGCCTGGAGGACGCGCGGCAGGGACTCCTTGTCGCCCGACTGGCGCGCGCGCGAGGTCGCGAGCTTGGACTGGGTGGCCCACACGGCCGGGTAGCGCTGGTAGACCTGCGCCATGGGCTTGACGAGCTTGCTCGGCGACGCGGTCGGCGTGCGGATGATGGCGGCGAAGCACGACGCGAGGAGGTGCGAGATGATGGGCTCGGGGAGGGTGACGAGGGCGTCCGAGTCGAGCGAGGCCGACGGGCGAGGGATCAGGGTCGACGAGAGGAGGGCGAGGCAGTCCTCGGACGTGAGCCTGTCGGTGCGCGCGAGTCAGTAACAGGCGACATTCCTGGCGAGAAAAGACGAAGAGAGAGAGGGAGAGGGGACGCACGCCTCCTGGGCCAGGGTCTGGAGGAACGGCTTGAGGAACCGCGACGCGTCGTACTGGTTGCTGAGCTGGATGACGAGCTCGTCGAGCTTGGCGGTGCGCAAGAGCGACTTCCACCCGCTGTTGCCGAGGAACTTTTTGCCCTCGGGCACGGCCACCTCGTCCTCGCCGAGCTGGCTGATGACGACGAGCGTCGTGACGAGTGCCGCGTCCGTCTCGTCGTCGGCGACGTGGGTGCGCGCGCGGTTGCTCACGACGCCCTTGAGGACGACCCGGAGCGTCTCGGCGTCGAACGGGTTGTGCATCGCGAACCGGGCGACGAGGATGTACGACGCGATGAGGGTGTCCGGGTGCGCGCGCGCCGTGCGCAGGACCTCGAGGACGGTCGACAGGACGGCGGCGCGCTCGCCGTCGGGCAGGCGCGTGCCGGCGCGGTCGAGGTAGCTCGCGACCGACTGGAGCCAAAAGGCCGTCAGGGCGCGGTGCGGCACCTCGCCGTTCTCGAGGTATGACAGCGGGAGGTGGAGCACAAAGTCGAGGAGCGGGCGGGCGGTCGGCGCCGCGTCGAACGGCGGAAGGAGGTCGACGATGGCGGTCAGGTCGATCGGGGCGAGCGACTTCTTGGCGGGGAGGAGGCCGGCGAACGCGGTGCCGGCCATGGTCGACTCGGCGACGAGGTTGAGAGCCGAGGGGAAGTGCGGCGTGTTGTGGTACGGCAGGAGGAGGGCGATGAGGCCGGGCACGTTGAAGTCCTGGACCCTGGAGGAGGAGGAGAGGCGGGTCAATTCTCGGGCTCATGCTGTGCGCCGAGCGGTGGACAGGAAGACGCACCTGAAGCGCCGGACGAGCCACTCGAGGACGACGCCGGCGGGCTTGAGGAGCATGTGCTTGCCGAGGGCGCGCAGGACCTTGTCGACCGAGCGGCCGACCTTGTCGTTCTCGTCCTTTGTGAGGCCGGTGCGGTCGAGCGACTTTGCCTGCTCGCCGAGGATCTCCTTGAAGTGCAGGCCGAAGAACGGGTCGAGGGCCGACAGCTGGTCCCAGGCGTTGGCGGCGATCGAGTGCAGGTCGGCCGTCGTCAAGGTCGAGGCATGGCGCGAGGTGTATATGAAGCTCGGGATGTTCTTGAGGGCCCTGGTCGACGACAGGCGGGCCGAGTCGACCGTCTGGCGCGCCTGGAGCTGGGCGGCGAGCGACGACATGGCGGCGAGGAGGCGAGCTCGGTCAAGGTGTGTGGGTGGCGCTGGGCTGCGCTGTCCTGGTGGGAGGAGCGAGGCTCTTGTGGGTGCACTGGCTCGAGCTGCGAGCCGAAGTGACTTGACGAGGGCGAGGTCCAGCTCGTTGCTCTCGTCGTCGAGCTCAGTCTCGTGTCTCATCAAATCGCTCGCTCCCACCTCGTGCGACGAGCTCCTTCAAGTGGATGCAGGCTCAAGTGATCCTCCTCTTGCGCATCCTGTGGCAATCCAGGGACGACGAGCCCTTGTAGTTAGCGCTGACGAGCGTACGGTCGAAGTTCGGCCGAACCGGGAGGCGGTGCAAACTGCCATGCGGGGGGGAGCTTGTGGTCGGTGTTGCCTCTCTCTCCCTCGCTCTTCACCCTCGCTCCGAGTACACGCACAGCAACCATGAGTGAGTCCCCGCAACTCCCACCAACCCGCTCCCGTCAGCCACAAACTGACCCTCCCCGCCCTCGCAGACTTCACCCCGCCGCCGCCGCAAGTGCACCACGGCTGGCCGCCCTCGGGCGCGCCCAAGGAGCTCGTCGACTTCTATCGCGACAAGGCCCGCGCCATGAACCGCGCCGCCGCCGAGAAGAAGGAGCAGCAGCCGCCTCAACAGCAGCAGCACCAAGGGCCGCTCGAGCTGCACGTCTACCGCGACGAGCGCCTGTTCGGCAAGGATGACATCATCACCGGGCCCGACAAGCAGCAGATGCTCTATTACCTACGGTTCCCCGTCAAGTTCTTCAGCGGCCGGTGGGACCTGTCGCTCCGTCGCGGCGGGCCCGACGGCCCCGAGGTGGCACACATCGACAAGGGCACGTTCGGCGACTCGTTCGACATCTCGTTCGTGTGCGTGCACGCCCTCTCCTTCCCTCTCAACGAGCGCCCCGACTGACCTTCCCTCTACTCGCCGCGCGCGCTCGCAGCAACGGCCCACAGATCAGGTGCCAGCGCACCGGCCTCATCTCGACAAAGTACCTGTTCCAAGGCCAGGGCGGCTCAGCCTACTACTGCTGGAAGAGCGACGGGCACTTCCTATCCCAAATGAACTACACGGTCTGTCCCGGCGCTTTTGCTCCCCTCGCCGTCGTCATTCTGTTCACTCACGACGCTCACGCGCATGCAGCTCTTCCGCGAGGACGACCTCGAGCTACCCAAGGAGCAGCGCCGGCCCCTCGCGCACTGGAGGACGTCGAACTTCTCGTTCGGCAAGGACGGCGTCCTCACGATCAACCCCGAGGCCCTCAACGAGGTCGAGCTCATCCTCGCAACCGCGCTCGGCATCGAGGGTCCGTCCCTTCTCTCCCCCTCACTCTCCCCTACCCATTCTGACCCCCGTCGCAACCTGCAGAACGCGCTCGCGAGCGCCGCAACCGGAACCGGTGATCCCGTCGCGCCTCTCTCCCTGTCTCTCTCCCTGAGATCTGTACATAGTCGAATCCTTTCGTGCCCCTCTTCTCTCGATGCCTAATCAAGCCTCCTTCGTGTTCTGCTCGACGCGAAAGAGAGAGAGAGAGAGAGAGCTCGACTTGAGAAGGTCCGCTCGGGCCCTCTCTCCGACGACGAGCTCGCGCATCTCTCGCGGGGCACCTCCACGCGATACACTGGCATTCTGCGCGAGTTCGCGTCTAAAGCGAGAGCGAGAGCGAGCTCAAAGCCAACTAGCCAAGGCTACCCTCGCGCTCTCGTCGACCGCGAGAACGCCCATCTCGTCGCGGGCGCGGCACAGGCTCGTCAATGCACCTGCTCCTCTGCTCTACAAGGCCCGGCTCGCTCACAAGCCGCCGAACCCGGGCAAGCCCGCAAAGACGCCCTGCGCGAGACTCTGCTCGACGGCGCGCTCGACATCGTCGTGCTGCTCCTCCTCGCCCTCGCCCTCGCCCTCGCCCTCGCCCTCGGGCACGGGCGCCTCGTCGACGCCCGGCTCGTGCGAGGCATCGTGCGAGGCATCGTGACCGTGCTCGCCGACGTCGCCGTCGTGCATCGCCGCGTCGCCGTCGCCGTCGGGCTGGGCGTGCGGCGTCGGCTCGAGCGCCGGGTCGAGCGACGACGAGCCTGGGGCGCCGAGCGCCGGGTCGAGCGACGAGTCGTGCTGCTGCGCCGAGATCGACGTAGGCGGTGGCTCGGACGCCGAGACATGCGTGTCGAGGGCGGCAGCAGGCGGAGGAGGTGGAGGAGGTGGAGGTGGCCGAGGCGCGCGGCTGTGCGTCGTCGAGTCGAGCTGCATCGAGTCGGCCGCGTTGGTCGTCGACGATGCCCAGGCACCGTTGCTGTGCGCCTCGGACGGTGCGCTCGCGCTCTCGCCCGGCGCCGCCGCCGCCGTCGTCGCCGAGCCGGACCCGAGTCCGCCGGCCTCGAGGAGCCAGTCCGGGTAGTTGAACGAGGCGTCGACGGCTGCGGCAGCGGTAGCCGACGACGACGACGCAGCGACGGCTGCAGCGGCCGACGACGACGCGAGGTCGAGGGGCATGCCCGCGCTCAGCTGGGCGAGCTGCGTGTCGAGCTCTGCGTCGCCCGTGCTCCCGCCGACGAACGCCGTGCCGCCCGGCGTCGCCGCCGCGAACGGCGTCGCGGCGCCACCACCAGGGAACGGCGCCGGGCTCCCGAACGTGTTCCACGGCGTCGCGATCTGGGCGAGCGAGCCCTCGCGCGTCTGACGCCCGGCGCCGCCAAACGCGTCGCCGCCGCCGCTCCCGCCGCCGCCGCCACGGTTGGCCGCCGAGTTGGCGCCGCCGCCGCCGAGCTTGAGCTTGATGCCGCCTGCACCGCTGCCGGACGCGCCGCCAGCTCCACCGCCGCCGCCGTCGCCGCCCGAGAACGTGTCGTCCTCGCCGAACCGCTTTGGGAGCTTGCGGTCGTGACGGCGCTCGGGCCAGTCGACGCCGCTCAGGGCGAGGAGCGCCGTGTTGCCGACGTACTCGTAGTTGAGCGCCTCGCCCTTTGGGCCGAGCGGACCCGGCGGGCCGATGCGGCCGAGGCGCGCAAAGAGGGCAATGTTGGGGTGCAGCTGGTCCTTGTGCGACGGGCGCGGGTCGAACTGGAGCGGGAACGAGAGCTCGCGCGCGATCGAGCTGAGGGGGGTCGGGACGCGAGGGTTGGGGCCTGGCGCGGGCAGGACGGACGAGGTCGATGCCGGGTGGTACGGGACCGGGTTCGAGATGGTCCAGGGCAGGTTCGTGTTGAATGGGTGCAGGGCGGCGGTCGGTGCGAGGTCGGGGAGGAACCCGGGCGGGAGCGTGCTCTGGCGCAGAGGGGCGGCGTACGGCAGCGAGCCGAACAGCGAGTCGCTCGAGATGCTCAGCTCCGGGTGCCGGGGCTGGTACGCGATGTTGCCCGCCGCGCTGCGACGCAGGGCGTTCGGGCGCAGGTACGTCGGCTGGTGCGGGATGAGGGGCTGGATCTGGGCGAACGCGCCGAGCGAGGTCGACGCTGCCGGCGGCGGCGACAAGCTGCGCCGCCTCGCGCCCGCGTCGCCGCCTGCTGCTGCTGCTGCCGCCCTCCTGCGCCGCTTCTTCTCGCGCTCCTCGGCGTCGCCGCCTGCTCCTCCTCCCTCGACCCCATCGACAGCCGCACCTCGCGCCGCCGCCTCGGCCGCCGCCGCCGCTGCCGCCGCCGCCCGGCCCCTCGGCGAGCTCGGCGTCGGCAAGCTGTGGCCAAACTCGCTCGCCATGGTCGCGAGCGAGCTGGCTGAGTACGGGATCGGGTCCTCCCACGGGTCGCCGCCCTGGGCGCCGCCGAGCATGAGCGCCTGGGCGACGCGCGACGCGCCCGCCTGATGCTGCTGCTGGGCCGTCTGGGCCGCGAGCGCCTCGCGCTCGCGCTTCTCGAGCTCGGCGCGGCGGCGGCGCCGCGCGGCGGCCGAGTCCGACTCGCGCTCGTGGCCGGGGAACGGCGGGAAGAAGGGCGGGACGTGCGGCGGGATCGACGAGGGGTCGCGCCAGGCGGGGAAAGGGCGCGACTCGTCCGTGTCGGCGGGTGGTGCGGCGCCCTCGGCGCCGGTCGGGAAGAGGGACAGGGAGGAGAGGGAAGGAGGGCCGAGGAGCGAGATCGAGTCGATGGGCCGCCCGGCGAGGTCGAGCGGGTGAAAGACGGACGCCGTCACGTCGCCGACGCCGTTGACGCCGTTGGTCCCAGCGCCGAGGGCCGACCCGCCCGGACCGAGCCCGAGCGAGTCGAAGAAGGCGGCATCGTCGTCGCCCGCGCCCGTCAACAGGCCGCCGAGATCGTCGAGCGCGCCGCCGAACCCGTTCATGCCGCCCGCCGCCGCCGCCGTCGCCGCCGCCTCCTGCGCCATCTCGTCATCGCCGTCGCCCGCCTTGGCTGACGACGCTGGCTGCGCATCGGCGCGCTGCGGCGGCGGCGAAGCGAGCTCGTCGTCCGAGACGGAGCTCGCGGGGGACGAGCTCGAGGGCGTCGCGGCGGCGTCGCGGCCGTCGTCGGTGGGCGAGGGGAGCGACTTGGCGTAGGCGATGAGGTCGAGCTCGGAGGGGTTGAGCGGGTCGTAGGAGAGTTGGGCGAGCGGGAGCTGGGGAGGTGGAGGGGCGAGGCGGTCTGCGGGGGCAATTGCGTCAATATGTCTCGTGATCAACAACGACCTAGGTGAGGAGAGCAAGCACACGAGTGCCTGGTCTCCCACCAAGTACTGCCGCGCGAGAGAGAGGAACGAGGAGCGCACCTTGGAGACCTCGGGCGAGCTGGGCAATCTGGCCAGCCTCCTCCTCGACGCCGTCGTGGCCGCGCAAGGCCTCGTCGGTGAGCTCGTCGATGCCGTCCTGGCCAGGGAAGCCGAGCTGAGCGAGTGCGTGGGCGAGGTCCCACACGGCGGCTTTGTCCCGCCCGGCGTGGTTGGCGGCGGTCGCGGCGGTCGCAGCTGCGAGCGAGAGGTACGACTGGAGGAGGTGGGCGAGCGTGTCGAGGGCGTGGGTGCGCGCGTGCGTGAACCCGAGCGGCGCGCCGGCGTTGGCCCCTGGTCCCGACGACGACGAGTGGGCGGCCGCGGTCGAGGCAGACGCGCGCGAGACGAGGACGAGGGTGCACAGGTGGACCAAGTGCGCTGGTAGCGCATCGCCGCTGCTGCTCATGGCGGGCCCGGCGGCTGGGGCTGGCGGTACAGAGCAGGGAGCGAGAGATGAGCGAGCGCGACGAGGAGGACGGCGAAACCACCGGCTCTCGCTCTCTGGCTCTCGGGGGAGCTTGGTCGATTTTGTGTGCGGCCAAGTTACTGTCACAAGTAGCTTGCACCCTTGAAGGCCCCAGTCAAGAGACGAGGCGAGGCGGCCTCGGTCCCCCCCTCCCCACCCCGTCACTCTGCTCTCCTCGATCCTCGCCCTCCCCTCTGCCCCTCTCCACCGGCCGCCCCTACGCTCGCACCGCTGCCAGCATGGCCGCAGTCAACCCGAGCATGTACGCCGACTCGTTCGCCCAGGCCCGCTCTCCGCCCTCCGTCTTCACTGCCGTCTCGACCCGGCTCGGCGTCCAGCGCGCCCTCACGGCCGACCTCGCCGCCTTCCTCCACGAGCGCGCCCTCGTCGAGGAGCACTACATCCGCCAGCTCGAGAAGCTCGGCAGCCGCCTCCACTCGCAGCAGAAGGACGCCTTGTTCCGCGAGCAGCAGCAGCTCGCCCTCTCGCAGCGCGACCAGGACCGCGCCCTCGGCCAGCAGTGGGCCACCTTGCGCCGCACCATCGAGTCGGACCTCGCCGAGACGGCCCGCGTCCACGACCGCTGGCGCGCAAAGGTCGACAAGGAGGTCGCCCAACCTCTGCGCGACTCGCTCGCAAAGGGCGACTGGGCCAGGTGGAACCAGCAGGAGCAGAACCTCGCCGCCCAGGTCAAGGAGTACGACGCCCTCGTCGACAAGGTCCAGAAGGTGCGCTCCAACCCTCTCTCTCTCTCTCTCGAGCCGCAACCCACCCGCTCCTCCCAGCGCGACTTCGACTGACTCTTTGTCCCTCGTGCGGACCCACTACGCAGGCGCAGCAAAAGTCGACCAAGTCGGGCAAGTCGGCGTCGTCCAAGCAGCTCCAGTCGCAGTCGGCCCTCGCCTCGCTCGGCTCGTCCCTCACGTCCGCGCTCCCGGCCTTCCTCAGCCAGTCGCAGCAGCTCGACCTCGCGCACGGCGCCCTCCTCAAGCAGCACCTCGTCCTGTGCGGCACCCACACGAGCGACCTCGGCCGCGACCGCATGGAGGCGGGCGAGCGCCTCCTCAACCAGGTCCTCGCCGTCGACGAGGGCGCAGAGGCCCAGGAGTGGGCCCTCCGCGAGGGGCAGCGCCTCGGCGGCGGCGCAGGCGGCCAGGCGAGCTCGCAGCTCGCGACCGTCGGCGAGTTTGGCGAGGCGCCGAGCAATGGCGGCGTGGCGAGGGCCGACAGCTTGCTCGACCGCGACGACGCGGCGAGCACCGTGAGCGGCGCGACGGGCGTCAGCCGTTCGCGCACCATATGTGCGTCTCCCTCTCCCTCTCTCTCTCTGTCTACATCGAGCGCCGCCCAAACTCGCCCCGGCCCGAGAACGACGAGAACTGACCGCGCTTCGGCCCTCGTCTCGCGCGCAGCTCGCCCGACCGCCTCGTCCACCGCACCTCCCCCAGCCGTCCCGCTCCCGCTCCCGACCGCCGCCGACGCCGACACGCGCTCGGTGCGCTCGTCGTCCAACACGTCCAAGCCGACCTCGAAGCTCGGCAGCAAGTTCTCGGCCATCCTCGGCGGCGGCGGCGGCTCGTCGTCGTCCTCGTCGTCCAAGCGCGACCGCTCGAGTTCGATCCCCAACTCGGCAAAGTACGCCAACTTTGCCGGGTCGTCGTCGGACGCGCCGCCCGTGCCGCCCGTCCAGCAGCAGCAGCAGCAGCCGTCGTTCGCTCGCCGCGAGACGGACGCGAGCTCGCTGTCGGGCAACGGCGGCGACCTGCTCGGCGGGCGCTCGGGCGCCGGCGCGCTCGCCCCGCCGCTTCAGCCCGAGAGCCGCGACAAGCGCAAGTCGCTCATGCCCGGCTCTGGGGGCTCGGGCGGCGGCCTGTTTCGCCGCGCGAGCAGGGCCAACACGCTCCAGGACGACGAGGGCACTGCGGCGTACCAGCAGCAGCAGCAGGCGCAGTACGCCTCGGGCCCGATGAGCGCCGAGCCGCTCGGCGGCGCAGGTGCGGGTGCGGGTGCGGGTGCCGGCGGCGCGCCGAGTGTCGACGCCGAGGGCTACTCGCTGCCGCCGGACGGGTACGACCGGGCGATCGGCGACTCGGGCGCGGGTGCGAGGGGCGCGAGCCGCAACTTGATGGACGACGAGGACGAGGACGACTTGCCGCTCAGCAGCAGGTGCGCCCGCGTTCTCTTCTTCCTTTCCCTACCCTCCTCTCTCCCTTCCTCGTCGCTCGAGGCCGACCTCCTTCTTCAAGAACCTCGCCGCTGACGCTCCTCGTCCTCGTGGTCGCAGCGTCCCCAAGCTCTCGATCGCGCCCTCGCCTCTCCCGCCCAGCTCGCCGACCATGCCCCAAGAAGACGAGCAAGCGCGCCTCGCCGCCCTCGAGAGCGTCAAGTCGGCCCTCGGCGCACCCGCAGGCGGCCTCGGCCGTCGCACGACGACCAACCGCGGCCGGCGCGGTACCGACCCGGCTTCGGCCTCGGCCTCGCCCACCGCGTCGTCGGCGCAGCGCAACACGCTGTACGCGCCCAACGAGCGGCAGGACAGCACGCTGAGCAGCGTGAGCGCGACGAGCGAGGACGACACGCCGCTCGCCCAGGTCGCCGAGAAGCACCGCCGCGCGCCGCCGCCGCCGCCGACCGCCCGCGCCACGTCGCCCAACGGCGCTCGGCCGCTCAGCGCCTTTGTCGCGTCGCCGACGGTGGCGGGCGGCGAGAGCCCGTTCACCGGCAGCAGCAGCGGCGGCGTCAGCGCCGCCAACGCCGTCGTCGCCCCGCCGCTCGCGAGCCCGACCGGCTCGAGCTCCGGCTTTGGCTCGTCGGGCGCGTTCTCGCCGGCGGCCGTCCCGGGCCGCACCATGTCGGTCCTGAGCGCGACGTCGTCGCTCGGCTCGTCGGCCCACCCGGCCGGCGGCGCCGGAGCGAGCTCGCGCCCGGATCCGTTCGCGCACGCGACGGCGCCCGGCCTGCGCGCGAGCGTGACCGAGAGCGTCAGTGCGCTGCTCAAGGGCGGCGAGGTGACGCGCGCACTCGTCACGGGCGAGGTCGCGCTGTCGCACCGCTCGGCAGCCTCGGTCGGCGAGGAGGTCCAGCTGCGCGTGACGGGCCTCGACGGCGCCGAGAAGGTCGCGCCCAACACGACGTTCCTCCACCCGTCGTCTGCCGGGACGCCGGGCGAGTTCTCGCTCGCGTCGAGCTTTGCGGCGACGACGGCCGGGTCGACGACGCCGGTCCTCAAGTACGCGCTGTCGGCCTCGTCGTCGAGCGTCATCCCGCCGCTCAGCGTCAAGCCGACGTGGCGAGTCGAGCCGGGCCTCGCGCGCGCCATCGTCGCGTACGCGCCGCTCGCCCAGTCGCCGCTTGTCAGCCAGGGCGCCCAGGTCGACGACGTGCGCATCGAGCTGCACCTCGCGTCGGGCACCATCTCGTCGTTCCAGGCCAAGCCCCAGGCGCAGATGCTCCCCTCGGGCAAGGGCATCGTCTTCTCGCTGCCGGCCGGCGCGGCCCAGAGCGACGGCAAGCTCCTCGCGTCGCTCGTCACCGTGTCCGAGGGCGGCGCGCCCGCGCAGCCGGGCAACGTCGTCGTGCACTGGGTCGTCAGGGGCGCGACGGCTGGCAGGGTCGGCGTTGAGCGGGTCGAGGGCGGCGAGCTTGACGAGCTGAGGCGGGAGGTTACGAGCGGAAAGTACCTCGCCGCGTGAGGCGCTCGTCGGCGCGCAAAGTTGGCCTCGGCTGTCGAGGTCTAGATATCCGTAGTCTGTCCACTCCGTCTCTCTGTGCTGCTGCCACTCTAGTTCGAGTTATCCTCGTCGTCGTCGAGAGGAGAGTTTGAGAGCGTTCTCGTCGCAGCTGGCCTCGTTCGCCCGGAAGCTACGCAAGCGAATGCTCCAGAGTGAGTTGCCAGCGTCTGTCACGCGTGGCAGCATCGAGCTGATCGAGACAAAGGTGAGGCGGGTGCGCCGGGCCGGAGCCTCGAGGAGGAGCCCGCTCAGCTCTTGCTCGCTCGTCTGCACAGCTCGCCCGTTCGACAGCGACCAGCCAGCTACAAGCAGCAGGGCTTTTCGGGCCCACTCGACCTCGCCACTCGTCCGCCCGACGTCGTCAAGCGGCGCCAATCCACCTCCCGTTCTCATCAGCGCCGCCGCACGCTCCTCCCTCCTCGTCGCCCACCTCGCCGTGCAGCGACAAGCTCGACTGCCCTGAGCACTCCCGCTGGCCGACAGGTGCGCCTCACCTTTCCCTTGTACCTCCCTCGGTCGTGAACGGGGGGCGAGTCGGAGGTCGTCGCTGCTGCAGTGCGCCGAGGGAGCAGCGCTGCTCTGCCGGCTCGAATGCATGCTTGCCGGGCGAGCAAGCAGGGCGGACAGGGCGAACAGCACCGCAGCACTTCGCCTGACGAGCTTCACTGACCATCCGCCCCTCGTCGCCACAGCCTCCTCGTCCGCGCGCACCCCCGTGGCCGAGGTCCGCCTCGCTCACGCCGCGAGTGCCAAAGCATGTCGCACCACCGAGCTGCAGCTCGCGCCTCGGCTCATCAACCTGCGCCGACCCTCGTCATCCCCGACCGCGATGCCGACCTCGCGCCGTCGGCCGTCCCCTTTCCCTCGCCGACCCGCCCCGACGCTTCACCCTCCCCGACGAGCCCTTCCTTCCCTTCCACTTCTCGCCCATCTTCCCCCGACATGCTCATCTCGCCAGCAGCGTCGTCGTCCAGGCGCTCGCCTTCGCCCGGCCCACACGCTCCGGCAAAACGCCCGACCTTCATGCGCGTCCGTCAAACTTCCCTGCCGGCCTCGCTCGTCCAGTCTCGGCACCACTCGATCGTCGGCTCGGCGGGTCTTTCGGCGATGGTGGCGAGTGCCGCGAGCGGCGGCGCCAAGCGGGTCAGCGTCGCGTCGTTCGCGAGCTTCGACAGCCTGCCCGAGGAGGAGGAGGGCCAGGGCGACGTCGACGGCGCCGAGATGGGGAGGCTAGGCCTCTCTCGGCGCTCGCTGAGCCCGCCCGCGACGCCGCCACGGCCCGTTGCCGCCAAGCGCTCGTCCCTTCCGGCCTTGTCGAGCGCTCTCGCGTGCGGCGTCTCGGTCGTCCGGCCGCGCACGCTGTCGGCGCGCACGTCGAGCCCGAGCCGGTGGTCGGTCATGAGCGAGGGCGAGCGGGAGAAGCACGCCCAGACGAGGTGGAGGATCGCCGAGGAGCTGAGGGAGTCGGAGAGGGCGTACGTGAGGGTGCTCGAAGACGTGGACTCGGTGCGTCCTCACCTCCCTCTCGTTCGGCCTCTACTATTACCGATACGAGAAGCCTGACTGGTTGTCGGAGCCCGTGGTGCAGCTCTACTACCAGCCGCTCATCGAGGCGCTCCCCGCCGACGACCCGCTCTCGCGGCGCAGCTCCAAGCGCTACTCGACCGCGACACAGCCCGACAGCCGTACTACCTCGCCTCGTCACTCGCTGTATGGCGCACCTCAGCCTCGTTATCGCACCTCGACCGCCGAGTCGCTCCTCTCGACCGCACCTTCATCCGCTTCGACCACTTCCCCACCGCCCATCCAGCCCATCCTCTCTCGCCGCGAGATCAACAAGGTCTTCTCCAACTTCTCCGACGTCCTCAACTTGGCGCACGTCATGCTCCTCGCGCTCGAGGAGGCCGTCCCGCCACGGCCTTCTCAACCCGTGTCGATCCAAACAGGCGTGGCGGCGGTGCCTGCGAGCGAGTCGACGACGACCTGCTCGGCGCCTGCGACCGCCGAGACGAGTGTCGAGGCCTCGAGCGTCGAAAACGGCATCGAGGCGTCCGCCCTGAGCCGCAGCGGCGGGACCGTCGAGTCGGAAGGGCCCGAGACGCCCGACCAGTCGCCGCCGACCAAAGCGACGCCCAAGGTCGTCCCTCGACAGCGTCCACTGTCGACCCGCAGCACGGAGCGTCGCCGCAGCACGCCCGTCGCCCCGCCGGTCCGCCTCGGCAAGGCGCTCCTGCCGATCCTCCCTTTCTTCAAGCAGTACTCGCTCTTCATCGCCAACTTCTCGGCCTCGCTCGCCCTCCTGTCGCGCCTCGACGGCTCGTCCTCGATCACGTCGTCGGCGTCGTCGGCCTCACGATGGCAGGCGTTCGTCGCCTCGCGGCAGCAGCATCCGGGCGGCGAGCACGGCGGCGAGCCGCACTCGCAGGCGAGCAAGATCGGTCTCGCCGGCCTGCTTCTCAACATCGTTCAGCGCGTGCCGAGATATCGCCTCCTGCTCAAGGACCTGTTGCGCCACACGGACGACGAGCACCCGGACGCGCGCGACCTGCAGGCGGCTTTCGACCTCGTCGACGGCGGTGCGTCCTCCTCTTTCCCCTCTCAGTCCCTCGCGAGACTCATACTGACTCTTCGAGCGGCACACAGTCGCCTCGCACCTCGACTCGCAGATTGCGGCCCACACGAGCGCGCTCGCCCTCCTCGACCTGCAGCGCTCGTTCCTCCCCGGGTCGTTCCCCTCGTCGCCTCTCGTCGCTCCCGGTCGCACGCTCTTCAAGTCCGGTCCGCTGTCGCAGGTCTCGCACTCGGGACCGCCGAGACCCAGGACGCTCTTCCTGTTCTCGGACCTGCTCATCGTCGCGGCGGCCGAGGAGGTCTGGATCGGCGACGAGGACCGGTACCGCCTCGTGGGCCGGTACGAGCTGGACGAGGTGACGGTCGTCGGGAACGAAGAGGTTGACCAGGAGGGCAGGAGGAGGTGCGGGTTCCAGGTGCTGTCGAGGGAGCGGTCGTTCGCCGTTTACGCCGGTACGTCCCGAGCTCTCACTTCTCTCGCGGCCGACAAGGTCGGTCGGAAGGGCAGTTCTTGACGGGATTGCGCCGTGCAGACACTCGCGGCGACCGTGATACATGGCTCGACGCCATCCGCAACGCCAAGGCGACCCTCTCGACGGCGCGAGCGACCATCCAGCGCTCGGCCCCCTCGACGCCTCTCGCCCCCGTCTCGACGTCGCCTCTGCTCAGCAAGCTCGACCGCCGCATCTCCCTCCCACCGCCGTCTGCGTCCTCGACCACGCCCCATCCGCTCGCACGCACCCGTTCGACCTCGTCGCACCTCGGCGTCCCTCCCTCGCGCCAGGTGTCGCTCCCGCCGTCGCTCGGCTTCATCCCGCCGAGCCCGGCAGAAGAGCTCGACAAGCTCATCTTCCCGTCGACCTCGAGCGCCGCGTGCGAGATCGTCCAGTCGCCGCTCGAGGGCCCGCCATTGGCGGAGCGAGTCGAGGCTCGTGCGGGCAGCCCAGCGGTCGCTTCGAGCAGCGGGACCAGCTCAAGGGCGGCCATCCTCTCGTCACCAACAACGTCGTCGCCCACTGCAAGCTCTTCGACGTCGACGTCGTCGTCGCCGCCGGCGGCTCGTCCTTCCCTCGCTCGGTCCCGTCGTTGGTCCGAGTTGCCGACCTCGTCCGCCTTCGCCGCCCTCTCGTCCATCTTCCTTCCTTCCCCACCCTCATCCTCTCCCGACCTCGCGTCGGGCGAGACCGCCTACCCCGTCATCGACGCGTACCAGGCGCCGGTCTGGGTCCCGGACTCGCGCGCGCCTCGGTGCCAGAACTGCGCCCGAGACTTTGGGCTGTGGCGGCGCAGGCATCACTGTCGGCTCGGCGGCTGCGTCGTGTGCTGGGAGTGCTCGACCAAGGTCCGTCCCTCTCGTTTCTCTCTCGACTCGCTCGCGCAGGGACTGACGAGGTCAATGCGCCCGTTTCTCACCCGCAGTACTTCGTCATTCCCGCCGCCGTCTTCTCCTCTCCCTCCCTCGACCCCTCCTCCGGCCCCGCAGCTCCTCCCACGTTGTCGACCGAGCCCGACCGCCTCGCTCGCGCGTGCGACTCGTGCTTCACCTCGGTCTTTGCCCCGACGACGCCCGCCTCGCGCTTTCTCGACGCGCACCCGACCGCGACCGACACATTTCCCCGGCTCGGCATGCGCGGCGGCGGGACTGGGAGCGTCAAGTGGACGGGGACGTGGCGGATGAGCAAGGCGCTCGGACCTGCTGGAGGAGGGCTCGCGCCGCTGTGGGACCTCGAGGAGCTGGCGGCGGCAGCAGCGGGCTCGGACGGCAGCGGGGCGAGGCAGAGCACGCCGACGGCGGCGAGTGCGGGCCAGGGCGAGGCGCGCAGGACGCGAGAGCGTTCGGCGGTCAAGCAACTCAAGGCGCTCTTGGGCGAGTGAGGACGAGACGTGCAACGAGTGCCGTTCCTGCTCGAGTGACTATTGCGAGTTGCAGACTGCTAAAGAGAGACTATAGAAGGACGAAAGAGAGACAGAGAGAGGGCAGGGCTAGATCTACTGAGAGGAAAGTTCGCCTCGCTGCTCCTTCACGCGAGCACCGCCTCTCTCCTTCTCGGCGCCGGCGCGTCGTTCTCCTTCTCCCGGTCATGCGGCGCGCTCGTCCTCCTCGACCTCGACGACACGGGTAGCCCGAGCCCGACGCCCAGATGCGCCGTGCTCGCCGCCTTGCGCACGCCGGCCAGCGTCGCCGCCGGTCGCGAGGGCGTCTGCTCGTACGCCGTCGGCGGCAGCGTCAGGTCGTGCTCCTCGTCGTCGGTCGAGATGGCGGGGTCGACGACGGACGAGCGGCGGGTCGAGGTCGAGGTCGTCGAGGTGCGGCGAGAGAGGGACGACGAGGTGCGGCGGGCCTGCTTCTCGGCGGGAAAGGGCGTTGTCGAGTGTAGACGAGTCGAGATGGATGTACGGCGAGAGGCCTTGGCGGTCGAGGGCGCGGCTGACGAGGGGACGCGCGGCGCGAGCGTCGATCGGCTCGTGTAGGACGACTCGGCGGCCGCTGCGGCGGCGGCGGCAGCGCTCTCGCGCTCGAGCTTGATCGTCGACATCTGTCGCTTCCAGTGCTGCGCCTCCTGCTGCTTGGCCTGTGGAGGAGGAGGCTCGCGAGTGAGGGTCTGTGCGTCGAGAGTACGAGAAAGACGGGGGACGCACGTCGAGCGCGATGTTGAGGCCGAACACGTCCTCCTCGAGCTCGGCGGTGCGCTTCTTGAGCTTGGTGACCTTGACTGCGAGCGAGGGAGAGGTTAGTGACGTCTCGATGGGGAGGGGGCAAGAAGGAAGAGAGGAGGACGCACCCTCACGATCCGCTGAGTCGCGCCGGAGCTTGCCGACGAGGTCGTTGAGACGGTTGTTCTCCTTCTGCAGCGCCTCGAGCTCCTTCCTCGTCCTGCCCGCCTGCTTCTCCGACTCGGCGAGGACCCGGTCGCGCTTCTCGAGCACGTCGGCGCTCTCGCGCCTCGCCGACGCGAACTCCTTGTGCACCTGGGCGAGCTGCGCCTCCTTGGCGGCCGCCTCGGCCTCGATGCGGACGACGGCGGCCTCGAGGTCGGCCATGGCGGCGAGCGCCGTCTGGCACTGTGAGACCTGCTCGGCGAGCTCGCCGTCCTTGGCCCGTGCCGCCTCGGCGAGCCGGTCGCGCTCGAGCTCGGCGGCCTCGATGCGCGGGCACGCCTCGTCGAGGTCCTGCTGCAGCGCGTCGTGCTCGCGCAAGACCTCGTCGAGCTCGGCCTCTTTGGCGGCGAGCGTGTCGGCCATGTCGGCGTGCGCGAGCTCGGCGTGCTGGCGCTCCTCCTGGACGGCGCGCCCGAGGCGGTCCGACTCGTCGCGCTGTGCGCGCAGCTGGTCGCGCAGGTCCGCGAGAGCGGCGTCACGCTGCACGAGCTCGTGCCGGACGAGCTGGGCCTCGCGCTGTGCGTCGGCCTGCGCGGCCTCGACCCGCCGCTGCACCTCGCGCTCGACGGCCTCGTCGTCGAGCCCGCGCCCGCTCTCGCCGAGCGCCCGCAGCTCGTGCACCTCGTCGCGCAAGCGCGCGAGGGCCTGCTCGCGCTGCTCGACGTCGATCGCCCACCGGCTGCGGAGCTCGTCCCGCTCGCGGACGACCTCGGCACGGCGCTCGTCCCCACGCTCGACCTCGCGCTTCATCGCCGCGCGCTCGTCATCCGCCTGCTCGAGCGCGGCGTGCGCGTGACGAAGGCGGATCTCGCCGTCGCGGACGTCGTGCACCTTGCGAGCGAGCTCGGCACGCGCGCGGGCGAGCTCGGCCTCGAGGTCGTCTCGGAGCGCGCGGTCCTCGCGCACTCGGGTCTCGAGCTCGTCGGCGAGGAGCTGGACCGTCTCCTCGAGCGCGGCGGACGTCTTGCGGGCCGAGGTCGGCGGCGGCCCGGTGGCGGCGGCGGCGGACGGGCCCGAGCGCAGGGCGCGCTCCTCCCACGCGAGCGCGAGCTGCTCGACCTCCTTGAGCTCCGAGCGCGTCTCGCCGACCTGCTCCTTGAGGGTGCGGATGACGGCGTCCTTGTGCTCGACCTCGTTCTGGAGGTTGGTGACGAGGCTCGACAGGAGGAACCGCTGCGACGACGAGGCGGCGAGCTGGTCCTGCTGCGTCGAGAACAGGTCCTGCAGGAGCGTGACCGCCTGCGGCTGGATCGACGAGCTCGAGGTGCGCGCGAGCTGGAGGAGGAACGGGTTCTGCGACGGCGTGACCGGGTTCCGGGGCCGAGGGATCCGAGAGGCCGACTGCGGCGTGGCCGGCGCGCGACGAGCCTGGGCGCGACTCGGTGTCGCAGGCGTCGGGATGGCGTGCGTCGAGGAAGAGGTGACGGCGGCTAGAGACGAGGACAGGGACGCGGCGAAGGAGGGCTGGGTTGGAGGAAAGTCGCGGGCTCGAGCACGGCTGGTCGAGGCGACAGGCTCGAAAGGCGTGTTGGCGTTCGACTCGGGCTCAGGCTGTGGGTGTGCTCGAGCGTCAGGACTGCCTGGGACGGACACTGAGAGATAGAGAGAGAGAGAGAGGAGACGCACAACCTCGACGATGGGCGAGAGGAAAGCCGCACGGACCTCCTCGAGCTCGACGATGCTCGACTCGGCGACGAGGACGGCCTCGTGCTCGACGACGTCGTCGACGTACGCACTCCTCCCTGCGTCCGCCTCCGCCGCCTCGCGCTCGTCGTGCCACTCGCGCTGCGGCGAGTAGTACACGCTCGCCTCGGTGCGGTCGCCCGCCTCCCCTGTCCCCTCCCGCACTTCCTCCAGCTCCTCCTGCTCCACCTCACTGACCTCCCCCCCCTCCTCACCGGCCTCGACACGCGACCCGTCCTTTGGGCTCGCCTTCTCGCCCCGCTCGAGCCGGCTCCACTCGTCCCTCGCGCTCTGCGACAGGCCGTCGCGCGCCCTCGCGGCCATGAACTGGCGGTAGAACGACGACGACGAGCCTGCGAGGCCCGGAGCGGGTGCGGGAGGTGCCGCGGCGGGCGAGGAGGGCGTGGCGGGTGGAGGAGGGGGAGAGGTGCGGGATGTGCGGAGGGGCGAGGACGGGACGGCGCTCGACGCCGTGACGGGTCGCACAGGGGATGCGGGTGGCGGCGAGGAAAAGTCGATGAGGCGCAGCGACGCATCGGGCGACGAGTCGACCGGCTGGGCGACCTCGTGCGACTCGTCGGCGGCGCTCGAGGCCATCGAGAGGTCCTGGGGCGCCTCGAACCGCAGGGGGGACGGCACGGCAGGTGCGCTCGACAGCGGGGCCGACAGCGCACTCGGTGCGCGCGGCGTCGCCGTGCCGAGCGCCGTCGACGAGCTCAGGTTGGCCCTCGACCCGGCGACCTCGACCGGGCGGTTCGGCTCGGCGTTGTTGCCGAACCGCTGCGCCGGCGGCGTGCGCATCGAGCGAGGCTGCAGCGCGCTCAACTCGGCGAACGACTGGCCGCCGAACGAGGGCGCGCCGGGGTTCGCGCCGCCGGCGAGCGAGCCCTGGAGGAGGAACGTGTCCGACGCCGACACCGACGTCGACGCCGACATGGTGCGGCTGCTCGCGTCGCCGCCGGCGAGGAGCGATGCCGAGGCATCGAGTGCGCGCTGGCTCGGCGCGGAGGACGACGCGGTCGAGGCGTCCGGGCGCTCGAGGACGCTCGCGCCGAGTGCCGAGTTGAGGCCGGCGAACGGGTTCGACTCGTCAAAGAGGGTGAGCGGCGGTGCTGAGCCGGGCGTCGACGGGTCGACTGAGATGAGGGGGAGGTCGGCGGCGGGTGCGGGTGCGGATGCGGAAGCGGGAGGAGGAGGGGGAGGGAGGGAGGTGGTCGAGTCGACGAGCGAGACGTCCGGGCTCGGGATGACGGCCTGGAGCTTGGACAGGAACGACGCGACGAGGACCGACGAGTCGCCGTCTGCGCTCGGCTCGCCCGCCGAGGCGTCAGGCGCGCCACCCACCGACTCGTCCGCTCGGCGGCCCGCCTCGCGACCGGGCTGGCCGTCCTCCTCCTCGCGCACGTCCACGTCGTGCGGCCGCGCGGTCCGCCCCGCCGAGCGAGACCCGACCGCGACGCTCGGCGAGTCCTCGCTCGTCAGGCCCTCGCCGTCGACCTCGCCTTCAGGCTCGGGCGTGCGCTCGACGACGCTCGCCGTGAAGCGCACGCTGCGGCCCGTGCCGGGCGTGCGCGGGTACTTGAGGATGCCGCTGCCCGCCCGGCTCTGCGCGTCGTCCAGCGGCGACCAGCGGTCGGCGCGGCCGGCGCCCGAGATGGACGACGGGTCGGCAAAGGTGGGCGGCGGCGGAGGAGGGGGAGGGGGCAGGGTCGACGCGCTCAGGAGCGGCGACGGGCACGACGAGATGGGCGAGAACTGGACGCGCTGGACTGGGCCAACCGACGAGCGCATCTTGCCCGTCGACTGGGCTGAGGTCGAGCGCGAGCGGGGCACGGGCGTGCGCGTCGTTGGCGGCGAGTCGGGCACGAGGCGGACGCCGCTCGTCTGCGCCGGCGAGGCCGTCACGGGCGTCCTCGTTGCCGGCCCGGGTGCCGCAGCAGCCGAGGACGGCGAGACGGCGGGCGAGAGCGACAGGGACGACTGGTCGCCAAAGTTGAGCGAGTGCATCTCTGCCGAGTCGAGTGACAGGTGGAACGACGACGCGTCCGAGCTGCCGCTCCTGTCGCCCTTTGGCGACGCCTTGCGCGCGGCCGGCGACTGGTTGGGCGGCGTGGCGAGCGTCTCGACCTCGTCGTCGCCGTCGAGGAGGTCCCGCATGCTGAAGTCGGCCCGCGCCGACTCACCTCCTCCTGCTGCGCCCTCGGGTGACGTGCTCGCAGTTCGAGGGGCTACTGCGAGCTCGTCGAGGCTGGTTGCGCTGGCGCTTTTACGGAAGACGGAAAAGTGAGGGTGGGCCGAGAGGATGCCGGACATGGTCGCGCTCGAGGTCGACAGCGAGTTGGGCGAGACGCGCGATGGCGGACGGTGATCTGGCGTGTATGGCGGCTGGGCTGCTGGGCTGTCGAGCGCGGGCGAAGCTGTGGGTGCAGAGGTTCGATGATGAGCGGCGTGTGCTGAGGGACGGGGGGGGCGAGTGGGAGGGCCACGCACCGGGTGGAGGCGTCGCCGGGTGCGTCTCGTCTTGTGGTACGTCTGGTGCACCGTCGGCGGCGTGCTCGACTGCTGCCAGGGGCCCGTGGTGGTGGAGGTACGACGAGAGACCGAGTGACGAGAGGAACCCGCTCATGGCGCGCGGTAGTGCGAGCGGCGCTGCGGCGCGGTCGTGCGCGCGATTTGAGCTGCACTGGTGCGCGTGTCGAGGTGCAGGGCGCGCGGCTGTGCGTTGCGAGGGAGAGGGCGTCGCCAAACACCGGCGGCGGAAACTCGTCGCCTTTCTGCCCCTCCCCTGAGTGATGAGACATTTCGCACACGTGCACTTTTGCCTCCACCACCTCGGCAACAGCTGTGCGCGACCTCGCTCTTTCCTGCAAGCCTCGCCCGCTCGCGCCACTGCTCTGGCTTGCTTCCTGGGCTGCTCAGCCGTCCTCGCAACGCCCACTTCCCGACCATGGACGTCCCTGTGCCCGGCGCGACCCACCACCTCGGCCACACCGACGCACCCTCGGGCTCGTCGTCGTCGCTCCTCACCAAGGTCAAGCGCCAGTTCAGCCTCACCAAGAAGCCCAGCACCTCCAGCAACAGCTCGACGACGAGCCTCAACTCGCTCAGGGAGCACCTCCCAAAGAGCCTCGGCGGAACCCCGAGGAGTGCACCAGACGGCACCGCGTCGAGCGTCCTCGGCGGCTCAGACGTCGACGAGCCGACCGCCTACACGATCGCACCCCCAGATCATCGCGAGGTGCGCCCCCACCCTCTGCCGCCGACGTCCTCCTCGACTCGACGACCTCCCCCCCCCACAGGCGAGCCCTGGGGACCATTAGCTTTGCCGGGCCTTCGCTCTCTCATTCACGTGCGGGGTGCTCGCAAGGGGAGCCGGGTTCGGTCCCTAGGGTCGGGATGACGGCAATGGGAGACTTA